CCTAACCCTAACCCTAACCCTAACCCTAACCCTAACCCTAACCCTAACCCTAACCCTAACCCTAACCCTAACCCTAACCCTAACCCTAACCCTAACCCTAACCCTAAACCCTAACCCTAACCCTAAGTCGTAGCCGTCAAAATAAAGCATAAGCAATGTCAATTCAATCAACAATCAATCAATAACGTAATAATCGTACACTCCCTGTCAAAGATAATCACCCCGTATGCCCTCTACTTCTTCGTAAACTTAAACTGATCCTCCGTAACCCCCTTCCCCATCGCCGCGGTCGAACTAACCCCCCCGCCAATAACCTTCAACAACCCATCAACATACTCCGCCCCACTCCACCTCTGATGCGTCAAAACCTCAACCCCAGCCTCGCGTTCAGGTTCCTGCACCATCTCGACGTAAGCTTTCATGCCTTCCTCCGCATACCTCCTCGCAAAGGTGTCGACAGCCAATGCAGTCGTGTGCAATCCAGCGAGCGTGATGAATTGCCACACGAATCCCAACTTGCCCAATTCCCAAATATAAGCCTTTTCCTCCTCGGGAGAGAGACCCGCGGCGGCCCAGTTGAAGGAGGGGGAGAGGTTGTATGCTAGCCACTGTTCCGGCCAAACAGCATGCACACCCTCCGAGAACTCCCTCGCTTGGGAGAGAATCGGTTTCTTGGTCTCCATCCACAACAAATCCGCGAAAGGTGCGTAAGCGACAGCGCGGTTAATCGCACACTGCGTTCCACCCTGGTACCTGTAATACCCCTCCCTCGTACGGGGCGCATCCCAGTCCCAGTAGACATCAGCACCCGTAATCGACTTTGCAATCGCCTTCTTCTCCACAATGGTCTTATCCTTCGCCAACTGCTCATACTTCTTCAACACACCGTCCTTGTTCGCAGCGGTAACAGACCTCTCAATCGCCTCCCGAACCGCATCATCAAACAACCTCAACCCCGCCTTCTCCGTCCAATCATCCTCAATCTTCTGGAGCGCTTCGCCATTCAAGCCCTTCTCCTCCGCCTCCGCCATCAGATCCACAAGCGGCTTGAGGTCCGGGTTCGTAGATCCAAGAACGTAGGCATGATCCCTCTTATCAACCGTACTCGTAATCAACGTCGCAGCCTCCGAATCCGTACGCGCAACGACGGCACAATCAACACCCATGATATCACACTGCAACCTCGCCGCCACGAGACGGTTGATATGCTCACTAATAGGCACCAAGACTTTACCGGCCATGTGTCCACACTTCTTCGTACCCGGAGCTTGATCCTCGATATGAATCCCCGCGGCTCCACGCTCGACAAACATCTTGGTCAACTTCATCACGGCGGTAAGACCTCCGTGGCCGGTATCTGCATCCGCTATAATCGGACGCAAAAAGTCGATGAAGGGTTGCTTTGCGCGGTCTTGCGGCGACAATCCGAGACGCGCACTGCGCTGCTTGCGATCATGGAACAACTGTGCCATAAACAAATGCTCGACCTTATTCGGCACCGTATCCATAGGATAATCCGCCAAATCCGGCCCAGGCTCATTGGATGTCGACGCAGTCGAGGAAGATTGCCAGCCACTGACATAGACCGTCTCCAAATACTTGGCCATCTGTGTAACATGAATCGGGTCGAGAGCACCGAACGTGTGAGACGGCGTTCCCTCCTTGAAACGCTTGTCGAGGAGGGAGTAGAGTTTCTTGGCTTGTTGGTTGGCGGGGTAAGTAATCGTGACCGTTCCACGCTGCTTGACGACATCCTCGGCGCTGTAAGGCCTCTTGGTCTTCTTCCACCTGGGCTCCGTCCACCATTTCTTCACCTGAGCGACCTGATGGTCATAGTCGCGTTGTTCTTGTTCGAGGTCGATGGTTGAGTAAGCCATTGTGTTTGGTAATGGGAGAAAGTCGAGGAAGGGTTGGAGGGAGGCCGCTCTTTATACCGGGGCATCACATCACATCACATGTTTCAGCAATTGATTTGAGTTTCTCGGCGGAGAGGGACGATGACGGAGCTGCGGGAGAATGGAGTTGCCTGTTTGGGCATGGGCGCCGCTAAACCCCAGACCCGGGGTGCAGCCTCGGGGGAACGGGATTTGCGTGAATGTTGTGGATGCACGTGGGTGAGTCGCGGTGATACTTGGGAGAGGGAGTTCACCGTTACATTCAATTCTATAATACTCCATTGCACTCATGCCTCCCCATCCCCATCGCCAATCATGAACACTGTCTTCGGCGTATCCTTCAAACTCTCCTTCCTCCTCTCCTCCGCCGCAAGAGCCATCTCACCCATCCCCTGTCCCTCTCCCTCACCACCTCCGGTAGACCCAACAGGCGTAACGGCCCTCCTTAACGCATCCACCGCTATCTGAGCCAAACTCGCCGCCGAACCATGTCCACTCGTCAACTTGGCCGTACTCGCTTCCGAAGCCGGACCGGTGCGGGATGAAGGGCGATACCCAACTTCGAAAAGACCTGGAATAGCGTACGGTTCCTGGGCCGCACGGACAGTGGTGTACTCAACCACCGGTGATGTAGCCGGGCTCGCCTCCTGAACCTGGAATGATGGGACAGGAGGCGGGACTTCATATTCCTCCACCGGCGCCTGAACCTCGATCGTCCCCGGACTCACCAACCTCTCCTCAGGCTGCACAGCCAGGACTTCGTCGACACCGCTGTCACTGCTTCTACTCGTGCACATAACACTCGGCGTCCCAACCCTCGTCGACGCATAACTCCCAATCACCGGACTAGGCACATCCTCAACCTGCCCCGGCACAGCCCTTAACCACCGCTCAACACCAGGTCCCCTCACCGGCATCGGCGCAATGACTTCTTCCTGCAACATATACCGCGGCGGAGTCGGAGCCGGACGATCGCGATGGAACGGACGGCGTTGCTGCCTCGGGGGCTCGTGGAAGGGGTACTCCTCGCCTTCGCGGGCGCGGTAGGCGGAGATGTGGGTGGGGTCTTGACGGGCGAGGACGGTTTCCAGGAGTCTGGCTTGTGTGGTGGGGGTTATCCATCCGCTACGGGTGACTGGGGATGGGAGGAGTCTCAAACGTTCAGCGACCATGTTGCGCGGCTCAACGAAAGGTTCGACAGGCTCGTTGGCTGAGATATCAATCATGTGCGAAGAATCATAGCCCTGCTCACAACTGCGCTCCAACGGGGCAGTATCATACGACTCTTCCGCTCTTTGCACCGGCTGCTCCTCAACCGAGACCTCACTCTCACTCTTGCTCTGCCCGTGACCATTCATCAGCGCAGGATGCAAGAGAACCTCACCACCACTCGGCCTCCTAGGACGACCATCTCCAAGCGGACTAAGTGGGTTGCGCCTGTACCGTTCAGGAATAATCTCCGGCGTATCAGGACTCCATAAATCAAACTGAGGCGGCGGCCTGAAACTGCCATCAGGCAACCTACGCAAACCCCTTGGAGTGGGTACTCCCTCGTTCATACGAGGCCTGCTGCGAAAATGATGACGCGTCCTTGTCCTCGTTGAGGTTTCAGCCGCTTCAGGTATCTCGATGTGACTCGGTCCCAGAGCAGCACGGCCATTGTTCAAAGGCGGCCAATACTGTTGCTGTTCAATCGAAGGCGACTCCTGAGCTGTGACATACGACTCTGACTCTCTTGCCAGGCTAGCGTCCTCCACCGGCAGACCATTCACAACACCAACATCAACACGTGCTGGTGCTTCCAGCCCCAAAACATTGCCTTCCATCGACCCCTCCTCCACATCCATCCTCGGCGGTGCCGTATGCGCATGCTCCAAAAGCGGCTGCTGCCTCTCCCTCGCCGCCATCGTATATCTATTCGCAGCCGTAACCCCCCTCGAACTCCCCTCCCCATTCTGCCACAGCTCCGCAAAACTCGGCACACACGCCGCCTCATCCAGGCGCTGCAGCTCCCTCGTAGCCCTCTCCAATTCGGCCCGGAGTTCTTGATCGTTATAGCTCCCAAGTCGTGCAATGAGCGCTTCGTTTGGATCGCGAGAACCATTGACGTTGGATCCAGATTCACTCGGGCGCATAGAGTTACGCGAAGCGGTTTGGCGTGAAGATGGTGGAAGAGTGTCCGCGTCGTGAAACCATCCCGACTGCGCAGAATAGAAGTACTTCCTCCCACCTTCGCTCACCATCGGAGTCCTGACATCTTCGATACCAACAACAGGCAAGGCTCTCGGTACGTGGGCCGTCTCGTCAACGGGCATCCGCACATTCGTCGGAATCACCGGTCCAGGTGTCCCACCATCCAACTGACTCCTCGTCTCCGGCTCATCCGCAGTACACTCAATTGCATCCTCACCCTCCCACTGTGCCATCTCCTCCGGCGTAGCCCGCTTCTTGCCCTTCCTATCTTTCTTCTCTTCCTCTTCTCCTTCCACATTAGTGCGACTGCTTCCGATCGTAACACCACCCACGGGATGACCAGGAGGGACCGCAACCCTCGTCTCCGATGCGGGGCGGGCGAGAAAGACGTCCTCAGCAGTATGGGACTCAACTCGACCCATCGCCGTGACCTCATCTCTCAACAGCCCATACGGCGTCGGGAGACGCTGAAGACCAGGCCCAACACTCAGCGAACGTTCAGAACCAACAGACCTGACATTCTCCGCCGGCCTCCACTCCTGAAACTGCACGGGATGGGGACCCGCAGAACCACCTTCACTCCCATAAGCCTGCCAAACAGTCTCAACCTCACGCCAAACACGTCGATATCTCTCCAACAAGGGATCCTGAGGCAACGAACGGCGCCGCCGCAACTCCGGTCTAACCCGCGAACGACTCCTGGACACGTCGAGGCTCCTCGGTAAGTAGCACGCACGTCCAAGACGCTGAAGGCCAATACTCGAAGAAACGCGAGAGACAGAACCTGACGGTGCCTGAGATCCCGGTTCGTCGCGTTGGATAAAAATATACCTGCGCAACATCTCTGCCCAATTCCTCAATGCCTCTCTCGTCCACGGCTCCTCGCTCCCGAAGACAGACCATCCACTAAACATCTCCGACCCACTACCTGACGACTCGTCGACGTTGACCCCAGGGGTGCCACCAGGACTGACATAATACAGCCCCGGATACAACGCAGACGGATAATGATGCGGAAGAGGGTTGTTCGTTTCAACAGCCGTGTACTCCACTCCCGGATTAAGCACAGACGAATACGTCTGAGCCTCCGGCACATGTGTCTGTGTCGAGTCGAGATGATGCGCGAGATCGAATTGATCACTCAAACTTTGCCCCTCGGTTGAATTGGACCACCCTTCAACGTAAGGGACCGAAGACGCTGTTTCGGCAGCCTGATCAAAATCAGCAGCCATGATGCTCAACGTCTGCTCCGCAGCCTGATCAGGGTCGACAATCATGCTGAGCATCAAGGCTGTTGAGAGCGTGACAGTTGAGGCTTCCGTCTCGGTGAGGACATCAGGCTCGGTGGCATCGGTGTCGAGAGCAGAAGGGTTGTTCTCGGTAGGTGAAGCCGATCCTGGAAGTTTCCGTTAGCATATGTCCGCATTCACATAGCTTACACTTACCCCCAGTGGCAGAGTCGTCTGGTAGAGCGCTCAACGCAGCGTCGTCTTCATCTGTAAGTGGAATCATCAGCATATACAGCATGTAAACTGCCCATCTTTCCACCTTACCAATACCATCGTCTTCATCATTGCGAAGAGGAGTGTACCTGGACCTCTCCCTCCCGTTGATCTGCAACACGCGGTTATTGACGTACGAACCGCTGGCTTTCAGCTGCTGCGACATCGTGTATGCTGTCCAATTGCAAAATCAAAAGACCGAAAATATCAGTAAATGCTTCTTTGAAGACGAAAAACAACCGCCAGATGCAAAGTAGCTGGATAAATGCTATCTGTCGAACGCCGACCAATCCAAAAAGGAGACAATTGCTGTGTTAAAGATACGATGAACAATGAAGAAGAAGATTGTGAGTGAAACCACTCTATTGCAAGGAAGAGCAAGGGAAGAAAAGCAAGCGAAAGTGCTGGAAGCGAGAGACCGAAATGGTCGTGATGGTGTGGAGTAGAGAAGCTTGAAATCTCACGCGCAGCTAGTGTTTGGGTCTCCTACGCTACGGCCCCCTTCTGCTGACTGCATCCAACGAGCACAGTGACGGTGGATGTTATTCCATGAAAAAGTTGGCCTTGATTTCCCATACTTCTTGTCGAGAAATGGTCTCTGTCCGAAACAGGTTGGTCATACAACGAACCACCTCGAGCCTGGCCGCACCCGTGGGAACTCCAGTGAGCCCGTGCAACAGATTGCAGAGCGCACTCAAACAGAAAGCTTCGAGACCTGAAAAGTTTACGCGTAATCCAAAAATATGTGTATGCTTTATTTCGTATATCATACCCACCCCAGCAGCAGCTGCTGGCCTTGGCCTCGCCCTATGTGACGTCGTACATAAGGCAAGATATGCTAATAAAAACGCAAAAAGAACACCGTAGCAATGCAATAGTAGTAATAAAAAGACCCTTGTAGTTCGTAGTTCGAGGTAATGTTCACTTCTTCGGTTGTTGACCCGTTTCAATCCTGATTTGTAGTTCACTTTGTTCGGTTTGTGTTTGTGCTGCTGCTGGAGCTGGAGCCGCGGCAGGGATAGGACCCGGTACAGGAACCCCATTACTCCCCCTCTTCTGTCCAGCCATCTGAGCCGGGCCAGCGACACCAGGCCCACCCATCAGCATCGGCACCGGAATCGGCGCAGCCCTCGCCGTCGCAACCCCAACACCAACACCGACACCGACACCGACACCGACACCCACCGCCCCCGGAATCGGCGCCCGCACAGGGGGCTTACCATATCCCGGCCTCGCCAACATATTCGGAATCGGCGCCGCACTAACCCCAACCCCCGTCCCTGCCGCAGTCTTCCCACCGGTACCCACAACCCCCACCCCAGTTGGCATTGGAATCGGCGCAGCCCCAGCTCTCCCCCCCACAACCCCCACAACCCCCCCCGCCCCCACCGCCAACTGCCTCCACAAAGCCCCCGCCATCGCATTCGCACTCGCCACAGCCCCCCCAGGATTCGCCTTAATCGTAGGCCCCAATTTCGTCGTAATATGCTGCTGCAACAATTGTATCGACTGAGACAGCGCTGGGGTGAGGGGGTAGAGACGGGTGAAGAAGTGGGGGTTCACGATGAGGGTGTTTGTTGTGGGTTGGAGGGTTACTGCATGGAGGGCTGGTGGAGGGTTTGATGTGGCGGGACCGGGAGCGGGCATGGGGATGGAAGAGGCGGTGGTGGTTGGGAGCGCGGTGGTGGTAGCAACGGCGTTTGGTATAGGCGCAGCCGGACGTGCAGGACTCGCCGGTGCAGATGTTGCCGGACTCCCCAACAACACCGGCGGTGCCGGCGGCGGCGGCGGCGGCTGTCCTCCTTGTCCCCCTCCCTGCCCACCAAGCAACATCGGCCCTCCCACCCCACCCCTCCCCACCCCAGCTGCCACCGGCAACCCAGCCTGCTGCACCGTCGGATTAACAACCCCCATCCCCGTCTTCGGATCCCTAATCATCCACCAAGTCCCTCCCCCAACCCCCTTCCCCGTCCCCTCCACAACCTTCACAAAACCACGCTGTAGCGAAAGATTATGCCGTACGCTATTCTGCCATCCCGTGGCGTGTTGGTAATATGGCCAGTTCGCGGCGATATGGGCGTAGATCTCGGAGAGTGTTGCGCGGTGTGTTGGCGCGGCGAGGATGGCGGAGGAGATGAGTTGTTGGTACGATAGTGGGGGTTTGGGGTGTGGATTTTGGGCGGGGGGTAATGTTTGAGGGTGATGTTGGGCGAGTTGGGGCATGTGCATTGGTTGTTGGAACTGAGCAAGATGCTGGACGAATTGTGTCTGCACTTGCTGTTGCACTGGTTGTACCATGTCCCCTGCGAATATCCCATCCTGCATATCCAGTGGTAACGGTGGTAAATTATCCAAACTCAAATCCACGCCTCCGCCTCCCATACCCAGGTCAAATCGTTCGCTGACGCCGTGTGGTAGTCCCAGACTTGACAAATCGTCAACCGCCGCCATATGGTGATCAATTGGCGCTGGTGCGGCGGGGGTTGCTGAGGAAGGTTGTGCCGGCGCTGCTGTTGGAGCGGGTGTAGGTGTGGTATTTGAAGGAGCCGGTGGCGACATCTTCCTCTTCTTCTGCGGCGACGAAACCGGCGAAGTAGTCGTCGCACCCGCACTCAAATCAATCGTTTGCTCAGGCCCTAACTGCGGCACCATCTGCGGCAGCAACTGCGGCGATGGCCCAACATTGTTCCCCACATTCGCCGGCGCAGGTGGAGGCAACGGCGGGTGCAGCGGAACCTCACCCTCCGGCGGACTCATAATACTACTCGCCGTAACCGGCATCCTCACACTCTCCCCCCCCACAACCCTAACATCCCCTTCCTTCCCCCCCGCACCCCCCTCCCCCTCCCCTGGCAACAAAAACGCAAACACAACCTCCCCGATCTGAATCCGGGTTCCATCCCTGAGCCCCACGATCCCCCCACGCTCGACAAACGACTCATCCACGAACGCGCCATTGCGCCCAAGAATCTCGACCCGGAATTCGCCGAGGGAGAAATCGTAGAAGAGGCGGGCGTGGTGTCTGGAGATGGATTTTGAGGAGGCGAGGTGGACGTCCAGCGTATCGAACGGTGATGATTTTCGACCGAGGAGGACGGAGAGTGTCTGGATATAAAAACTCGAATGCGCGAATTGCAGCTTCGCATAAGCCTGTACCGCCGTCCCTTCCACCGTCCCAGAATTGGAATCTACCACGATGTCGTCTGCGGTGGTTGAAATTGGATTTGGCGGAGCAGCTTGGCCTTCTGGTTGTGCAGTCGATGATGGAATGTATGACTGCGGTATAGTAGGCATATCCCCCTTTGAGTCGTCGGTGGTAGTCATGGTTGAAGCCATTTCCTACCGGTGTGGTGTGTGTCCGCTGGCGACGTTTTGAATGATATGGAGCTCAGCCGCGAGGAGCTGAGCCTGCTAAAGAGGTAGATGAGATTGAAATGGAATGGCGAGATGGTATAACTGCCTGGTGGATCGGGCGGAGGGGTGTCTGTCGAAGGGACTTGGGTATTTTTTTGAGTTTTGCTTTCGAGGGCCAATACGAAGCATGCGCAATTGAGGTGTTTGACGATAAGTCGGATAAGGCTTTTACATTGACTATTGCCGGGGATCAAACAGGTATTCTACGGCAAATAGCAAGTGGATATCATATATCGCCCACCCTCCCATGGCCACATCTACGATCCGCTCCTCTCCAACTCCGGCGTCATAGGCCTACTGCTGTCACTTACGCGCTCGGACCACCAACACCTACACCACACCGTACGCAACCCTCCCTCGATCTCCCTCGATCTCCCTCCCTACAAAGGCGATCAGGATGACAATCCCCACCGAATACGCCAACATCCTCAACGAACTCAACCGCGAAGTCCTCCGCTCCCAACCCGCCGACGTCCTCCAGTTCTGCTCAGACTTTTTTCTGAGAAAGTTGGGGCAGCAGAGGAAGGATATGTTGAGTGCTATGCAGCGCGAAGTCGGACACACCTCCACTGGGGCTCCCACTACTACTACTACTACTACTACTACCGCAACGTCGTCGTCAGCGCCGTCAGCGGATGAGGAGAGTCCGAGAACCGCGACGTTCCCCCCCAGCGCGACGATGCAGCAAAGACCCCACGACGACCAAAGCGGCCACAGCACCTTCCCCGGTACCTCCTTCCCTGGCCATGCCTCCTCCGGCCCCTCCGACCACCAATCCTACCCCGCCGGCTACAACCTCAACCGCCGCACCTCCGTCTCCGCCGAATCCATGGTCCCCCAAGCCGACGACTCCCCCCTCCCCCACATCCCCAAATCTCAACAACAGTTGCAGCGTATCGACGCGTCCATCTCCCAAAACCTCCTCTTCAAGAACCTGGACGAGGATCAACATCGCGACGTGTTAAACGCCATGAGTGAAGTCAGGGTCGAGAGGAGTGGGAGTGTTGTCATCAAACAAGGCGATATCGGCGATTTCTTCTACGTCGTCGAAAGAGGCGAATTCGACGTCTTCATCACCCAACCCAACACCCACCCCACAGACCCCCTCGGCAAAAAAGTCGCAACAATCGGTGCCGGGGGCTCATTCGGTGAACTAGCCCTCATGTACAACGCCCCCCGCGCCGCAAGCGTCGTCTCCTCCTCCCCGGACTCAATCCTCTGGGCCCTGGACCGCATAACCTTTAGGCGGATCTTGATGGAAAACACCTACCGCAAACGTATCATGTACGAATCCTTCCTCTCCACAATCGCCATCCTCCGCCCCCTCTCCTCCTACGACCGCCAACGAATCGCAGACGCACTCGATACCGTAACATACGAACCCCGCTCCACCATAATCCGCCAAGGCGACGTCGGCGAGCACTTTTACCTCATCGAGTCCGGAACGTGTGATGTGGTTATTGATGGTGAGGGAACGGTAGCGCAGTTGGGCAAGGGCGACTTTTTTGGTGAGTTGGCGTTGTTGAATGATAAACCGAGAGCGGCGACGGTGGTTAGTACGAGTAGGGTCAAGGTTGCGACGTTGGGGAAGAGGGCGTTTGTAAGGTTGCTTGGGCCGGTGTGGCATCAGGGGGAGGGGGGGCAGGAGGGGAGGAATGTTAGTCCGAGGGCGAGTATGAGTCAGTAGGCTGTCGATGAAAGGATGCGAGTGGGAGAGATGAGACGCTATGGGTGGGTATGTGACATGGGTCCGGATAGCTTTCCTTTTTGGTTTTACTTTCTTTTTCCGCTACTGGTTTTGTCTTTTGGGTTTTTCGTATAACAAAGACGCGTATTCGAATTCACTAAGATGCCCCGGTATACAACCTTCATTTTACCGAAGCTGTTCGTTAACATCTTCCCTTATAGCTAGCAGACAAGCTCTCAGACCGTTGTAACGACAGGCCCATTTTGCGGAACTTGAACGTTGCACCAACCAACCCTTCAACAGGCGTAGGAAAAGTGCAGGGCATCGATGAGCCCGCAAACATACCTTTCTAATCGTGGGAACGTACGTAAAGAAGATGATAATAAAGGGTCAAGTCGTATTACACGAATCTCACAAAAAAAGAACAAAAGTTTGAATCCAAAAAGTCCAAGAAGTCCATCCAAAACCCACGCCACAATAATCATACACTCTCTCTACACAAACCCCCGTTGCGTCGTCGCGTCTACTCAACACAAACAACCGGCAACTCCGTAATCTCACAAGCCCCATGCTGACTCCTCACATACACATTCGCCCCCGCCCCCTCCCTCCCCGTCTCGCACTTCCACCACGTCGTCGTCGCTGCCCCACTCGCACTCCTATTCCCGGCCATTATAACACTCAAAGACCCCGACTCGACACTAAATCGAGAAGATGGCGCAGAAGTCGAGTTATCGCACTGCAATTGTCCAGTCTCGGCAGTGATATAACACGGACGACCAGCGGAATCGGTCAACGTGGACGTGGAAGACGACAAGGTAAAGGTCGAGTTGGAGACAAACTCCCCGTTTCCGCCACTCGCTCCCAAACCGACACGGACCTGGCCGTCCCCAATCTGCCCAAGGTTGGGAACGGAGAAGATTTCGCAAGAGGTGGTGTTGTTGGACGGACACGAGAATGGGAGTGTCACTTTGGTACAAGCGATGGAGTCGATGGAGGTCGTGTAGATACTCGAGCTCGAGCCCTCTGCAGTGCATGCCCACCACTCCATCGATCCATCCAACGCAAGGGATCCATCTGATTCGGAGAATGTGCCAGTCGTGATACCCTCCGCAGGGAGGGTGTGTTCGCACTGTAACTGAGTCTGCGAACTCACATAACACGTCCGATTCTGCGAGTCGTAGAGTGCGCCATTGATGATGCTCACAGCCGTGCTGGTATCACTCGAGTTATCATACCTAAACTGCCCATCACTCAACTGACTCAACGGCAAAGAGTTACCCACACACGTAGCTTTGGGAGCACACCTCGCCGCCCCAAGCTCGAGTGTGACCTCAGCGCACGCCAACTCATCAATCATGCTCGAATACACATTACTCGTTCCATTTTGTCCAGTTTGGCAGGCGTACCACGGTCCAGAGGAATATGACAACGTTCCATTCGAGACGGTGAATCCGGTTGTTGAGTACTCCTCCGCTGGCATATCGGATTGGCACTGGAGTTGGGTTTGTGCGGAGATGTAGCATGTCCTGTTTTGATCGTCGACAAGAAGATTGTTGGAGAGGGTTAAGGTCAAACAGGTCGTATCGGCATACCCAATTCTCACTTGTCCGTCCGTGAGTTGGGTAAGCGATGTACCGTTCGAGGTGAGTGAGAAAGTTTGGTTGGTGTCGGAACCCGTGGCGAGATCTGAGGTGACTGTATACCCCGTCCCATGATCAGGTGTGGGCGCGGCCAGGGCGGATGGGGCGAGGGAGAGGAGAGCGATTGCTGCCGAAAGATACTGCATTGTCGAACGCTGCTGGATGTGTGGAATGTGGAAGGGGGTGGAGAGGAGGGGTTCTTATAGGCATTATCCTACAGCTAAGACCAACCGGCATGATCTCACCTCGTCTTGGAAGTGTGTGACGAGAAGGTGGTGATATCATGTCAGACCAAATGAGATCAAGACGCGGTAAGCTGTATACCCACCCCGCGCCCTACAGTAAGGCCAAGATGACCACGGGAAATTCGGGGAAGATCCATCATAGGGGGGAGATTGGAGCCGAGGGAGAGAGTTGGGTGTATCGTCGACCTTGGCAACGATCATCGATCCATGCATCCACGCTGGGCGGTGTTTGAACTTGGCAGAAAGCGCACCATATCCACATCCGTCCCTCCGAACTCTCCGAGATGAAGGATCCAAGACTTCTAAGAATAGCAACGAAGAGGAAAGTCTTAAGGGCTGTTTCTTATCGAGATCGGAGACGGAGACGGGGTAATCTACGTTGGGGACGACGAGATGGGAAGGCCAAAACGCACGGATGGACACATGTCCCGGGCCGACTTCGAAATGGAGGATCTGCGATACTTTTACAGTGTCTCTGGATATCAATAGAACACCGTTATTGGGAGATTTGCCGTGTCCTGCTGTAGTAGTAGACGACGGAAGCTTGGCGTTGTCGTATGCAAGAAGTAACACCCGTTGGCAAGAAAAACGAGAACACCTGGCTGCAGCTACGTCGTGCTCCAAGTATACCGGCATCCGCAGCGTTCGCCAACCTCACACGTACAACTGCAAGGCCAGACCAGACCAGACTCATACCTCTCCACCCTCGGTTACCTCCAACCTCCTCATTTGCCATTGCACATTCAGGTGATCAGTGCCATTGAAGAATGCTGCTGGGCGGGCGGTGTCTGTTACGTCCTCCGTTACGATCATTATGGTCAACCTCGTCTGAAGCCAGATTACGCCTGACACATACAGCGCCGTGGAATACCGCAGCCGGACGAAGATGTTACACAAGTCCAGCTTCCCTCACCCACGACCACGACCACCACAAACCAACAGCAACAAAATCCAAAGTCGCCCAAGACATCGATAAAGCCGACACAACCCCGACAGAGCAAGAACGTTCCTCAGACACCCCCACCGGGAAGTTGACATCGACATCTTCCCATCTGTTCAAGTTGACGCTACCCCTTCATAAGAGTGTGGAAGGGAATGGGGGAGGCAGCGGGACGAAGAATGTTGCGTTTTTGTTACATTCGCAACAACCGCTGAGCTACCTAACCCGCCTCATCGAAGCCGAACTCGAGGACACCTCTTCCTCTCCCTCTCCCTCTCCCTCCTCTCACAGAATAAGACACCAACACCCGATAATCTCCTACGTCGGTTTCGACGACCCCAATACGCGCTGGAGCCCATCAACCGAAATCGGTGATTTTATAAAACAAGCCGCAAAAATCCAGAGTTTCACAGTATTGATTCAACACCCCGCACACACCACCACACACCACACACGACGCAACCAAGCACACCACACCGACAAAATCGCAATCTCAGTCCCAACCTTCGAAGACCGCACCCGCTTTCTCCGTGCACGACTCTACCGAATCTCACAACGACTCGCCTCACAACTGAAAATCAAGACCGAATGCGACCTCATCGCATCCCGCGGCGCCAGACGCCTCGCAACAACCGGCGCCCTCCTCCTAATATCCTACTGGGCCCTCGTATTCCGCCTAACGTTCTTCTCCTCCTACGGCTGGGATCTCATGGAACCCGTAACGTACCTCACGGGCCTCTCCACCGTAATCGGTGGTTACGCGTACTTTTTACACCATAACCGCGCACCGTCGTATCGGAGTGTGATGCATTCGTCCGTGACGAGGAGGCAGCGGGAGTTGTATGTGCAGCGTGGGTTTAGGGAGGAGGAGTGGGAGGAGCTAGTTAGGGAGGGGAGGGAGGTTAGGAGGGTTGTTAGGGGGATTGCGGGGGAGTATGAGGTTGAGTGGGATGGGGTTGTTGGGGAGGTTGGGGAGGGGGAGCCGGAGCCGGAGCCGGAGCCGGAGCCGGAAGGTGCGAAAGGGTTAAAGGGCAGGGAGGAGGTGGAGAGGGAGAGGAAGGAGATTGGGAAAGCGGAGGAGGTGTTGGATAAGGCGGAGAAGAAGCATGAGGAGCAGAAGAAGAGGCGGGAGGAGGAGGAGTGAGGATTTGTTTAACCCTGGCAATTGCGACACTGATTGATCGTTTTTGCCATCTGGAGCTCTCGGCCCAAGCCTGCATGAATTTACACACGCTCGAGCGCGGCGGTTGGCATTCGACCTCGCTCGACCTCACCTCCTACTCGAACTCCCAACACACCACTACAACACGATATCTCTTGACCTCTTCTATGCTGGCAGGTAGAAGAAGGATGGTGTTGTGCGCGGTCAGGTGGGCTGTATGCGGATGGGAAGGTGAAGTGATTTCTTTCCTGGTCCGTGCAAAGCTCTCCCATCGATGTATTGTGCATTCTTTCCCACACGTAGGTAGGGTGCACCATAAATCCCAAAAGACAACACGACGACAGATCAAAGGAGGAGAGAAAATCAAAAGAATGATACAAATACTATTACATGATTACGACGGCTTCTAGCAAAACCATAAAGAAAAAGCCCTAACGGGTGTAATCCACTATCAAATACTCAAACGAACATCACTTAGCAATGCCCTCACTCATGACCCACTCACCACCGGCCGCCTATTTGAAAACAGACTTGAGCTTCTTGAAGAATCCCTTCTTCTTACCCTTAGTATCGGTAGTACCAGTAGTAGCAGTCGACACATCCTTTCCATGTCCTCTCCTCTCGGGCGTAACCACGCCACTTTGCGAACTCCTTGCCGACGCAACCTCAGACCCCTTCGAACTAGGACTCAAATGCTGGAGAGCCTCAGGGGGCACAGCGAGGTTTTCGGCCTTCACGTCACCAGCAGTGACGACGGCGGTACCGATAGCACGCACCTTACCTTCCTGAACGGTGGCCTGGGCAACGTAGCCCTCACCACCCTGGAGGCGCTCGACGGTCTCGGCCGGAGCCTGGTGCTGCTTGGAGAACTCGATGCCCTGGTCGACACGGCCGGCACGGACAATCTCCTCAGTAGGAACGACCTCGCCGTCAGCACCGACATGAGCAACCGTACGAGCAATACCACCAACAGGCTCACGAAGGGAGTGCGAAGTAGCTGTACCATGAGCGGTAACACCAGCACCAACGGGCGCCTCCTGCAAAACATCCGCAACAGGAATCGAAGAGCCCATTCCCGATGCTCCAGCAGCGGCATTCGCCGCGGAAGCCTTTGCGGCATCAACAGCAGCCTGCCTCAAGACCTCATCCTCAGTAGCCACAGGCGCAGCAAACTTCTCTCCAATATCAACAGGCGGCAAAGTAGGCGATCCGGGAGACCTAACCATCCTACTGACAGGTTCACTAATCTCGGGAGTAACAGGAGCTGCAGGCTCAGCGGGAGGGGTACCACCCGGAACGAACGCCTTAGCCTGAGGGTTCAACCTGGTCAAGCTGCCCCTTCTCTCCTCACCAACCAACTCGTGCTCGACGGGCTTAGCCTCAGTCAATCCAGCACCAGTGTCAGGCACCTCAGCGACCATAGCAGCATCCTGATCGCTCGTCTCCCTCATATCAACAGTCTTCTCCTCACCGATTGGTGCGGTGTATCCAGGAGCAGTGGAGGAGGTGTAGGTAGTGTAGACAGGAGCCTTGCCCTTACCGCCAGTAGTGTCGATAGGTTCAGCCAAGTCGTATCCGGGAACAGTAGGGTTGAACGACCCAGCAGTAGCAGGAGCTTTGGAGACATAGCTAGAAGTGGCAGCAGCAGCGAATCCAGCAGCTCCGGCAGCGGCGAAGCCAGCAGAGGCGTAACCAGGCGCATCGTTCACATAGCTAGGTCCGGCATTCTCGACATTCTCGTACGGGATCTCCTCCCTGTACTCAGATTTCTCGGCAGGCGGCGCAACAGCCGTCTCCTCATCATAAACCGGCAACTCATCCTCAGCACCAGCAGAGGGAACAACCGCCTTCTCCGCATCCGACGCCGTAGGCACCAACGCGGTCTCAGCATCCTCAATCTGAGCGGGCTGCAACGCAACAACCTCGTCGGGCTGAATGACATGAGGCTGAGCAGGCTGCAACGGGATCTTATCCCCAGGCTGAATAATCATGGCCTCAGTCTCAGGCTCAGGAACGACCTCCTTCGTCGCGAACGCACTAGCCTTCTCGGCTTCGAGACCGACGGCTTGAGCGACCTCGTGTGCCTTCTCAGCAGCGGCGTCGTACACCTCGTGCGCCTTCTCGGTCGCGGTGCTCAAAAGCCCGGTAGCCTGAGCAGTAACAGCACCAAGGACACCAGCGGCCGTCGCAGCGGCAACAGTTGCCTGCTCAGAGACGATCTCACCAGCGGCTGCGGCCCTCTCGGCGGCGGCATTGTAAGTGGCGGTGGCCTGCTCACTAACAGTCTGTGCGGCAGCGGAAGCCTCCTCCGCAGCAGCGTTCTTGACATCAACAGCCTTCCCAGCAGCGACATTAGCCTGCTCAGACACGACCTGGCCTGCAGCAACAGCCTTCTCGGAAGCAACGTTATACGTAGCGGCAGCCTGCTCCTTAGCTGCCTGGGTGGTAGCAGCAACATTCTCCGCGGCAGCATTCGCCGTTTCAGCAGCCTGGTTCTTAACATCAACGGCCTTGTCTGCTGCAACATTGTACGTAGCAGCAGCCTGCTCCTTGGCAGCCTGAGTCGTCGCCGCAGCCTTCTCAGCGGCAACATCAGCAGTCTCGGCAGCTTTCTCCGTCGCGACATTCGCGGTATCAAAAGCCCTATCCTTAACCTCAACCGCAGTAAGCGCAGCCGCATCAACCCCCTCCGCCGCAGCCTGTCCCACGGGCTTGACGTCCTCCTCATGCACGGGCGGCATAGGAATCACATCCTCGGCCGTGATAACGGGTGGCTGACCCTCCGTCGCCACAACACCCGTACTCGTCGCAGGTGTACTAGTAGAAAAATCACTCATATCACGCTCCACAGCGGGTGTCTCGGGGTATGCACCGGGAAGATGGAGTTGATCTTGTACCGCATGCGCAGCCTGTCCGACGAATCCCGTAGCGGACGCGAATGCGGAATGGAGGTATGTCTGGACGCGTGGAGCGAGGTCTTCGACGTAATGCTCGACCTTCTCAAGGGCTTCGCCGCCGACTGGGATTGGGATACCTGCTACGGTGGTTGTGGTCGCGGTGATAGATGAGGGTGCGGCTTCTTTGGGCATGACGGGGTTTGCGGGCTCGATTACCGGTTCGGTGATATCGACCGGTACGGCAGCCTTCTCGATCGGCTTAACTGGGTGCGCCGGCTCCTCCGCACTCAACTTCGGCCTCACGTAATTCACAATATCGCTCTCATACAACACATTATTCACATTCCCCTCCCCATCCGTCTCGGTTGCGGCAAGCGGAGACGTGACCCATTGTCCGTCCACAACGAACTTGTAAAGAATTTTTTCGGTGGAGGGGAGTTCGACTTCAGCGGAATAGGAGGTTTTCTTCTGGGTTGCGGAGGAGGGGGTTGGGCTGAGGCGAGTGGATCGGGACCAGTTGTCGAAGGTGCCGGTTACGTAGACTTCGGAGGCTGGCCATGCTGACCTGTGTGCAAATGATGTTAGTAATCCTTCAACAGAATATCACGACACGACACGCCGCAGCGACGCGCAACGACCATCCCGAGATCGCCCAACCCGCTGGCCCGTCCGTCCCCAGCGCAAACCATGCCACGTCTTAGCCAACCCAGATCCCTCGATCGCTGCGTCGCGGCGCATGAGTAGCACTCACCATTCAAAAGTATATCTCGGTGTCATGATGAGTAGTAGTTGTAGTAAATCGGTTATGAAGTGCGGTTGATCTGACAGCAGCAGCTGGAGTGGGGATTTAAAGTACGTGTGCGCGCGGACTGCGGAGTTGGCGCCGAAAGGTGAAAGCCGGATGACGTTTGGGTGCGACGGGAAAACCAGCCACGGGACGAGAACGGCGAGGGTCGTGGAGGAGTGAATGATGAGCGATGAGGGATGTTTAGCGATGCTTGGAGGAGATCGAGCCGTAAATCCACTGTGGATCTATACCATACCACGCTCACCGTAACACTACGCCGGGGGCAAGAACCTCGAGTAAAGCAACGCCTGCACCCAATTATACCCTACAAAGAACCCAACAATCACTTTTCCCCAATTCACACCCCGCCCCTCTCGCACCCCACTTCCACGTTTCTCCCCCGCCGACTCCCTCCGCCCAACATGTCCACTCCTCGTCCTACGGTACACCTCTGGCTTCGAGTCCGGTTTCAACTCATCCGTGACATGTCTCTCTCGCACGACCGGCCTTGGCGTCGTACGTCTCCCCTCCTGGTCGTCAGGAACCTCCCGGCGGAGGGATTTGAGGACGATATCTGCAGCGTACCAGTACGTAGGAACACTCGACGAACTAACCCTCGTCCAAATCTGTACGTGCATCGTCGTCACTGCCACCAAAATCAAGAAGGCCTGTAGTACCACAAAGGGCACCAACTCCACGTTCCGTGTTGCATACTTGGCGTAATGCACGGTCGAAAGCGTCGAGAGCGCCAACATCGGCCCCGCGAGGATCCACATCGGAACTTGGTTCAGCGTCCAATACCTCAAGAACCCGACAGCCCAATAGTGCGATTGTACGAAATTGTAGATCATGGGTAGACGCGAATCGCACCACGGACGTCCAGGGCAATAGATTTGGTACGCTTCCCACTGGGTCCAGACAAAGCCTGATAGAACGATGACGCCGAGGAATGCGAACCACACCACCCGACCCAAAGCCCCCTTCCGCAGTGAACTCGATATGAGAACAGGCTCAACAACCCCCCTCCAAGCCCAGAATCCGGCGTAGAAAATCCCGGTTGAGCGTACTGTACCGCTATACCCCCACACCACCGCCGCAAGGAAATCGGCCCACCAAGTGCGTTTGCTGTAGAGCAACATCCCAACGAATGAGAGAAGAGCAAAGAGGGATTCCGTGTATCCTGCGGCGAGGAAGATCCCTGCAGGAGATAGAGCGTGGAGGAGGGATGTCAGGAGGGCGTGATGTCGGGAAAATTGGAGGCTTTGGGTGAGGTTGTACAACATAAACACCGCACCCAGATGCGAGAGATGGGATAGGAGTATGCCTGTCAGCGGCGGCGAGATTCCTGTCACTGTCCATCACATCGTCAACGCACTATACAGGAGGATTGACGGTAGTGACAAACCTTCCGCAACGACACCGACCAACCCCCACCACCCCCTCCCAAATGCCCACTCCTGTTCCCACACATTCCCGCGTCTACTCAACTCGGTAAAATACAGCGTATCCCACCGTGTATATCTTTCGGTTAGCCACCTAAGGTGTGACCAGCCATTGTCGGAGTTGGCGTCGAAGAGGATGGTGGTGGAGGAGTCGTAGGCATATTTGGAGGTGAGGGAGAGAGCGAAGATCACCAACTTCTGCAGCGCCCAGACAGCGAAAATTAGTCCATGGTCTCGTAGTAGAGTTGATCGGGTTGATGAAGAGAGGGGAGGTCGTAGAGCTGGTTTTGACATTACGGAATGCGTGAACTCGGAGGTAACGAAGATATGGGACTCCCGCGTTCGCCAGAGGCTAGCCGCATCGGTGTTCAGCTGCTCGGGTTCGCGACGGCCGCCATTCGAAACTCAACACCAACATCTTGAGAAGTTCCTCGATCATATAACCCCGCCTCTGACCTATATCGCCTTCAACATTTCTCTTGGCATCCTAGGATTTTCCTCAGGTCACATCGTAGCCCGCGTCGCAAAGTTAAGTTCAGTTCAGAATGCCTCTAATCGCCGAGTCCTACGACTCCCTACCATGTCCGTCCTCTCCCTCACCTCCTCCTCCTCCAATTTCCTTACTAAACCCTCCTTACAGACGCCGACCCACCGCTCGACCTAACCCCAGCCCAATCCCTCATCGCAACCGAACTCGGCAAAATCCCAACAACCGCACACCCACTCCTCCCGCCCTCAGAGCCATGGTCCCCGTCCTCCCCCCTCATGCAACAAGAACTGGATCGAGTAGCGCGGAAAGAACCGTTGAACGCAATCGATCTGTCAAAATATTCCGCACCGACAATGCCAGGTCCAAATGCCAGCATAAACGAATGGAAATCCGCCCTCCACCAAGCCTACATCGCGGCAACAGCCCTCTCACTCCGCTCAACCGACCTCTCACTCCTAAAATCCTACGGTCAAAATGCGTGGCTCATCCACCTCGAACAACTCTCCTCTCTCCTCCTCGCGCATGAACGTCAACTCGAAACGCTGCGCGAGGAAGTCAAGGCTGTGAATGTGGAGAGGAAGAGGAGACAGGTTGAGGCGAAGGGGCTTATTGAGGAGCTGGAGGGGCGGTGGAGGAGGTTGGTTAGGGGGGTTGTTGAGGTTGAGGTTGCGGGCGTGGTTTTGGAGGGGGAGGTTGAGGAGCTAAGGAGGAAGAAACAGAGGTTTGGACAGTGAGCGGTGAGCGGTGAGGTCGCGAGGTGCAACGAGCAGGATGGAACGAGATCCAAGCACGAGAGCTACAAGAAGCAGCGATTAAGGAACAGACGTCTTCCTGATCCGCTAGTCATGAGGCATGGAAGCACGGCAATTTTCAGAGCAAGCGATACTTAGGACGGCAGGGAAACGAGATGAACACAACAGGTTCTAAGGGTTGAGAGCAAACAAGGTATAAGATTAAGTAGTTGAAAGGAGAAACGCCATACCAAAACAAGAAAGCAAACACCTGCTAAAGTCCAGAAAAAGCTTTCTCTCATAACGTACACCGTCGCACCATAAAACGTCCTAGGCAGCCTTCGCCATCTTCGTCCTCGTAAACCACCCCACAATCCCCTCAAAACTCAACCTCCTCCTCTTCCCACTCTCCCTCAGCCCCACCCCCCTACTCCTATTCCTTTCATCCACCATCTCCCTCACAGCCATCCTCGTCGCCCAAAACCCTTCCGCAAGCTCGATATCCCCCTCCGTAACCTTCAACGCTGAGTCTTCTTCCTGTCCCAATTTTCCGAGCCAGGTCCGCCATGCTTCAGAACGGGAGGGATGGTGAGCGATGAGTGCCCGGACGAGATGGTGTGCGACCCCAGCTTTGACTCCCGCCCGAAGTCCAAGAAGACACTCCCTCACCTCCTCGAAAAACCCCCTCTCCGCCTCGCCCTTCACCGGTTCATCCAGGAGCCTGAGCATGATCCCCCTCAACACCTCCACTCCCCTCAACGCCCGTTCTTCCTCCACGCTCAACGCGCCCCGACACGGTAACCCCCAAAACACCCCCTCATTCTCCGGTTCCCATAGTAAAAGATGTAACTTCATCGCACCCGCCACCGCCGCAGTCTTGATCCCCGCACCCTCGACCAACCGCATATGATCCAACGCCGTATTCGTATCATGCCACTCCGCCCCTGACGACCCCGGCTTCCGACGGATAAAGTTCGCATGTGCCCGGGCTTCGCGTGCGTGGAGTTTCGTTGCGGAGGACAGGTGTTTGAGGTATCGTCCCGGAAGGCTGGGAAGGTCTCGGGTGTGGTGGTCGACTAAGGAGTGGAGATGGAGGGAGGAGATGGAGGGGACGAGGGTTGAGGCATGGGAGTAGCGGGAGAGGTCGGATTGTTTGAGGAGGGTTTTGGTGGGGTCGGAGAGGGGTGGTGCTGGCCAGCTTCCGCTCCACTCGTTTGATTGCGAAGGTGGCGAATTGGATGGTGATAATCGCGGTGAATTCGAAGGCATGACGGTATGTGTAGTATTCAATGTGTGATCCCCCTTGATCAACAACTGGACCACCCACTCCAAGTTATACTTCATCACCGGCGACAATAACCCCGCTCTCCGCCCCGTCTCAAAACTCGCAATTGCGGCCCGAGTATAGTCAACCTTCTTCGCCCTTGAGCGGGAACGGGAACACCCTCTGGAGCTAGAATACTCCTTGATCCGCCCTCATGACGTCCTCTGTCCAATTAAATCGCTAAGAAGCACGGGTTGACAGTGCACCCTGCACGCAATTGCATCTCTTAAAGTGTGAATTGTGGTTCGTATTTAGGACCTCGTACTACGTCTCGCGGGACGGCTCGGTGTGCGCCACTGTTGTCGCATTCTTCGGAGGGCCTTGATGATCTGTGGCAACACCCCCTTCAGCTTCCCCCTCCCCGAGCCTTTGTTCGCCGGGAGTTGAGTACGTCACAGACCCCGTCCTCATCATGGACCTGACAATTATTGCGCTTTGACTCCTCCTCCTACGACCATGGGTCCCATTCGTACTCTACCATGCGCCGCCGCTAGCTCGACTCTTAAACCATCCCTCCCGTCTGACACAAAACGCCGAGTCACTTAAATACTCCTAGCTTTAGGGGAAACCCGTAATCCGGTAGCGAAATAACGTAGACCTGAATTTTACGAGTTCTTCGCGCTTGTGTCTGTAATTGCGTAGGAAGGCATCCTTCCGGGGTTGGAACCTCCATTCGCAGAAGGTGTCGACACGTCATTTGTTCCCAATGCCCGAGGCACACGGGGATCAGACGCAGAGATGAGTGTTGCCTGTAGGATAGGAGTGATAGATCTCTCCAGCCGTGGGCACTGGGCCCCCTCGCTTGAACTTCGCATCCCGCGGACACGGCCGGCGAAAGTTGAAACTCGAGCGCGGATGGTGGTCAGTGCCGCCTTGGAGATTCGCCCAAACTTGCTTGAGCCGCGGTGCAAACTTTCGTGGTCTGCGAAGTCCACCCAATCTAACGTGGACCCAAAAGACGTCAAATCACTGGTCGTTGAGGGGTTCGAACCCTCGCGCGATGACTCGCATCGGTTCTTAAGACCGACCCAATAACCACTATGGGAAACGACCGCGTTTAGACTTTTGGAATCGCAGTGACATACAGAAGGGCAACCGCAGGTTACACGCAAGAATGTTGCCTTGGCATGATCCATTCATTCATTGATTCCATAAGCCGAGGGTGAAGCGTGAAGGACGTTAGCCGAGCGCGCTCCATTCGCTGGAGATAAGCACCCGTCGTAGAAGGTAAAGAAGTTGCCAGATCGAAATGTGAGAGGAGAGGACGTCGGCAATTCGCACAAAGATAAAACACCCGCCGTCGCCAATTGATACCCAAGATCGGGGGACACCACCAACGATGTCAAAAGCACAGTCCGACGTCGCAATGGCCGACCTCGAGAAAAACCCATACACAACCTTCGACCCCGAGGTCCACTACGCAACCGCCTCCCTCGACACCGCCGACACAACCACTTCCCTCCCCGCCCCCCTCCAAAAACTCCACCGCCTCGCCCAAAAACTCGATATCGAAACCCGCGGTATCGAACCCGTCCCCGAAAACCTCCGTACCCCGGCTTCGCTATGGAGTGCCGGATCAATGTGGCTCGCCGCAAACCTCGTCATCTCGACATTTACCATCGGCACACTCGGGTCCGCCATTTTTGGATGTGCGTTCTGGGACTCGATCGCGACCATTATTTTTTTCAATATGTTGGGGATTATACCCGTTGCTTATTTCTCGACCTTTGGCGCAAAGATGGGAATGAGGCAGATGGTCATCACACGCTATTCCTTCGGCTACGTCGGCGCATGGGGAATCTCGCTGTTGAACGTAATCGCGTGTGTCGGATGGTCCGCAACGAACGTCATCGTCGGTGCACAACTCATCAAAGCCGTCAACAATTCCTTTCCGTTATGGGCCGGAATCGTAATCATTACACTCGCTACAGTCGCAATCACGACATTCGGCTACAAAGTCGTCCACATCTACGAAAAATGGTCCTGGATCCCAGCGTTTATCATCTTCCTCATCATGATCGCCGAAATCGCTCGGTCGGGTGCATTCCAAATCACGCCCATGCCTACGGGCGCGACGGAAGCCGCGTCCGTTCTCTCGTTCGGTGGAACGATTTATGGGTTCGCGACGGGATGGACGTCGTATGCGGCTGATTACACGACGTATCAACCACGCTCAATATCCTCCTGGAAAGTGTTTGCGTCAGTGTATATCTCCCTCCTCTTCCCCCTCTGCTTCGTCGAGTTTATCGGTGCAGCAGCGATAACCATGATCGACACCCCGAAATACGGGGACGCATACACCGCCAACTCAATCGGCGGTCTCGTCGGCGCGATCCTCTCCCCCCTCGGACGGTTTGGCTCATTCTGCCTCGTGGTGATGGCACTATCGATTATCGCCAACAACTGCCCAAACCAGTACTCCTTCGGTCTCAGTGTCCAAACCTGGGGCGGCTGGTTCCAGCGTATCCCACGCTTCATCTGGAATGTATTGGGGGCCGGGATTATCATCGCCATCGCAATCCCAGGATCAACACGCTTCACAACCGTCCTCGAAAACTTCCTAAACCTAATCGCATACTGGCTCGCGATCTACTTCGTCATCGTGCTCGAAGAACACCTCATTTTCCGCCGCGGGCAATTCTCGAACTACGACCTGAGCGCGTGGAACTCGCCTTCTAAACTTCCTGTTGGTGTGGCGGCGGTTGGGGCGTTTTGTGTTGGTGTTGCGGGGTTTGTCGTTGGGATGGATCAGGTGTGGTTCGTGGGCCCGGTTGGGAAAGGGATTGGGGCGTTTGGGGGGGATGTTGGGTTTGAGCTTGCGGCGGCGTTTGCGGGGGTTACGTATCCGGTGGCGAGGATGGTGGAGAAGAGGTATTTTGGGAGGTAGTTGTTTGAGGTCTGGAGGGAGAGGATTGTGTTTTTGAATATGCCAGGATGATACCATATGGATACAAGTTTCGAGAATCTGATGGTGTTGCTATTTGTGGTGAATTCGAAGGATGCGGTACGCTCCTGACCGTGTAAATCTCTACTTGCTGCTTGATGTTCGAGATACTCGTCCAAAGCATAAGCGTTATGCACTACAATCATGAATAGGTCTTCACACAGCTTAAGAATCAGATCATGGCTGGTAGATGCAAGCATCGTTTGTTGTTTCTGCTGGCACTTGACTATGAGAAATTGCCCATTTAGGCGAGCAACGCGTGAGAATTAGTAAGCAGCTGCCCGCAGGTTGTTCAGGGTACTTAGGTAGGTCTCCAAGGTTTTTCGGTGCAAGACGCTGGAGAACTTTGGATCGGGAGGTTTGTATTGGCCTGTTCAGCCAGGGGTACCAAAGATTTTACTTATGTGCAAACAGATACACTCAGGTTATGATGTAAGTAATGCAAATTGACTCTCCTATGTAGCAAAAAGCTCTCTTCCAACAACCCCGTGCAAATCCTCCTCCTTCCCCTTCGGTATCGTGCATAGCAATAGCAATTAAGTGCAAGTAAGCAACTGCGACTGCAAAACATGTCATAAACGCCCATAGATCCCAGCAATAAATCAGCGAACGCCGTCAAACAAATTCAAACATATTCCACCAGATTACTCCCTCTCCCCTCTCGAGTTTTCCTTCTTCATCCCTTTCAGGAGTCCTCCGACACCCTTCTCAATTTTTGCGAAGAACTCTCCTTTTCGCCCTTTGGGGCTACTGCCGTACTCGATCTGACTCTGCATGGAGTCGAAGTAGGAGTCTGACCTCTCGAGATCTGCACTCGAACAAGGGCTTCCCGGTCTCAAGCCCCTTGGGATAAGACTTGGGCTAGGCAAGCCCAACATCGAAGACCGAGTTGAACGCCCAGTCAGAACCAGCGACAAATCCGCTGGAATCGGCTCAAGCTCCCAAGGTAACACCTCCGACGTAGCTACACACGGTCCCGATCTCAGGGAGTTCTCCTGGGTCGCTCTGAGTTGGCGGGCCAACTTGTCTATCCTCTCACACTCCTTATGGAACTCGAGCATCGCGCCTTCCAGTTTGATGTTGTTAGTCTTATCATTGACCCAATGCAAGTAGATCTGGACCAGCGACGCGACCTCCTTGCCCCTATCGACCACGTAAGGAAGCGTCGGTACACCCTCGCGATCCCTCTTCGGTAGGCGTTCCAAGATGACATTGCGTGCATGCGATCCCGGAACCCTGACCCAGAACCGCTCGTCCTTCGGAGTGGAGACTGTGTCGATGAACTGCCACAGCTTTTCCAGATTATCTTGAGCGAAATCATTCATCGGCGTCATCCAAGGCTCCTTCACACCGAACGGCACTGCATTGGCAAACCCTTGGAGCGACTTCGCGATGAGCGTCAATGTACGCTGGGCGTTTGGCGAAGGATGTGTACGCATCAGACCGAAGACTCTCGGATTCAGAATCGCCGGAACGATGAAGCGAAGGAATAGAAATCCAGCAACGACAGGGTACCGCACCTTAGTCTGAGACGAAGGTCCATACCTCGAAGTCGCCGCATCCCTGATCCTCTTGAACAGTATGGGAAGAGGGTGAGGCACGAGCTCAGGATTATCGTAAATGGCCTTCCAAATCCGCTTGACATAGCCAATCAGATTCCGCCAATTCACCTTGAGCTCGTCGCCAGACTTAGACTTCAACCGTGCAGGATCAACTTCACAGAGAATATCCTTTTCACAAATCTCCTTAGTCGTCTTCCCCAGGATCTCCTGCAGATACGCCCCTCCTACGCGCTTCATCGTATAATCCATCACCTTCGTAAGCAATGTGTTCTCCCGAAAGAACCCATTTGCTTCTCTCCTGATCTCGCGTCCCGCAACGATCTCCTCAATCGGATTCGGCGCAACGTTACTCCCCATTTCCTCACTCCTCTTTCTCACCACATGAATTCCCGAATCATGATTTGAATGCTTCAAATCCAGTTCAGCAAGATGCGTCATCAAATCGGGGAAAGTGTCATCCACTATTGAGATCCGAATGAAGAGCAACGCAATCCGGTCCATGTCGATGATATCGTTCCGCAACGTCGCAACGACATTATTGCTATAGTCCTGCATCAACTTGGTGACCTTCACGTACTCCTCCTCCCTCAATATGGTGCTCTCATCAACCCTCATCCGAATCAACAACGCGCCTTGTTCTTTATTCCGGCCACCATTGACACCGGGAACATATCGTACCGGATACCACGTCTCAAACGCATCATACCTCGGCATGAGCGCCTTCTCATCCAACTCCGTATGCCCAACAACGGTCTTGACACCCTTTTTGTCAATTTCCTTGAGCAACAACACAACAGGCATCCGCCTCGAATAGAAATCCCGAAACTCAAAGTCCTCGAGCCAGCGTTCCTGCTCATCCTCACTAACTACAGCGGATCGTGCACATATCTCTCCTCCGACGACCACCTCAAAATACAACCCATTCGAGTTTGACGAGCGATACTCCGACAACCCCCGCGCGTCAGCGACACGCATATACAGAGACTGTTGTACCCGAAAGGTACCCTCCGGATTCCCGTAAAGTCCCTGCGCGAAACATCTAAGAAGAACATACCAACTCTCATAAACAACCGCATCCGGCGCAGCAATGTACAACATCTTATTCAATGCCCCTGGCACGTACTTGCTGTAAATCGCAACCGTGTACGGCGTCCCCAGAAGCGATGGGTGAACAAGCTGGATACATGACCTCTTAAACTGCGCGATCTGTAACCGCATAATCTGCAATCCATCACTTTCGCGAAGGATATGTAGGTTTCCGTTATCGTACAAGATACACGATACACGTTTCCAATGATCGTGGTTCTTCCGTGGGTCTTTTTGGTAAACGGGAGCAAGGTCGATAGACACGTCCCAAAGCAATAAAGATCCCGCCTTGACAATCGTCCCACTGACTTCACTCTCGGTCTCCGTACTTCTTAATGATTCCATACTCCGTCTATGCGCAACCCCCGGTGCACCCCGAATACTCAAATGCTGCAACTCCTGTTCCAACCCCCTCACATTCGCTCCACTCTCATACCCACAACTCGAAAGTGGTCGTTCAAGCGTACTCCTCTTCAAACTTAACAAGCTCCTCCTATCATCATCTCTCTCATTTGCGTTCGTCGAGGAGATGGAGCGGACCATTGCTGGAGGGTGGTATGGCCGAACTTGTTGACTCCACCATGTTAGGGCGTTGAGCCAGGAATTGAAAGCGCTGGCGACTGCGGGACGGACTTCGACGATGCCGTCGATGTCGATGGAGGCGTGTGCGGTGTTCCACTTTTCGCCTTCGCCGACTGCGCCGCGAGTGGTGATCTTCGTGCCACGGAGGTCTTGGATGAGGTATCCAGATCGGTGTCGTTCCGCTTCGTTGGTGCGCTGAATCAGACTTCCGTATTCGATGCTCAGATACGATGTTGACCACGTCGACGTTCCCGTCGGTCGCCATGCTAGCCAGCCTTCGAGGGAGGGTGTGGTGGGTGATCCCGACATGCGGTTCTGTGTAATTGTGTTTGGTGAGTTGATGGAAGGGATTGAAGACGATCGCGAACTGACTGAGTCTGATTTGCGGAGAGGTGGTGAAGGCAGGGCAAGTGCCTCTTTGCCGACTGCTGAACGTGGTGAGGATGAGGAACCAGATGCTGCTGAAGGTGAATTCGACATGCTTGTCGATGCAACCGAGGATGTCTCGAGGAGGGGTAGGAATGAGGGTCGGTTGCGCTTTTGGCCTGGCTCTTTCATTGTTGTTGTGAACGAGTCGAAATTGCAATTGGGAGTAGATTAGAGGAATGAATCCGTCCGTTTCGTGTACTTGGGCCGTACAACTCGCCGGAGATTTGTACAGCGATTGCTTTGGCCTGTTCGTTGTCGACGTGGGTTGCAAGACAGAGCAGTTGAACGGAATGAATGCTGATGAACCCAAGCCGCTATCGAATTGCAATGAGCTGTGCCGGTTTTTCCTTGGTCGTTCTCGTAATTGAACTCGGTATACCCACAGATGACCGGTCAATTGGGTGTGCTCAGGTGCCTCGCACGGACCTCTGTCTCTTGACTGTCGCTCGCTGCCGTATGCGCAAACACGTGTACGTCGCAATTTATACGGTATAAAGGTAACTCAAAGCGCAAGACCTCGGACGATTGCGATGGAAGCGGGTCAGGGTATCGTTGTGTTGTCTAAGTGCAGCGCATACATCCCCGGGGGACAGCAAACGTGTACATAGGGGACAGGGTCTTCCAGTGCTTTGCTTCCCTTGGAGGCGTGCCCCAGCTGGTGCATCTCTCCAACTTCAAGTTCAGCCGGGGCGGCCCGCGGCTGAGACGTACTGGCGGCCACGTGTGGGGAGGCTGCTAAGAGCCAGATATGCCGAGGCGGTGAACGCAAAGGTCGAGGGTATGGATAGGATACAATTGCTACAGAGTTCAAGGACGACGACGAGCAATGGAGCCTTCTCTTTCAGGTGTAGCCATGATGCAACGCTGATCGGTATCGGGGGTCAGGTGCGTTTGGTCTGTCTGCTACGCTCCGAAGCTCCCTGCGCATAAACTGGCGTTTCTCGCTTAACCCCCAAAGTCCTCCCATCAGGCAAGTAGCCCGTACTTCATGTCTCTATCCGCGGCCGGTATCTGCTGTTGTCTTCATTCGCAAACTCCGTCTTCGAACTTCATTTCTCTCTGCGACCACGTACCATGCCCGTGGCACACTGCCAACGACCAATCCACGTTGCGACCGTTCGAGGCGCTAACATTATGAGCATCACCGCTGGGCAATTAGGAGTTGACTAGCCATCTCTCCTCCTCCGTCGATCCTTCAACGAACCCTTGACAGTCATCTCTCCCGTTCCCGTCCCATTCATGGCCACCGGATCACCTCCACGGTCCCCCGGCGGAAGCCCAGCTGGCATCGAGCTCTAGGTCCTTCAGAGCTGCAAGCACCAACATCTAACGCACATAACGTTAACGTTATCTCTCCGACACCTGCACCAGCAGCTGAGCTCAAAAAAACCAAACACCAGCGCTAACCCTAACACGAACCGTGGCGCAAAAAAGGCCCGTAGCCTTTAATCCACTCGAACTCTCGAAACCGTCAAGTCCGAACCTAAAAATAGGAGGTGACTAACCTCTCTGAGCATGTTGAGGCAAAGTGGTCCTTGAACCGTAGCTGCTGGCGGTGCTAAGGTGCTGTTAAATGGGATAGGGAGGGTCTCCGCGGATGGAGAAGGCCGGAGAAGGGGCCGCGAGCCATGAACCCAAGACTAAGGAATAAGCCTTTTTGACAGTTCGACGTGTGACGGCGAACGGTCGTGGCGTTCCTATTGGGTATCGCCGGCTCCGCGGTCATCCGTGTCCTCCCTCCTCTCCCTTCTTCCTTTACCAAATCACACCGGTGGAGTCGAGGTGTGACGACGTCGAGGAGGTTAGAACAAGAACATCCGGAAGCACCATGAAATGAACACCAGCATCACCTTCCTGCAGGAAATTAGGTCGATCACACACTTCGTATTATATTTTCATATATGCAAACCTGCACACATCCAGGGCCGAGCTTCCTTTTTTGCGCAATTTCCGGTTTGTGCTGCGCACGGATCATACGACGGCACAGCGAGTGCATGTGCGCTAAGTGCCATCCTCCTTGGCCATGAGTGCAGCAGTGCAGGAGGTTGGGATCCCGCTTACGTAGTCAAGGGCGGGTAAACTCCTGGATTAACCCTCACACACGGGCTCGTTCATAACTCCTCGTTCATTCACTTCGTAAAGGCGTAGAGGTTGCAATGATCAGTCTCTCCCGGGACGTTTTCGGGCAACCGACGCGCGCGCGCAGTCGCGGAAGGGTTGCCCAAGTCTAGGCGCTTGCAGACTTCCACAAAGGAATGTTCGGAGTTTGATCGACGCTGTCAGGCGCTGCTTAGCTCGTAGCCAGTTTGTGAAGGGTTTTTTAGGGAAGCATCTGTTGGCTGCATCTCTGTTAGCTGTGGAGTAGAGCGTGTACGGTAGGTTCGGATTGACGTCAACCGTAGGATCTGGGCTGGCTCTCGGACAAGGAGGTGAAGAGAGATGCTGAGTAGCGATAGAGTAAGGTGTGTACATAGTAGATTTGAGATCTCGTATTCTGGCAATTGGGCGTGTACCGGGGTTTGCCTCGGGCTGCGGTGCAGCAGTGCGGCGCGAGAGTCAAAGCATAGTGGGCGTCATGAAGAACCCGTCTCACTCATCTCCATTCGCACTGCAGACCTCCAGTCAGCCCGCTCTCATTCCCGTCCTGGCGGGACGTTGTTCGTATGTACTTGCCATGTTGGTGCCCGAAGAGCATCTGGCGTACGCGTTTCTCATGCCAGGTGAGACGGGCGCCATTAGAGCCCGAGTCTTGAATCTAGTTTCGGGCGAAGGTTAGGGTGTGAGATGGGTGTTCGATCCGTCATGCGAGCCGATGGTTCTTTGATTTTGCGATGGCAGGATGGGGGCTGTTCTTTGTGTTTCGCAACGGTATCCCTGTAACAAGCATGCCATGTTGCCAGTATGCACGGGTGCTGGGCTCGAAGCCACGAAGACATTCTCAAAACCCTTGTCCGGATCCCGCAGCACAGTAAGGGAAGAGCTTGAGTATGGGGTTGAGATGGAAGGTTGAGCCGTTGTACGTTTTGATTTGTAATCAGTGTGAATTTGCCGAGGTTTTGGTGGTGGGTCGTAATTAGACAACAAAACATGCGTGGGAATCTTGGACGTGCACCGCACCCCCGGTGCTCGTAAGTGTGTTGCGCCAAGTCGGTAGGGTTGTACCGGTCATAGGGTTATGCGCAGTGCTCATCGACGTTCATCAAGACCCGACATCCCGTACGGTACAGCTGAAACCCTTTTGTGTGTCAAAGGCATTGCAGGCAAAATGTACATGGACCAATTAATAGACCGCAATATTGATAAATTCTGAGCTCACGCTCTAGCCATCCTCCATCCCCATCTCGTTCTCTTCGGCTATTTTGTATCGTACACCTCTCATCTCTCTCGAGTCATCTTTCTCTGTGATAATAATGCTATCCCATCCCATCCAACCCATTCAATCGGCTAATAATACCCTTCAAGAAAGCGAAAAAGTCACAAAACGCCAATACCCATACCAATCGAACGCCAGCGTTCAAAACCCCACTCCTCACCCCTCCATCTCCTTCTCAATCATCATCCTAACCTCCTCCAAACTCATCCTCTCTCCGGGCCCACGGGCACACATCACTCCAACAACTTCCCTAACAACATCCCCCATCTCCAATACCTCAACACCAACGCCACGCCACCACTCCCCTCTCGCGGCCCACCCGACACTCTCCCATTTACTCCGGCCTTCATACGGTTCACGACCCGTCGCGAGTGCAAGAAGTGTGAGTCCAAGACTAAAGGTATCAGAGGAGGTCGATGGAGCAGCAGATGAGATAAGGAGCTCAGGAGCGGCATAAGCAGGCGTCAATACCCCCTCAACCAATCCCTCACCCTCGACGCCAGGCATACGTGCAGATGCGAAATCACCCAACTTCGGCTCCGGGTAATCTGAACCTGAATCTGAATCGGAGTTGGAGGAAGAAGAAGACAAGAGTACGTTATGCGGCTTAATATCGCCATGTACGCATTTCCTCGCCTGCAATCCTTCCACAGCGCAAACGAGCTTATGTGCGACCCATAACCACAAGCTCTTCCCAAGTGGACCACGCGTGCGAACATACGACCACGCATCCCCCATATCCGCCCACTCCAATTCCAATCCAGCATCAGTAAGCGCATAAGCACTGATAATCCCCTCCATAGTTTCAGACGCGTGCAGCGCAGAAAGAACCGTGTATTCATGATGTAGAAGATCCAGGTCATGTGGCGAATGTGCAGACTTGAGCGCATAACGTGATCCGTCTGGATAACTCTTCAGATACACAGTGGAATGATAACCACTTCCCAAGACCCCCCTCCTGCTCTCCCTCTCCCTCTCCGCAGCTGCTGTTTCGTCGGTAGAAGAATAGGAAGAGTGATACGAGGAAGCGTAGGATGAGCCGTACTCATGCACCCTCACCGGCACCGGACTCTCCGGATCCTTGGCACTGAGGGAAGGCGTACTTGGTGGGCTGTACGCTGACATCGATAATGCCGGTGTTGCAGGTCGGAAGCCCTCGCGGTAGGAGGTGGAAGAGGGGGTGCGTGCGAGGTGTAGTGACGTTGACGTAGGTGTCGTGGTCGGAATTGGGTGGGAAGAAGCAGGATGAGCCCGCTCGAAGGCGAATTGGAAGGTTGATTTGGGGGTCGTTGGGGGTGGGAGTGGGTCGCGGTCAGTTGGTAAAGTGTATGATGACCAAGGCATTCTTGCCTGCCTCTGTGTTGTGTAGTATTGTGAATGTTTTGTCTTCTGATGAGTGTATTCGCTTTCTGAATCCTCGAATGGTAAAAGCGGAGGTATTTGGCGAGTTGGATGGATGAGTAATCGAGAATGGGGATAAGAGGGGTTGATGTACCCGAGTCGTATGCGTATATTAGCGATAGAGTGTGGCGAACTCGAAACGCCGAGCTCAATATCGCAATCAACCCGTTCGTCTTGTCGTTTAGCCGTAACCGTACTCAATAGAGACAGCGAGCACCTTTCGTCTTAAGGGCTTGGGGTTGTATGCTGTCGAAAGCTTGGAGCAATACGTCAGCCGGTCGATCAGTGCGGGAATACCTGCGTGTAAAGCGCGCAGGTGCAGTAGCCGGAAGTCTATCCTTGGACTTTCTCCAGAGTAACGTCCGTCTCGTCGTGATACTCGTCCTTCAAGTGCAAGCAAATGAGTCGTTTGCTTCGAGCTCTTCCATCTCCGGAACCAACGGGCAAACAAGGACAAGGACCCTCCCTCGGCAGGCTTTGTCCGTAGGCAGCGCTTTCGGGTGTTTGCGCGCGCTCCGGCGTTTCGCGGCGTCGGTAGCCAAGACATGAAAGGAACCCTTGCGACCCTTAACTTTGTGAAGTAATTTGTAGAGAGCTGACCTATCAATTCCTCGGACTGCAGTGTATGCTGATGTAGGTTCACGAATTGGGGTGTCCTTTCGTCTTCGAAGAGCGTGGGTTCCGCGCAATGCGCCGCTCTAGGTGATGGGACGGGGCGTCATGGGAGTAGGTAGGGTAAAGCATGCATACATGTTCGATAATGCCGATAAACCTATACTCCCCTTCTCCTTCCGTACATCGATAGCACGCTGCTGCAGTAATCAATGATACACATCATTAACGTTGTAGGGTCCCCGTCGCGCTCCATACCTGACCAATGCCTCCGCATGCTCCCGTGAAGGCCATTGCCTACAGCTGTGCTTAACGCAGGTCGAATCATACCATACGCTGCGAGCACAACGCCGTTCCGGCATATCACAACCCAAAACTGTGAACCCGCGATTTCGGGCCTTGACCTCCTCGTCAAGTGTCAGGACTCAGGCTCTTGATCCTCGATCCTCGATCTTCCTTCCACACAAAACACCTTCACCTCCCTCACGCAACCCCCCTCAACGCCATCAACCCCAAAACAACACTCTCAACCTCCTGCGCATCCTCCCACCTCTCCCCCTGCCCCAATTTATAGTTCTTCCTCACCGCTTTCATATCAACACCCTTCCTCAAGACCTCATCACTAACCTCGACCTCCTCGCCCTGGACGAGTGACGCAAGGTGTTCGGCGGGAGATCGAGTAGAGGAAGGGAGAATTTTGACGCAGAGAAGGGAGGTTGTGGCTGGAGTTATGCCGAAACGGCGGAGAGCGTCGCCGATCTGAACACAAATTGGTCAGTACTGAGGATGAAAGAGGGTAGGCGAAGGGAGAGGGGAGGCATACGTTGTTGTTGGCAGATAATGAGAACACGGTTTCGCTGTGCACATTCCTTGTTTTCAGCTTTCCGTCTTCAGCGTCATGGATCGCACGGAACGCCGCTGCTAGGATCTGCTTTACGCCGACGACCTGTGATCTCATTAGCTACTCATCCAAACAGGATGCCCGAATCCCCACTGTAGGGGATGAGAGGAGACATACCGTCGTCGCATCAATAAACGCATACTCATAATCCTCATCCCCAGCCAACAGTTTATCGCGGATCTCGGCCGCATTGGTGACGGAGGTGTAAAGTGCAGCGTAAACCTTGTGGGTGGTGTAAACGGGGAGGACGAACTCTTGCATATTGCTGATCACTGAGCCGGTAGGGAGGAAGGGGCTGTGAGAAACCTGAATCGATCAAGGTCTGGGATTTGACGAGCCAGCTGCGCCACAGGATGTACGAGCACCCCGCGGCGCAAGACGACTCGAGCTCATCCACGGGTATGAATTAATCCATATGAATTAAAGCTAAATCCTGAGATGCACGTCTTGGTATACTATCGTATCTTACCCCTCAATGCAATTGCAATCCTCCTCTCATGCTCCTCTATGCAAACATCTTCGAATACGCCGCCTTCTGCTTCTTGATTGCCTCCGCCCTCTTCCTCTTCAATCCCGCCAATTCCTTCTCAATTGCGGCCCGTCCCGCATCTCCCGCAGCCATGACTTCCAATGCACCCTTCAAATCCTCTTCGGCCTCATCGTCACTTCCCAACTTAACCTTCGCAACACCACGTCTGTACAGAGCCTTTGCCTTGTCGCTGTCCGAGAGTCCGGTGATTGAGAGTGCGTTTGTTGCGGATTTAGCGGCGAGAGAGGGCTGGGAGAGCTTGTTGTAGATGAGGGCGGAGTTGGAGTGGATAGAGATGCGAAGGGCGTTGAAGGAGGCCGTGAGTTTCGGGTCTTCGTCCTCGGCTGCGATGGGGTGCTCGTTCAGGTATCGCAGTGCCTTCTGGTATTTCTCGATCGCGACCGCCAAGTTTCCAGCCTTGAACTGTCCGTTTCCAATCTCCTTAATCGCCGTCGCAACCTTCAAAATCTCTTCAGGCGTGAGGGACTCAGGGTATCCCTCGTGATCTTCGGGGTAGTCCTCGTACATATCACCCGTCGGGTCAGGTCCCGTTTCAATCTTGGCATCCTCCGGAAGCTCACCACAGTCCGCGATCACACATGCCTCAACAGGCTTATCACCCGTCTCAGTCTCCGTGTTCTCAACCCGTCGCACAACACTCTTCCCACTAATAACCTCTCCAAAAACAACATGTTTCCCATCCAAATGCGGCGTCGCCGTCGTCGTCACGAAAAACTGACTCCCATTCGTTCCCGGCCCAGCATTCGCCATGGACAACAAGAAAGGCCGATCATGAACCTTCTCAAAATTCTCGTCCTCGAATTTCTCGCCGTAGATTGACTCACCACCTGTTCCGTTACCAGCGGTGAAGTCTCCACCCTGAATCATGAAGTTCTTGATGACGCGGTGGAAGGTGGAGCCTTTGAAGTGCAATGGCTTTCCAACCTTGCTCGTGCCTTTCTCGCCGGTACAGAGGGCGCGGAAGTTCTCAGCGGTCTTGGGGACGACATCGGAATAGAGTTCGAAGACCACACGGCCGGCTTTCTGGTTGCCGATGGTGATGTCGAAGAAGACGCGAGGACGGACTTCAGAGATAGACATAGCTGCTGGTTGCTCTTGATTGTTTGCAATGGCAATTGGAGAGATTGTTGTAGTGGTTTCGTTGAGACCTATTTAAAGTTCAGCTTCTTCTCAATTCCCGAATGTTCTACGAGAGCGACCACACCCAAGTAGGAACCCGCAGCCCCACAAGCTGTCAGACTTGGAGATGCTCGCCGATTAAGTTCGCACGGCAAAAGTTCAGAAAAGTTAAATATTAGGTAAATTACAGGCAGTAAGTTGTAAGTTGTAAAGTAAATGTCCCAAAGTAAATCCAAATTCGTCTTTCTCAATCCTCCTGGCATGCATAGCGATCACCATGATCCCATGATCCATCCATCCAAAGCATGAGCATATACACTGAATCTTCTCGCAAAAATATTTCTCAAGTCACCTCAATCGTACGGACCATCATTCAAGACGTCTGCTAGTTGGAACGTCCAGAGTGGTTGCTGGTCCAATCACTCTTCAACGCCGTACAAACACCGTACGTAAGCTGGTTGACTTTACTGGCAATCGAACAGAGCTGGGTGCTCGCACTCAAGCTTCCATCCGCACCCCAAGCCTTGCCCTGACAACCGTCACGAACATTATCCAACTCCGCGTCAAAGTTAAGGTCACCCAATCCCTTAGCCTGGCAACTGGCAGTCAAAGTCGCGGACCAAGTACCGCCGTTGCTCATCTTGTCAGTCAACTTGCCAATGATCTCCTCACGAACCTGGTAGACGAGCCAAGGGTAGTAGGTCATCACATTGGTAGAGTCCGAGCAGAAGTCTGGAGTAGAGTCGGGGATCTGACACTCGTCGGTGTTCCAGTTCCACCAGTCGTTAGACCAAGCACCTCCGTAGTTCCACTTGTTACCGGTGAAGACAGCGGAGAGACCGGCGGCGTCGGCCCACCAAGAACCGGCGTTACAAGATGAGACGTCCTCAGCAGTGGAATCGGTACAGGTAAGGCCTGCCCCAAGGTTCGAGAAGTAAGTCGAGAGATCGGCGTCAACACCGAAGGAAGTTCTCTTGACCTTCTTGGCAGAAGTGACAACGTTGCCAGTCTTGTCCTTGCACGTCGCACGGGGGCTCTTAACCGCGTTGTGCGCACACGTAACATAGTCACCCGCGAAACTGGCCTTCAACTCCCCAACCAAGGCCTCGCAATGATCTTCGGTCAGCTCCGGTCGCTTCTGAAGCTCCTTCTTTAAATCATCGAAGCAACTGTCAAGGTCACCAGACAAGGCATCAGTGAGTTGCCCGACGACGTCATCGAGGTTCGCGCACTCGGAAGGAGTAGCGGGGGTCTCGGACCCAGGAATACAAGTGTTGACGTTGTCCATCTCGTCTTTCCAGCCCGAAATCCAGTTGTTCCAGGAGGTCCACTTGCCGTAGCAGGAGCCTCCGGTATTGCCCAAGTTCTTGAAGCTGGCGACGCAAGAGGTGGAAACAGGAAGATCAGTAGTCGTCGTACCGGAAGGAGTACCGGTAGTAGAAGGAGTAGATCCGGACGGCGTAGCGGTGATGCTACCAACCACACCAGTCAAGTCGGTACAAGTACTCGTGGGAGAAGCACCGGTCGAGACAGGAATAGTGATAGTGACAGAGGTGTTCGCAAACGGAACGGAAGGAATGACCGGGATGACACCAGGAGGCGTCAAGGCCGTCGTGGTGGGCGTGGCGGGGGTGGTGTTTCCACCGGTGGGAGTGGTGTCAGTGCAGGTAGTAGACGTACCAGTAGAGCCAGAGGGAGTGGTCGAGTCACCACCAGTGGGGGTAGTAATCGTCTCACCTCCAGCAGGCGAAGTAGTAGTGGTAGTAGTAACCGTCCCCCCACCAACAGGCGTCGTAACCGTAATGACATCCGTCAAAGTACTAACCCCCCCACTCGGCAAACTAACCGTACTCACCACCGTCTCCGTCAAAACCTCCGCCGGGAGGGTCTGCGTAACCGTCTCAGTGACGACCGTCTCCGCCCCACCGAGGGTGGTGGTATAGACGGATGTGACGACATCGGTGACAGCCGGGGGGGTGGGAGTGATGGTGGAGGTGATGGTCTCGGTAACGGGGACGGGGGTACCGAAGATGGTGGTGGTGTACTCAGTCGTCACCACAGTCTCGACCGGCGGGACGACGGTCTGGGTGATCGTCTCGGTAGTAACGACCGGGGTACCCTCGCTGGTGATCGTGTAGACAGACGTAACGACCTCCTTGACGAGGGTAGCAATGCTCGTAGGGTACTCAATCGTTTCAGTCACAGTCTCCGTAACGACAGTCTCCGCCCCACCAGCAACAGTAGTCGTATACGCAGTAGTGTACTCAGTCTCGACAGGAAGGGTCTCGGTGATGGTCTTCGTGACAACACTCGTCTCAGACCCCTCACCCTCAGTAACCGTCATCGTCTCAGTATGCACAACAGTAGGAACGGAATACGTGCTCGTCACAGTCTGCGTCGACACCTCCCCATCCCCACCGGGGAGTGTGACAGTCTCGTAGATCGTGTCAGTGATGACTTGGTACCCACCCGGCGTAACCGTAGGAACATGAATCGTCTTTGTGCGCGTTTCCGAACCGCCGATGACGATAATGGCGGTCTTGTGCGCCTCCTCCACCGTGATCGTCTTCGTTTCGGTGATGACCCAGGGTCCGCCGTCTGTGATTGTCACGGTTTGGGGGGAACGGACGAATGTGGTACTCGTCACCGGCGTTATCGACGTAACATCCGAAGCGTGGGCAGGAGGGGTGAGTGTCAAAGTGTATGTTCCACGCGAAGGGCACACGGTAGTAAGTGCGTCGACAGTATGAACAAGCGTAGAAGTAACAGTCTTCGTCTCAGTCTCCACCTCACCCGTACCCACCGTCTCGGTAACCACAGCCGTAGGAGCGGTGGGAGCAGGAACGAAGGTCGACCAAGTAGCGTCAACACCCATATACACAGTCTCCGTAGCCATGAACTCGGTCACGGTCATATACCTAACCCCACCTACCACCGTCGTCGCCGTAACATCTTTGATGTCCGGGTGGAGTGGGGCGAGCATGCAGACGAGGCCATAGGTTTCGCCGGTGGATTCGGTGGCGTTGAGGAGGGCTGACTCCAATGAGGTGAGGGTGTCGGGGGAGGTAGAGGTGGTGGGGAGTGCCGAGGCGACCCAGGGGGCTGCGAGGAGGATTGATGCGAGGAGGGATGTGCGCATCCTCGTGTCGTTGATTTGGGAAAGAAAGTTAACGAGAGGGTTGTTGGGTGTACTGTAACGACGGTCGATACAGCGAGCGGATGAACAATACGAAAAGGTAAGGTTGAACGAAAGGTCGGAAGCCTCGTAGCTCGAAGACTCGGTCGATTGGTATTTTGGTTGGATACTCCTCCCAACTGACCGGGCGAACCATCCCTTTTTATATCCACCACCTCCAGGAAAGGGGAAGCGAGCGAGAACGAAGAGAAAGACGGTGACGTCTATCGCAAACCATCGTGGTGCTCATCCCCCACTCAACCTGAGAACCACCTACGCAATCCCACCGTCCGCACTCTCCCTCTGACCTCCTTAAAGTACGTGCACGGATCCCAGACGCACAGACACCGTTACTCCATATGGCGGTCGTTAATCTTTTCCATCCCTTAAAGTCTGTGATAGATTGGTGGTGTAGTGGTTGTACGGGGGTGTATGCGGGTGTCTCGGCCTCGCGCACAGCCCTGCAAGCTACGGAGTTTCTGGCAGAGACAAGTGGCCCCTTAATAGAAGACAGCCGGAGAACGAGAACTGAACGTAATCAACTTGGATTTGTTTGCAAGGTCATGTCAGCTCATCCAATTGATGATGCCGGTCGATCTGGAGCTGCCTTTTGTACCGCTATGGCTATTCTCCGCCAGCTCTCCTTATGGGAGGACGTCGACGCTCCCGTTCCCAATGTGACCCCGGCACCACCCAGCTGTCTCAACCATACCTTCCGTAGCCCCTTGTCGCACATACTATTAACACCGTGCACTCGCTCCATCCTCCATCCCTTAATCCCTAAGTTTACACGAAGCCATTCGCCGCCCGCCGCCTGCCACCCCATCACGCAGCTGCACTGGATCCACACTTTAAGATACGCCACGAGTGCTCGGTTCGCGGATGATGCGAGCGCACAGCGAGCTCCAAATTGCAAGGCTAGGTTTGACGACGGATGAGAGGAAAAGTTAAGGGAGGGCTGATGACGGAAGGATGTCAGCCTGGGAGCTTGGGCTCGAGGATACGGGGAAGAGGAAGCTTAAGGGGCATTGTGGAGGAGTGGGCGGGCTTGAAGGGGGCTTTTGGTGGTGGTGGGTCTGAAGTGTACAGTAGATGGTCCTGGACAGCGATGGGCTTCCTGTCAGTCCCGGTACGTCCGGTGAGCCGGTGCGTGGTGTCATACGAGCCTGTAGGGACCTTCATTTACGGGAGGTCTCGTGCGCTCCCCCCATGGTCAATCGTACGCGTGCGACTGGCGAGATAGACTGCGTGTGAGTCGTCTACAGGGAACATCCTGAACCTGTCGCTATAGAATCTTCCAGCACGACGAGGTTGATGGCATCACTCTTGTTAGGGTTGTTGGCATCAAGTGACGTCATACCAGCATGACGTTTGGCGCGTGCCGAAGAAGCCCCTATAAGAGACTCGGACTCTTTCCTTCTCACTTGACCTCCAACAAAACCCATACACAAAAAAGACAAAGTACACACAATGGCTCAAACGTATGCTCCCCCTCCCTCCCTGTCCTCAATTGATCACTCACTAACAAGAGCGTTGTCTAGTCAAGCTGCCAAGTCCAGGTCTCGCCTCGGCCTCTACCTCGGCCTCGCCGTTCCCGCTGCCATCGGTTACTACCTCTACCAAAACAACGGCGACGCAAAAGCCGCCGCCCTCTCCGCCCGCGCAGACGCCCGTAACGCCCGCGAAGGAACCCTCGACGGCACAGCCTACGTCGGCGCAAAAGTCGACGACGCATACGACCGTACCGTCGCCGAAGCCCGCTCAAAGGCCGCTGAGTTACAGAAGGGGTTGCAACCCAAGTTGGGGGAGGTGGAGGGGAAGGTTAATGGGTGGTTAGATCGGGTTGATCATAAGGTTGAGGAGGAGGTGGAGAGGGCGAAGAGGGAGGCGGCCAAGTTGTTGGGACAGGCGGAGGTTGAGGCGAAGGAGGCGGAGGCGAAGTTGAAGGGGGAGGCGGCGAAGGCGAAGTCTAGTGGGTGGTTTGGTGGATGGTTTGGAGGTGCTGGTGGTGCTGCGAAGAACTGAGTTAGGCGAAGCATTGAGGTGGAAACTGTGTGTATGAGTATTGATTACCAGCGATAGCGATGAATGGGGTTGAACCCCGGCGCTCTTTTGATAAGGCGTTTTCTTTTTTGTTACAATGTTACTATCTAATCCGAGACATTTCATCGAATGTATGCGTTCCATATTGTATATTCTTCGACGAACTCTACCAAAAACGCCAAAACACCTCCCTCCTCATCCAACGCAGCACCCCGCACCTAACCGTTTACGCTTTTCAAGCCTTCGCACCTCCCGGGGTCAAAGGGCCCCCCTTCACCAACATCTCCGAAAACTTTCTCAACATCTCCACCCCCCTAATCTCCTCCGTCCTCAACGGCATCCGTACCAAATGGAAATCCTCGCCATATAGCTCTTCATATTGCTCCAAGTACTTTTGTTGGATCTTTATGCGGGAACCGCATTGAGGACAGGTGTCGGTGGGGGGGAGGAGTTGGTTTATGACGATGTTGTGGGTGTCGATGTGGTAGGAGGTTAGTTCTTGGATCATGCGTTCGGTTTCTATCTGTCGTTAGTTAACTTTTCAAAGACACAGGAAGACTGGCATGGCGTCCTTGCGGAAAAGCTCGTACGTACCATACAACGACAAGAACTCCGAAATACAAACACACACAAACGTCGTCAACTCCGGATCCTTAAACTGATTATTCACCTCCGTAATCGTTTCCCTCATCTGCTCCACCTTCGAGAACATATCTTCCTGTCCCCCCTCCAACCCCATCATCCCACTCATCTGTCCAATCATGGGTCCGAACCTACCTCCAAGCTGTGAGATCTTGGCGAGAGCTTTCTCCAGGACGGTAGGGAAGGAGAGGAAGCGGAGGGTGTGTCCGGTGGGAGCGGTGTCGAAGACGATGACGGAGTATTCCATTGATTTGACTTGTTTCATGACTTCTGCAAAACCCATCGCTTCGTCGACACCAGGAATCGAAAACGCCAAATCACCCAACAACCCCGAAAATGGGCTCCCGGGGTTCTGCGCATCACTCGTCTCGATCATCTCCTGAATCGAACTACTCGGATCAATTTCCATCGCACTCAAATTCTCGAATCCCTCGACCTTCCTCGCCTCCTTTCCGAATTTTTGACCGAATGCGTCGGAGAGGTTGTGTGCGGGGTCGGTAGAGATGAGGAGGACGCTTTCGCGGACTTTGGCGAGTTGGATTGCGAGGGAGCAGGAGGTTGTGGTTTTCCCGACACCGCCTTTGCCGCCGCAGAAGATCCATTTGAGGGATTTCTGGTCGAGGATGTTTTGGAGGGTTGGTTCGAGGGTGTCGTCGAGGTCCATGGTGGTGATTGTTATTCGAGGAGGTGGTGAACGCTGTGCTCGAGAGATGCGACGTGTACGGTACGTGATGCGGTACGTCCGGGGTGCAGAGAGGTGACTCCAGGGAGGTACCTGGAGAAGTGTTGAGGTTATTGGGTTAAGATCAAGCAGAATCTTCGTAGTTCTTGTTTACCCTTTAAACCTCCGTTGAAATAAGGTTCGAGTCCTGCAGTCGTCTCGCAGTAGGCAGTCGCTCGGTCCGAATCATTGCCCATCCAGCACGAGTTCACTGAGTTGACCAGAAACTCCATCACCCTCCTTTCAGTCATTTGCTATCTAGTCCATCCTTCTTGCTCTTCTGCCTCCTTCAATTCGCTCTGTGCTTGCTCATAAGACGCTTGGAACACGTCGCCGTGTTCACTGAGCAGCATACATCCCGATACTAAGCGGTCTGTCCGACAGGCATGGCTTCACAGCTTCAAGTGGGCCAACAGGTGCCATTTTTGTCAGACCCAGCCCTGCCTGCGCTGACCTAGGAAGTACAGGCACCTTCAGCACATCCTCGCTCGCATTTGCACATGTCGTCCTTGCCTTCACACGACCCATCACCGTCCGTATCCCCAGGTCCGGACTCAGCCCTGCCTCAAGCACCTCCTCCGGCGACCTTGTGGGATTACATCTCGGTATACCAGCATCCGTCTTTCGTTTCTTCACGCTCACCCTCTGTCTCGACTTACTGTTCCGGGTATGAACCGGCTCACAACCAAGGGGACGGATATATGCCTCCGCAACAGTGGCCTGGAGGTTTGCCGATTGGTCATGAACCACGATGTGACATGCAACTTGACCCTAGGTATACGATGCGTTCGGCGATCGGGGATGACTATCTAAATGGTCCGGGCAGTACAGAAACGAGTGGGTGGAGGAGTGAGGAGACAGGAAGCCACTGCGGTGGTACGCAAACTCCTGGCAGTACAACCCAGCAGGAGTCTGGGCTGGGTATTTCTGACTATGTGCGTACTAACCCCTACTGGATGAACGCCGATAAGTTGGAATGGGGGCGTGCTCCCAGGGCTGCTGTACCCGTGAACAACGCGGAGAACCCTCAGGGATCACTGTCTATTGCACAAGACCGAGACCAAGTCGGCAATCTTCTGGATCCTGCTGCTGATCAGAGGAATGGTGTTCACAATACCACCCCGACATGGATGCCAGAGTCGGCCGCACGAATGCATGCGTCAATGTATGGACGTCCGCCTTCATGGTCCGTTGCTCCCCCACCCAGGCCAGGTCCTCCGCCGGGCTTTCAGGATACAGCGTTTGCAAGTGCTGCACCTGAACGAGAAATCGCGCCTCCTCCTGGCTTTGACATCATTCAATGGATCGGCGAGGCGCACGAGCCTGGATTCAACGCAGTCGTGCATAACGTTGCGGAGGGTGAACCAACAAAGACACCGCCCGTCGAGTTCGTGCCCGCGGACCGACCACTGAAGGTTCAGTATCCGCTCTCGGCGATGATGGGTGGTGTTGAAAGAGAGCTCGATGCGGAAGAGTCGAAGTTCGTGATGGTTTGTTATCGGCTTACGGAGCTTTTGGGCATGTTCAAGGAAGAGATGGAGAATCCTGTGCTCAAAGTCAAATTCGGGAAGGAGATGGAGCGTGTTATGCATGAAGTCAATGCAATCGAAAGGGAATCCCGTATGACGAAGTTGAGAAGGACGAACGTGGTCGGAGATAATCGCGGTATATGGGAGGATAAGTGCTATGGCAAGGTTGGTGTGTACAAACATGATGTTCTCCCTGTTAAGTTGAAGAAGAAGGAGGGAGTCGTGGTAGCGGAGAAGGAGCTGTGTGATGAGGAAGAATCGACAGACTGTGATTCGCCAGATTATGACTCCATCCAAACAATTTTTCAACTCCCGCCCAGCATCGTCGAGAACAACCCCTCTGTCAAGCTTGAATCTTCCGTGAGATTAGATCGAGACGGAAAGGGTGAGTCAAGGTGGTTCCAACATGAGCAACGCTCCACAGACTAGCTGAAACTTCTTTCAAACTCTGTGTATGATATTGACAACCCTAAGACCAGCACTGCGATGCACCGTGGGAAACGCATCGTCTCGCAGCTGGAAGATGATCTCGACCTAATACCTGGTAGGGATTATTGTAATGTAGCTTCTGAGGTGTTGCTTTGAAGTATAATGCGATGTCTAATTGGGTTTTCACATAGATCGACTTTCTGGCCAGGTACTGTATATGTCAAACATGGCCATGGCCGTACAAGAGATCTCGAAATGCTTATTATAGAACCACGAATCGGAACGGTTGGAAAAGCAGGCGAATTCTTCCCGACCATCTTCAGGCAGCGTGCTTAATGATCATGACATGTAATATCTGGTGGGTTTTGAGTGCTGGAAAGGCACGTATTATCAATTCATGGGGCACAATTGGATAAATTCGACATTTATATCACCATCGACGAAGGACCTCAGGTTTGTGGAACCCGAATGCACATGCGATCAACGGGTATATTCATCCACTCACACTTATCTTTGCACACCCCCAGCACCACTCTAAAACGCCGTCGAATCAATGTTACTCGCCAACATCGTCGAAATATTATTCGCCATGACCTCCTCCACAGACTCCTGCAAATGTCGCTTCGGATCCTGCTTTCCAACATGACGAACCTGCAACTCCTCCTTACTCAACTCCTGCTCATCCTTAACCCTCTTCGTGTACTCCTGCGCCAACTTGACCATGCCCTTGACCGCCTCCTCGTTATCGTGGTCTCTGTGTTCGAAATCTTTGAGGACCAAGCCGGATGTCCAGACTTCCTTGTGAAGGTTTTGGAGCATACGTTCTTCGAGGGCTGTCTTGCGGTATCCACACGCGATGGAGTAGTAATGTCTGTTGACACCGTGGATGAGGGATTGGATTGAGGGTTTGTTGAGGTGTCCGATATTAGACGTGGTTTGGCGTGGTTCTTGGCCCATCATGAGCATGGTTGGGTTGATGAGGCGGAAGGCGTCGATTACGACTTTACCGGGGACGGATTGGATGGGGTCGATGACGACGGCGATGGCGCGGGGGTTTAGTTGTTCGAAGGATTGTTGGGTGTTGATGTCGGTTGAGGAGAGCCAGCAGCCAAAACCGGGGTGGGAATGGTACCAGCCGACTACCATCTCTGGTCTATGCATCCATTATCAGCATGTCTTTTGACGCGAAAACGATAACCTGCATACCTTCCAGTCTGCTTCAACATCTCCATCATGTTTGTCTGAAACACAGGGTCGACAGCTTCAACGGAGACACCAGTACCACTTTGTGGCATAGCGAAGACGTCGACGACGTGTACCGTATAATCATCCACGAACTCGCCGAGCATGAGTCCCATGACTTCCATGGGAACTCCTGCGCGGGCGTGCTTGAGCATTTTTAGGAGGGCGAGGGAGGAGATATAGCATGTTTCGGCATTATCGATGGCCGGTCCGTCCTATCCACAAGTATCAGCTTCCATACAATCCAATTGACCTCCATCCAACGCTGCGGTGGAGGCAAACATCGCCCACACAACCAGTGCAATTAGGCGAAAATAAGGAGATATACGTACCGTTGGAGGCCCACCCATACCGCCAGCTCCACCCATTGCTCCGAGAAGACTTCTAAGATCCATTGTGGTGTTTGTAGATGTGTATTGTCTTCGGTATGCTCTTCGTACGACGTGCGTCCTCGAGGGTGTACATGACGTTGGGCCGAGACGCGTAAGCACGGGAAAGGTGCAGAGACTTCAGGGCAAACATTGGGACGTTCTTGAAAACAAGATAGAAAACGAATTGTGTTCTTCTCACGGAAGGGGATGAGTGTTGACAACGGCGCTCTGTCGTATATCGCAGCGTCCTGCGACCAGCGGCTCCGGCCTACGACATCCTCACCATACGACCAATTGACCATCAAGATGTCTTCGCTTCCATCTCCTCTTCTGCCCGCAATTCATGAGTCTTGCTCTACTCTCCTCGCGGCGTCTGATAGTCCAGTCAAGATCGCTGACAATGCCAAGATCCGCTCCCTCCTTGAGGAGCTCGGAAAGGAAGGATGGCTAAAGCTCCAAAAGAAACACAGCTCACTACCGGTAGCACCTTTTCACAAAGCTCTATCCTTGAAAGGGTCTAATGATCGGTCTTACAGCTCCCTCTAACCTTCCCAAACACCGCCTCCCATATTAACTTCCTCGCAATCTACTACCTCGTCGCCTTCCACCCACCCCTCTCCCACTTCCCAAACCACCGCGACACAATTCTCCGTACACTGCTCTCCCTCCACCTCTCAGACAGCCCCGTCTCCCTCCGCGTCCTAACGAATGCCGAACAACTGAGCCAGTTGAGCGGCGTCGAAGTCCGGAAATTCATGAAACATGACACTCTTATCGGCGTGGAGGTCAGCGAACGCGCAGATGGCGCAGATTGGGTCGAGGGTGTGGTGGGTGTGTGTCAGGCTACGCTGGGTGCGGGGGTGGAGAGAATTAGTGATGTCGTTGTCGAGGCGGCACCACGGGGGGTTGATGCCACACTCAGCGCACTCGTTACCCAAATCCCACCTTTTGCATCCTCCGAAGATGAAGTACTCGTGCCGGACGCTGCGTTACGACTCCTCCACGAGCTACGGACGCGGTTCAAATCACTCTTTGGCCCCGAGGAAGGGGAGATGGGTGAGACGTGGGCGGTGTTGGGCAGGGAGTGGTTGGTTGAGAGCGGAGTTGTGGAGTTTGTGCCGATGCATGGGGAGGTGGTCAAATTGAACGGGGTAGAATGGAGGGCGGGGGTTTTGGAGGGAAGCTGGAGGGTGAGGGATGTTGCACAGTCCATGGGATGGTAGGGCGTGCTGCACTGTGGGGAAAGGCATGAGGCATGACATTGAGTGAGGATGGGGAAAATGAGTTAAGGCTGGATTGAAAGCTACTTAAACCTCCCCAGAGCCATCTGCGTCCGAGAGGTTCCAAAGCGTCAACTGCGAGAGCCAACGTGAACGTTTGAAAGCGTGAACGTCATGGAAGGGAACGCCAACCATGACAAGGCAAAGACGAAGCGTCTAGCATAAAAGCAGCATCTGAATCCAAATTACAACTGCTTCACTTCCAAGAAATAACGACATGCTCACGTATGACCTGCACAACGCTGCGGCCCCCCTGACTGCACCCAAGTCCAATGCACTACGTAAACGGTGTAATACGATAAGCAGTAAACAACAATCTGCTACACCAAACAGCACCGCAACCAGTCCATACCTCGGTACAGTCAGGCCATCACTGGACCCATTGACAGCTACCAGGTTATCCTCGAACGACGTCTCCTCTCTCCAGTGACACCCGGCCCGTCACTTCGAAGGCCTAAGTGAATAGTAAACAGCAGCAACATGTGGGGCTACCTCTTCGGCGGCTCTTCCCAGAAGAAGAAGGATGCTCCGAAAGAGGCTATCTTGAAGTTGAGGGAGCAGTTGTTGATGTTGGAGAAGAAGGAGAGTCATTTGCAGAAGCAGATTGATGAGCAGACGGCTATCGCGAAGAAGAATGCTACGACCAACAAGAAAGGTATCATCTATCCACGGTTGTCCTTGTAACGGGGGAGATTCTGATAGTGTGATTCAGCCGCCCTACGAGCCCTAAGGACGAGAAAGACCCTGGAGAATGCCCTGGACCAACTAGCCTCCAGCAGACAAACAATCGAAACCCAAGTGTACAGCATCGAAAACGCAAACGTCAACTTCGAAACAATGAAAGCTATGAAGGCCGGCGCAGAAGCCATGAAAACGATTCACAAAGGCATGTCAATAGATAAAGTCGACGCAACCATGGACGAAATCCGCGAACAGATCATGCTCGGCGACGAAGTTGCTGAGGCTATTTCGAGGCCGGTAGGGATTGGGAATGATGTTGATGAGACGGAGTTGGAGGAGGAGTTGGAGATGATGGAGCAGGAGGAGTTGGATTCGAAGATGCTTGGGGTTGGGGGGGTGCCGGTGCATATTCCGGCGAGTGCGGTGAAAGAGAGTCAGGAAGGTAGGGTGACGAATCAAAGAATTTTCGTGGGATCATGCTAATATCGCCTTTACAGCGAGGAGAGTTGCTGCACCACCAGTTCATGCTACGGCGGAAGACGACGACGAAGAGGCAGAGCTGCGAGCTTTGCAGGCCGAGATGGCCATGTAGGCCCATCCTTGGGAGCCGGCGTGAGGTGAGATGTGGGATACATGAGGGAGCATCGGGAATGGGATATTATTGTGTGGTACTGTCAAGCGAACCGTACTTCTTTTGATCAGCGTACAGTATCGTGTACGCTTGGGACCTCGAGTCGGGACTCCCAGTTTGTGCTTGAGCTTGTTTGTGTTATGCGATCTGGTTTTTCGTTTGTTTTTGCTTTGCTTTTGGGAGTTTTATATAATTTATGTCATTTATATACATACGTTCACGGTGTCATGCCGAGTTGGGAAGGGTGGGTTGTAGACGACGTTACAGGGCGGAGTGTTTACTTTCTCTCGGGTATTGCCGAGTTGACGAATATCCAGTATCAGCGCTGTCATTACCTAGCGAAGATGAAGTGCGTGTTACAACGAGTTTTGAGTGCGAGCGTTACTGTCGAGGGACAAAAGATCTCGTCGATCAATCAAGGGTACCCGCCCTCCCCTTCCCCCCTCGCCGTTCTGTAACTGACACCACTTCCAAGGCTTCTACTCCTAATCGGCATAATGACCGGCGACACCCTCGACGACGCCCACAAACTCGCCTCAAAAATCCTCCGCCTAAAACTCTGGAACAGCAGCCCGGAAGACAAACCCTGGCAACGCTCCATCGTGGACATCCAAGGTCAGATCCTGTGTGTTTCGCAGTTTACGTTAGGTGCGACAACAAAGAAAGGCGCGAAACCGGATTTTCATAAGAGTATGAAGGGTCCGGAGGCGAGGCCGTTGTATGAGGCTGTGTTGGAGGAGTTGAGGAAGGGGTTGGGAGAAGTCAAGAGGGAGGAGAATGGGGAAGGAGGAGTGAGGAGGGGATTTGAGTTGAAGGTGCAGGATGGGGCGTTTGGAGAGATGATGGAGGTTGGGTTGGTTAATGATGGGCCGGTTACGATTTTGTTGGATACGAAGGAGGAGATCTGAGCAGGGACATGGAGGGTGGGCATGGAAGATATATTCGACGAAGGGCAGGGAGAGAGCCGCGAATAAGAGCATAGAGAAAGACAGAGAAGATACCCATATTCTGGAGAACAAATACAACAGAAGTATAAGAAGTCCTCGGATCACGTACTTGAACATCGATCTTCGTGCTGGAATATCGGGAAGCTCGGGACTGCCCGGGATCCCCACTTGGAGCCCACCAATCATCCATGTCACAATCGGATGAACGTGAATGAAGTGCAGTATCTTTTTTCCCTTGTTCTATTAACTATTCACGAAACTCCTCCATGTATCTCCGTCGAATCTCGATATCGCCACAGGCCCGGTCGATATCTAAATTTTCGCTCCCCGTCTCCTTGCCCCTCCAGATGACCTCACCCAGCTTTCCCAGTCAGCGCGCATCTCCACCAACGTCACCAAGCAGAACCCGCATCAGCAGAACCGAATCCGCTGAGAGTGGTAACGAAGACATTCTCCCTGAAGAAGGTAGGTCGCGGTTGCTCAGCAGGCTACACGGTCCTCTCTGCTTCTCTCCAGGCGGGGGACGGGCGTTGGTCGCTGTTCTGGGAGGGAGTGGCTGGCTGACCGTTGGCAATTTTTGTGTGCAGAAAGTTCATCATCGCCCGCGACAGCAGCGACACGAGGATCCGACGTCATTGTTTACGACGAGACGAAAGTCATTTCGAAAGAGAAGACGAGGAAGGATATTGTAGTGACCGAGGAGGAATCGAAATAAGCTTCTGCGCACTGGCTTCTTTTACGCGTTTTGTAAGGTCTTTTGGCTGTCTTCCGTGGGGTATATGCTGACTTTCATTTGACAGACACGAACGCCGAATTCATCTTGACATTTCCGAAATTATATTCTTGCTGAACCACAATGTCGACAGCAGTTGCTCCACAGTCGCAAGATCCGCTCAACCGTCCAGCGAGCGCGGCGGGTCAGATCGAGGGCAGTGATGCGTCCGCAGAAAATGCAGCCGCTCCCGGTTCTACTGCCGGATCACCAGAATCCCGTCGAAAGACAATCTCTCCTAAATCCAGCAATGCTGCCCTCCCAGACGGCAAACCTGCCGAGAACGGTGCCCCCGCTGAGGGCGGCCCTCCAGTGAGGCCAGTCCCACCCCACTTCCAGAACCACCAAGGCACAAAATCAAAACTTGCAGAAGAACCAAATCCATTCGAGCAGTCTTTCGCGCCCGATAAGGCTGCGCCGCCCACGACTTCGACGTCGACGATGTTGCCACCCGTCACGTCGATCGCGTCGCCTGGTCCCTCAGCCTGGGGTGCGTTTGGTAGTTTGCGGAATGGACCGCTTAGTCCGGCGATGTTGCCTGGTCCACAGTCAGTGTTTGATCCGACATTGAGGACGGGGTTGACTCCGAATGAGTCTGGGATCAGGACTGGGTTGACGCCGGGTGGGGTTGGATATGGACTCGGTGCGCCAAGTCCGAATACCGCTGCCCTTCTTGGCTTGGGAACACCCGGTGGAGGTGTTTCTGGCTTTGCGGCGGATTTCGCGAGGGTTCCGCCTTCTAGTTTCCCCATCCAGCCTCCGCCGCAGATGAATGGGCCATCTGCGGGTGCTGCTCCTGTTGCACAGCAGAGAGGTAGGGAAGACCCCTTTGCGAACGAAGCCGCACATGCTGCCAACGGTCTTTTCTTGTTGTCTCAGGCACAGTCGCAGCAGGGTATGCACGGACATGGTCACGGCCACGGCGGTCATGGACATCACCCCATGCCTGTCATCCATCCTGGATTGGGTGGTGCCGTGGATCAAGAGTTGCAGAAGAGGGCAGTCGTCAACGCACAGGCACTCGCCATGCACGGTGGTGGTGTCGGTGTCGGAGGTAACACTTCCCTCGCTCAAGTTGAGAACGGTCACGGACACCTCCACGGCCAGCCTCAGGTTATGGATGACAAGAAGAAAGCTGGCTCAGGCGGTGCTAGCAGGAGGAGAAAGAGCAGCGAGGATGAGATGATGAACAGTCCGATGAAAAGGAGTAAGGGTGATAGTGATCTTGATGAAGAGGGGAGCGGTGACGAGTATAAGAGTGGGAGTGGGGGACGGAGAAATTCGTCGAAGGCGGAGACGGATGAGGAGAAGCGAAGGAACTTTTTGGAGAGGAACAGACAAGGTATGTTCACGTCGTCCTTGATGATTGTGGTTTGTGAAATGTATGCTGACAAAATTTGTAGCTGCACTCAAGTGTCGTCAACGAAAAAAGCAGTGGCTCGCGAATCTCCAAGCAAAAGTCGAGTTCTACGGATCCGAAAATGACGCACTCACCGCACAAGTCACTGCCCTCCGCGAAGAAATCGTCAACCTCAAGACCCTACTCCTCGCGCACAAGGACTGTCCCGTCGCCCGTGCAAACGGTATGGCGGGTGTCGAGGTTATTGATCGGGCGACGGCGGGCGTTGGTATGGGTATGCAGGGAATGCCCCCAATGGGACCAGGTCAGGGCATGCCTGTTGGTCCGCCGCCCGGAGTTGGGATGGGAGGACCGATGTCTGGAATACAGATGGGGATGCCCCCGCAGGGGATGGGACAGATGGGTGCTGGACGTGGATATTAGTCCACGTTTAGCACTCTGAAAGGGATGGGATGGGAGTGAGGCGAGCTACCATCCAAAGAACAAAAGTTATGTATTGGGTAGCGAGCTGTCGCGTCTCTATGTGTTGCGCTCGTATCGGCATGGACATGGGATCGAATTCAATCGACGGTGTCTTTCGCTGAGATTATGGATGGTATTATTGACGGTCTGGAAGACCACACAGGAAGGGGAAGGAAGGGAAGATGGAAGGAAGGATAAAGAACTATTTTGGTTAATGCGGTGGACTACGAAGCGGTTTTCGTTTTTATTACTGGCGTCTGTTTTTCTGTTCTTCTTCTTGAAATTGACTTGTCTATTTTTCGTCCTTGCCCTATGGTCAATCGCTTGTTGGCTGGTAGCGCAGGGTTGAACGTCATCGCGCTGGCAGCGGGACTTGACAGCTTTAGAGGAGAGGGGGAAATTCACCAGCAACGACGAGCAGGACAAACACAATTGCCAAGTGAACTGTGAGTCGTGTAGCATACAGTCGGTCAGGATTCAAGAACTGACGAGCGATTCAGAATACCAATCATGGCATCACCATCGGGTACATCACCGGGGAGGCCAGACCCTTTGACACACGCAGCAATCTACTACGGCGAGTCCCACCGTACGAAGCAAAACCGTTCTCGAACCCTCTCATCCGCTGGCGCCAATACGAGTCTTCAGCGGATTCGGATGGGGCTGATGAACAAGGAAGCTCCACGTCGTAGACTGAGTCACGACGAGCCCCAATCACAGCCGAGAAAGTTCCTGATTGAGGTTGAGCCGACGTTGAAAGCTTTACTTGAGAGTGAGGATTCGGATGGGAATATGCAGATTACCATTGAGGATGCGGGACCGAAGGTGTTCACATTGGGGACCGCGAACAGCGGTGGGCATAACAGGTACGACTCTTTCACAAAGATTTCTTGGAAATAGAGATGCTAATTAAGCGCGTACAGATTCGATATCCGAGGAACCTATATGCTTTCGAATTTGTTGCAAGAATTGACCCTCGCAAAGGATTTCGGAAGAAAGCACATTCTCCTCGACGAAGCACGCTTAAACGAAAACCCTGTCGCCCGTCTCAATCGTCTTATCCGTACCACCTTCTGGGACGGCCTAACCCGCCGCATCGATGCCTCATCCCTCGAAAAGATCTGCGCAGACACGAAAAACCGCTCGACAGACCCGAGGCCGCGTATCTACATCCCAACCAAGGAACCAGAGATGTACGAGTATTATTGTAAGGCGGCGGCGGAGATGTCGCATCTGAATTTGCAGGTGGAGTATTTGCCGGAGACGATTGATGCTGTTTGGGTCAAGGACGCGAATCAGAAACCGGGGTTGTTGGCGTTAGCGATGGAGAAGGTTGTCGATCCCGTCACGGACGTGGTTCAGCTCCGGGGTATGCCATTCGTTGTCCCCGGTGGACGATTCAATGAGATGTACGGCTGGGACTCGTATTTCGAATCTCTTGGTCTCCTCGTCGATGGACGCGTTGATTTGGCGAAGGGGATGGTTGAGAACTTCATTTTTGAGATCACGCATTATGGAAAGATCTTGAATGCCAACAGGTCTTACTATCTTACGCGTTCTCAACCCCCGTTTTTGACGGATATGGCGTTGAGAGTGTATGATAAGATCAAGCATGAAGGTCCTACCGCAGACGACTTCCTGAAGCGTGCGCTCTGGGCTGCGATTAAGGAGTACAAGACTGTTTGGGTGTCTGCGCCGAGGTTGGATCCCATCACGGGGTTGTCACGGTACAGACCTGATGGAATTGGGATTCCGCCCGAGACGGAGGCGAGTCATTTCGAGCATATCTTGGAGCCGTTCTGTACGAAGAACAACATGACCTTCGAGGAGTTCCAGGTTGCGTACAATGACGGTATTGTCCATGAACCTGAGCTCGACGAGTACTTCATGCATGATCGTGCTGTCCGCGAGTCGGGACATGATACGACGTACCGTTTTGAACACGTTTGTGCGAACTTGGCGACGATCGACCTCAACACCTTGCTCTACAAGTACGAAACCGACATCGCGAAGACCATCCGCGAGAAATGGCATGATAAATTCCCGATGCCAGATGGTACGTTCGAGTCCTCGTTCACCTGGGATCGTAGAGCGATGAAGAGGAAGGCGTTGATCGATAAGTATTTGTGGAACGAGGCGGATGGGTTGTACTATGACTACGACACCGTTAAGCGGGAACAAGCGAAGTATGAGAGTTGTACGGCGTTTTGGGCATTGTGGGCGGGATGTGCGTCTCCCCGACAAGCTGCGGCGCTCGTCGACAAGAGTTTGTCGAAGTTTGAGGTGCTTGGTGGGCTCGTGGCTGGTACCGAGCGATCCTGCGGAAAAGTTGACTTGGATGCTCCTAGTCGACAGTGGGATTATCCCTCTGGTTGGGCACCGCAGCAGATGCTCGCCTGGGAAGGTCTCTGGCGGTACGGGTATGAGGACGAAGCTCGCCGTTTGGTCTATAGGTGGTTGTTTATGATGATCAAGAGTTTTATGGATTACAATGGTGTGGTGGTAGAGAAGTACAACGTCACCCGCGCCTCAGACCCACACCGCGTCGACGCGGAGTACGGAAACCAGGGTCTTGATTTCAAGGGTGTTGCCCGTGAAGGTTTCGGGTGGGTTAATGCTTCGTATCAAGTCGGTCTCTCGCAGTATACGACATCGAGGATGAGGAGGGCGTTGGGGGCGATTGTGCATCCTGATGTTTTCTTTTCAGACAAGAGTGATGAGTACCTCTTGGAGAACGAGCCGGACCCGTTCTTTGAGGGTGGTGCGGGGCAGGGATCTGGAGGGGTGGAGCATATTGTGCCAAGTCCTGCTTTTGCGGCGGCTGAGGCGAGGAGGGCGGCTGAGGAGAGGGGCAGTGAGGAAGGTGGGGTGCCGACGAGTGAGAGGGCTGGGATGGGAATGCAGAGTGAGATGGAGAAGTTGTCTGTGCAAGAAGAGTAATGGGACAGTGCAATGAGGAAGAAGTGTGTATGTTAAGATGAGGAAGGCATGGATGATGAGAGGCAAGCTTAAGGAGTGTGTGACTACGATCGTTTTGGTTTCGTTGTTTGTATGTACGTTGGTTAGTATCGCGATCGCTTGTCCATTAAGAAAAGAAAGAAAGCATTTAGAATAGTCGTCCATCAACTTGGGTCCTCCGACGTCATCAGGTTTTTCTCGGCTTCGACGGTCCGGGCGCGCCTAAACACCACCAGCTGGTAGCACGGCCAACATAAACCATCGCAAAGACCAATCTTATACCGATCTATTAGCAAATCCGATGACATTTTGGAAAAGGAAGAAGGCTGTTGGTGAGGGTGGGAGTAACACGGGAAGCCTCTTAGGTGAGCCTGAGTTCAAGCCTGTACCGCATGGTGACGGAGAGTTGATCAGCGACTCACAGACGAACCACTATCACCCTCCCCCAACCTCCCACCACCAGTCTCACATAAATCACCTTCAGCATCAACATCATCCCGTCCATCCTCCTCACACCCTGGCTCGGGATCACCAACATCAGTTTCGGCATCCTCGCCGCGTCCGAGTATTTCGTCACAGATTTTCGAAAGGAATGTGATTGAGGATGTTCCGAGCTTAAATGTTGCGGCTGCGTTACCGCACCAGCAAATCGAGGATCACGTCCCAGCCGTCCTCGACGCGAGCGCAGAAATGCTCATGGGTGGCACGGGCGGTGGGTCAGATCCAAGTGGAGGAAGAGGCAGTGGTGAGGGAAGGGGTCTTGACGTGGAGGAAGTCGAAATCGTCGCGATGGCACCCCCATCTGCCATGGAAAACCCCTGGTCATCCGAATCCCTCTCGGGCCCGGGTTCTGGATCTGCGTCTCCCTCGTTCCGGGCACTGAGCCCGGTGAGCAACGACTCCCGTCTCCGCGCTGGGAGTATTGGCGGAATGGCGGATTCAGGGGTCGTCGAGAGCGAGATGTTCGACCCTGACCCACATAACAAACGCTTATCTTTCGTTTCATATGCGGATATTATTGATGCGGAAGGCGAAGCAGTGGGGTCGCTGCCGCTATCGTCGAACCCGTCTCTCAGTGCGCACGTTAGTCCGGTGTTGAGTGCGGTTAGTGAGAGTGATGAGCTGGGAACAGAGAAAGGCGGTATGGGGGGAGGAGGAGGGATTGTGACGTTTAGTATGGGGGATGCGTTGAGGGCTGTTGGCACGGGCAATCCGGTGCCGGTTCATATGGAGGAGAATCCGTGGGCGGCGTAAAGTTACTGGGCGGGGACTAGGTGGTATGGGTTTTGGAAATGGTGTTTATATTGTATACTATCTATGAACAATTGTAACAGTTCTAGGCATTCCGTTCCCATGGGGTTACGTATACGGCAAGCACGACCGACCCCACAAAGCGCGGGCCGCGGTAACCCAACCCCGCACCGAACTCCTCGAGATCCTCTGTAAACCACAAAACCCTCCCTCGACATCTCCCTCTACAGACCTCTGATCCGCTACCAAAGAACAAAATGTCCGGCGACAACTCTTCCTCCTTCGACCTCCAAAACCTCTTCGGTGTCAAGGGCAAACACGTCCTCGTCACCGGCGGCGGGAAAGGTATCGGACTCATGATCTCGGCGGGCTTCGTTGAGAACGGGGCGACCGTCTACATCTCCTCTCGCTCGAAGAAGGATTGTGACGAGGCCGCGGAACATTTGAACCGACTTGGGAAGGGAAAGGCGGTCTCGATTCCGTGTGATTTGACAAAGTTGGAGGAGCAGAAGAAGTTGGTTGAAGAGATTAAGAAGCACACCGACAGTATGTGATCTCCTCCCCATTACGAATCTCGTTGGTTTAACGATTTGATCACATAGAACTCCACGTCCTCGTCAACAACTCCGGCAACAACTGGGGCGCTCCCTACGACAAGTACCCAGACGAAGCCTGGTCCCGCGTCCTAACCCTAAACCTCCACCGCGTCTTCACCCTAACCCAGCTCGTTACCCCCCTCCTCCAACAAGCCTCCGCCGCACCCTCATCCCTTTCCAACCCCGACCCAGCCCGCGTGATCAACATCGGGTCCGTCGATGGTATCCGCACGCCTTGGCTCGAGACGTTTGCGTATTCGGCGAGTAAGGCTGGTGTGCATCATATGACGGAGGTATTGTCCCATCACTTGGGGAAGAGGGGGATTACGGTCAACTGTATTGCTCCTGGTCCGTTCCAGAGTAAGATGATGGCTGCGACTCTTGATAAGTTCTCGGATAAGATCACGGGTGGGATTCCCTTGGGGAGGATCGGGACGCCGGAGGATGTTGCGGGTACATGTATCTGGTTGGCGAGCCGAGCTGGGGCGTACGTTAACGGTGCCATCGTGTTGTTGGATGGTGGCAGTGTGAAGGCTGCCAAGTTGTAAATTGTCAGAGATAGGGGGGCATATGTGTATGATTAGTTTTACCAAGTGCAATAGGAAGTGCGAAAAAGAATGATAAGGATAAACCTGCAAAAGCGCATTGAAGTGAATTGTAAAACGCATATAAGGGCCCTAGCGAATCGAAAGGCAGCTGCGTAACCGAACCAAGAAAGGCAACAAAAGAACGTTGAACGTGCGAAACCCATATATACACCACTTACCACATATCCACATACCGTCGCTCAAGCTCATACCAGCACAGAAGGCCTATTGAGGAGAAACAGCCTTATCCTCATCCTCCAAATGCTGGTACAAAAACTTGAACTCAGGCTTCTTCCTCTGCACCCAAGCCCCCTCGAAATCAAAATACCTATACGTCCCACTCTCATACTCATCCGTAATAACCTTCGGCTCCTCATGCCTCTGGAACCACGTCAGGTACTTCTTATGGAAGCGCCATGATTGACGTTTGAGTTCGCGTGCGGCGAGGTATTGTTGGTAGGCGCCTTGTTGGTAGTAGAAAACGTAGAAGAGGGTGTCGATGTCGATTTTTTCGAAGAGCATGGGTTCTTCGAAAATTGGGGAGGGTACTTGAGGGTAGTAGGAGGGTGTTGGGTAGGGGTTCTCAGGGGTGTAGTGTTTTGGTCTTTGGGCGTCGAGGGCGTCGGGGACGTACGTCAATGAAGTCTCGAGGAGCTGGTAGACGGAGGTGATTGGTGGTGGTGCCACTGAGCGTGCCCGTGCTGCCTGGAAAGACGCGATAAGATCCTGGAGACCGGGTGGTAGGTTCGCAGCGACCTCCGCAGCGTTGAATTCCGGTGGCGATACCGGAGACACGTTCTCTTCCATCGATGGTTCGGTTCCGTTGGCAGTACTTGGTGCGAGCTCAGACTCTTCAGGCATAACCTCCTGCACTGGTGCAGGCTCTTCCACTGGTGCTGATGCTGGTGCCGATGGCGGTGCAGATGGCAGACCATGTGAACTTGCAGGCTTGGAATGCGGCAACTCTGGTGTACTTGCTACTGGGGTACCTGGTACAGGTGTACTGGGTGCAGGAGTATTGGTTCCGGTACGCCTCAATCCAGGCGGTGGTGGCAGCGGCTGGATACCAGGTCCTCTTGCTGCCTCCGCTGCTGCTGCCGCTGCCGCTGCACTTGCGTACTTCAACGTCGGCGTATTCACCACAGGTTGCGTCGGTTGTGGGCCGATAGGTGCTGGTTGCGCCTGTTTTGCGGGAACAACACTGATCGTCGCTGCTGGTAATAGTGCCGGCGCAGGTGCGGGTGCTGTTACTGGTGCAGGCGTTGGTGGTGTTGGTGCTTTCGCTGCCACTGGTACACTCGACTTCCGCACTGGTGTTGGTGGCTGAGCATCTGCCGGTTTTGATTTTGCCGGTGTTGGTGGTTCAGGCCTGTCCTCCTTCACCGGACTCCTCACAGGCTCGTCATCCAACAAATCAACGTCGGACTCATCCTCTCTGTCAAGGGCGTTGTACATCTCCTCGTCGAGTGTAAGCTCATCATAGATGTGCTCGTCCTCAGCGAAGTCAACGTCCTGATTTGACTCGACGTAGTAGTCAATGTCATCTTTCAGGTCCAGCACCTCATCCACAGCCAGATTGCCGTTCTCCAGTCCTCTTAATATCAGCTCAATCTTCCCTTGATGCCACTTATGCCGCTCTATTAAGTGATCCACCTCTCCTAGCCTCTCGTTCTTACTCGAGTCGCGCTTGCTCTTCTTCGCGCCTACTTGTAAGGTTTCCGATTCGGCTTCCAGCTGCTCTATTTGCCGTTCGAGCTCATCCACAAGATTCGACAGCCATGTGCATGTTTCCATCTTTTGCTGCTCTTTAGGATCGAGCTTGGCCGCTGCACTGAGACCCTCCTTGCTGAAAGCCTTGGTTTTCAGGTCCTTCTCAACAGCCTTGAACTTCTCCATTTGCTATGACCCAAGTTAGTCTGACGTTCAATTGTGTGACATACGGAACGTCATACTGTCTCAATCAATCTACGCTGCTCCAGTAACGGCTTCTTGTCCTTGATTTCGTTACTTGCTGCCCAGGTTTTCACCTGATCACGCAGTCGTTGCAGCTTCTTGATTTCCTTCTTCAAATCCGACTCAAGTTTATCCTTTTGCGCCGGATTTTGTGAAGTCATCAATTTCTCGTAGATGCCCTCGAAGACCGCGACACCTGTGCGTAATGGTCAGCATACATCCCAGCGAAAGTAACCTCCAACACGCCAAACGACTCAAAACGCACAAGGAAACGTTCCGAAGGCCAGTTTTATGACATTGAAGACGAATTGCCCCGTCATCGTCTCGAGACCAAGCCGGAATGGCATGTCGCATGATGTAGTCGGCTTACCTTCCGCGATTCTCTTGAAGACCTTGTCGATCTCCGCTTGCAGTTTCCGTGCCGACATGGTGAAACGATGTACTCCCTCCTAAGCAATGCAATCAGCAACGGCGTCCCTGTATGCCAATGGGAATGCTTACCTTTCTTTGGTGGTGTAACTGGAGGCGATGTTCACCGGGCGTTCTACTGCAGCAACGCCAGGCCCGCGGCCGTGATGCCAGCCCCTGATTGGTAGGAGTGTACGAGAACGGTAATTTACAGGCCACCGAGAAAACAGCAAAATAATTATTACGATTGGAAGGACAGGCGATGCTTCGGCCATGATCGCATCACGATAGAACGGCAGTATATACCATGATTGTTACCAGATCACTGCGGATAGGGGGTCCTGGGGCCTCCGCCGCCTTCGCTTTCCCTCGGTCTATCAATAGCTTCCTCGGGCAGAACAACCCAGCAGCACGTTATTTTTCTCGGACACCTTCCGCATACGCCGAGGCAAAGTACCATGAACTCCTTAAGAACATTCCTCTGGAGAACTATCGTAACTTCGCGATTGTTGCACATATCGACCACGGAAAGTCAACTTTATCAGATCGACTGTTGGAATACACCGGGACTATCCGAAAAGATGCCGATAACAAACAGGTTCTCGACAAGCTGAAGGTGGAACAAGAACGAGGTATCACGGTCAAGGCGCAGACATGTACAATGTTCTACCAACACAAGGGTCAGGATTATCTGATCAACCTTATCGACACACCTGGACACGTTGATTTCAGAGCAGAAGTATCAAGAAGTTTGGCAGCATGTAATGGAGCATTACTCCTCGTCGACGCCGCTCAGGGTATCCAAGCACAAACCGTCGCAAACTTCTACCTTGCGTTCGCAGAGGGACTGGAGATGCTGCCAGCCCTGAACAAAATCGACCTCCCATCCGCAGACCCCGAGCGTGTGCTGACACAGATGCGGGACACCTTCGAAATCGACACCAGCGATGCACTCATGGTAAGTGCCAAAGCTGGCCTCGGCATCGAGACCGTTCTCCCAGCTGTCATCGAACGGATGCCACCACCCTCCGGAGACGCCGCTGGAAGGTTGAAGTGTCTCCTAATCGACTCTTGGTACGACAACTACGTCGGCGTTATCGCCCTTATCCGAGTCTTCGACGGTACCATGAGAAAAGGTGACAAAATTACCTCCGCCTACACCGGCCTCAAATACGAAGTCGGCGAAGTAGGGATCATGCACCCTGACCGCACACCCATTAAGGAGTTAAAAGCGGGTATGGTCGGATACATCATTACCGGCATGAAAGAATCAAAGGAAGCCCACATCGGTGACACCTACATGAAAGTCGGCGAAAAAGTCGATCCACTACCCGGCTTCGAGCCTACGCAGCCCATGGTCTTCGTCGGAGCATACCCCATCGACGCCGTCGATTTCACCAAACTCGACGAGAGTATCTCTCATCTCGTCCTCAACGACCGTTCTGTCTCTATCCAAAAAGAGACTTCAACAGCTCTTGGCCAGGGATGGCGTATCGGGTTCCTCGGGACTCTGCACTGCTCCGTCTTCCAAGATCGTCTGAAGCAGGAGTACGGAAGCGAAGTCATTATTACTGCTCCCACCGTACCCTTTAAAGTCAGATACCAAGACGGATCAGAGGCAATCATCTCCAACCCATACGATTTCCCTGACTTGACAACCAGAAGCGGTCCGAATCCCGTCGAGGATGTTCAAGAGCCAATTGTCGAGGCAACGATGATGTTTCCGCAGGAATATCTCGGACCTATCATCGAACTCTGCGAAGCGAACCGTGGAGAACAAAAGGAATGTACATTCATGAATACAGGCGAACGTGTCCTGCTCAAATACGCCCTCCCCCTCAGCCAACTCGTCGACGATTTCTTCGGGAAATTAAAGGGCATGTCAAAAGGTTATGCATCCCTCGACTACGAAGATTCCGGCTACAGAACAGCGGACCTCGTCAAACTCACCCTCCTCGTCAACAAAAAACCCGTCGATGCACTCGCTGCAGTCTGCCACCGCTCCCAAGTCGACCGCAAAGGCCGCGAATGGGCAAAACGCCTCAAAAACCTCCTCGATCGCCAACTATACGAGATCATCATCCAAGCTACTGTCGGACAAAGAGTCATCGCGCGAGAGAGTATTTCGGCCATGAGGAAGGATGTTACGGCGAAGTGTTACGGAGGAGATATTACGCGCAAGATGAAGTTGTTGAGTAAGCAGAAGGAGGGAAAGAAGAGGATGAAGACGATTGGAAATATTCAGGTTGATCCGAGGAAGTTGTCGGATTTCTTGACGAATAAGGATGTCTGAAGCTTCGTGTATGGATTGAACGACGTAAGAATAGGATTTTGGCGATGGCGTTCTTGTTGGTATAGCATGATCATGTGGTATTACGTTAAGTGTCCCGGTATTTATCATAACCTCCATAAAAATCCGCAAAACTGATATGTGCCTGCCTCTATTCCTCCCCCGGCATCTTGTACTCGACCAACGTACTGACAGCATGATATTTCGTCGAAAAACTCCTCATCTGCACCGCCTCCGCACCCACGACCTCCTTCGCATCACTATCCACCCATTCCGCCGGTACCTCGCTATCGTTATCTGCGTAGACGAGCACGTTGAATGTACATAGTCCTTCTAGTTGTGGGAGGAATGTCACCGAGGCTGTGATCTGGCGGATGAGTGCTTGGATTTCTTTCGTGATCTCAGCTTCCGGTTTGTCGGCTGCTGGTGGTGCAGATCCAGCTTTTGATGGTGTTGTAGGTGCGACAGGGTTCTTGTTGTTAATTTCGAGGGCGAATTGCCATCGTTCGACGGTTTCCGCGGTTTCTTTTGATGTTACGGCGACGATCAACTTTGTGATCTTACCGCCCGTGACCCATTCTGTTTGGAACTTCGTCAGTTTTCCTCATAGAAGAAGAGAATCCAAAATTCAAACTGTGTAATTGCCCCATGATCTTCTTGATATACGCCTTGACATCCTCATCATCCGTGACCATCATTGTCAGGCCATACTTCTTTACGGCCTTGAAGTCCTCTGGAGGGTAGATTCCGCGTTGGTAGAGAATTGAGTTGATCGTGAATTCTGTTTGTAGGCAATATCAGTCTTTGAATGCGGAGAAATACGGAGTTACCAACTAACCGAAGAACTCGCTCACGAGCTTGGCGGAACCTTTGAGAGTAAGCTTTGAGCGGGTGGGAGCAGCAGTAGCATCAGTAGGAGCGGCCATTCTGGTAGTTTCTGATCGAGCGTAAGAGAGTGAAAACGGTGATCACGGTGAGCGTTCGGTTCTGCTTGATTCTCGAGGTCGGCGTAAACAAGTTACCCGAAATGGCAAAGAGATACGAAGATCAAGAATGCAAGTAAATCTTCAGAGAACAATGCCAATACTTCTATCTGAGTTCGGTAAAGACCTTTATCTTTCACCTACATGTCAATTCAACCTCTGTTTTCCCATCCCCCAAACAGGAAACCTGATGATTCACGTGCCCACCCACCCAATGGACGAGGCTACGAACCTGTACACCTCCAACCTCATACACTCCGTATCGTATCCATCCAACCCACCAGTATCGTTAGCAGGCCTACGATTACTGTCCACTCCTTATTCTTAATCAACAGTCAATCAATTGTCAATGTCCACCCGCTCTCTCCGTTCGAAACGTCGCGCCGAGCCCGAGGAAGAAGTTGGAGATGTCGTCGACGCGCCGGTCGTGAAGAGACGCGCCATTGCCTCTACAAAGGTTACAAAGGAGACGCGTCTACCATCTCCCGAGCCTGAAGAACAACTGAAGGGGAAAGAGAAGGCACGCGACGATCTTCAGTTGTTGATCGACCACTTCTCCGCCCTCACCTCGACCCTCCTCCTCCACACCGCCCTCACATCCTCAACACCCCCCTCTTTCGCCGTACTCAAACGGCAAATTGAAGCAACAACGGGCCGCACATTCAGCCTCCTTCATCTACAGCAAATCAAAGGTGTTTGGGATAAAGCTTTCGTGTGGGAGATGGGGAATGCGGGGGTTGTGGTTGAGTTGCCGAAGGGGGTTGGGGTTATGGATATTGACGGCCGTGTGAGGGAATTTGAGAAGAGAGTGGATGAATTGCTTGAGGGAGAGGTGCCGGTGAAGGAGATGCCTGTCAAGGAACCGAGAACGCCAAGGAAGGGGAAGGCGCTTGCGACGGGATTGCTCACGCCGAGGAAGACGCCGTCGAAACCGACGATGTCGCCTCTCAAGTCACTATCAACTTTTAATGAGGTCGAAGATGAAACCGCCTCTCCCCCCACCTCGCCCACCAAACCCCGACGAACACTCCCCGCAACACCCTCCTCCCGCGCTGATCGCCACGCCTCCCTCCTCTCAAAACTCCGCGCCAAATCCACTCTTGCTGCCTCCCAACCTGCACCTACTGCACTCTCCCCTCTCCAACGCCTCGCCCCTCTCCTCCCCGACATCGTCGCAATCATCCACCTTCTCCTCCCTTTGACGAAAACGACGAAATCGTTCAGTATGGATACGATTTGTGTGATGGTTGTGGAAAGTCTGGGAGCTAGAGGGAAGGTCATGGCGGTGGAGGAGGTTGCGGAGGGGATTGAGGTGCTTGGTACCTTGAATTGGGGTGAGAAGAGCGGGGAGAGGTGGTGTTCAGTGATGACGGTTGGGACGCAGGGGAAGAAGGCGGTCAGGTTTGAGGGTGGGTGGGAGATGAAGAAAGTGTTGGAGGTGATTGACAGGGAAAGGAACACGGGATCAACTGCTTGATCATATCTCATAACCGGCACCGTGGACGAATGCGTGGCGAGAAAGAGCTCGAGGAGAACAGGGACGGGCTGACAAGATTGACACTATTCGACACGAAGGCTCACTTCGTAGGTGCTGGCCACCTTCCATTTACAAATACATCCCCATATACCCTCCGGTTCTCACAGTCGCGGTTCATCCCTATCTCATGCGGCTCAGGATTCCGATGCGCGCGGGGTGCACCAACCTTAAATTCCTCCGACGAACCAATGCATCACCAATCCCATCCTAATTGCAATTGCTGTTTGATTCGTTGATCTCTGAAGAAAATGTCTACTGTCGCTTTTAACAAGGCTGGATCGGCTGCTGCTGGAGCGGCGCCTGCTCAAGGCCACTCTCATGACAACGGTCATTCGCACGATCATGCCATTGAGCACGGACACACGTTCGCCCCTCTTCCCTGCTTTCACTTGATCTTACTCATAACTCTATCTGCGCAGTCACGAAGTCATGGACAACCCCGGCTCCTACCTCGCCCGCGAACCTCCCATCGTCGCCGGCCGCAACTTCTCCGAACGCGCCTTCACAATCGGTATCGGCGGCCCCGTCGGCTCCGGCAAAACCGCACTCATGCTCGCTCTTTGCCAAAGGCTTCGTCCGCACTACTCTATCGCCGCTGTAACCAACGACATCTTTACCCGCGAAGATGGCGAGTTCTTGATCAGGCATAAGGCGTTGGAAGCGGAGAGAATTAGGGCCATTGAGACGGGAGGGTGTCCTCATGCTGCTATTCGGGAGGATATTTCGGCGAATTTGGGGGCGTTGGAGGAGTTGCATGAACAGTTTAACACTGAATTGTTGTTGGTTGAGAGTGGAGGAGATAACCTCGCTGCCAACTACTCCCGCGAGTTGGCGGATTTCATCATCTACGTTATCGACGTCTCGGGTGGTGATAAAGTTCCGAGAAAGGGTGGACCGGGTATCACGCAGTCTGATTTATTGATCATCAACAAGTGTGAGCTTGCCCCCATCGTGGGTGCGAGCTTGGAGGTCATGGACCGTGATGCGCGGAAGATGCGCGAGGGCGGACCTACGATCTTCGCACAGGTCAAGAACGGCGTTGGAGTGGACGAAATCGTCGACCTCATCATCTCCACCTGGAAGAGCACCGTAAAGAAGTGAAGCAAACTATCTGGGAACAAACGCAGATGCACATTCTGTCTCTAGAATCGTCCTAGGCTCAAGTGTCCGTTTACTCATTCATATACCCCTGATCCTTTATCCCTACTCAATCATCTTCGCAGCCCTCCTAACAGCCTTCGCAACCCTCCTCTCCCACTGCTGCGCAACGTCCACCCTCCCCTCCCTCAACGCCTCCCTCAAACTGGGAAAGGTCTCCCCCTCATACCCCGTCTCCAATCCCGGCGCAAACACGACGTGTTTATACCACTCCCTACCCTCCAACCCCTTTTTATCGAGGAACCCACGCTCGAATTTTCGGTATTTCTTGTTAATCTCCTTCGCCGATCTCAGGAGCGCGATTTTTCTCCGATGTGACATACGCCTCGCAGTCATCATTTTGTTGCTCACCTTAACAGCTTCGGCATCCAATTTCGCCGCCGCCTTTTTGAGCTCCTTCGCCGCACCTTTCACGTCCGAAAGATCGAACTCGTGATACTCCTTCCCTAATCCCTCCACATACCCATCCACCGCACCCGCATACTCCGTTACATTAAACGGAATAATCGCAGAACTCGCCAACCTCAACCCCATCAACCCCCACAACTTCGCAGTAAGTGTGTGGTGCGTCCACTCTGGATCCCCGTACGTGTTCATCCAGTGAAACGAATCGTAGACGGAGTGGTAGTGATACACGGGTCCGCCTTTGTGACCGGTGAATCCGAAATCAACGCTCGGGATTCCAGCGTGCTCGAGGAATGGAGTAAAATCACTCCCACTTCCTAGAACCCCGATCTCGGGCCCATGTCCCCCCTCCTTGCGGGTGCGTTTCGCCCACTTTTCGTATACCGTCTTGCCCTCCTTCACCTTCGGCGGCTTATGCTTCTTCCTCGCCGGGTTCTTCCTCCGTTCCACTACTTTGGAGGGATACCTCACATCTTTCGTCGCCTCCAGAACAAGTCTGTTCAAACTCGGACTCGCGCTCGCTTCGAAATCTGGACCGGTGGCGGCCATATCTACGTTCAAATACGCAACAGCGTTTCTCGCCAACCACGGGGCATATTGTTCGACCCACTCCGTAGAGCCAACGAGGCCGTACTCCTCCGCATCCCAGGAGGCGAACACGATGGTGCGCAGGGGTGACCATCCCGTTTCTAGTAGCTTTCCGAATGAGCGGACGACCTCAATCATAGCTGCTGAGCCTGAGGCCGGATCCCCTGCTCCTCCCGCTGGCCAGGAGTCGCGGTGGTTACCCAAGATAACGACATCATCGAGTGTTCCGTTGATTGTGCCGATGACGTTGTAGATCCTCTCGATTTTCCACTCTACCTCGTTGACCATATGTACCGTAGCCCTCGAGGGTCCAATAGCGTACTCAACTTCCCACTTCTCCAATCCCCCGGCCCATCCCTCCACCACGGGTCCGATTCCGTTGAGGGATTGGAGGAGGGGGATGGCGTCCTCGTAGCTAATAGGCAACGATGGAATCTTAGGTAAGACATCCGACGTTTCGTGGTCGACCCTCTTCGTCTCATTCCCAGGAAGAGATGGGTACCCTGGGGTGGATGGATCCCCGGCCCCGGTAGAGAGAAACATCACGCTCCCGCGCTGTACACTACTCGGATTTCTTGCCCCTCCCTTCGGGTATGCCGCCTCCCCTTCATCTCCCGTCACAGAATCATCCCCCGGATCGGTGTAGATAAGGACACCGATCGCTCCGGCCTCCTGGGCTCCTTTGACCTTCAACCCACGAAAGTTCTTGCCGTAGCGTGCGATCACGATCTTGCCGGTGAGGTCGATACCCAGATCACGGAGTTTGCGGTAGTCGGATTCGGTGCCGTAGTTTGCGTAGACTAGGTGGCCGGTTGCGGATCCGTTTGCGGAGTAGCCGTGGAAAGCTGGGACCTCATCCCGCAGTTTCGAATTGGGATCGCCCTGTACGACGTCTTCCCGGAGTTTGGCCTTGAATGTAGTCCGGCCGGTGACGTCTCTCATCTCCAAACTATGCGAGACGGGATAATTCAACAGCACATCAAACGGCAGCAACTCAGATTTAACTCCATACGACTCCCACTTGTCCCTCGTCCACTCCGCCTGCGACATATTCTGCCCAGCCAAATGCGCACCAGAGGTGTAATACTTACTCCACTTCCTCACCGTCCCATTCTGCGGCACCCCAAGCAAAATCCTCTCTGCCTCCCCCAACGGAACGCGATCATATGGTGGTCGGTGATCACTAACCAACCAATGGAAGATCCAGATAATTGGAGCGAGCACGAGGATGGTGAGGACAGCGTATGCGATATTGCGGATTACGTCGGCATGGTTTGGTTTTGTAAGACGGTGGGAGGGGGTGAAGAATGCTGCGACTTTGCTGAAAGGGCCGCCGTAGCCTCGACGAGGGCGGAGGAGAGGGTAGTCCTCGTCTTCGTCAGACTCATAGTGGTCGGGGTCTCTGTAAGATTCTTGTCTATCTCTCGTCATTTTAGGCCATATAATTTTTGGTGGTTGGGTCGCCTGGATGACGACGCATTGGGCGCCGGGGCACCTGTTCGCCAAATGCTGGGGATCTGCACGTCTTCGTTACAGGGGAACATCCCAACCTGCGATCTCCTCTGATCTCCTCTGATCTTCTCTCATTCGACCTCTGCAATTGTCAACGATTGTCGAGCGTCATGAACGTCCTCGTCTATACAGGTAGATCCGACCACTCGTCTCTCCAGACACACTGACCGGTCCACAGGCCCCGGCACCTCCCGCACCTCAATCCGCCACACCTTCGCAACCCTCCGCCCCCTCCTAACCCCCCATTACGCCCTTATCCCCATCGAATCCTCCGCCCTCCTCTCCGAACCCTGGCAATCCACAACTTCTCTCCTCATTATCCCTGGCGGCCGCGACATTCCCTACTGTAACGCGCTCAACGGAGATGGAAATCGAATGATTGCGGAGTGGGTTAGGAAGGGAGGACGATATTTAGGGTTTTGTGCCGGTGGATATTTTGGGAGTGGGAGGGTTGAGTTTGAGGAGGGGGTGCAGGGCATGGAGGTTGTTGGATCAAGGGAGTTGAAGTTCTTTCCTGGGACGTGTCGTGGTACAGCGTTCGAAGGGTTCGTTTACAACACAGAAGCCGGCGCGCGAGGCTCAAAACTGAGCATCAACACTGAAGCGATGGGTAAAGATGTTCCGGAGTCTTTTACGACATACTACAACGGCGGCGGCCTCTTTGTCGACGCCGACAACTACTCCTCCCGCGGCATCCGCGTCCTCTCGCGCTACGCCGACAAACCCAAAGTCCCTGGCGGCGATGCATCCGTGGTGTATTGTCCCGTTGGTAAAGGTGCTGCGGTGCTGTTTGGTACGCACCCCGAATACTCCCCTGCTCATCTTAACCCACAAGATGGTGATGGACCAGAATATGCGGAACTCATTGCCTTGCTCAGCAAACCTGAGGAAAACGGTGCTCGGGTTGCATTCATGAGAGCGGTGTTAAACATGCTGGAGTTGAAGATTGTGCCGGCGGTTGAGGGGTTGACCAGCGTTCCCAGTTTGACACCGTTGATGTTGTCGAGTGTCGATAATGGGGAGGGGGTCCGCGACGTTCTTGACCGGCTACGCTCCAGTGGTACGGATACAGAGGACGGGTTCCGGTTGGAGGAGAGCAACGATACCTTTCTCTTCCGCAAACCCATGACTGAGGGGGTGGATATGTCCTCACTATCAACATACCTCCCCTCCGCTCCCACGGACGACTTAAACTCTGTCATCAAGTTGGTGGATGTCTATGGCTCGGAACCGCCGGCGGCGAAGACGACCCCGTTCTTCGACCACGCCGCGTACTACAACGCACTCCTCCGCGCACGCTCAACCTCCTCAAACGGAAACCACACATTGGGCTCACCGTTGATGTACAGCGAGATCGTAACCTCCTCCCAAACTCTCCTCGATAAGAACTTCAACTTCCTCACCAAGTTACCAGCGGGATTCACCATCCTCGCAACCCACCAAATTGCCGGTCGGGGTCGTGGGAATAATGCATGGGTCTCTCCTCCAGGTGTCTTGGCTTTCTCGACAATCTTGCGACACCCGCGACGACTTCTGGAATCCGCGCCCGTGGTGTTCGTCCAGTACCTCGTATCCCTCTCTATCGTGGAGGCGATAAGGCAGGATGGGTACGAGGAGTTGGATGTGAGGATCAAGTGGCCTAACGACATTTACGCCAAAAACCCCACCCCCGGAGAAGGAGCGGATAAAGATAAGGGTTATGTCAAGATTGGTGGGATTTTGGTGAATTCGAGTTTTGAGAACGATGATTTTGTCTTGGTCGTTGGGTGTGGGATTAATACCACCAACTCTGCCCCCACTACATCCCTTAACCACGTCCTCGAAGCGCACAACACCGAGCGCAGAAGAGCAGGAAGAGGGACCCTACCGCCGATCAGGATGGAAAAGCTTTTGGCTAGGATCATGGTAAAACTCGAAGACATGTACACAATCTTCGCCTACTCCACCCGCGGCTTCCGCGCTTTCGAATCCCTCTACTACGACCGCTGGCTCCACACCGACCAACTCGTGCGTCTCGAGATGGAATCGGATGCGCGGGCGCGCATTGTTGGGATAACGATGGATCATGGGTTGTTGGAGGTTGAGGAGGTTGATGCACAGGGACGGGGGATGAGGGGGAGGAGGTGGCATTTGCAGGCTGATGGGAATAGTTTTGATATGTTTAAGGGGTTGTTGAAGAGGAAGGCGTGAGTCGATGAGGCATGTGATAGACTTGAGATGCATTCCAGTGTCTAAAAGAATCGAAAGTAACGCCTACACCAACGCCGAGTGCCCAAACCGTCTTCAAAACCATTGCCATACCCGTACTGAACTTCTAGGACCTCTTAGCTTGCCTATTCTTCTTAGTCCTCCACCCCGCCAAAACCTCCGAAAAACAACAAATTCCATGCTTATCGCACCATCCTTTCAAAACTTCCTCGCTAACTTCAATCTTCCCGCCCTCCTCGCTACTTAGCCAGAGTGTCAAATCTTCCAACAATATAGGTTCGTAACGGAGGATTTTGGACCATTGGGTAGGGGATGCTTTGATGGAGGTGGTGATTGAGGTGTATAATCGGGCGAGGATGGCTGCCTCGGACATAGGTGATGCGTTGCCTGAGGCCTCATTCGGGATGGGAGGCGTCTTGGTCCTCCTCGTGGGACTCTCACTGGCCGCCGTCTTCCCCGTCGCTTTCTTCGCAGTGGCTTTCGTCGCGGCCGGAGTGACCGCGGCCACAGGCGCAGCCCATGTTGATGCCAATACCGTGGCTTCCGGATGCATCGCCTTCCAACACTGATTCAGAATCTCCGCCATCGCAGTCCTCGACTTCGTCGGTTTGAACCCATACTTAGCGATCTCGGTTTGTAGCTGAGCAGTAGTGTAGCCAGCGAAGTTGGGCATCTGCGGCCCTGCCGTTTGGGCAGCAGCAGCGACATTCTCGGTTTGTACTGCAGATGCGACCTTTGGAGGTCTTCCTCTCCGTTTCGGAGAGGCAGGGGCTTCCACAGCAGCGACGTCCTCAGTCTGTACTACTGCAACAGCTTTCGGGGGTCTCCCTCGTCGCTTGGGAGAAGCAGGCGTCCCCACATCAACGCCATTCGCGGCCTTGGCCTTTGCTGCCGATCCACGAGCCTTCGTCCCCGCCGGCTGTATAAGAATACACTCCACCTCATCATCCGAGACACTCACCATCGCCCCCGGTACAGTCCCGGTTGATGCCGACGGCCGCACCGGAGAAGTATCAGGCATCGCAGTGATATCCTGTACCGGAACATCAAGGAAGATTGGAATTTCCTCAAAATTGGTGTCGCGATCCAAGCTCTCCGGTGGTACTGGAAGCGGCAAATCTGCTGCGGACGATCGTCTCTTCCGAGAAATGGTTTGCGTGAGACTCGCACCGGTACCTCTCTGCGACAACAGCTCCCTCGCGCTCACGAATTCCAACGATGACCCCACACTCCTCGGCAGCGAACCCTGCGATGACTCCGCCACATCAATAATGGCAGTCGGCTCAATCTTGACCGCCCGGGATTTCGACTTCGGATGCTTTGGTGATGCGCCGGTAATGTCAACCACGCCAGATTTAGTGGTAGGTGTGCGCGGACGGGTGGTCCCCAGCCGCTTCTTACGTTTCACTGCGGACGCTAGAGGTTCTTCCGGCGATGATGACATGATCTCGATAGCTGTCGAAGTGGAGTTCGGAACTGATAGTGGCACTGCGGGCGCCATTACCGGCATTGGTTGGGGGGCAGGAGGAGGAGATACGACAGCATGCTCAACAGGAGCTTCAGCGGGCGGCACGGACGCGGCGTTGGACCTTCGCCGCGTGGAAGGCTTCGGAGACAGGATCGTAACAACATCCTCTTCTGCATTTTCCAACCAAGCCGCAGCTTGCGGAGACTTTGACCTCCTTGCCCTCTTCGGCGGTGTCGGTATCCCCTCTTCTGCCACCGCCTCAGAGATGGGTATTGGTGCTGGGACTGGTTGCGTAGCCGGAGGAGGCAGCACAACAGTTTTTGTCACAGGACCTTCGGCAGGCGGCACAGACGCAGCTTTGGACTTTCTCGGTGTACGCTTCGGCAATTGAGGCAGGATAGTAACAAGGTCCATTTCTGCAACCTCTGGGAGCGGAGCACCCTCCGGAGACTTCGACCTCCTCGCCCTCTTCGGCGGTGTCGGCTGTGCATCTTCCATATCCTTGCTTTCCTCCACTGCTGGTGATCTTGACCTTGACTTCCTCGCCCTCTTCGGGAATGTCTCCACCCCCTCCTTTGCCTCCACGGTCACCTCCTCCACCTCATCCCCCTCATCCGTCTCAAGCCTCACCATAACAACCTGCCCACACCTCGGCTCCTCCCCCGCCAACCTCGATCCCTCCTCCTCATCCCCAGCGCCACCCCCCCCAATGAGCTCACCGTCCAATCCTCGTGCGGCAACAGTCCACATCCTCATCGCCCCCTCTTTTCTTTGCCTCTTCTTACCCAACGCAGATTCGGCGAGCATCGCGGCAGAGGGTGAGGGTACGGGTACGTCGGGGTCTGAGAAAATCAGGGTTTGGGAACGGATACGTCGAAGGGCGGTCCGGGGGGACAGGAGTTCGGGGAGTGGGGGTTCGGGCTTCTTTCTGCTTCGTCGTTTGGGTTTGATGGGTGTAGTTGCTTCTCGCGTAACGTAATCATCCAGTGTATTCGATCCAGGCGATGCGGGTTGAGCGGGGAGGAATGCTGCGGTTGCAAGGGCTGTGATGGTCTTGTGTACGACTCTTTCCGGACCCGCTGGCGAGGGTGCAGTGGGTGGTTCGGCTTTCTTCGCGCGTGGTGCACGGGGTTTTCGGGGTGCCTTTTCTTTCGGATCTTTCCTCGCTCGAGGCGCTCGTGGTTTTGGCGGGGCTTTTGGTTTTGTTGTGGTTTTAGGAATGGGCTTCACGGCGGGAAAAGCCTGGGGGATGAGCTCGATCGTGCGTCGGGCATGTCCTGGGAGTGAGCCTTCGCCGGTGAGGTCGAATATTGGTGCGGCGGATTCGGTGGTGGTGCTGGCGTTGCTGTTTTCGCGGCTGATCGCGCCGCAGCGGAAGGTTGCGACACGGGAGCGGAAGCGTTGGCTTTGGGATCCTTCTTCTTCGGCTTCATCCCGCGTAGCACCGTTCTCCATAGCTGCTTCCATTGACGCAGCATTTACAGCGGCAATAACAGCACTATCATTCGCATTCATTTCTCTCCCCACTCCATCCACTCCATCCCCACCAACCTGCACCACCCTCTCCCTTCGTGGCGACGAAGAAATCGTAATCACCCTGTCCGCCCCCTCCACAGCATGAGCGCCGCCTCGCGCAAGGAGCATCTGCGTCGACGGCGGCGTAGAGACCGACATTCTGCTGATTCTATACTGATGGCAGAGTCGATGGAGGGGCCTGAGCATGCATGTATCGCCAGCGGATTTAAGGTTTTGGTGTTTTGGAGGCGATGTACTGTACGTGATGCGCGTTTCAGGGCGGCGTAGAGCTCGACGACGTCTGTGCTTGCGCAGTTTGGATCATCTATTGATTAGATGGACATGAGTGTTGCATGTATCGGCTCCCTTATTACATCTGGGAACGCAATAGCTATAGGACAACACAGAGTACTGTCGTACACACCGTCATCCCACATCGGTGTTGTCCCGACAGCAGCATAACCAGCTGCTACACTCTACAAAAATAAACGGATGTCCCAGCCCTATCTGTCGTACCCCCCACAAATCTCCGGAAGGTACGTCTTCAGTGGCCGTTTACACTTTACAGGTGTTCGCTCTTGCCCCTTCGCATCCAAATCGAACCACAGTTGCCGAAGCAAAAGGGTTGAGACGGATGTTTTCCGCGATATCCGACGACAATGAGGAGTCGTGGACGATTGCGGGAAGGGGCTGGCGAAACAAATCGTCCGGAGGTGTTGGAAGTCGTAGGTCGAACACAATTCACCACGTGCACACTCACGTCGCGCAACTCATATGGACAAAAAAACGTTGCGTTCGTACAGACAGACACAAACATCGAAAATACCACTCAGCACGAAGCCATAAAAAATGATCTTTTTATATGCTTTGTTTTGATCCGATTATCAACCCTCACCGCCGCTTCACCTGCGTGTCATAAGACGAGGACGAAAGCGCGAACTCCATAACACCCAAGAAAACGGAAGAACGAAAAGAAAGGACGAATGGTTGCTAATTGTTTAGCGGGAGTAGGACCAGACGCTGGAAAAATGGTTAGTATGGACTGGTAGACAGAGGGCGGGGGGGATGTGGAGGAGTTTCTGCTCGTATCTGGTGTCGTGTCGATGTCTCCGTGCGCATTCATCCCGTCCACTCCTTTCTTCCCTTGAACACACGCAAACGATTCCACCCAAATCGACGATCGACGACACAGACACGCAGCATTCACCCCCCACACCAACCCAGTTCTCCCAAAAAAATCACACTCACTTCTTCAACAAACCATCCCTGGTAGCCAACCTGTTCAAAGAGTCGTCAGACTCGCCCTTGCCACGAACGAAACCGCAAAGAGCATAGGTGGTGTTGGATCCGTGGATGGCACGGCCAGACTCGTCAACGTCAGCGACGTTAATCTGGACGGAGGCGTGGTCCTTGGCGGTGATGAGACGGTTGGTGGCCGCGCACTTGCGGGGGACGTAAAGGTCGACGAGGACACCTTGAAACGCAACCAATGAATATTTCATTTCTCGAGGAGGGGTCGAATCGAGCGAGAAGGAAGCGAGACGTGACGGGTACGAAACGAGAGCATTCCTCGCCGTGAATCGATTGACAGCATTGACGTACCTTGGTCGTTCTCCATTTTTTAGATGTTCGGTTGATGGACGCGGGAGGCCAGCACTGCGTAGGTGTTCCAATTTTCGGCGGCTGCTGGAGGTGTGGCTAGTACGTGGCAGTGCTGAGGTGAGCGAGAGTGCCTTGGGGGTCGCGCGTAAACCCTCGAGGCCTTCAGGGGCTCTTTTTCAGGGCAAGGGGCCGTGCACGTGCGGAGGCCGTCGAGGTTGGAGCTGAAGGGATGATGGCGGAAGGCTTCGGTAATATATGCTTAGAATAGAGCATTCATTCCTCAGCGTGCACTGTCCTTGTTGCGCATTTACCCCGTGCTCGGCCAACGTCACTGCTGTCACTAAGGTCCTAGCCTCGGCCAGCGCATTCCAAACACCTCCGCACAACCCCAGCGTACGGGACCCCCTCCAGTCCTCCGTTCCTTTCCTGAACCAAATCGCAACTGGCCAAAGGGTTGATCACTTGCCATGGTCAACCTCGACGAGATCGCCGACACTGTTTCCAACTTGTCCTTGTACGACATCAAATCCTATATCCGCAAAGCCCAGAATGTGGTCATGAACTACACCGAAATGGAAGCCAAGGTGCGCGAGGCAACGAATAATGAACCTTGGGGTGCCAGTTCAAGTTTGATGCAGGAAATTGCGGATGGGACACACAACTAGTACGTCTCCAACCCTTCTCTTCGTAGAGAAGGATGAATGCTGACATGGGAGTGTAGTGCCTCTTTCAACGAAATCATGCCCATGATCTACCGTCGCTTCACAGAAAAATCCGCCGAAGAATGGCGCCAAATCTACAAATCCCTCCAACTCCTCGAATTCATCATCAAAAACGGTTCAGAACGCGTAATCGACGACGCACGCGCCCACCTCTCCACCATCAAATTCCTCCGAAACTTCCACTATATCGACGAGCAAGGTAAAGACCAGGGTGTCAATGTGCGGAACCGTGCGAAGGAAGTTGTGGATTTGTTGAATGACTCGGAGTCGTTGAGGGGTGAACGACGAAAGGCGAAGCAAAATCGTAATAAGTATGGGGGAGTTTCGTCGGATCTTGGTGGAGGGGGTGCTGGTGGCTTCGGCGGAACTGGAAAGAAGTACGGTGGGTTTGGATCTGATGCAGTCGGATATGGAGGATACTCTGGTGGTGTCTACGGCGATGGCGGAGGCACGACGACCGGACCCCGAGGCAACTGGAAAGATGAGTCGAGGCCGACGAGTCGTGGACCGGCTGCTGGGGGGTATGATGCGTATGATGAGTACGATGCGGGCGCTTCGTCATCACGGCCGAGTGCGGCGGCGAAGGGGAAGGCTCCTGCGGTAGCTAAGCCTGAGCTACCAAAGGCTGCACCAGTGGCGGATCTCTTCTCTTTCGATGATCCAGTACCCGCACCCGCACCCGCGGCTGCGCCTGTGCCCGTGGCGTCCTCTTCGAAGGGCAAGGCACCTGCTGACGACGGCTGGGGTTCCTTTGAGACCGCCGCCCCTGTCACCGCTGCTGCTCCCGCTCCGGCAGCTGCCTCTAACGACGACGACGAGTTCGGTGACTTTGCGTCTGCGGCACCCGTGAGTGCACCAGCAACAATGTCGCCACAACCCCAGTATGCCCAGCCTCAGGCAAACTACGCCGCGTTGAGTGGGATGGGTATGATGACTCCGCCGGTGCAGCCTGCGGCTCCGCAGTATGGAGGGTTCCAGGCCGCGGTACAAGCTAATTACGCTCCTATGATGGGATCTTTCTCTACGGCTCCTGCTCCTGCTGCAGCATCTTCTACGAGTTCTGCAGCGCCAGCTGTGTCAGGTGGTGCAAACAAGGCCAAGGGTGGCGATGCGTTCGGATCGTTGTGGAGTATGGCGAGTGGAAAGGCGGGAGAGAAGAAGGGAGCCGAGAAGGGTCCTAGCATGGCACAACTCGCCCAAGAGACGAGCTCTGCCAAGATATGGGGAAGCACGAGTACGCAAGCAAAGCCCAGTGCAGGAAACGGACTCGATGATCTTCTTTTTTAACTTAGCAAGTAGTAATTATCAGGACTTTCAAAATGATATCATTTACCTAACCCATGCGCCCACCCTTCACGTGTTGCGAGGATTTACATCACCCCTCTTATAACTCACTCGGCCATTCATCGAAGCGCGCGTCAGCCTAGAGCACTACAAAATGATCCGCACCACCTTGGCTCGTACCGTCAACCCCATCCGTCTTTACTCAACCCAAGCAAAAATGTCCAACGTTTTCTTCGACACCTCTGCTAACGGCACTTCTCTCGGCCGTATCGAGTTCAAGCTCTACGACGAGGTCGTCCCTAAGACCGCTGCCAGTATGTTTGCTTCCATGACCTTCGACTGGGTTCCGGGTTCTCGGGGCTCGGTTGAAGCAATCTTGTGATTTCGATGGGATGAATGCTAATGGGTTTCGATTAGACTTCCGTGCTCTCTGCACTGGCGAGAAGGGCTTCGGCTACAAGGGCTCTGCCTTCCACCGTGTCATTCCCCAGTTCATGCTCCAGGGTGGTGACTTCACCCGCGGTAACGGTACCGGTGGAAAGTCCATCTACGGCGAGAAGTTCGCTGACGAGAGTATGTTTCCTCCTTTCTGCTCAATTGGATCTGGCCGCCTTTTTTCTGGAAGTATGCTGACGTGCTCGATTAGACTTCAACCTCCGCCACACCAAGCCCGGACTTTTGTCCATGGCCAACGCTGGACCCAACACCAACGGCTCCCAGTTCTTCATCACCACCGTTGTGACCTCCTGGTTGGACGGTAAGCACGTTGTCTTCGGTGAGGTCGTCTCCGGCATGGACATCGTCAAGAAGATCGAGGGTCTCGGTTCCCAGTCTGGTGCTACCCGCGCCAAGATCACCATCGATGACTGCGGTGTCGTTGCCTAAATTTGATATTTACTTGCAATGATATTTGATGGTTGTAAGATGGGGATGTGACGGCGGGTTTGTGTGATGTATGGTTACTTCTTTTTTTTGGGTTACTTGTACGTTACAAAAACGTCGGCGTGAGGAGAATATATTTGGCTATGCCATTCTTGTTCATTGTAGACTCTTGTTATCCTTCAGAGCTCGGATTTGGTTCGTATCATTCCCTATCGTCCTCGAGTGCTGTACGTCATGACCTTCCCGATTTCCCCACACTCGAGCTCGAGCAACCTTTCGATTTCAACCCCGGTGCACTCTACGATCCAAGCACCTTTCCAATTGATTCTGATACCTCGAAGCTGTTCCGAAACATCTATTGTCGCATCTCTCGTTCTCGCCTCTGTCTGATCCGCTTCATCTCGACAATGGCCGACGCAAGCTACCCCAAGGTCATCAACCTCCAGATGGGCTGGCCAACCGAATCACTCCTCCCATCCACTTCCCTCGCCAAAGCCGCCTCCGAAGTCCTTCTCCAATCAAGCCCATTCTCAAAGTTACCTGATCTAAACAGTGGCCGGACACCCGCGGCACATCCATTACAGTACGGGAGTGATCTTGGACCGAGGAGTACGAGGAAGGTGTTAGCCGAGTGGACGACTGAGAAATATGCGTTGAGAGGGGAGGAGGCCGTTAAACCGTCGGTATCTGTGGTTTTCGGTTGATGCATCCAGACTAACAGTTGCTGACAGTGAGAATATCGTTATGACACCCGGCGCTTCATATGGACTCATGAATGTACTTCAATTATGTACGTCGCCACATAACGGATATACCCGCCGAGCATTTTGTACGTCGCCTACGTACTTCCTCGCTGCTGGTATTCTCCAAGACGCCGGGTTCGCCGGGCGAATGAGTGCGGTGAATGAGGATGCGGAGGGCATCGATATCGATGCCCTAAGGGAAGCACTCGAGAGGGAAGAAAAAGTGAGACGGAGAGAAGGCGATGGTGATAAGAGCACGATTGAGGCGGCACCGAGGAAGAAGAAGGTGTTCAGGTATGTTGTGTACTGTGTGACTACATACGCGAATCCCAGTGGACAAATCATGTCTGAACGACGACGGAATCAGCTTGTTGAGGTACGTGGTTCTACCAACCTCAGTGCTGGAGTAATGGACTAACTAAGATCACGCAGTTGGCTCGGAAGTACGATGCTCTTGTTATTTCTGATGATGTGTACGACTTCCTTCATTACACACCTCTTCCCGGTGGTAAAATACCAGCACGCCTTGTGACGCGCGACGTCACCACAATGCCCTCAGAGTACGGAAACACCATCTCGAACTGTTCCTTCGCCAAGCTCCTCGCACCTGGATTCCGCGTTGGATGGATCGAGACAGCGAGTCCCCTCCTCGCCCTACAACTCGCTGAAGGTGGCGCAAACCACAGCGGCGGGTGTCCATCCCAACTCAACTCAAGTATCGTTGGACACTTTACCCAATCTGGCGCCCTCGACGAAAACATCGTCAAACTCCGCGAGACCTACGGCCAACGCTCCAAAACCTACCGTTCCGCCCTCTCCGGATACCTGCCCTCCGGCACTACAATCCAGGGTGGCGAAGGAGGATACTTCCTCTGGGTCGGACTCCCGGACGGGTATGATGCGCGAGAAGTCGTTAAGCGTGCGAAGGAGGAGTTCGGCGTTCAGGTTGCGAGCGGGGATGCGTTTGAGGTGCCAGGGGATGAGAGGGGGTGGGGTGCAAAGTATGTCAGGCTGAGTTTGAGTTGGTGTGGGGATGAGGAGGGGAGAGAGGGAATTAGGAGATTGGGTGAGGCGTGTAAGGCTGTGAGGGAGGGGTGGGCGGTGAAGGGAAAGGTGAATGGGGTAGGTGGGGCGTGGCAAGATGGGACGGAGTAAGGAGTTCGGGAGTTCATCATGCTAGAATATCCTATATACCCACACCGTCTACTACTTACAAATCCTGCTACTTTACTGTCACAGGCGCGGCTGGCTTGATTTTCACGATACTTCGATTCCGCCGTCACACAATGCAACTTTCACGAAATTTCACATCTACAATCTTGACCCTCATCTGTCTGGTTCTCGTTCTCCTTACCCGCAGATGACCAACGTTGCGGAGGTCGGCCCGTGAGTTGCGTGACATGCGTCTGGTCACACAGTTCACGGCACGGACAATGCACCATCCAAAGCAAGGTATACCATTTGTTATGACCACAAGCTACAAGAAACGGTGTCTTCTTATCGTTTCGACATCTGGGTGCTAAACTAACTCCAGTCAAAAGTACGAGATTGAAGCAACTCTTACTACCATGGCTTTGCGCAACAACTTTGGCTTGAACTCCGTCCCACGCGACCCGTCCTCTCTTCACCCTGGCCACACAGAACACCTTGAGTCGATCACCGAATCGCTCATCTCTGCAGTTACTCCAGCGAGGCAAGCCAGTGTTATACCCATTGAGCAATTGCGGTTGCCCGACACGGAGTTGGTCAAAGACGCGTTCCAATGGGTGAAGGACAGACTTGCGAGTGGACCATTTAATCATTCGATCAGAGTCTATATGATTGGTGTGTTTCGCCAATTCACGCGCAAAGATGATGATGATGTGGGCTAAAGAAGTCCATCCAGGTGCTGCCATCGCCCAGGACATGTTCCCCGAATCCTTCAAATGGGATCCAGAGACCTACTTCCTCACCTCCCTCTTCCACGACATCGGTGTCGCCGACGAGTTCTTCCTGACGACAAAGCTGTCGTTCGAGTACCGCGGGGGTATCGAGACGTACAATTACCTCAGGGCAAAGAAGAAGGAGGGAAATTACGATGTTCCTCAAGACCTCATTGATAGCGTTACTGAAGCGATCTTGCGCCATACGAACTTCGTGCCGGGGCGGATCACGACGCACGGGCAGCTAATCCAGTTAGCTACCTTGTATGATAATATCGGGGCTCATCAGGCTTGGGTACATCCTGACACTTACGAAGCGATTGTCAGGGAATGGCCGCGTGGTCATTGGAGTGACGATTTCATTACGTGTATGTCGAAGGAGATGGCGGCGAAGCCGTGGTGCCATACGACGGCTTTGCAGGCTTCGAGTGACTTTTTGGGGGATGTGGGAAGGAATCCAATTGCGAAGAAGTACGAGTAGGTTTTTGATGATCGAGGTTTATGCCCCGTCTCGACAAGGTGTAGCTCAAAGGTAAAGAAAAACTTGCATAACTAAGGTACGTAAGGTATCACTAGTACTATGGTCACGGCGTGAATTGAACTCCGGTATTTCCTTAGGCCATTGAGTGAATACTGTGTTGACTGGCATCCTTCTTATAAGTCAACGCACTCTCACTCCCCACCATCTCCAAAGTACCTACTCCATTCCCATCCGCAAGATCCCGAAACATACTCGTGGGATGCAACCAATTAAACGAAACCAGAACTCCAAACATGCACAATCCATCAAAGAGATACAAGAACACCTCGTGAGAAATGAGGTAGCCGTCGCTGCCCTGTGCATACTCCGCGATCCTGAAGATGGATCGGATGAGGATGAGACCCGAGGTGAGGTAGAGAGAGCAAAGAAGTTTGCGGGCAGGAGCGGGGGCGTAGGCTTGTTTGTTGAGTCGATGGTGAAAGAGTCCAGTAACGACGACGAAAAGTCCAAAGAAAATAAGCTGCACGAACAACCCTCCAAGAATGATCTTTGCACCACGGTCGTAGTTATCGGGATCCGTCCTAGCTTGAGCCTGGATACCCCCTCCACCACCTTGCATCAAGAATGAAATCACATCACCAACGACAAAGATCTTGGTTAACCATCTCACTGGGACCAAGCTCAACTTCTGTGCCTTGAGCGCAATGATGAGACGTCCGAGTAACATGTAGATCGTCGCGGCGAACAGCGAAGGCGCGAGTAAGATGAATAACGACTGAATGATATACGGCATCATCGCGCCTGTACCATATGGTTTCTGAGTGGAGGAGGAGCGGGCGGCATATCCGATTACCTCGAAAAATGCACCAACGACGAGAGGGAGGAGATACCAGGCGCGAGGCCCAAGACGTCGAGTTTGGTGGAGTTGCCAGGTGTGGTATGCGGTTGTGGGGATGAAGAAGATTGTAAAGATGATTGCGGCGGCGAGAGAGGGATCATACTTGTAGAAATGGTATGACTCGTAGTCTCTTGTAAGAAGAGTTGAAGCTGTCATATCGGATCAGAGAAGCCGAGGTTGAGGAAGTTGATGAAAGAAGGTCATGGTGAGTAGTTGGGCAATTTATATATTCGAACGGCTTCGTATTCGTTGTTTACCTGTTCGTATCCATTTTCTCGAGTTCGTATCTCGTATTACCGCAACTGGTCTGGCGCGGGTGCGACACACGCACGACTCGTGTTCGAAGTCGCCAAACTCGACCTCGGGAAACAGTTGAAGCTGGTCGCCGAGCAGTTTCCTTAGGCTGAAGCGAAGTGCGACCCGTGTCGACGTTACCGTTCGCATCCGGTTTAAGCTTACTTACTCCACCGACTAGACCAAACAGCAATGGGCCGACGATCCCACACAAAGTCAAGAGCGGGCTGTACGAAATGCAAAACAAGGCGTGTCAAATGCGATGAACGACAACCTGTTTGTGTAAATTGTTCACGGCACGGTGTGATTGGGGAGTGCGATATCGTTCGGACAGTGAACATCGCAGTCGAGAGGAACAAGGAAAGGGAGGAAAGGTTGAAGAGGTTGGAAGGGGAAGGACGCGGAAGGGAGTCAAAAAGGAACCAGGTGGATGTGGGGAAGATCGTGACGTTGACGTTGACCACGACCACGCCCGCGCCTGTATCGCCGCAAACTGAGCTTGAAGCTCACTCTGCAGAGGTGCAAGGCAAGGAGGATAACAGCCGACCCAATGTGTATATCTCTCCACCGCAGGAAGTTGAAGCGAACCGTGCACTAGCGGAATGGGCCGCTGGCACCAGTCACCCAAGTCGATTACCCACACCACAGTCTGCGTGCGACGCCTCTCTGGACTCCACTCAACCTCGAGTCCCAGTACCCAGAGCCGACAAAGACGCTGCCCCGGTACGCGTTGAATGGACAGGCACGTCCGGAAACAAGTTCACGTATGACGAAGCGTCATCGACCGTACCACCTAACTCCTCCGTCCTGGACATCCATGGATCCAGCCCACCCACGCCCGTATCGGATGATAACCTGGCAAAGCTGTGGTTACGCCCAACACCGGCAAGGTGGGATCACACCTCGACGTTCACTGTGCAGTCCGTGAGGACAGTGGGTACACCACCTTCCATGATATTCGATCAAAACGATCGTGAGACGTTTTACGAGGATGATTTAACAGGGATGTCGAAATATTCAGCATCAACCATCTCCATATCTCGCCCCCCTTCTCCCAAGGCGCTGCAAGGATCTGAGTCTACGTGTTCGATCCCGTGGCTCCCGAACCCTTATGTGTGTATCGACCACATGTCCGATATGCGACTGATGCATCTTTACACAACTTCGACCTGTGAGACGATGTCAGACTCGTACACGACGTATCTCTGGAGATCCGAGGTGCCCAAGTTGGCCTTCCAAGTGCCGTATCTGATGCACACCCTCCTCGCCATCGCAAGTAGCCACATGGAAGCCCTAACCCCCGAATCTTCTCGAGAAGAAATGCGAAATCTCATGTTATACCACCACGCAAACGCACTCTCGACATTCCGAGAAGCAATCTCCGCCGGAATTGGACCGGGGAACGCCGCACCGGTTTTGTTGGCGAGTATAGGATTAAGCGTGTATGCGTGCTCACAAGCACACGAGGATACATCCCCCGGCGCGACAGAATGGATGAAACTTTTACGTGGATGTCGGGATGTGATGTCTGTTCTCCACTCTGAGGGACTCATGCCTCCCCGGACTTGGAAAGCATTGGTTGGGACCCTTCAGGAAGCCGCACTCGAAGCACCGATGTTTAGCTATGACCTTCCGTCTTCGCTTCGTGCGTTGACATCCCCCTCCCACCCCTTCCACGAGGAGTCGAAACCAGCGTTGGATAACCTCGCTATCCTCCGTCGTCCCCATCGCGTCAACCTCAGCGAAATCCTAAGCTGGCCAGCACATCTAAGTCAGGGGTTCATGGAAGCGTTAGAGAGGGGCGATGAGGAGGGCATGAAGGTCTTGGTGGAGTATTATGCGTGTTTGGAGGAGGTCGAGGGGTTTTGGTGGGTTGAGCCGATTAAGAAGAGGGGAAGGGAGATTAAGGAGAAGGTTAGGGAGTGTAGATAAGATGCTGATATGGATATGGTGGTTACGGCGTTATTGATTCTCTTATTTATTTTGGTTATAATCCTAACCCTAACCTTTGATATCACGAGTTTTCAGTCCAGTTCGAAATTTGCACCGCCAGCACCAGCCACGCCTGTTCGCTATATAAACTCGCCCTCCGCTCCGTTCTGTTGTTCCTCACGAACATACTTCATAGGATCATTTCTATAGTATCTGTTCTGGCATTGGTTTTCTAAACCTGCCATCGAGTTACACTCGGTTGATGAGCTTTGGCTCTTTCGTGCGATTAAGAGCGAGGATCCTCCCTTGTTTCGATGCTGTTTGAGCTTGTCGGCTTTTCCTCTTGGATTGGTCAGTGGGTTAGGCGTCGAGACACGATGAACTCTGGCCCGGCTGTGCTTTGTCTTCGGACGGCATGCTGGGTTGCACGGAAGAGCGCTCTGACGGGCTCTCTCTCCCATTTCTCCTTTGATGTTGGATTCGTCTTTCAGGCGAGTCTTATGTTGAAGATGACATGAAAGAATTCGATGTGTCTTGAGCTTTTTAGGTAACTATAACTACCCAGGTATACTGTAATCGAACACAACGTTACGTACTTTGCTGTGGAAATAACTTCGTCAATGAACTTTTTCACGCTTGCGCAATCTTCGTTACACTGCATGATTTGGACATAAACCCATTGACGTCTTGCGTCGTATACCTTCAAATGCCTACCCCATTACAATCCCATTTCGACAACAAGGGCAGCTGGTCTGATCTTTGGCAGATCAAGAAGTAACTCTCATTCCCCTTTCGTGTAGACGGCTGATGTTTACGTGCATCCAGAACTCCATGGGATAGAGGCTTCGTTTCGCCTTCTTTGGTCGAGCTCATCGAGGAGAGGAAGTTTCCGGTGATCCCTGACAACGCTCGAGAAAACGCAGCAACACCCATCGGAATCGTTCCTGGTTGCGGAAAGGGCTACGATGTTGCTTACCTGTCACGAGCACTCGATGCGCAGGTGTACGGCTATGACATCGCACCCGAAGCCGTCGAGTTAGCAAAAGCCCAATACCCCGACACAAACAACGACCGTATCAACTTTCTAGTCGCAGACTTCTTCAAAGAGTTACCAGAGGGTGTGGAAGGCCGCGTAGACTTCGGCTTCGACTACACCTTTCTCTGTGCTCTCCATCCCTCTCTTCGACCAACATGGGCAGCACGCTGGAGTGAAGTCATGAAGCCTGGTGGGCATTTGATTGCTCTGATGCACCCCATAACGGGCCATCAGGGTGGCCCGCCGTATGCGTTGACGCCGGAACTGTATCAGGAGCTGCTTGGTGACAACTTTGAAAATGTGTATTTTGAGAAGCCGGGGAAGATGCATGAGGGGGAGAGTAGTGCGAAGGATATGATGAGTGTTTGGAGAAGGAAGTAGACGAGTGTAAGTTTATACTTCGAATCCTCGCATAGGGTGTGGAAGTAACGAAGGGACTGAACGATAGCGCATTGCTGCAACATGCTTCTTCTATCAGACTACCAAAACAGCTCCGGGTACACAGTAGTCTATCTCCTCCTTCCCACACCCTCCAGACCTTTTCACTTCCACTTATACACTCGACAAAAAGAAACCCTCAAGGACACCCTCCATCCTCTTCGCCTCCTCGGCCATAAAAACCTCCTCCTCGACCCGATCCGCAAGCTTCAACACCAAATCATCCACATACGCACTACTACCCATCGAACCCCCATAGATATCCAACAACACATCCATAACAGCGCTAACACAATTAACATACCTCGCATCCCGAATCCATTTTGTGCACCATCTCAAAATCGGCGCAAGGGATTCCTGATCGCGGTTTTGGAGAGCTTGTCGCAAACCAGAACGATGACGGATTTCAGTGAGGACGGTGAGAATGGTGAGGGCTGTTGCGGAGGTGAGGACAGAGTCGAGGGCGTCGGCGTAGCGGAATGCGCGGAGGTGTTTGTCGTAGGCTCTGAGGCGCTTTCTTCGTGCTTCTTCGACTTCGACGACGCCAGAGTTTGCATCGGGTTTGTAGTCCGTTCCGCGCATGATTCGTTTGTTTGCGCTCGTGCGGTCTTTCTTTGCCTTGTTCTTTGTTACGCCTGCTGCTGGTCTGGTACGGATGGAGAGGAGTCCCGTGGTCATACCGGCAACGATGTGCTTGTCGTCTGGGGAGAGTGCGACGGAGAGTAGTGGTGCGGAGTACTTGACACCGTGAACGACCTTCCAGTCCCTGGTCTCGTAGATCTTGACATGACCATCCAATCCACCCGAAAGAACACGAGAACCGGTCTTGTCCTGCGCGAGACACGTAACACCCTTCCTGTGATTCCGGAGCTCACGAACAGGCTCAGAGCGACCAGTCGTGATATCCCAAACCTTGATCACATCGCCACCCGCAGACACCAACGTCGTACCAGCCGTTCCAACCGAAAGAATCGCATCAACTGCCTCTCCGTGCTCCCAACGTCCAACCTCTCCACCATTCTCCTTCACTCTAGGATCCCACAGACGCACCGTACCATCATATGATCCAGACGCAACCAACCCACCCGCAACGAAGCAAGCAGCCCTCACGTAGTCTTCGTGGCCCGAAAAGATGTTGGTAGCCGTCTGTGTCGGGATGTCCCATAATCTAACCGTCTTGTCGTCACTTGCCGTCAATAGCGTCGTAAGGTTCTCGGGAGAGAACTTGGTAACGTGAACGGGCAAGATGTGACCCTGCAACGACCTCAAGATATTTCTTGATCCGACATCAAAGATCTGTACGAGGCCGGCGGCGTCACCAGCTACTAGCAGCTTTCCATCCTGACGGAGTTCACCTCCGTATGCAACTTCCTTGAATCTGCTAATAGTCTTGGTCACTTGGCGGGTTTTGGCGGAGTAGATCTGTACTCTCGTAGACGCGGTGACAGCAAAGTCATATGGCGAGTTAGGTGAAAAGTGAATGTGTGTGACTGAACCGTACTCCTTAATAAGGAGCGGAGACTTGAATGTTCTCCAGTAACGCTGTTCGGGCGTCTGCTGCGCCGGCGCAACAGGGAGCTTCAGCGGCTGGAGACGAGGAGCTGCGGTGGCCATTCTGATTCGATTGGGATGAACAAAGAACGGATCAACAACTGAATTGAGGGTTTACCGTCTTGTTGATTCCTGAATTTTGAAGTTGCGATAACCAAATTTTTGGATGCGGGCTGCAAAGCTTACCGTATCGTACGTGCCTGAGCATGCTTACTCGTGGTTAATCGGAAATTTAATAATTAAACCAATCTAAAAAATCAATAACACCGGCCCCCACTATTGTTTGTCCCTGCCCAAATATCTGCTTCGTGCTAGTTCTCCTTCACCTTTGTGATCATGTAGTGGCCTTCACTTCGTCGCCAGTCGTCGTCCTTTCCCTGCCTTTGCCACTCTCGTCCTTCCTCGACGTCCTCGTTCTCCGCTGTGGCAGCTGATAGAACTCGTTGTAATTCAACCTCACCCCCAAGAACCTCATCTCAGAATCTGCCTGATATGCCAGATCACCCAGTAGTACCTGGAGTCTTGCGCTGAAATTCGCTTTCAAATCATTCAGGCGCTCGCACAAAACGTCCAACTCCGATGATTCTTGTGATTGGTTGGAAGAGGCACCGATGTAACCCCACTCACCACGTGCCGTTCGGGATTGAGCTTCTGCTTTCTCTTGAGCGACACGCGTGAACTCGTTCACCGCCACTGTGTAGAGGGCGTCCATCGCATCCTTGTGAGCCAGAATGGTCTTGAAGATCTCATGCAGCTGCGATAGGAAAGAGTTTGCCTTCCCCAATCGACTGGTATCGAGGAGACCCTTCTGCGTAATGGACGAGATATACGTCGCATGTGCCTGAATAAGGGTGTCAAGCGTAGCATCAGGCTTCGTACACTCCGCTTGAAACGTATCCCAAGAACTCTCAAGCACCTCAAAAAGGATGTAGTACTGCAACTGACACACAAAGTGCACCATCTCCTCCCCCAGACATCGCGCCCTCATCCACTCTGCTTTCATTCTTGGGCTCATATCCCTCAGAACACCCCTTGCGCCTGTTGCCGTCTTTCGCCATATTGCGGCCAAGGCGTATTCGACGCGCTTGATACTCCACAAGAAGTTGAAGACACGGAGGTAGCCGCGCGCACATTCGGGAGTGACGACAACGTCGACTGGTGACTCAACCTTGTACTCAAGGGTGAAGACATCCCAACCGGTCTCTCCATGCGATAGCTCCAGCATACGAGCATCAAGTCGCCGCAGGACATCTGCATCCTCGTATTGCGCATTCGACTCTCTGATCGCAGTATCGAGCGCAGAGGTGAGGTTATGTCTATGCAACAGGATCGCCGGTTTATCCAAAGAGTCTCCCAACGTCTCCATCAATAGCGCAATGAAGTCACCTTGACCAAGCAACAAATACCGCTTGTACGCCCCCAAATGATGGAAGAGATGGAACCTATTCCGCATCAAATCCATCAACCGCGACGTCGTTGTAGTATACGCCTTATCGATACTCGCCTCCAGAGACGACCCAGAAATATCGCCATACTCGCCGCCATCAGACGCAGCTCTCGCCTCACGCGAGTGCCTCTCGACCCATTCCGCATCACCGCACTGATACCGAAGGAAATTCAGATTCTTTCCGGTTAGAAAAACTTTCTTCGCAAGTGCCTCGGACATAAAGCCTGGGATCATGGCTGTTTGAAGAACATACTTCCCATTCCATACCGCGCCACGCTGATTCGGCTCCGCGTCTCGGACAAAGAATTCTTCATAAGGATCCAGAAGCTCACCATCGTAGATCCACCGACACAGCATCTCGTAGAACGGCAACGTGATCTTCGTTACCAATCTCTGTGCAAAGGTGTTCACGAACGGATCACCATGCGTGCCGAAATTATGGATGGCGGAGATAAGCTCACCACCCTTGAGCTCCGGATGTTCAATCGCCTCAACCATGACCGACATTAATCTCAATCCCATCGTAGCCTCACGCGTCCATGCCACGCAACGTTTCAGTGTGATCCCTGCCTGTGCTGATCCAATACTCATATTCTCCTCGGCATCCACTAGTTCCCGCCGAATTTCTCCCTCGATCGCAGCTACAAGTCCGAGATACTTGGTTAACTCGGCTCCCAGCGCCGAACGGAAACTCTGTCCCACCAATCCACCTTTCTGTCCTTTATCCGCATCATTCACGAACGCATTGAGACGTCTGTATAGTAATGCCGGCTCTGCAAGAGAATGCAACAGGGAGATGAGAGGTGGTGGTAAATTTGCAGGAAAGCTGAGCGTATCTGATTTCGAAAATGGAAGGTGTGTACTCGGTAGACCTTGCAACGTGAACGGGATGTCCCGCAGTAAAGTCTTTTCGCTAGGTACCGCATGATCTTTCGCTCTTTGCTGTCTGTATTCTGCCAGTAACTGCGCCTTTGTTTTGGTCGGTGCTGGTCTCGAAGAGGCTGTTGAAGAGAATGTTGATTGCACCGGATCATCCAAAGTCCGCTCAGGGATCTTGTGTAGTCCCATGTACGAAAAGGCCGCATTTATGTCGCGCGTTTCGGGATCCGCGGCATTGATTTCTGCGTTATTCGAAAGGTTGTATAGGAGGTAAAGAATAGCCCATTTGTTGTGGAGAACCGGTGAGGTCTGAAGACGGGAATAGAGATTGGAAAAGCGCAGCGCATCTTCGGGCGTTTCGTTGTCCTTCAACACTGTAAAATCGTGTCAGTGTAACTGCAATTGACTGGGTCTGAATGCTCATACGCTTCTTCTTGATCAAGTCTGATACATGCGATACATCGGCCACAACTGACGGTTGCATGCGACTATTCGCTGCGGTCAACACTTGCGTAAAATCACATCTGAAACTCTCACCTTGCCAACATCCTCTTACATAGCTCCGCCATCTGCTGTTGACGCGCGACACCTGCTTCGGCCGGAACATGTAACTCCACCAGCCGGTTGAGGGCATCGGTGATTCGCGCATCGGTCATGGTGTACTGAACTGATATACACGGTCACTCTTATCGCATGGACCAACGACCTGGACTGGCTGCTGCACGGTGATGTAAAATGTATCGAGGGTATGTTTTGGTGTTTTGGGTTCAATTGAGTCGCTGCAGGGCGCCGGCGCGTCGCGCCTTGCACGTGTAGAGACGCCGAGCTGGGGAGTTTTAAGTTGGAATGGGGACAAGCTTGAGACGCGATGGAACTGCTATATGGCTCTCTAAGCCTATCATACTTTGGCAACTTGCCTCCTGCAAGCGTCGCCGATGCGAGCGTCGAGCGGGCTCAGTCCGTATCTCGACCACGGCTGCCCTGTTTTGCAGACCAGCAGCTCCACGGAAGGATTTATCTTCATACATGCACCTTCATGATCAAGTAGGTCCAGGCACTCTGTCCTTCCCTCATAATCCGCGTCTCGACAGGTCCTGCTTCGGTAGATTGCGCATACCCTACTGGTTCACGGCACAACACATTGTTGCCCATTTGATTTGAGCCATGTCTTCATGAACATTCGCCTTCCACTTTTGAGAACTGTACTCTCGAATTCCTCCAGTGTTCTCCTCACTGACCTCCATTAGCGGCAGCAGTGGCCTGCTTATTCCTCTTCTTCTTCTTTGCCTTCTTTGACTTCTCCTGTTTATAGCTGTCAAACGAGAATCCACCCATCTTGCTACCACCCTCCTTCTCTTCAGACTCCGAATCAGACGCATCCGCCTGAAGCTTCTCCCCAACAGGAGCAGGCACAGCCTTCCTCTTCTTGCCTATTGAACCTCGGCCCTCTTCCTCGTCGTCGGATGATTCCTCTTTCCGTGCGGTAGTGGTAAGCTTCGCTTCAGTTCGTCGAGGTGGTTGCCGGCCGAGAAGTTTGCGCTTCAGCTTTGCGGTTGCGTCCATGGGTGTATTCTTCTTGTTCATCTCTGCACTGGAGGCGCCGAGGCCAAGCCTGTAAACGCGTTAGGCATTGGTACATTCAGGAATAAAGTGTCAACGAGTTCACCTGGGAGGCCTCGGAACCAGTAACGAGTCGTCATCCTCATTTTCATCGACTTTGCCAGACTCGCCTGATTCTTCAGGTAACCAGGAAGATACCAACTTGCGCACAGCAGCGGCAGAGTGGTCGAGTTTTGCCTGGATTTCGGCAGTATTTGAAGATTGTTTGCGTGCTGTAGCCATCTAAGCGTCTCTGTGAGCTCTGAATCAGATCGTTTACTGTACGTGGTAGGTCGTAAGCCTCTTCGATCGCGAGACACCAAAATGCGAGCCTCATGTAACGTTGACAAAGGTCAGAAGTAAAAGACAAAAAAAGGAATCCATTGAAACATAACAAGCAAGTAAAATAAAGTAAAATCTATCGTCCAGTTATCTGGAACTTTTTTTGAAGTGTCTCGAAACGGCCAGCCGTGAGATGAAACTTCGCTCCGGTACCCATTTTTCCAATGTCCTGTATCATATAACTCCGTATTTCCAATAGCCCAATATGCCGATAGTGTATGTTGAACTCCAGTTCCATTCCGTTTGTCGTTTTCCTTTTATTTTCGTCCGTAGAGCTTGACACGGTTTAATTCTCACGTTACATGGGCGGATAAGACCTCCACAGAGCGAATAACCTTTCGGCATGACGCCAGGTTGTCTCCTTCATGCAACGGTGGTTAGCGACCTTTACTCGACGTGTACGAATATCTTCGTGATCCTCCAAGATTCGCAGCTCCTCCCTTTCATTATAATACTCCATTGTAGCACTCAACTGATCGAAAACATCCATGCCCTGGCCAGGAGGAATCATGAGCCCACGGACGCGTTGGATTTCAGCTTGGTAGGCCTTCTTATCGGCTTCTCTTTCGTTCCACCTGGAATGAGCCTCGAGCTCGTCGGCATGAAGGTCGTCGAGCAAGCGTAATGCCTTCAACCGCAGGGATGCAAGTACACCCTCGAACTCGTCCTGAACGAGATGGGCGACTCGAGTGGGCGGAGCGCTCGGCAAGGCACGCTCGAGGTAGCGTGGGGGAAACGATGTCGTATTGTAAGCATCTTCTTCCATGACAACGTGTGCACGCTGAACGATCTCGTCGAAATACCAACCGGTACTTCCCGCCTCGGCCTCCTCCTTCTCGGGCAAGTACTCTTCATCAAACGGAAAAACGGCCAGTGTCGTCCTCAAGATTTGTCCGGCATCAGCGCCAGAAAGGTGCCAGTAAATGATGTCGTGCCCTTCCTCTTGAGCGTCGTCCTGATGGAGATGGATAAACCACTCGCCGACACACCACCAAGCTTCTTCTCTTTCGTGGGGTGGACGACCCGTTGGCCTAACAATCAAGAAAGCCTGGAGCAAATTGATTTGGTCGTCGATGTCGAAGAGCGGAAGTGGCTGTCCCTGGGGCACCGGAGCACGACGGCGGGCGATCAGCGGTGTATCAGGAGGGGAACGCAGCGGGGCGTCCCCATGATCACCGCCCTGATTTTGCGAAGCGTTATTGTTGGTATAACTCTGAACAATCGTAGCTACACCCCGGGTAGCCGGTGCGGCGGCATGAACAGTTACAGCCTGTGCTGCAGTCCTTGCCTGTACAGGCAGTACCGGGAGGTATAATTCCAACGGCGAGAGTTGAAAGCCGGGTGCGGTGCTCCCTGGGTAGCGGAAGTGGTGAGAGATGTTCCCAGCGTTGTTGTTGTTGATAAGGTTGACGGGCATTTTAGATCGCAATATATTCAAAAGAAACAAGAAGGGGTATCAGATCTAGATCAAAGCCCAATATAAACTCGAAGGTTTATTGGTATACAGATCAAGAAGATCAAAGGTAAGGCAAGGTTTGAAGAGTGCCTTCGAAGAGGGTGAGTGGTCGCCTCTTTATATGCGATTCCCCATTCCCACCCATGTGCAGACCAGCAAGACGGAACTGTGCATCCGCGTTCAACAGTGCCAGCTTCTGCCCAGCAAGTACGCGAGCTGAGTAAGCATGTGTTTCATCCATATGCTCGACGGAGGCTCAGCACTTGCTATTGGCCATGCCTTCCTTCACCTCCGACTTTTTTGAGTGAAATGAAAGCCGATCGCCGAGATACGGAACTGGGCTGCGTGCTCGAATGTACTACAAGGGCGCTAAAGATATTTCGGGAGAGTGAGGCCTCTGAGGGAGTCGACATTTCGGTAAGAACAAAGAGAACCCAGTGGGCATGAGCCGTGCCGTCTCTGTTGAAAGAAACAGCTGATCGGAGACCGAGGAGAATATTTGGCTATCTCGCCGCCTGCCATGAGCAGTGGATCAATGGCAACCCAGCTTGGGATAAGCTTCCGCCGGGGAGCGACATGTTACCCAAGCAGTCATTAGTAAGCCCAATATGATCCGAAACACTCTAGTGAGCGAGCTGCGTCGCATTTGGCGAGATTTTATGTCGCAATGCCATTTCAGTCCCCTTCAACCGTCGTACCCGGCGAATTAGGTTTGCCACTAGCTTCGTACCCGATGTCACCATACAATATAAGAGTGCCAAAGAATGCGTCAATGTAAGAAATGTCGAACATGCCCCGATCGCGATGAGGCTGGGGTCCCTCCGATTCGTCCGGGGGGGGGGGGGTCCTTTGCTCGAGGGGAAATCGGAGGGCGCGCCGACAGGTTGCAGACAGACCCTTGCTCACACCTCAATATTCGGCTCCGAAACAGGTCAACTTCGCTTCGGGTCAACAAAAGTAAAGCATTCAATGCGGGCGAAAGGAGATTGCGAAAATGCCTCGTTCGGGATTTGAGTTTTTCCTTGGCCTCAGCAATTGCGTTGTCGCAATCGTTGTACGTAAGCAGCGCTGCGCCCGAATTTCATTTAAGTAAGGTTGCATTGGGCCCATGGAGACGAAGCTTCCCGCCCGGGCGCCGCGGTGCTCGTCGCCGACGGAAGCCAGTACTGGAGGCCGTCTATGTAGAATCCGTCGTCACAGGCAGCTGATCCTGCTTTTCCTTCCGTCTTTGCCTATCTGCTTCCCGGCGGTTCACGGGCTTTGGCCAACGACCGAGCACGTATATATACACGTATACACGCACCTCGAAACTCGCCAACCCAAACACCGAAATTTATTTGCTGATCTAAAGGGTAAGGCTAAGCCATTTCCTTTCGTCACTTCCGCTTGTCCTCGGAGTACGGAGACCGTACCCCTCGGGTTCATTTCATTGGTGAAACCGGATGTGTACATTTGAGACGTACACGTCCTCATCCGGACATTCTCGATGACTACGATGGCGAAATGCGATCGCGATTGACTCGACGGTGCAAAATGATGCTTTTCAACAATAGCATGTATTACCCTATCGTCATTCCTCCTTCTTTACTGGAGGAGGACTGACTTGCGGATCCTCATTTTGAACTGATTTTTGCCGTCGACGTCACATGCGTTCCTAATTTATACATCTTTACAAAAAGCACTGCTAACTAAGATTATACAGCTGGACACCTCAAGCTCCTTGCCAGAGTGTTGGGACCCGCACATGGAAAGAGTTCCAATACAAATGGCGCATGTTGAAACTAAATGGAGGTAAAAGAGTATACCGTCGGTAGCGGATTATATCGAAGAAGAACGCGAAAGTGGTTATACAAGTGCACATGCTCACGTACATGGAATCATAGTTGTCCGGTGGCGGGTCATTTATTCTATCTACGAATACTACCTACGAGTTTGATATGTGGAGAGCTGTATACTACCTCACCTCCGGTTAAACTCATCGTAAGGTCGGTCCTGAAAAAAGCCTCCCACGTCCGTGATACGGCCCCGAAGAGACGGCACGTCCAGTGTCTCTATTTTGCACCCTGCTTCAACCCAAGATTAAGAGAGAAGAACGAGGTGCACCCGACGATGATTGAACCGAGCTGAGAGTATCAGTCAACAGCGTCACGGGGTCAATCGCAAGACAAGGAATCTTGAAAGACGCTGTGGTGTACCAAATCGTCGGGGTTTGAGGAAGGAGAGGAACTCGGAGTAACCGTACGAGTCGGCCGCGGGGTGCGTACGCGTGCGGCGCCTTGCAGCAGAATTCATGAGCGAGGTGAACTCAGAATTTGAGAGATATGGAGACTCTATCGCCTGAAGGACTTCGATTGGGTATGTTTTCTTCATATTACAAGTAGCTGGGTTTGATTAGGTGTATTAACCATGGTGTGCAGACGGCCGTCGCTGGAACGAACTCCGCAGCTTCACATCCCGTATCTCCCTCCTTCCAGACGCCGATGGCTCCTCCTACATCGAACACGGCAATACAAAAGTCCTCTGCGCAGTCCGTGGCCCCCGGGAACCCCTTCAACGGGGTACCGCACACCCCGAAAAAGCAATCATCACCGTTGACCTCTCCGTCCCCGCCTTCTCTACCACTGACAGAAAAAAGCGGTCAAGAACCGACAAGCGGTTACAAGAGTGGTCAATGTTGGTTGAGGATGTGTTTTCGGGTGGAGTGTTGGTGGGGTTGACACCGAGAAGTGAGATTAGTGTCAGTTTGCAGGTGTTGAGTCAGGATGGGGGCATGCTTGCGGATTGTGTGAATGCGGTCACACTAGCAATTGTGGATGCAGGGATTCCGATAAGCAATTATATCTGTGCCTGTACGGCCGGGTCGTATGACAATGAGCCATTACTAGGTGTGTGGGGTTGTGACTGTCGCTTGTTGGACTTCGCTAACTCTTTTCCACAGATCTGAACAACGTGGAGGAAAATGACATGGCATACTGCACAGTTGCAACGCAAGGAGCGACGGAAGATGTTGCGTTACTACAGATGGAGACAAGACTGCACCAGGACAAGTTTGAGAACATGTTCAGTGTTGCCATTGCTGGCTGTGCGCAAATCAAGGAGATGATGGACAAGACCGTGCGGAAGACCAGCAAGGCATACCTGGATAAGTTGGAGGAGCAGAAGGAGTGAGTGCTCAGTCGAAGATGTTGGGAGTTACAGGACGTGATCCAGATATCCGGGCTATCACATCCAGATCAAGAACCGGTGGGAGCCCACGATATCGATAGAAGTCCAATGAGCCGAAGGACGGCCCACAGTTCAGTTACGAGGAGGAATTCGATACAATAACTTCCTTCGATTCGATCTCCCCGATCCAGTCGTTGTCGATATGTGCGTAATGTTCGATTCATGACGTCATGAGCGAGCACCGTGCTCAGCGTTACAAAACCACCAAACCTCCCTTCCTCCCTCCCTTGACTACCATCGACCAAGAAACAAACAAACAGCATACACTTACAATGGAAGCAATCTTTGGCAAATCTTTCACCGCAGACGACATCCCTGACCTGGCCGGGAAGGTCTACCTCGTCACCGGTGGTGCTCAGGGTATCGGGTTCGGTACTACCTACAACCGTGCGTCTCTTTCCCCCTTCCTGGCACTGAAGGACTGCTAATACGTATGGTGATAGTCTTGAAGCACAACGCAACTAAAGTCATTATTATCTCCCGTAACCCTGAAATCGCTACCGAAGCCAAAGAAACCCTCGCAAAAGAACTCGGTCCAGACGTCCACGACCGTGTCCAGTGGATCCAATGTAACCTCTCGAACCTACCGGAGACTGACGAGGTTGCCAAAAAGATCGCGCGGAGTGAGCGTCGCTTGGATTGTATCGTTGCTAACGCCGGTATCGGAATCGACAAATATTCGATGGGTCCGAGTGGGATCGAGGAGCACATGGCTGCGAACCACTTTGGTCACTTTATCTTGATCCAGCATTTGATGCCGCTCATCAAAGAGAACAACAACAAGTTTGGAACCCCTGGACGTGTGGTAGTCACCTGTTCCGAGAACCACCGCTGGGCGAAATCCGACACCAAATTCGCGAGTGTGGATGAGTGTAACGAGGATATCGGCCCCACCTATCTCTACAATAGGGCTAAACTCGCCAACATCCTCATGGCACGTCAACTCATCAAGCACCACCTCTCAGGACCCAATCCGCCCCGTGTCTACATTAACTCGATCCACCCCGGCGTCGTCGCAACGACTCAACAACACGTCGCCGCAGATACGTACGACAAGAACGAGGGATATGGTGTCTTGCCGCATATCGCGCACGCCGTCATCCGCCCCTTCTTGAAGGATATCTTCGAAGGGTGTATCAGTGAGTGTTATGCCGCTACAAGCCCGGAGATTGAGGAGAAGGAAGTTCAGGGGAAGTACATCATGCCCCCGAACTCGATTAAGGAGGGAAGCTCGATGAGTTTGGATGAGGAGTTGGGCGATCAGTTGTGGAGGTTGTCTATCCAGGTTGTCAAGGATAAGACTGGGACAGTGTTTGAGTAAGCTTAGCATGCTGGAAAGGAAACAGGCATGGTGTACGATAGGATGGGTTAAGCATGTTTCACATTATAGAAGTGTAGTTGTATTGTGAATTCATTGCATTATGGAAAGCCTGTATGAGGTCCTTGCTCTTTCTCGTATCACGCCCCTGGCATCTTTATAGTTCTCCAAGTAACGTCCTTCCTCTACACGTATTGCTCAGAATTATCTTCAAGATCCTACTCTGTATCGGGTTTCTCTCAGCAAGCCACTGCAAAATGAACGCCCCGAGGATAGGCCAATAGCTGTCCTTGCACACACCATCCCTTCAAGCTTCTGTAACCTCCGGCGCTGCAGCCGCGGCCCTCTTTGCATCCAGATCCGCCTTCGTCAGCGCCTCCATCTTCCTAATCTCCTCCATCGTCATCCCATACCACTTATCAATCCAACAAAACAGCTGTTTATGGAATTTGATCTGTAACCCCTTCAACGTCCCTCCAATGAAACTCTCCACCTTCGTTTGGAGTCCCATCCACTTAAACTCGATTTTGAAGAGCTTGTATGCGCACATGACTGGGTCGGCGGTTTGTTGCCATCCCTCTTTCAGGGGTCCACGACCGGTTTTGGTAGAGTGGAAGAGGGCGGGGTCTTCCTCTGGCTTATAGTCCTTGGCGGGGACGGTGTCGGTGAGGATATCGACAGGGATGACTTCCCGGATTTTAAGATCTTTGGCGGAGAGGTTGTGGATGTTTTCTTGGGTTCCGGTGTCGTTTGGTGCGTGGATTGTGATACATTCGAGGGTGAAGTTCTTCTTCATGTAGCCGTTCGTGAGGACTGTACCACGCCATTAGTATCTCTTTGCAGATAATATTAATCGTAGACATGTAACACCTGTTCTGCAGTATGGATACGCATTCCAAGCTTCCTCATACACCTCCGTCGCCCCCGCCGGCAAAAAAGCCCGAAACCAACTCGGAATCTTACTCTTCAGGTGAATGACTTTCTTCGTATATTGTCCCTTCCCACTATCATTCTCGTAGGGCTCGTTGGCGAGGACTTCGATGCCTTCTCCGCCCCCGGTTTCGGATTTGGATGCTTCGGCGACGGCGTAGAGTTGGGCTACTTGGTACTCGTCGAGGGAGACGGGCATTGGAACGCGGAATTCTTTGATGAGCATTTTGATGGACTTTTAAGGGGGTAATGGGGGTGTATGCTGTTGAAGTTGGATGTTTGTGTTTTCTCGGTGTGAAGGTTAGGTTTACCGAGTGAGCACCTTGTGGGGTGAAGGTGCGCGACGTCATTCCATACCCACCTTGACTCGGTGAACATTTTGAGGGGAGTAAAGTCCGTAACGACTCATGCAATTGGGTATCACCTATTTCAATGCTCCTGTCTATTCCGCTGTACTCTCGCACCGAGCTTCTCCATTCTTTTCCAAGACCAACCAATATCATCGATCATCAGGGTATCGATACCACCCCTAAATCACAAATTCCGAATTCACGTCTGCTTCCTGTTCCCTCCTTGTTGTTCGTCAAATAACATCCTCCACCGGTTCATCATAATACTCCCCCCACCCCCTCCTCCCATCCCTATCTCCCCCCCACCTCGTTTCCTTCCCCTCCTCCCCATCCTCAACCCCATCCCTAACCCCCTCCTCCTCATCCTCCATCCACCCTCCCAGATCCCCCGGAATCTCCTGCATCTGCACACTCGGCGCAAAATTCAAATACCTCAACTGCTCCATAACCCCAACCCTCACCCCATCCAAGTACTTTCTCGTATTCCTATTCTCCACCCTTCCCGTAAGTCTCGGATGTAGCGTATAATCCGGTCCGAAGAATTCGAGATAAGGAGTTGTGGCGGGGAGGGTGGGGGAGAGTGCGGTGTCGAGGCAAATGGAGGTTTCGTAGGTCCAGCAGCGGGCGACGTTACGGACTGTGTAGCCGCCGCCGCCGAGGACGAGGGTTGGGAGGCCGAAGGATTTCACGAAGCGGACACATTCACCGTGGGCTTTGATTGAGAGGTTGAAGCAGCCGAGACGGTCGCAGCCGAGGGAGTCGGCGCCGCATTGGAGGACGATGGAGGAGGGTCGATAGGAGTTCATCACTGGTTCCAGGATGGCGCGGAAGAGGGCGATGTAGGAGTCGTCGTCGATGCCGTCGCGAAGGGGGATATTGAGGGAGTGATGGGCGCCGAGGGAGACGCCTGATTCGGAGAGGGAACCGGTACCGGGGAAAAAGTCGCCGTTGTATTTGTGGAAGGAGAGGGTCATTACCCTGTCTGTGGAGTAAAAGGCTTCTTGGACTCCGTCGCCGTGGTGGAGGTCGATGTCGATGTATAACACCCTTGGATGATATCGTAATAAATTCAGAATGGCGAGGACGATATCGTTGACGTAACAAAACCCCGACGGCTCGAATTTCTTTGCGTGGTGTAACCCCCCGCTCCAATTAATCGCAATATCAGCTTCGCCTGTCGCTAGTTTCCGCGCAGCGTCGAGGGATGCCCCAGCGTAAGTCTGACAAAACTCATACATCCCATCAAAGATGGGACAATCGTCCCCAATATTGAACTTCGGGAACATCCCCGCCATGCCCTCCGCATTGGCCGGCGTGACCCTCTTCAAGAAATCCAAATACTCGCTCGCATGGAAATTCTGTAGTTCCTCATATGTCGCCTTCCGAGGTTTGTAGATCGACATTTTGTGGTGGAGGCCGTAGCCGAGGACGAGGTGGTTTGTGAGGGTGAGGCGGTGGGGTTTCATGGGGTGACGTTCGCCAAAGTGGTAGTTTCCGACAGATTCATCGTGGTGGTAGGTTACTTTTAGTTTTTGGGGGGCGGTGCGGTAGGAGGTGTGGTCGTAGGGTGGGGGAGTGGATTTGGCGGAGACCGAGATGGTCGGTTCTTCGTACGCCATGGTTGGCTGGAGTTATGGAGGGTATCCTAAGTATGGTTTAGATGCTGTGAAAGAACGGTGGATGGCTTCTTGAAGGTGCTGGAGGTTGATTGATTCTTCGTTACATGGACGGCGGCGGTTGATCTCTCGGCGGTGTATTGCATGAGGCCTGCAACGTTATGCATCCTGCAGAACCTCACCACCAAGAAACCTCAGAACACCGTGAGATCAGTCTGGAAAATACCGTCTTCGAAGCCCTCTAGACACTATTCGAGAGCTCTATACATCAACACCAAACGAACTATCACTGAGAGTGATCCGTTGAGAGCAGTCGCCACTGTTACGTACTTCTGGACCACGTGATCACCTCTCTTGAACGACTTTGAGAGCGTTTCAACCTTCAAGAGACTTGAGAAATCTCCTAATCAACATCCAATAACACGCCATGGACGCCGGCGAAGTCCTAACGGACTATATCTCCTCCCTCGACAACCTCCCCCTCGAAGTCCAACACATCTTCTCCGAACTCCGCGCAAAAGAACTCCGCCTCACCGAAGTCCGCAAAAAGATAAACAACCGAGACCAAGCAATCCACAAACACATCCGAGCAAATGGGAGTTTGGTGGAGTTTCCGAAAGAGGGTGTGTATTATCAGAAGATTCGGGAGGGGTATGAGATGGCGTTGAAGGTGCAGGAGGAGAAGTGTGCGTTGGCTAATAAAGCTATGCTCCTTGTACGTCCCCAGTACTCGACTCCTCTTACGCAAGGCTAATGTGACCATGACCATAGTTGGACCGTCACCTGAAGGCATTGGACACAGACATCAAGAAACTCCAAGTCGATGGCGCCCTCCCCTCAACCGCCCCCCTCGTCCCACCAACTCTCCTCCCCACCTCCTCATCCTCACGCCCTTCAATATCCCACTCCCACCATACTCCTTCCCACAGCGTTTCTCACCGCCCCCAAGCCCCCACCCACGGACGCCCCCCAACTCCCCCATCCCCAGATCCCGACTCCGACCCCGAAGACGCCGCAGGAAACGAAGATAATTCGACATACTGTTTCTGTAACCAAGTCTCTTATGGAGAGATGGTTGCGTGCGACGCGAAGGATTGTCCGAGGGAGTGGTTTCATTATGGGTGTGTGGGGTTGAAGGCGCCGCCGGTTGGGAAGTGGTATTGTTCGGATTGTTTGGTGAAGAGGCAGAATGCGAGGGGTGGGCGAAGATAAGATAATATCGAGCTCGTTGCATTTGGGAATCTTTGGGGTGGGAGCATTTCAGCAGAAGGAAATCATTATTCATCCTTTTTCAGTAGCTATCAAAAAGAAAATAGCCTGCAAATGCCAATGTTTGCATTCATAATCACCATACATGTAGGCGGCGGGTATAACGGGGGTTTTCCTGGCATCCTGACATGAACACCTGTACCCAGCCGTGTATCCATACTCGAACCAGAACCAATCCAAAAAGAAAGTTGAACACCAAACGCTGCCATGCCAATACATACTTCACTCATCTTATCGTGTATCTTTTTTGTTAAAATCCACTCCACTGACCCACACTATCGAACGACTGTGGTCTCTGCTGTGGCTGCTGCTGCTGCTGTTGATGCTGCACATCCCCATCCTGCGGCGCAGCACTCCACCCCATCATCGACCTCATCTCCTCCATACTCGGCGTCCCACCCTCCCCCTGATCAACCCCCACCGTCCCCCGATACAGCGTACTCGTCAACATCTCCGGAATTTCATCCTGGTACCCGTGTAAACTCCCACCCACACTCGACATGTATTCGTCCCATTTTGTCCAAGAGAAGGGGAGCATGCCGCCCCCCATTCCGCCGCCGGTGAAGGAGGGTGCCGCGGGTTGCGCGGGCACTGGGTCGGGGTGGTTGGGGTTGTGGGTGGGTGGGGTTAGATCGGGAGTTTCGGGGAGTTTGCGGCGGTATTGGTCTAAGCTCGCTTCGATCGATTGAGTTGTTCCGAATGGACTTGAAGAAGCCATGTTCGGCGGATATGACGAAGCCTGTAGGAGCCGCTGATTCGCTTGCCGCAATTCTTGGTTCCATGCCGGGGTCTTTGCCGTCGACAGACGGCCAACAGAGCTTGAACCAGTCTGCCCATCAGTGCTCTCACTCGAATTCGCTCTGGTCGCAGGCGTGAAGCTGAAGTCCATCATGATCTCCGACCCACCAGGTCCCGTCCTCAACCCCGCACTACTCGCCCCACTTCCAAAAGGCAACGGCGGCCCCTGCCCATGTCCACTTTTCTGCCCTACCCCTCCCTTATCCGACTTCTCAACATACTGCACAGTAGCCTTTGTCAAGACCGTAATAACCTCCCTCATCTTGTTCGCAGCCTTCAACCTCTTCCCAATCTCCGACAACAAATTCTTCACCATATCCATCTCCCGTTTCGTTTGATCGATCGTCTCGGGTTTGAGGTGTCCCTGCTTTTCCCAGAGGGAGTAGAGGATCGTGAAGGCTGCGAGCATGTGGATGGAGATTGTGTGCCAGGATGAGTCGACCATGCCGTGGAGGCGTTGGTGGTCGCGGATGCGGATTATGGTGCGGGAGGATTCGGCGCAGAGTGCGAGGCTTGCGGCGCTGAATTGGGGGGAGGGGGAGAGGGCGAGGGAGGGGTGTCGGATGAGTATTTGGAGTTCGTGGTAGGCGACGATGATACTGGCCGCTTGGTGGAACAAGGCTTGGGTCTCTGGGCTTTCGCGTTCGTTGTACACCAGATAGGGCGGAATGCCCGCTTTCGCTTCCTTCATCTCCTTTTCCAATCCCTCGACCAAGGAGACATACGTCTGCCTACTCGGTCTCTGCACGCTATAAAGTCGTTCCGCAACTCGACCACCGATAACCACAATTTTATGGATTTCCTTCGCTGGAGCGAGCCGGGAAATGGTATGAGGTGGTTGCCGTGGGTACGACAGATTCGTCGAGGTGAAATATTCGTCATCTTCGCAAGTCGGTGGGTTCACGTTGTAATCTGGTTCCTTCAGCGCCATGGGCCTGCCCAAGGAGTTTGCGATGAGGCGATCGATACTCAGTACGGCGTAGAAAACCCTTTTCCTAATTTCTTTGTCGAGAGGTAGGTAGTAGTTCCCTACTGAATCAAGACGGTGCAGGCCCAACTCCACAGCCATCCCAGCTGAGAGACGTGATAGGTACCACAAGCCCCCCGCCTTGGTCTTTTGTCGTAAGTACACCAACATCAACATCAACGCTTGCAAATGCTCCAGAGCCGGCTCATGGAACAACTGGTCAAAGTACGGGATAGCTCTGCCAGCGAAGACTTGATCGCCATCCAAATTCGTCGCAATAATCGCAAACACCATATTGTACTGAAACATGAAGGGGACAGTCGGTACATAGTCGGGTGTAGAGTACATCTTGTCCAACTCGTCGTAGAACGTCTTGGCGTGGAGGATCGGCATAAATGTATGCACATTCTCGAAATACGCATCAACGAACTGGTATGCAATATCTCTCGGCGGCAACTCTGGTTTGCCAACATATAGAGAGGGTCCATTCCGCAGCCGACCCCATACAGAAGCGGCCTCCGTTCCGACGTTCAGGTTAAGATCCGAGACATCGACGTCGACGCCAAGAGTCGTGGACGCTGCCTCACGAAGCGAATTGAGAATGAGAAACCCGCTGGAACGACCAGGATGCGGACCGCCTTCGCGGAAAGCCATGTTATCTGCGGCATAGATATCCGACTCGGCGAGTATGCCGTTGGGGTAATATGGCATGTCATCCCCACCACGTGCGGCTCCGGCTCCAGTTGCCGTACTGGATTTCTCCCTCCACGCATCAGGCCTTGGGCTAGACGACGTCTCATCCGCTCCCCTCTTATTGGGAGTCTTCTCGCTTCCACCTTCCTCGCCTATACTCAATTCGCTCACAGGAGGTGGTAGTTGGATATTCGGGTCACGCTCACGCAGCATACCCTCCAACAACCCAATCCTGTCTTTGAGGTCCTGCACATACGCCAACTTGCGCTCCAACGTCTCCACGTATCCACGCGGGACAGCTTTTTTGGTGATACGGTCGGTCGCTGTACATGTCACGTTCGCGACGAGACAAGGCGTACAAGACGGTAAAGCACCATCACACTTGATCTTGCGTCCTCGACATCGGTCGCACTGTAGTCCCACCCATCAGTATCAACACGCATATACTCCGAGGGATAGAGGGTAAACGTACAGCCTGTCCAGTCCTCTTGATTTTCTGGCGCTTTGTTGGCGGATCAAACGGGTCGTCCTCTTGGAAAGACTCGGCCATTCTTGACGGGAGCAGCCGAGTTGACGATGCCGTTGTTTGTTTGGTGTATGGGTCGTAGCTTAAGCTTCGGGAGTTGCCGCGCCGTCACCTGCCTTGTGTGGGGAAGCATGTGCAATTGGGGTCGCCTATAAATAGTAACACCATGGAAACTCAGAAACTCAGAAACGCAGAAACGCAGAAACGCAGAAACGCAGAAACGCAGAAACGCAGAAACGCAGAAACGCCGTGCCCTATCCTCCTTTATAATTGCTCCTCCATCTTCACCTTTGATCATCCAGCAACTCCCGCCTCTGCGCATAAAACCTCCTCAACAACTTCTGTCTCTCCGCACTCGTCATCTCCAGCACCCTCAACGCAAACTCCTCCCTTCCTTCTCCATCCAGACTATACCCCTCAGCCAAAGCCATACTATTAAACTGCCTCATCGCAACATCCCTCGGGACATTCCCGACCTGATACTTATCCTGATCCCCACTCGCTTGTAGATAGGCCGGCTTCGAGGCAAGAGCGTCATTATCCGCTGCCGTCGCAGCAGCTTTCGAGATCTTCGCCTCCAACTCCGACGGACCAATGATCTCCGAGTTGTTATGCGTATACTCCACCCCAACCTCCGACAAAATCGCAGTCACCGGGTCAACCGTCCTCTTCCGATACACAGCATCCTCATTCCCCGTCTCTAGCAATTTCGCAATCTGACTCGTCCCAGACGTCCCATCCTCATCAGCTCCTTCCTGCTGATCAGCATCACCGACATTCATATCTGCGATATCATACTGCTGCTCCCTCACATTCGTCTTATTCACGATGCCCTTCAAGAGCATACGCCCCGAGTCATACGTAAACATGTTCCCCAACCCAAATAACTCGCCCTGTCGTCCCTCGGCGCCCATGACACCCTTGAAATACCTCCGCTCCTCACTGGCTTCGTACCCGATATTCGCCTGTTGCTGCTTGTAGATTTGACGGGCATAAACGTTCTCCTCGATCGTACCCGCCGAGATGAGACGGTATACCTCCACATCCCTCAACTGCCCAATCCTAAACGCCCGATCCTGCGCCTGCAAGTCATGCGCCGGGTTCCAATTCGGATCAAATATCACAACCTTGTTTGCGGAGACGATATTCAACCCCACGCCCCCCGCCTTCGTCGAGATCAAAAACGCAAACTGGTGCGGGTCGGAGTTGAATTTGTCGACGACGTCTGTCCGCGCATCGAGGGGCATTGAGCCATCGAGGTAGCAGTAGGTGTAGTGTAACCTCATCATCAAATCATTCAACATCCCCAATAGCCGTGTCGAGTACGAGAAGATGAGGACTTTGGACCCTTCGGCATACCAATGCGCCAACAACTTCTCCAACACCTTCCATTTCCCACATAGCTCTGGATCAGCAGAATTAATGATGGACTCACGTCTCATCAACTCTTTGTGTCTGTGCGGTAAGCACTCCTCCAGTATCCTCGCATCCCGAGCCCGTGCATCATCCGTATCTTCATTCCTCGGGATGATGAGCGCGAGATGATTCGCCAATTTCTGGATCTGAACCATATACGGAAAAATGAGTTGCTGCAACGTTAACCCCGCCCTCGTGGTACGATGGCAACACTGACTCCTCGCCATCCCACTCCCACACTCGCATTTATCCCCACGTCGGATAATGAAATCGACATCCTCCGTATCCAGCAAATTCTGGTACGCCTCTTTTTGTGTTTCCGTCAGAGGGCAAAACACGACTCTATCAACTTTCTTCGGCAACTGATCCGCAATCAACTTCTTCGTTCGTCGAATGAGAAACCGTGGGAGGAGGTTCGTCTTCAACTGCCACGCAACCTTCCGTGCTTTCGCGAGTTGTGCATTCGTCGCATCATGAGACTGCCCGATCTTGAGCGGTTCAGAGATTGTGCGTTTCCATGCACTTATGTCTGGGAGGGTAGATGGTGCTGCCCAATTCAAAAGGGCCCAAAGTTCTTCGTAGTTCTGTAGGGGAAACAGTCAACATCCTTTACGAAGAATAAAGGAGATTCTCCTACGTTCTGGATCGCAGTTCCGGTAAGTCCGATCCGTGTATGTGAGTTGACCATGTTCATAGCCTTCGTGACCTCCGACTGGCTTTCTGTAAAGAAGACTGCGAGTTAGCGTATCATCGTGAAAGTCCTCGCTCATCTTGACTTACCCTTGATAATATGACACTCATCCGCGATGCAGACATCCCAATACACTTGGTTGATCCTCTCCTCGTTCATCTTGTACGTGGTATACGTCGTAATCAACACCTCCAGCCTCCCAGCCTTGGCCGCAGCCAACTCAGCGTCCTTTTTGTCACCGTGATATTTGCCAAAGTGCCACCATCCCCACTGTTCGCAGCCATTAGCCGGGACTGCTGACGCCGAGAATGTTACGAACCGTATCAAGCTCTCTCATCCAATTACTAATCAACGTCCCAGGACAAACAATCAAAACCCTCGGATACCCCCTTCCCCCACCCCTCATCTTCCTCATCAACTTCCTATCCCGCTCATCCCCCTTCTTCCCAAACACCGCCGTCAGAAACGCGACGACCTGTACCGTCTTGCCCAAACCCATGTCGTCGCCCAATATCCCACCGGTGTGGGAGGCGAATTTGGAGTACATGAATTGTGCGCCGTCGAGTTGGTAGTCGCGGAGGTATTGGGCCATTGGGGCGGGGATTGAACCGTGGGGATGGAGGGGGACGGAGGCGTAGAGGGCGGGTGGGGTGGAGTTGGGAAAGTGGGGTCGTTGGGGGTAAGGGAGGTCGAGGTCGGAGTCGGAGTACATGTCGAGGTAGTCGTTGAACTTGGTGACGCGTTGAGATGTCTTTTGGCGTTTCGGGAGGGAGAATGAGGAGGACTCTCCAGCTGGATGGTCTGAGCGTTTCTCCCTTTTCACCTCCGTCACCGGCTTGCCATTGACAGCCGTCTTTTGGCGGTTTGGGAAGGAGGAGAAGGACTCTCCAGTTGACACCGGACGTCTCTCCTTCTTCACCGCCTTGGAACTGACTGTCCGCGTTCTCGACCGTGCTTTGAGTTTACCCGCTTCTGCAGCTTCCCTCCTTGCCTTCGCAAGAGCGTCATCCTCCTCCTCATTGTCAGACCACAAGATCTTTTCTCGTCCTGTAAGCCATTAGCAGCAGACCAGGACTGGCGTTACATAGTCCGTACCATCTTCCGTCACCTTCGTCTTTGTCATCACCCTCTCCCTGGTCACCAACTCCAAGTCCGAGTCCTCCCCGCTGTCGTCCATGTCCAGTCTCTTGTCGATTACCGAATTTGGTGTATCGTCGTTACAGGCAACTGGCTGTAATATACGTGCACGTGACGCCGTACCGCGACCGTCGCGCTCGTACAAACAGAACTCTAACCACCAAGACTTCGAGAAAAATGTCTGATCGGTATAGCAGAAGGGACGAATATACGGGCGGCTCTTCAAGAGATCACAGGCGCCGTTCAAGATCGCCGGGATATGACTCTGGCTCCGGGCGTTCGGCGCGACGTCCATTGCCGACGTACGATGACTACGACCGCCGCCGCCGTCTCCAAGAGGAAACACAGCAAGACACTTACCGTGCTCGTAACGACGCCCGCGACTACAAAGCTCACCGCATGGAAGAACAGTCACGCTACCAACAAATGCGCGAAGCCGAACAATCCCGCGAATGGGTCGAAAAAGAAGACGACTTTGTCCTCAAACAAGCCAAAAAACGCTCCGCAATCCGTATCAAAGAAGGTCGCGGAAAAGCTATCGATCTTCTGACCGTCATGCTCGCCATCGTCGAACGCAGCGGAGACGCCGCGGCGGATTGGGAAGAAGAGGAATTGGGTGCGGGGATGGAGGTACAGATCCGCGAACCGGGCGGTGTAATTGAGGAGTTGGGGAAGAAGGAGTTGGAGGAGATGTGTGAGGATGTGGAACAGTTTAGGAAGTTGGAGCGGTCGAGGAGTTCGGCGGAGTACTGGAAGGCGATTGCGACATTGGGAAGGGAGAGGCTGAAGATGATGAGCGCGTCGTCGTATGATTCCTCGGGACGGGCGATTGCGCCGGTGCAGTCTGATATAGATCAGCTGTTGTCAAAGAAGGATTATGATGCGCTTTGTACGTTGGAGTTGCAGATTGAGAAGAAGCTGTCGAGTAGAGAACCTATCGACGTGGACTACTGGACGGCCCTGCTAAAGAGTCTCACTGTTTGGAAGGCAAAAGCAAGACTGAAGAGGATGTACGACAAAATCGCTGACGCACGTGTCGAAAGACTACGAATTAGAGAAAGCGTCGAAGCACGGAGGGTAGAAGACGAACTGCGACAGGAGATAGCAAACTTGGGCGAACTGAAAGCACCCGAGTTCGTGAATGTCATGGACCCAGAGCCAGCATTGAAGATCGCATACGACGACCGCAACCTTCCCGTCGTCGACGAAGTCGACTACCGTCTCAACCTCCTCAAATCCCGCGAAGCCGTCAAAGAGGCCCGCTTCATCGCCAAGAAGCCCATCGCCCTGCCACAACCTACCGAATCCAAACCAATCGCTGCACCAACCTCTACAAACGCCTCCTTCGCAACCCAGCTCTACAACCACGAAGCCGCAAAAGGCGAACGCGACGGCGAAGAACCCTTCAACACCGACATCGCCCTCCCCTCCTCCTCCACACACCCCTGGTCCTCCACCCACACCCCCCGCAAACCCCTCTACTTCAACCGCGTCCAACTCGGCTTCGAATGGAACAAATACAACCAAACCCACTACGACGCCGATAACCCCCCACCCAAAGTCGTGCAAGGGTATAAATTCAATATCTTTTATCCAGAGTTGGTGGATATGACGAAAGCGCCCACGTACGTCATTGAAAGAAATGGGAAGAAGAGGGGGACTGTTGAGGATGATGGGATGTGTGTTATTAGGTTTAAGGCTGGGGCGCCGTATGAGGATGTTGCGTTTAGGATCGTGGATAAGGATTGGGATTATAGTGCGAGGAGGGATAGGGGGTTTAAGAGTAGTTTTGATAAGGGGGTTTTGCAGTTGCATTTTCACTTCAAGAAGGTGTTCTACAGGAAGTAGGCTCGAGGATGTGGAGGATCATGGTAGTGTTCTTGAGCTAGATTAATGGCATGGGTCTACCAATCTGATTCTACTTTCCCGAGATAGTACATCGGCAAGAATGTAATCATATCCCCCCAAACATTCGCCGCAAACGCTCCCTTCTGGAACTGACTCGCAAACTTGACATCCACCAACCCCGTCGTCGGACCATTAATCAGCCCAATTGGGTACGCAATCGAATACGGTACGTCGGACAGTGTGGCGACGGCTGGATTTACGCACATCAACGCTGGTCGCGAAGTCGGGTCGGAGAAGTTGATGATCATGCGTTCGCCGGTGGGGTCGATGGCGAAGGACTTGACGCCGCCGCCGGTTACGTCGGATTTTGGTGTTTCTATGATGCGGAGTTGACGGTAGACTGTACGATGTGTTAGCACAACTCGCCATGAGAAGGCTGATAACTCTCGTACTTGTTTTACTGGTCAAAGTATGTGAAGGGTTGATGTATACCACCCTGACATGGGGATCATCGACGACGGAGTACAACATGGTTCGTCCATCAGAAAGCCATGCGATGGTTCCAATCTGGCCCTTTGTCGGGATCTTTGTCCTCGCACCGACATCCAGTCTTGGACCCGCGATGGCTACGGGGATAAGCTGAACGGCCCGGGCCGTACCCACCGCGAGGAATCTTGATGTAGGTGCCCATGCTAATGTGGAGGATGGTGCAAGGGAGATCAGTTGGGTCTCGTTCATGACCGTGTTGTGAACCCACGTTCCGGATGATGTAGTAGAGATAGCAAGCCAGTGTCCGCATGGTGAAAACTCCAACCCAGATACGGCGCCAATTCGGTCTTGAAAGCGTGTTGGGAGGAGCTGGATACGTTCTGCGTATCCGTGGTTCTTGTTCTTGTGTTCTGGCCCGAGGTCGAGGGTCCAGATGCATACATCGCCATTCCTCATTCCAGCCGCCAGCTTGTTCGCGCCGGAGAATGTAATTGCGGTTACCAACGAGGTTGTGTTCGGTGGTGTCAGGTGATACGAGAACCATTGTCGTGTTCGAAGGTCATAGAAGTAGATTCCGCCACCTTTGGACGAATGTGCCACGGCAAGGATGGGGAGGGAAGGGTGGAATGCAACGTGACTGAGTGAAGTTGTGATTGCTTTGGGCTTTGGTAGAGGGGTGGTTGCCCAGATTGATGCTGGTGTACGGAAATAGTCAGCGATGATCGCTGCTGTTCTGTTGAACCATGATCCTGCTGACGGGTCGAGGATCACGCGGGAGCGGTGTGTTTGTGACGTAAAGGGCAGCGAAAGAGTAGGATAAATGGTGGGCTGTCACATCGTTAGCAACAAGAGCTCGAGAAAAATAGAACCCATACCTCCTCGCGCAGAATTTTCTGTCGAACGGCCTGCTGGTCGGTGGTTTTCTCCACAGCATTGACTGTAAACAGACGCCTGGTCAGCCAACTGAGCTCGTTCCTTCGAGCAAGCCGACATACGGATCTCCTCGCGGACCTCGGCCAGCGTAGCACCCGCTTGAACTTCCAACTGATCCAACGGCAGAGCCTTCTCCATCGTTCTTGCGTCTCTTTTTCGTTTCTGGGCAGGCTCCTCCATCGCAACTGCAGCTGTCTCTGACCTGCGTCCCACGCGCGACGGTACGACCCCCCGCCGTTTGACGAAAGAACGACTGAACGACTGAACGACTGAACGATCGAGAGTTGAAGGCGACGGGAAAGCAATGAGATGAGGAAGGCAAGCGTTACGCAGCGCGCACCGGCGCAAGGCCAACCCCACGGGCCAAAGATCAGTCATGTCCCAGCTCGCCCTTCGCTCCTACGTCACTCCTCTTCATATAGCCGAGCAAGTACCCCCACACCCGAGGGTCCGGCCGATATACCCAACGATATCCTCGATTCACTGAGAGCGTTTCCTTTGTTCCAGTCTGCGCCTGCCGAGTTTCTCCAGAACATCGCGACGAGGCTGCGCACGCACGTATTCGCAGCGCAAGATGAGATCATCCAGGAAGGCGAAACGGCGAAGGCTATGTACTTTATTATGAGAGGCGCGGTGAACGTAACGAGTAAGGATGGCGAAAGTGTCTATGCAGAGCTCAAAGCAGGCGCTTTCTTTGGTGAAATCGGGATCCTGTTCAATGTCCCACGCACGGCGCGCATCGTCGCAACTACGAGATGTCTCTTGGTTGTGCTCAGAGCGGACGATTTGCGCAAAGTCCTACCACGCTATCCTGATATCGAAAAATCAATCCGCTACGAAGCCGATGAACGCTGGGCGTTGCTAAACCAGCTCAAACAGCGACGCGTGAGTACCATCTCAGCATCATTTATTAGTATACGTGAAAGCGTTTTGTCGCTCGACATGTTCCGAAACCTACCAGACGATATTCTACACCAAATTTGCTTGTCCGTCACGCCACACACCTTCAGACCTTTTACTCCGATCGTGCAGCAAGGAACCAACGGTACCGAACTCTTCTTCATCCTGAGCGGCCAGGTCGAAGTTGTCGACGAAACGAACCAGAAAACCCTAGCCCGACTGACCGCAGGCCAGTACTTCGGCGAACTAGCAATCCTAGGCTTATCCGAACGTCGTACAGCCACAGTTCGTACAGTCAACGCCGTAGACTGCCTCGTCCTCGGCCAAGAAGAATTCCGGAAATGTCGTGAACTACACCCCACAATCTGGCGCGCCATCGAGGAAGTCGCAAAAGAACGCATGAACGAGACGCGACGAGACTTTCCACTCCTTACTCCTCCGCAGTCGACACAGCCTCTGGCACCATCGGCGACGATACTGAAGACGGATGCGGATCCGCTTGCGCCGCCACCGATGGAGACGAGGGTTTTGAGGAGGTCGAGTTTGGCGCCGCCGGATAGTAGTGAAGCCGTACAACCTCCACCGACGTCAACCATGGCACCATCCGGCGCAGACGTAGGTGTGGTAGCTCCTGATTCGCGCGGGAGAGCAAAGGTGTTGCGACAAAGATCGACTCTGCTATCACACGCCGCCGGGAATAAGCGCCCACGGTTCCGCCGGCGATCATCTGCGGTCACCTCAGCAGAAATCGTACCAAGAGTATTGAAAACAGAGAGTGATAACACAGGCCTGTTGCCTCGAGGAATCCTGGAGAAGATATTCATGTACTTGGATTTGCCTGAGATGATGCATGCGCGCCAGGTCTGTAGATCTTGGTCGCATATTCTCGCGGCTTCGCCTGCACTTCTTCCAGTTCTGGATTTGGGTCTCTACAATCGGAAGATCACAGACACCTCCATCGGTCCAATCCTCGCCTTTGCGCAGAACCGCCCAAAACACGTCATCGTGAGGAACTGTTTCCACCTTACGGATATTGGGTTCAAGGCCTTGTCGGCTGCATGTGCTTCGAACGCCGTGACGTGGAATATGGCCAGTGCGTGGGATATCTCGAGCTCTGCCATCGTCGATGTTGCGCAGCGCGCGAAAGGTCTAGAGGAAGTTGATTTCGGCAACTGTCGGAGAGTCGGAGACGCAGTACTGGCGAGAGTCGTGGGTTGGGAGATACCGACTGTACCATCATCACTCGGATCAGGAGGAGTGGTGATAGACACGAAGAAGTCAACGAACAATTACGTTGGGTGTCCGAAGCTGTCAAAGATCAACTTGAGCTACTGCAAGCATATCACAGATCGGTCAATGATGCATCTTGCTACGCATGCTTCGTCGCGTCTGGAAACGTTGAAGTTGACGCGTTGTACGAGTATCACGGATGCTGGGTTTCAAGCATGGTCAATGACGAGGTTCACGCGTTTGAGGGAGCTGATATTGGCGGATTGCACGTTCTTGACGGATAGTTCGATTGTGTTTCTGACTACGGCTGCACCGTTATTGCAGCATCTCGACCTGTCATTCTGTTGTGCTTTGAGTGATGTCGCAGTGGAAGTGCTGTCATTAGGCCTGCCAAGACTCGAATACTTGAACCTCGCTTTCTGCGGAAGCGCGGTTTCCGACGCCAGTATGAGAGCAATCGGCTTACACCTCGGTAACCTTCGGGAACTCAGCGTACGAGGCTGCGTCCGAGTCATGGCACCTGGGGTCGAAAGTGTCGTCGATGGATGCTGGCAATTGCAGAGACTGAACGTCAGCCAGTGTCGCAATTTGTTATCTTGGGTACGAGGCGGTGGGATTGAGAGGTATACGGAAATGGGGAAACGGGTCGAATTTGTGCTCTGAGTAATAGGCATATTGGGAAGGTGGGGTGTCATATTGAGTTGGTTATTTAACATCGGTAGCTGTTCGTGGGGTGTTCTTTTTCGGAATCGGCTACTGGACAGGGCACTGGAGGAACACATATCATGTACGCTTGAATTTTTATCGATATCAGTTAGTCCATAGTATCTCTTATCATCAATCATAACTTATGCAACACCCGTCGTTACATCCACTTGATCAGACACACGAAGAGTTACATGCTTAGGTAGTACAGCATCCACTTCCACATGATGATGGTAATTTCGGTGTCGCTGTCAACTCGATCATGAGCGGGAGAAAACATTGATTGCAACGCGCAACTTTTCTCCGCGAGCGAACCGAACTCTCTGCGGCCGGAACACAGGCTTGGTAATGTTAAAAACCGTTGCTGACACATTTCAACGTCGGTGAGAGCCGTACTACTCTCATCTCTCCCTCGCAGCTCCGATCGAGGATTGTGAGTACCCCGGCTGCGGATATCCGACGTAGTACGTACAAGTTCGAAGTGACTAGACTTCACTTCACCGTGCCGGGGTGACTCGCTTAGTCATTCTCGGTCCCACTCTCCGACACAACCCTGCCAGCCTTAATCAAACATCCCTACACCACCTCCTCACAACACTTGGCAAGCCCTTCATGCGCTCCACAACCCCACCCAACTCCCCCAACCCAAACTCAACCCTCCACATCCTACACTCCCTGCTCAACCCGCTCCCTCCTGTCGTCGTAGATGTAGAAGTTGTAGCCGGAATGATTAGATCGAGCGTCGCGAGTTTTTCCCATGCCTCCATTGCGACATCGCGACTCCATAGCCGGACTCCACCGCCGGAACTGACGACCCCTCCCCCAGCCGAGGCGGCAATCGCACTTTTCGATGCGAGGGTCTTGTACTCTTCATAACACATATTGAAATTGCATAGTTCGACATCGCGGGCGTCTATGCGTGCGGCCGAAATGAGCATACACATCTCCACTAAACTCAATCCTTCCACAAGATGGAGCTTTGAATCAGGCGATTCCAGGGTGTTCGAAAGAAGGTCGGATGCGGACGGAAGGAGCGAGGCTGAACTTAGTGTTGTGAGGGCGGGGATACATGCCGAGTAGAATGTCGTCGGGTCTTTCGTCGTGGCAAAGATTCTGTGGACGAATCTCCTAAAAGCCTTGTCCGTTGCGTACAAGTCCTATTGTCCAGTTAACTTCCCTTTCCTTCCAATTGAATCAGAACCAGACTCACCTCAAGATGTTCATTCCATTCCTCCGCATACTCCATAACCTCCTCTCCCACTTCCACTCCCCCCACCTTAACTACCTCCCTCCCCTGTCCACCCTTCTCCCTCTCCACCTCCACCCCCAAACCCCTCTTACACACACCCCAAAATCCTTCCCTCCCCTGCGCAGACCTAACCTGCACAACCCGATGACTAAACCGACTCTTCACCCTCTTCTCCAACCCCTCCACCGCATCAAGTCTTTGAGTCAATCCAATAACACAAATCGGTGCTTTCCGGGCTTGAGCAATATCGAAGAGATTGTAGAGGAGGGTTTGGCGGGGGTGGAGGGCAAAGAGGTCGAAGTGATCAAGGATAAAGATGAGGGCTGTTGAGGTTCGGGTTTGGGGGGCGTGTATTTCTGAGGGTGGGCGTTCGTTTGCGGTTTCGAAGTTGGCGTCGGGCATTCCTGCGTCGCCGTCCCCGTCGCCGTCCAACAGGCCCAATTCCTCGGGATGCGACAATACAGCCAGCAGGGAGGTGAGCGTATCACTAAAATTTAAGCTCGCCCCATTATCGTCATCCAACTCCATCTCAACCCTCAATTGCCTCGCAATCTCCCTCAACGCAACCCGATCATCCGTCTGTACCAACCCACTCAACCTAACCTCCATCCACTCCTCACCATAGGCGTATTTCTCCCTCATCCCCTGTAACGCATGGTCGACTAACGCGGATTTTCCGGATGCGTGCGGACCAATGAGGAGAGCGGAGTTGGATTCGCCGTGGAGAATGGTTTGTTCGATCAGATGGTTTACTTTGTTAGACTCGGTGTCGAGGCCAACGAGAGGGATGGGTGCGCGACCGGTGAGTTTTGAAAGGATGTGGTGCTGGATGAACGAGACACTTTCTTCGCTGACTTTGAGAGTTTTTGAGGCGGTGCGTTTTCGGGGGGAGAGGAGGGGCGGGGGTTCGGAGATTGGGGTGGATGGTGGGTCTTGGGTGTGGTGGTGAGCTGGGGTTGCACGGGTCGAGGTTGATGTCGAGACAGGGCCCGGTGCAGACCGCGGGTTGGGTTTGCTGGGCGTTTTTTTGACGACTTCTTCTTCCTCTTCTTCAGACTCCTCAGACGGTGTAGCAGCCCTCCGTCGACTCCTGGTAGACGCCGGAGTAGCCTTGTTCTCCATCTTCTTGGCAGCGGCAGTCCTTGTCCTCGTTCCTCTCGTGACCACAACCTCTTCACTCTCCTCCTCAGTCTCTTCCTCCTCCGATTCTACCTTCAGTTGCCGCGATGCCGCCCGACCCTTACCGGTGTGCGCACGACTAGGCGTAGCCAGGTCATCCTCCGCACTCGCAACACTTGTAGGTGTGCCTTTACCAGGTGTCCCAGTCCCACCAGCACTCTTCACAATCTCTGCTGCAATTCTTGCGGCCACACTCTTCGGTGCTGCACTCGCCGGCGTCTTCGTCGTTGCAACCGCACCCGCAGGCTTCGGCACAGGCGTCACCTTCACAACCACTGGCGAAGGCCGTTGTCGTCCAGCAGCCGCGGCATTCTGCGCAGTAATAACACCCGAGAAAGGTTTGATGACAGCTGGTGCGATACCTGACGTAGCAGCGGCCGTGGCGAGTGCTTTGAGTGATGTTTGTGCTGGTCCGCCGAGTTTGATGCTGAATCCTGCTGTGCCTGGTGTTCGGATAACTGGACCGGTTACAGCGGTACCAACTGTTGGTCGTCTGATGATGTTAGGTGTGCGAGACCCTTTCCTCGCGGTGGTAGCGGCGGGCGTCGCAGTCTTCTTGGCCGCAGGAGTTCGGGTGAGTTCATCTTCGCTGTCGCTGAGTGCGACGCGCTGTTTCTTGGTCTGTCCTGGTGTTACAGGCGAATTGTCTTCTCTTGATCTCTTGGGAGGCATGATCCTTATATTTATTTATTTGAGTGTAGTGTTGTGGTGTATCGTGGCGCGTGCGTTTGTCCTCTCGAGAAATCCCAAAAGTCGATTTCGCAACGCCGACAACACCGACAACACCGACAACCATTGGAATTATGCCCGCCGAGAAACGCAAGCAGCCCTCTTCTTTCGCCAAAACCTCCAAGAAGGCCAAGCCCGCCGTCAACGATGACGTCCCGGAGCACATGATCGCACTCTACCAAGTCCACACCCGTACTGAACCCGCATCCCTCCCTCAACAAACCGAAGACGACGAAGATGACCAGACGACAACCCAAGAACCCGCACCCCCAAAGGCCTACAAAAGTCTGAAAAAAGCAAACTTCGTCGCCTCGAATTTCGCACGTTCATTCTTTAAAAAGTCAAACATCGAGATCTCTCCAAAAGAAATCAAATCTACCTCCGAGAATGGGTTGGTTCGGGTCCGGATCGAGCATTTAACCGAGGATGGAGATGAGTTGCTCGCGGAGGCTTGGGTTGAAAGAAAGTTGAGGCCGAAGACGCAGGAGGAGCTCGAAGGCAAGACTGAAGAAGAAGAGGAGGAGGAGGAGGAGAAAGATACGACGGCACCGGCGAAGCGCAAGATCGGGGAGTTGTATATGATTCACACCAGAGTCAATGGAAAGGAAGTCACTGGCGCCGGGTTCACGAAGATCAAGAAGGCCAACGCCCGTGCAAGAAAGTTTGTCAGAGAGGCCGTGGGAACGTCAGATGGAGACGTATCACAAATAGAGGAGCGGATGTCGGGTGGGGGTGTCGAAGTTTGGTGTGGAGACAACATCAAGGCTTGGGTTGTACTGGAGCAGCGCAACCAGCAGTGAGGGTAGCAGTGAAGAGCACAATGTCCCATGATATACCCGGAGAATGGACATCGCGAACTGAGGCGAACAGTTGAAACACGAACCAAGTGATATATTCATCTACAATATGGTATACTTATCGTACAACAACAACTTTACCCCAGCACGAACCCGTTTAGCAAATTCCGTGGGTCTTTCCCGTCTTCCCCTGCAAACTATGCTTATCATGACTGTGCACCCTCTTCCCATCCCTCCCCTTCCTCGCATGCCTTCCCTGCTTCTGCGTCTCAGTCATATGCTGCACAACCTCCTTGGGCGTCTTGTCGAGCGTCTCCAACACCATCTTCAAATCACGGAACAAGAGGTCAACGCGGTGGCGCGTGAAGTCCTCACGGAACACGACGCGGAGGAGTTTCATGTTGTTGGCGGAGGGAGCCATGGTGTAAGCGGGGACGATCCAGCCGCCGTGGGAGCGGAGGTGGGAGGCGATGTCGAATTCGTCGTAGTGGGTTTGTTCCTTGAGCTTGAAGGCGACCAAAGGAAGGCCCTTTCCGGAGCGTTCGGAGAGGATGGTAAAGCGACCAGTCTCTTCGAGTGTGTTGGCAAAGTAGTCAGCGTCATCGGTGAGGTTCTGCATGATAGCCCTGTATCCGTTCTTTCCCAGGCGCAAGAACTGGTAGTACTGCGCGATGACCTGGACTGCCGACTTGGAGAAGTTGAGGGTGAAGGAGACCTGAGGGGATCCGAGGTAGTTGATGGTAAAAAGGATGTCCTCGGGCAAGTACTCCTTGGAACGCCAAAGGGCCCATCCGACACCGGGGTAGGCGAGACCGTACTTGTGACCGGAAGCGTTGATAGAGATGACGTTGGGGAGACGGAAGTCCCACTTCAAGTCGGGGTTGACGAAAGGAGCGACGAAACCACCGGAGGCGGCATCGACGTGGATTCCGACGTCAAGGCCCTCCTTCTTGTTCTTCTCGCCCAAGAGACGGTCGATCTCGGCGACGTCCTCGTAGTGTCCGGTGTAGGTAGATCCCAAAATGGCACAGATCAAGATCGTGTTCTCGTCGACGGCGTCAACAGTCTCCTTGGGGTCAAGAACGAAACGAGTCTCAGTGACATTTTGGTACTTCTCCTCCACCTCGAGGTAACGAGCAGCCTTCTCCCAGACGACCTGGACGGCAGAGGACATGACGATATTAGGATGCTCCGTCGACTTTCCCTCCGCACGACGCTTGTGTTGCCACCTACGCTTCGCGGCGAGAACAGCAAGCATGACAGCCTCACTAGATCCAATCGTCGAAACACCAACAGCCTCGCCAGAGTTATTGTCCTTAATCGGAGCATTGAAGAGGCGTGCCAACATGTTTACGCAACGGGATTCGATTTCGGCGGTAGCAGGGTACTCCTCGAAATCGATAAAGTTCTTGTTCAAGTTCTCGAGCATGAGTTTCTCGGCTTGAGGCTCCATGTAGGTGGTGACGAAGGAAGCGAGGTTGAGGAAGGGGTTTCCGTCGAGAGCGAGTTCGTCGTGAACGAAGCGGTAGGCGGAGTCAGCAGGCAACTCGTCCTCAGCCATCTCAAAGGGGTTGATGGCGGCTGTACATCGGAGTTAGCAATTGGATCAACACAAACATCAATTTGATACACACCATCTGCAAACTTTGATCCGTAGACGGAAGAGGAAGAAAAGTACCTTCCATGTTCCTTCTGGTCCTGGGAAGATTGCTGGTTCTGGTCAGAAGAGACGATTCCTGAGAGTCCTGACATAGTGATTGTTGATGTTGATGGTTGATCTGGTGGTGGTGATGAATCCTCCTTCTTATAAAAGGGAGGGGTGGGGGATTACCTGTGATGACAGCACCTTGCATGTCGGGGCTCGGCGTACGCCAAATGGCGCGAGGGTCATTCCAGCCGACAGACAACTGACTGATCCTGGGTTGATGAACATGGCCATGAATGACAAAATACAATACAATTCCAATACTAGAAGAAAAAGCCAAACAAGAAAAACCTTATCAAAAGCTGACCTAGCCAAACACTGAACCAATCGCTCACACGCTCGCTCGCTCGCAAGATCCCAAATGGCTGCCACCGAGAGCAGCGGGCTCATCGCTCAAATTACGCATACCCATTTTCCGGCCCAGAAGAGTTCTAATGCTGTATTCTCCCTTTCCACTCAATAACTTACACTCCACTCATTCTCTCCTCGAGCTCCCTTCGACTAACTACGTCGCGGTTATTTCGCAGTCATAGGCGTATTCGCCAATGGACTCGAGCCAACCGCCGCACCTAGCCCACCAAGAGCGGGCCCAGGTCCCTTATTCCTCCTTCCCAGTAGCGTAGCCTTATCCAAATTCAACTCGAATCCACCCGCACGTCGCCTCTGACTCGAAGCGCCGACTCCACCAGTCTTCGGTGGTCCCATAGGTTCGACACGACGCTTCTTCGCTGGATCGATCGTCGCCTTCCTTAGATCGTTCTCGATACCGCCAGTGGCACCACCGCCGACGGTCGTAGATGCACGGTCCTCGGCCTCGGCTTCGGCTTCGGCTTCTTCGTCTTCGTCCATGGCATTCAGGTTGGCGAAGCCACCCGTTCGGTAATTGCCATGTTTGGCATTCTTGCGACGTGCACCCTCCTCTTCCATTCGGTGCACAGCATACGAGACATCAAAGACCTCACGCAAGGCAACCACACCAGGCGAACGGAAGTCAGCACGGGTGCCTCCAGGTGTCTCGGGGATACCGGGAGTACGGTTGGCGCGAACGGGGGTGTCGAGAGACATAGGCGAGCTAAAATCGTATTGGCGGTTGTGCAACCCAGCAGTGGGAGGAGCATCAGCAGCCGGCTGAGTCTCCTCATCCGTACCGCGGATCCAGGGGTGTGCCAAGAATTCGTCGATAGTGTATCGCTTCTCCGGGTCCACGGTCAACAAATGCGAAATCAAATCCTGCGCACTCTTCGAAATCTCGTCCCACCATGGTGAGAGGAAGGTGTATTGACCGCGAGCGACCTTCTCGGTCAAGACTTGGATAGACTCGTCGTAGAAGGGAGGGAACCCACAGAGAAGGGTGTAGAGGACACAGCCCATGGCCCACATGTCGACAGACTTGGAGTAACGCTCGTCCTTGACGATTTCGGGCGCGGTGTAACCGACGGTACCACAAGGCGTCATGGTCTGGGAATCCCAAACGACCTTGGAGAGACCGAAATCGGCGAGCTTGATGCGACCGATACCACCAGCTCCAACACCAGGGATGAACTCTCCCTCATCCTCCTTGTCCTCATCCTCACCCGTCCGCACCTTGGGGGTCTTTGACGGAATGAACGTGATAGGCTCGAACAACAAGTTCTCCGGCTTGATATCACGGTGAACGACACCCTTCTCCTCATGCAGATACCGAACGGCATGAGCCACCTGCGTAATCACATTTCTCGACAAATCCTCCGAAAAGTAGGTCAACCTCACGATTTGATGAAACAACTCTCCTCCAGGAACGAGCTCCATGATCAAAAAGTAGTAATCCCGACTCTCGGAAAACTCATACAGCTGGACGATATTAGGGTGATTAAGATTGCGCATAATCTGGACCTCTTTCAAGATGTTGGCACGCTATGGACACGAGTATCAGCATTTCCGGTTCTACTTGAGAACAAAAAGTAAAGAACACTGCGCACCTCGATTCCTTTCGGTTTCTGCTTGACAGTGGCATGTAAATGCTTGTCTCCCTAATCGCACCAAGACGCGATCAGATAATGAACCAAAAAAAGCAAGGATAATATGTAACGCCTAGCATGCACTCCCAATGTTCTCTCGGTAAAGAAAGGTCCGAGGATCGAGGTGCAGCAGTGGATTGCGCGAAAAACGGGGGGGTGGAAGTAGATGAGTACTAACCTGGCTGGCGTTCAACTCGTACTTTCTGACGACCTTGACTGCGACCATGTTTCCCGTCTTGCGATCTTGTGCTTTGTAAACGTTCGAGAATGCACCACTTCGAGTCGCCATTAGCTTTCATTTGACAGTTGCTCATGTGGATAACTCACTCTCCCATCTTCTCAATAAGCTTGTACTTCTCGTCCAGTAACGGGTACTTCGGCAACTTGCCCCTTGCCTCCCTCTCCTCCGCGACGATTCGAGCAGCAGCTTCATCGTACTCGCGTTTGTCACCGCTCTTCTCCTCCTGAACGCCTTGTGGGACTTGCGCACCGGCCGGAATGTAGACCTGCTCGGGCGTATGCACAGCTTGAGCAACAGCCTGGTGCGCATTTGCTACAGCACCTTTGCTGATCTGAGTGTTATGCCCAACATTCTGCTGAGCAGCAGCAACAACGGCATCTCGTTTCGGATGGGCGTCGACGTTGGCTGTCGCCGGGTAAGGATCGGAGTAAGGCTGGTGATGCGGCTGCGGGTTAGGATTCGCGGGCGATGGCTGCTGCCTTGCTTGTTTGCCGTGACGGATGAAGTTCTTGAGGTTTTCGATCATGGGCATTGTGGATGAATGGTTGGTGAATGCTGGTGAATGCTGGTGGGTTGGGTGGGGTGGGGGGGGGGTCCTTGTTATTTTGAGTAGGCTCAGGATGGCAGAAGAGACGCGGGCGCGACGTCAACTGCGAGAAGTGCCGCATGACGTAGGAGAGCAGCCTGCGCACAACACCGCATGCACAATGACCAATGGATCTTCCAGTCGTCCAGTCAATAAGGGAGAGCCGAGCTGTTACGCTGGACGGGCTCAAGGACCTTCTGCAATGGAAGATGCAGCACGGCCAGCGAAGGCCTACCCTGCCCGCCCTCGTCGCTCGGAACAGTGATGGCGCAGTGGCAGCCGCCTCAAAAGCTGCATTCAACCCGGCTCTCACTCTGGACGAAGCCTTGAAAGAGATCACCGTTCTACGCGGCGTCGGGCCCGCTCTTGGCTCGCTTATTCTGGGCATCGTCCGTGATGATGCACCCTTCTACTCTGATGAAGCCGCTGTCAAGGTATTGGGCTTGAAGAGTAGGAAAGACCTCAAATACACCTTGAAGGAGTATAAAGCGGTTGTTACTGCTATTGAAAAGATCTGCCAAGAGGCGGAGGAAGAGATCTCGCCAAGAGACATGCAGTGGAAGATTTGGAGAGAGGTGCGTGGGGAAAGTGAGGCGCATACATCCCCGAAGGAGGATGCTGCAAAGCCAAAGACGACGTCAAAGAAGCGAAAAGCAAAGGTTGGAGAAAGCGAATCGGGTGACTCACGGCCCGAGCCCGTAGCGGAGCCCGATGCCAAACGTAGGAGTACCCGAAAACCCCGTTCATCGAAATAGGTAGTCTAGTAAAACATTATGAGGAGAGTATCAAGGATAACAATATATGAAAGCGTGCCTCACACGTACAACCCAATGCCTATGGCACATCTAAACAGTCCCTGCCCATGGCCAGTCCACAGGCCTAAGTTAAACCCATCCAGTAACATGTTTATATCCCCAGACCATCGTCCAGCGACAGTCTTCCTCACATCCTCTGCCGTGTCCATTCCCATGTATCGCCCAATTGCGTATCAACCATCATACCCACCCATCTGCGACGTCCTTCTCGACACCGGCGTCCGTAACTGCTGCGACGGCGTCGGACTCGTCGCTTGTGATTCTGGTAGTGCCGGAGAAAGTGCCCGTGGTGGGTCTGTATCGTCTGGTTCGTCAATCCATTCGTCTTCTTCGAGATTTGATTCTGCTTCCTCTTCTGGAGGGAGTGATGGGTCGTGCTGGAGGTGCGATGAGTGAGAGAGTTGAGGGTGGAGGACGCCGAGTTCTTCGCCGGTAAAGTCGCCGATTAGTTGGATGTAGTCTTCGGGTATTAGTCCGCTTTCGCCTGTACCACGCACTTGTTAGCTGTGATCTTTGTGATAGGAGAGAGTAAGGTTCCACACACCTGTCGCCGGATCCTCGGCAACCAACCACCCCTGCCCATGTCGATAGCTAACCCAAACCAATTGCCCCTCGCTCAACGCAACCTCGTTCTCATGCTCAGGAACGAAATCAAATAACGCGATCGCGCGTCCATGGACTTCCTCATCTTCGTGACTCGCTTGGAACGCGAAGCCGTGGCCTTGGAATTGTGGAGATGCGAGGTCGGCGTCTTCGTCGTAGGGTGGGCCGTCGAGGCGGGTTTGTTCGAGGTCGAGGGAGAGGGAGGAGCGGGGAGAGGAGGAAGGGGTGGGGCCGTGGAAGAGTGGATCGGTGGGGTTATAGGCGTAGTCGCGAACGATGAATTCTTGCGGTTGCGCTTTTAGCACGGACGGATCGAGTGATATCCGCTTCACATGCTGCTGCGACTCGGCTTCTGCTTCTTCCATGGACGCAATATCTGATCGCAATTGTCGGTTTGACGGGTAAGCTCTGTGTTTGAGCCCGCACGGTCCAAGTCCATTCGGGAGTGCTCTCGGCTGGTTGGCTGTGTGGCTGGTGAGACCCGCGTACGATATATACCTACGTGAGTGTCCAGTGACAGTACTGTTCTCACAATTCAACATGAAGCTCCTCTTTGCGACTGTATGCGCTTCAAACCAGAATCGATCCATGGACGCACACGACAAGCTCTGCAAGGCGGGGTTCAATGTCTGTTCGTACGGCACCGGATCTGCTGTCCGTCTACCAGGTCCAGCAGCGGATAGGCCGAATATCTACAAGTTTGGCACGCCGTACAATCAGATCTACCAAGAGCTTGCGGCGCAAGACAAGAAGCTGTATACGGCGAACGGGCTGTTGTCCATGTTGGATCGGAATCGGAATATCAAGGAAGCGCCCGAGAGGTGGCAGGAACACAAGAGTACGTTCGATGTGGTGATTACGTGTGAAGAGAGGTGTTTTGATGCTGTTTGCGATGGTGCGTTGTGGATGTTGAATTGGCTGAATAGTAATTGTTCTAACGCACGAAATACAGATCTGATCAACCGGGGAGAGAACCTCAACCGCCCTGTTCATGTCATCAACGTCGACATTACGGATAACCGCGAGGAAGCAGACGTAGGAGGAAAGGGTATCCTTGAGCTTGCAACGGCTTTGGAGGCATGCACAGACCCAGACGGCGAGATCCAGGAGGTCCTCGCTCGATGGCAGGAGGCACACCCACGGCTGCCCGTACTGCACGCCGTTCACTTCTTTTGACATACTCTCTCTCGGGACTTTTTGCTTGGAATCTTGGCATGGCTGGCGTTTTGTGTTTCTTGATTATTCTTGCATTGAATTAATTCCTTTGTTTTAACCTTTCCCTTCATTTCTGCGGCTGCAGTACGTGCGCGTGTGTTTGGGAGGGCCGGGTGCTCGCGACCGAACGTTCAACAGCCATCCTCGAAGTACGACACACCCAGCACAAACCATACGGTCTTTTCCTTCTTGTACGGTATGCAGAACGGTGCATACAATCAGCGTCCTGGTCCGCCGACTATTCCTCGGGAAGCACGGCCGGCTTCACCGGCGTTGAGCTCATATTCCCTTCGTTCGGAGGATTCAAGGGGGGGTACCTCGAATGTTGGTTCGAACGTAGGTAGTGGGGGATTGCGACCGCCTGTTAGACCTGGAGACCTGGAGACTGCTCGTGTTTACCATGCGGCACTCAAGCGATACCTTGGCCCCGGCCTCAACAACGACCCGGCCTCCGACAGGCAACACAAAGCCCGCGATAAGTTGCTGCGACTGAGCCGACAGCAATTTCAGGAACTGAGCCAAGATGTTTTCGATGAACTCTCGCGACGACAGGGAGGTACTGTCGCACCGAGGTCCTTGCCCGAGAACGAAAAGTACCATCCCAAGAGAAATCAGGCACGGCAGAAGTTGAGTACGCTGCCACCGCCTAGGTTCAAGGATTTGGGAACGGATGTGTATCACGAATTGGTGAGGAGGTATCCGGAGTTCGAAGGAGGTGTTGGTGCGCAGAGGGAGAGGTCGCCTGCAAGAGCCCCCGTTGTTATGGGACCGCCGGAGGTGAGACCGCAGCCGAAGACTTTCCAGTCGAATACTCTTATTCCGAACAAATCACAAATGGTTGAGGAAAGTGAAGATGAAGAAGAGTCGCAACCGGCCCAGTCATACCCCGAAGAGCCTAATCAACATGAGTCTGTCTCCAGTGCATCCTTGTACGGCGGTATCTTGAGCGACAACGCAAGCATCACATCTGCCTCGAGAGCGCTGGCCAGCTCGCCAGCAAGTCAAGTTGTGCCCGCACGCCCTGCAGCACCTACTGACTACGAGGCCAACATCGCAGGTTTGCAAGCTAGGGTTGCCGCATTGGAGTCTGACTTGGCCCGGGCGAATGAGGAGTTGAAGTCAGCACGAGAGTCAGCAGATGTGGCCGAGCAAAGACGACGAGAAGCTGAAGGACAAGCAGGGCAGTGGACAAGATTGGGCGAGGAGAATGCCAAGCTGAAGGAGGATTTGCGCGTTCAGCACGAGGTAACAGAGCAAGTACGACGGGAAGCGATGCAGTTCTTGGAGGAGATGAAGTCGTTGTCGTTACGCGAGTCGACCAACTTGAGTGAAACGGATCAGTTGCGGGAGCAGCTCTCTACGCTCCAGGCGGAGGTGTCGCATTGGAAATCAATGCACTCTCAGGCACGAGCACAGTTGAGGTCCTTGAGGGCCACTTCGGTGTTTGGAAGAGCACAGGTCGACCGGAGCAATTTACATGCTGAGAATGGCGCCATTGATGATGGGCATTTCGGTAACTTCCAGGCCGCTGTGGATGATTTGCTTTCTTCTGCGCGTTCGTCGAACTTGCAGGGAGCGATGATGGACTCGATGAAGGGACTGTTGTCTGCTACGAGGGCGATCGATGCTGACTTGGATCAAGCGCCGAATGGTGTGGCTCCTGAGGTGTTGCAGCGAGTGATGAAGTTGAGGCAGAGGTTGAGTGCGACGTGCAGCAACCTTATCACTGCTTGCAAGAACCATATCGCTGCAAGAGGTCTGTCGCCTATCAGCCTGGTTGATGCTGCGGCGAGCCATCTGTCCGGAACTGTGGTGGAACTCGTCAACATTGTCCGTCTCCGGCCGACGAGCAACGGTGAAGCAGTCCTCGATGATGGAGATGATACTGTCTCTGAAAGCGGTAGCAGTGCGGTGAGCATGTCAGTTGTCGGTGAGCGTACCAAGGTCGTTCGCGAGTCCGCTGCGCTTCGCACGTTCCGGCGTCGCAGCTCCTCGCACTACAGTGTTGATTCGCCGCCTCCGCTGACGGGACCCATGCCTGCAATTCCGAGCAATCTCATCCCGCACACTGCGTCGGCTTATAGTAGTGAGAATGAGAATGAGCAGCAGCCGAGGAGAGTGCCTGTTAGAATGAATGAGAGGTGGAGCGCAATCAGTGGTAGCTCGTACGGAGGCAATCGAGATGGCCGCGATGAGCTTGAGGAGTTGAAGGTATGAAAGTCAATTACTAGTCTTTGCACGATCGCTAACAAGAGCTACAGGGACATCTCGAAACTCAGACAGAACGAATCGTCGAGGACATTCAGGCTTTGCTCTCATCCATTCGTGCAGACGCTGCACTGCCTGAACTCCGCATGCACATGCATGACATTGTGGAGACTGTCACAAACGTGGTCAGTCGCTCGCGTGCGTTGAGCCCGGCATCAGTCACGTCCATCTCAGTCATTGTCAATGATCTCGAAGGATGTGCTACTAAGGTCAACGAAATGCGAATGGATACTGAAGCCGAAGGGGCTGTGGTTGACAAAGCTTATAAGCAAAAGCTCGCTGGTGCAGCCTTTGATACGGCCAAGTTGGTGAAGGCGCTTATGAAGGCGGTGGAAGACAATCGTCAGACATCATTACCGATGGCGGCTGGAGAGGATGATATCGTTGGATTGGGAATTACTAGACAAGAGGATGAAGATGCATTGCGTTAGGTGAGCCGCAGCAACAGCAGAAGCAGGGACGTTTAACACTTAGATGCTACCTTATACACTCGCGTTCACGCCAGGGTCCCGACAACGCCCGAATGGCGGTCGCATGCAAACACCGGCGCTTGAACTTACCGATTTCAGCCAGACTCCGAGGCCTCGAAGACCAATGGAAGCTTAACGTATCTGCGTTCCTTGCTCAAAGGTTGTTCTAGTCCTCATTAAATTTTCTTGATGGCAGGGTTCGGTGCATCGATTTCCGCGCGCGGCGAATCAGAACCGAGATGGTCGCCGAAGCGCCCCTCCTTACCGCACCTCCCATATGAACTTGTCTCATTACGCTTATCGTCGGTCAAACTAAAAAATATTGGTACCCGACCGATTCAGTAACGATGTCCGCCGTTGGGCGTCAGGAATTCGCTTCTTTTTTTATATCGCGTCTTTCCCCGCCCGCACCTGTCTCTCCAGGATCACCTCTCCCACCCGTGGGTAACACTCGCCAATCATGATTTTCAACAACGTGATCGAAAACCTGAACTTGCGCATTGCGCGCTCCTTCATCGGTCGCCACTTTCGTTTGGAAGGCAGCGGGTACGCTTGATTTGCGCTGACAGACTCTGTCGTACGGTTACTCATGGCCTTCTGCGCAGTCACCCCCGCGAGCGTGCTGGATCCAAGTTCTCCATCGAGATCCGTGCCGGTTTGGCCACCTTCTTCGCCATGGCTTACATCATCGCCGTGAACTCGTCTATTGTCTCGGACTCTGGAGGAACGTGTATCTGTGACCCTGTCGACCCTACCGATACCATTTGCGCTGTTGATCCCTCTTACCTTGAGTGGTACGCTTCATGTCCTTGTACCCCGCATGAGCTGAAGCTTACACTTTGTACAGTGTGTCCGTCGTGAAGCGTGATATCGTTACCGCTACCTGCGCCATTGCTTGTATCGCCTGTGTCTGCATGGGTTTCCTCGCCAACCTTCCCCTTGGTATCGCTCCCGGAATGGGTTTGAACGCTTACTTCACCTACCAAGTCGTCGGTTACCACGGTTCCGGAAACGTCTCTTATCGTCAGGCTTTGGCTGCTGTCTTCGTTGAGGGTCTTCTCTTCGTCGCGTTGTCCATTCTCGGTATCCGTCAGTGGCTCGCTCGTGCTATTCCCGCGTCGATCAAGCTTGCTGCCGGTGCCGGTATTGGATTGTACCTTACCATCATTGGTCTTGCACCCAGTGCTGGACTTGGTGTGATTGGAGCTGACTCTGCCACTATCGTTGGTCTTGGTGGATGTCCTGCCGAGTACCAGGATGAGAACGGTGTTTGTTTGTCCCACAAGCTTCAGTCCCCCACCATGTGGATCGGTATCTTCTTGGGAGGTGTTGTCACCGCCATCCTCTTGATGTACAAGGTTAAGGGTGCCATTTTGATCGGTATCGGAATCGTCTCTATCACTTCCTGGCCTCGTAATTCGGTCATCACTCAGTTCCCTCACACTGATGCTGGTGACTCCAACTTCGACTTCTTCAAGAAGGTTGTGACCTTCCACAAGCTTGAGAAGACCGCCGCTGTTCAAGACTGGGACTTTAGCAGTGGTCACCTCTGGTTGGCTTTGATCACCTTCTTGTACGTCGACATCATGGATACCACCGGTACTTTATACTCTATGGCCAAGTTCGCCGGTTTCGTCGACCCCCGCACCCAGGACTTCGAAGGATCCGCCACTGCTTACCTCGTCGATGCCTCCTGTATCTCCATTGGTTCTTTAATGGGTCTTCCTCCCGTCACCGCTTTCATCGAATCTGGTGCTGGTATCTCGGAGGGTGGAAAGACGGGTATCACCGCCATTGTTATCGGTTTCGGCTTCTTCATCTCCATCTTCTTCGCACCTATCTTCGCTTCCATTCCTACGTGGGCTACCGGATCCACCTTGGTCATTGTCGGCAGTATGATGATCAAGTCCGCTGCTTTCATCAACTGGGATTACCCTGGAGACGCTATCCCCGCTTTCCTCACCATCGCCTTGATGCCCTTCACCTACTCCATCGCTTACGGACTTATCGCCGGTATCTGCTCTTACATCCTCCTCAACGGTTTCACCTGGATTGTTGGTGTCATCTCTGGTGGTCGCATTCAGCCTCCGGAGCTTGACAAGAAGGAGCACTGGACCTGGAAGTTGGAGGGTGGCATCTTGCCTCCTTGGGTTCAGCGTCTCACGAAGGGTGACACCCGCTTTTGGCGTACTGAGTACGTCGAGTCTACCTACGGCCCTGGCCAGACTGTTGTGGAGTTGCCTACCACCAGAGACTCCGCTGACAACTCTATTGAGTTGACGTCGCAGAAGAAGGGTACCGCCACCGCCAGAACGTCGGAGATTGGTGTCGGCGAGGTCGGCGAGGGTAGGATGTCTCAGTCGAACGACTTCACTGCTCCTATGGCTGGTATGGGTATGCAGATGGATAACGAGGTTACCGGTGAGCAGTACCGTGACACTCAGGCAAGGCGTTAAGGTAGTGTTTTTATGATTGGACGGAAACGGTTTTGGAGTTGAGATATGAATAATGTTGGGTAATCTCTATACGATTGTAGATAAACGGTTACATTAATATCAATTTTGAAATGATTCCCTGTACCGGTCTCCTAATGTTGCGAGCTCAGGACTCTCAAGCATCTTTCGTCCTCCTGCGCGCGGACTGCGTCATTTTGTAGCTGGCTGCGAGGGGTGGACCGGTAGGTATCAAGGGCTTCGAACCTGGGCATTTAAAGTTCTGAAAGCTGAGCATACCTGCATTCCGATGTACTTCGAAAAGGTGAAGAAAAAGGGGCCGACTCGACCCCAGAAGATCATTCTAACCACAAGCACTTCTATGAGTCCGAAACAAGGTTTGTGGTGGCAGTCAGCAATAGGCAATACCAGTCTTCCATGAACTAAATTGATCCGGTCTCTAGTTGTCCTTGCGACAGAAGTCGGATATCCATTGTTCCGATTTGAAGAAGGTGGTGTCAAACGGACCCGCGACGGTGGTAACTCCATGACGTTAAAGAAGACCCGACATGATTGACGCGGTGGCATCTTCTAACTGCCAACATGGAAGGCCAGCTTCAACTGGTACGATCGAGGAATCATGCTCCGTTCGCTTGGCTTTGGCTTTCTTCTTTCTCCAGACGGATGATCTCGGCCAGTAAAGCCCGCGTCTCCTCTTCCGCTTCATCTCCTCCGAATGGCAGGTTGCCTGCTATAAAGACTTGTCGCCTCAGACGTGTCGCTACGAACTTTGTCAGTAACCGGTGGTTCGGATTGATGGCAGGGGGTCTTTACTTAGTAGTCTCATTACTCGATCAATTGCCTCCCCGGTGCCGCTGGCCTGCTGCAACCGTGCAACGTTTACGCCGTTCAAGCCTGGCATACCAACACTGATTGGACCCATTGCTGCGTCAGTCCCTGTCCAGATGAATATGGACGATGAAGGGTAGAGAAAAGTGAGCTGGACATGTCGTGCTTGGGGTGTCAGTAGTGTTGGTGGGAGACTGGAATAGGCAATCTTAATCCGTGGTTCGGCCGCGTGTTCCATGTTACCGAATTGACTGGTAATACTCTTAATTGTAATTGTGATCTCTTCGAAATCGCAGAGCGCTCGAGACGTTGTACCGTGTACGGGGATCGTCGTGCATAATGGCACCAGTACCGGTAACGTAGACACATGCTTCGGTAATCGTCGGTATGAGATGAAGAGTATAATCAAGTTATCTGCAAAGCTTAGCAAGCATTTCCCTTGGTCAGTTGCTTCTTTATTCAAAAGTCTCACGTGCGTCCGACGTCACGGGCAACGCGAGATCTCGACGGCCCGTTGCGCAAGTACAACAACATTTGTCTACGACAGGCAATTGTACCGTCTCGGGTCAAACATGCTATCCCACCTGTGGTCACCTCTTCTCCTGCTGCTGGCAGCTACCTTGGTGATCGCCCACACCATTAATGTTCCGCCCCATGTACGAGGTAGGTCCTGAAGTCTGTTTGCAATTGCGAGGCATACAATTGCGCTTACAGGCACTGACTGTTGCAAATTACAGAATGTTTCCATGAGGGCCTTCACAGGGGGGACACCATGACTGTCAGCTTCCAAGTTGGTGTCGGGGATGGAGGAAACGGAGATATCGACTTTTGGGTGAGTAGTTGTCATAATCAGCCGACGGGCAGTCGTGTTCGCAAACTTACTAACATAAACCTAGCTTACTGATCCCAAGGATTCGGTGTTGATTTCTGATCTTAAGTCTTCCACTGGCGACCACTCCTTTGAGGCCCAGCACGATGGCACCTACCGCTACTGCTTCTCCAACGAGATGTCATCAATCTCTACCAAGGAAGTATCCTTCAATGTCCACGGCATTGTTTACGTTCCAGAAAACTTGAATGACCCGGACCACAATGATCCTGTGGAGAAGGAGGTCAGAGAGCTTGCGGATTTGCTTAATGCGGTTAAGGATGAGCAGGAGTACATTGTTGTCCGTGAGCGAAGGCACAGGAACACCGCTGAGTCTACCAACACGAGAGTGAAATGGTGGAGTGTCACCCAGGGTATTGTGCTTGTTTGCGTGGGGGTGTTCCAGGTATGTACTTTGGATGGTGACTCCCTTGGCAATATTAACCTCTGGTTTAGGTATTCTACCTGAAGCGCTTCTTTGAGGTGAAGCGTGTGCTGTAAGGCACCTATTCGAACTTGCTGTGCAGCTGTTTATGGCATAGATCAGACAAGCTGGTTTGGGACACACAGTGCCATCGCATACGCTGGATATAAGACCATGCTTATTAATCATTTACTCCAATACCATATAACCCTGGGTATCTCGTCTGCTGGGCCCGCCCGTGCACTAGTATCAAACTATTCATCAACTGATATTTCATTCATGCCTTGCTGCAGGCTTTCTGAAAGCTCGCTGGTCACGTCCGCGATTTCAGACGGCGATCTTGATTTACTCTCTCTTGCATGCTTTCGAGCATGCTTCTGTGCCCATGCACTGCGGGCTTGCATCTCTGCCTGACATTCCGGTTCTAGGAATTCCTCAAGCAGCCGCTCTTCGCAAGTAATTTGGCTCAGTGAAACCTAAAACCGTTAGAAATCTTATTAGGCACGTTCGCCTGCAAATGTTTTGCTGACTTACCCATCTTGTCCAACCAGTGGCATATTTCACCAAAAAACGAGTTTGCCCGCAACGTGACACCTTCTTCCGCAGAATCCGCGTAATTCGGAGCTCGCCTGGGTTATAGGGAGCGTACTCCGCTTTCTTGTGTTCTCCTAGTAATGGTGGGCTGATAATGGGTTCCACTTCCACAGATAGCCTGGTGTCCAACAAATGGGGTGATGTTGAGTTTGACAGCTCCAGCTTGGATAGTGAAAGAGACGCTTTCTTAGATCCCCAAATCCAACGTTTGACTGTTTCTCGCCCCTATATGATGTTTCGGTTTTTAACGTCGGTGTTCGTGTCAGGACGAGCTATGTAAGAATGCGTGCGTAGACAAAAGAAACTAAAACCAAGCTGAGCCACGCGCTAGCGCAGGGGTATGTGTAGCGCACTTTACCTGTATCAGATGTACTACTGCAGGGTAGTACGTCGTGGAAGGATTCTGGAGCCTTGGTAACTGTGATATACTCAATGAGAAGGTTGTGTTTGATGAAGATTCTAAGGTGGCATCAGGCCTGTTTTATATAGCCTTTCCATATCTAAGCTAGTCCCAATAGAGCGCTACGGCGCATTATCCATAGTGCTGTGGCTCCCTAGAGACCGTGGCCAACCTCAAACTACACATGCAATCAAACATTACATATGGTAAGACCAGATGTTACAGCAACTCATTAAACCTCATGCAGCCTAATCAAACTCTGTTAGGCGAGGTGTCGCACATATGACAGCTGGTCCCAAATGGGTATTGGAACACATACTCTAGCCTCCAGGAAGCCCGTCCCCTAGGGGGGCACGTTAGGGTTACCCTAACCCTAACCCTAAGACCGCAACATGCAGCCAACCTCAGACAGTGCATGCAAATTGGCAATCAAATGTTATGCGCAGTAAGACCGGATGTTATCGCTGAGTTTAGACGTGGTTTCAGGGAAGCACGTCCACAAAGCAAGATTGTCAGTTCTCCGCTAAATCAGGAAAATCTTAACAGATCAGACATTAGTTAGAAGAGGAGAAAAAGATCTGGTAATATTCATCCATAATGGCGCTACCTACACCCTTAGTCTCCAGGTAAGTTATGCATTTTTTAGACTGTAGTGAAGGAAAAGGAATTTCAAAGATTCAAATCAACATGCATAAACTTGCATAGGCAGGCATGATGGTTTGTAGCAAAAAAAACGATGTACTCAGGCTTTTTTTGCCAAGGGAAGACATTGGAACTTAGCCGTAACACAGCAGACGGATAGAGGTGGTGCAAGAGCAAATTATAATCTATACTGCATACAGTTCTCACTGTTGAATCTGGATTCAACTCCAAATTGAGCTTCTGTAACCAGGTTTTTTGTCATGTTCCTAAGTTACTTCTGGCTGCGTGGGCCACTGAAATCTTGTCTGAACTCAGTGGTACACCATACTTCAACTTATCAACCTTTTACAGACTGAGACGGTTTAGACTCTGTTAGAGGACGCGGGCGGTGTCATACACATGTTGACAACCTGCACATGTTAACCATTGCCTGCACAACAAGTGGCGTAAAGGAATGAAATGTGGGCAGTTCAATTGAGAGGGAGTCAGGACAACGAAACCTACGATGTAGATACAAACAGGTGTGTGCATAGATCAGATTGCGACCATGGGAACATGTGGGCCGAAAGCCATGGCGCCCAGTGAAGTTAAATGGACTCCAAGGTCGGCTAGCCGCTGCAGCATACTGTCTCCCCTTTCTGTTCTACCTCCATGTACTAGGGCACTCCCACCGATTTACGAAAAAGTATGTGGTGGGTTTACTTGGTGATCCTGGATTGGAATGCAGTCATTGGCTCAGTTACCAGTGGCTAAATTTCCGGTTGGGCCATATCAACATGTTAAATGGTTCGGTATACCCTGTCTGCAGGTTTCTGTTACAAACAGAAAGTTTGAGTGTGTCTGTGTTGTCATGCAGGCTCGCATATGAGGGGTTTGGACTGAGCGGATGGGCATTGTCTGGTGTATCCTGGGCCTGTCTTGGCCTCCCTGCTCACAGCTCCCCCGTTGCTAAGGGCAAATAAATGTTACTCAATGTTTTGGCGTGGTTTTTCGGTACGAAGAACATACAGTTCCTTGGTCTGCAGTCTACTCAATTCATCTGTATGCGTTGCATCTCAATGTTGTCTTTGGCCGAACCCGCGCACGTGTACAGAAATCATTAAATAGTTGGCTTTGCGCACCGGCTGCTGTATGAATACATGTGTCAAGCAGTATTCAAACGTTTGTGAATTTCATCTCACCGATTAAATATAGTGATGCTACCGTAGCCAAAGTCCCACACAAAAAGACCCAAACCGGACGCCGTGAACCAAGTCCCGCCATTATCAAACATAGAACTGCGGGACGTGTTAACAATCAGAAAGGTGAGGGAACATGTCGAGACTTCTTACCTTCTTGAAAATCAAATGAAGCGTGAGATTCACGTTCAACTTGACAAGGTTATCAAACAGAGAAATGTGCTGTTGTTTTTGAAACCTGCGAAGAAGTCAGCATACAGAACGCAGAGGGAGTGATGGCTTGACTTACTGTGCTTGAAGCAAGTCATCTAGACGAAGCTGAATCGACCCGCCTGGGATGTGAATAGAATGGTAGGATGCCTCGACGAAGAATATTCCGACGTCATCACAAGAGATGGTGAGATACAATTTGTCCCATTGTCCTCGTTCGTAACCTTTGATTTCGACCAGGACGCCCTTTTCGAAGAGCTTCTGCGCGGAGTACTTGTACGAACCGAAACGCGGTACTCTGCCGGATTTTTGGAGATCACGCATATGGAAGTACTGCTTCGTAAAGGGCATGATAGGGCGTCGCTTTCCTTTCTTGGTCTGCAAGGTGAGCATCGACTGTTCCACGTAGTCGTTGTAGCTTTCCAGCTGGCCTGCAAGGTAGGTAGCCTTCTCATCCAGATGCGCCAAGGTCTGACGCGCACTGTCGATATCACGCTGACGCTGCTGACGACGGCGGTGCTTCGTACGAATGTCGATAGCGATAGCATTCAGCAGGTCTTGGAAGCCGTTCTCCCGAGTGATCTTACCGGCTGCCTCCATGCGCAAGATGTTCTCCAATGCCATTCTCTTGACGTCGGTGTATGCAAGTCCAGACAGATCCTGTACCGGCGTATCCGAGTACGCTGAGCGTTGTTGTTGGCTGGACATCTCATGCTCCAACAAGTTCCGCCACGCCCATTCATCCTCTTCCGCTGTTGGCTTCGTCAAAATTTCCATCAAAGAGTTGCCCTGTTGGACACGAATGATGTTCAGCACTGAACGTTTGGTTTCAAGCCATAGCGCCTTGAAATCAGCATCGGCTTCTCCTTCCGGTTGAATGGTAGAGTTCAAAGTCAACGTGATCTCCTGGTCACCAGTCTCTCCCATGAACATGTCGCTGCTCGACGGGAGAGGCCCTAGGTCTCGGATGATGTCCCTGAAGATATCCTTGGTGCTAGGTGCAATTGCGTCGAGCTCTCGTCCAACCAAAGAATGTGTGTAACAGATGTCCGACGGCTTGATATAAAGCATGGGCTTCTCGGTCGCCGTCAAGTCTTCATACTCATCGAACTCAAACTCGGTTTCGGCATCAATGACGTCTGTGACCGAGACGTAAATGCTGGTCATCCTTCCGATCGCCGAAGCAACATATTCATTCAGGGGCTGCAGGTACACGTTATCGCTAGAGAACAACCTTCCTTGAGATATTTGCGTGAGCATTTTCGCAATCTCACCCAAGTTCTTCCGTTGCTGAGCGGTAATAGCTCCATCAATGACACCGAAGTGCTCGGGAGCAACCACAGCAGGGTTAAGGTATCGGTAATAGATTAAGTTACCAACGACCTTGAGCAAGATGGTCTCAGCCTCGTCTGGGAATTTGGCTTGTACAGCTCTCAACGTCTCGCGTGCGATGTATCGGATGCCGAAAGGCATAGTGCGGACGCTGTTCTCAATCGCGTCAATAAACATCTCAGTGAAGTCACGCAAATCACTCAAATGCTTGATGAAAGCATTGCGAGTTTCTGGGTCTCTGATTGCTTCAGCTTGATCAACAACCTGAGGTCGGGAAGAGCGTTGCCCAGTCCGCAACTCCTCGTTGTTAATCATGTTCTTGTAGATCATGACGGGGTCGCTTTCGAGATTAAGGAAGTCGTCTTGAACAACCTTCGTCACAAGCGGTCCAAGCAAATCGTGCATGTACTTTTGGTATTTCGCGCCGCGGTTGTAGTGAACAACGAGCTTCAACCACAAAAAGTTCCCACGCAAGAACTCCTGGGTGCTCTCAACCCTGTTAACTTCCTCGATGATGCTTTGACGGACAAGCTTGAGCAACAGATACTCCTCGCGATGCTTTTGTCCGTAACCGTAGAGCACCATCGTGAGATTCTCGACCTTCTTGATGTCCTTCTCCGGCATACCCAAATCTCGCACGCGTGCAAAGAGGCGAGCCAAATACTCGGGTCTTGTTTGCAACAAAAAGAACAGTGTCTGATACAACTCCAATTTCGTTCGTGACGTTTTGTTCAGGGCCTTGAGGTTGAATGGATCTGAACCGGCGGGGTCATTGTTGTGCAGCAAATGGCTCTGATGACCAGTGAACCGCTTCTGCGTTCTGATGACCTCATCTAGAGTGATTTTATTCTTCACCAATAGGGCGATCTTGATATCGAGCTGGTCGATATGTTGCTCAGCTTCCTCGTTGGCACGAACTCTCTGCACAATCAGCTTCCTCAACCTCTCAAACTCGATCTCTTCTTCGAAGTCAAAGTTGCTATCGTCAAGGAGGTGCACGAAGTTCTTGATGGTGCCCACAGGTGGGTTCTTTCCAACCATAAGTGATTTGTACGCATTACCTTGTTGCTTAGCGCGGACGAGAGACTGTATCTTCACAATCTTCTCCATATTGGCACGGAAGAAACGTTGACGGGTGTGGAACTCGCGACGCGCGATATGTCCGCGGACAGCCGCCTGGAAATTGACTATGTTAGGTTCCTCCTCAGCGAGGATCTCCTTCTTTCGTCGAAGTTCGTCGCGAACGAGCGCGGCTGAGCACTGCGCCTGAAGATCAATGATGGAATTCAGGCTCATAGCCAACTCACGGATCTGACTCAGGAGACGCTGGCGTAGCAAATGGCCTCGAGAAAGGGCTTGCAGCATGACTATCTCTCTGTTCGTATCTAGCTCCTCCCTTTGAGCGGTGAATTTCTGCCTGGCCAAACGTCCTCGTGCAATTGCCTGAAGGCCGCTGAGCACGGTGGCTTTTGAATGAACTTGCTCGCGATGCTGGAGATAAGACTTCCTTGCCGCGTTCGCTTTCGCCCTCGCTTGTAGACGGGTGATGAGATGCTCATGCGAAGCAAAATGCTGATCCCTCGCCTGCATCTGCCTTCGGGCCAATTTCCCACGCGCAATCGCCTGCAGTGGCACGAGAGCATCGAAGACGGTCCTCCTCATATCTAGCCGCGGACTGACTTCCTTACGGATGAGGAAGCCGCGTGCGATCCCTTGGAAGTCAGCGATAATGTCCTCATTCTCCCAGAGCGCATTCATAATTCCCGCCCATCTCTTTCTCTCCAATGCACCACGGGCATGCCCTTGCAATAGCTCGATCTCGCATGACGCATTCTTTAGTTCCCTCGCGATTCTCTCCTCTTTTGTCTCCACTGGCTCAGGCTCCGGCTCCGGTTCCTCTCCGAACTCCTTGCCCAACCCGCCGAAGTCTGGCAGCCTCACGCCCGCGGCGTCGATACCCCGCTGCGTCTTCGAGATCTCCTCTTCAGTGAAGTCCAACTCACCGACCAAATTTCTAACCCTCTCGGTCATCATTCCCTTAGCATACAAGACAAAAGAAAGCGCATGAATGCAGTAAATGACTTTTGGGATGTTGCGTTTATCATACAGGTCGGTGGTTTCGAAACGGAAGAGCTCAGGCAGTTCGACGAATCTGCAGAACGCAAAGAACCGGTCGATGTTGTCGATATGTCGGTATTGGCGTTTTGGGTCTTCGAAAATGCGTGTGACGAGTACCGGGGCAAAAGTGCGCGCCAGGCGGGCAAGGATGACACCATCGCGCAATGCCTCTTCTAGGTCGGTAATGGGTGGTATTGACTCGTTCATGGCCGTCTCCATCCATTCCTTCGCAGCACCGATGTGACATAGGTATTCATACGCCTGAACATTCTGTCGCTGTTTATCCATCCATGTTCGTGAAGCAAGGAACGACTTGCTGTCTTTCGTTTTCTGAAGGCGCACTCGGTTGGTCAATCCAGTTACACCCTCCGCATCTTGGGTGACTCCTGGAATGAACAGCCCTTCCACGCCGTCCTTCCCCGTCAACTTGGACAACCTCCGCATATGGCTCACACTGCTCCCCTTCAACTTCTTCAACTCAGCAGCCGATGGCTTGACGGGCGACAACGGTGCGGCCGGAACCATGCCAGGAAGAGAATGTGGGTGTATGCTGCTGTTCTATGCCAGACTCCTGAGCGGGTACATAGATTCAATCATAACAACGGCGCTGCAGGGATCAGGGTTCCCCAACAACTGCGTATCCAGGGCCACCGATGTACCGCACCGCACCGCACGGATTCGCGCTTCGCGCTTCGCCACTGTGGCACTCCCTCGACCATAAAAAGTTCGATCTCGAAATTTGAGGGAAGGGGGGGTAACCCCCCGCGAAGGACAAGAGTTACCTTTCGTCGTAATCGCCTGTTTTGATCCATACGTAATCTCTACAAACATTTCAATTCAGACGAAAATGGTTCAGACCAACGGCACCAACTTCCTCGACAGCCAGTCCGCTTTGGAGGAGCTCAAGAACTACTCCTGCAGGGATGGTCTCTCCGCTACTGACTTGATGGACTCTAAGCTCCACGGTGGTCTTACCTACAATGACTTCCTCGTCCTTCCCGGTTTCATCGACTTCCCGGCGAATGCCGTTTCCCTTGAGTCCAAGTTCACCAAGAAGATCAAGCTCCACGCTCCTTTCGTGTCCTCGCCCATGGACACCGTCACTGAGACCGAGATGGCTGTCAACATGGCTCTTTTGGGTGGTATCGGTGTTATTCACCACAACTGCTCCGTCGAGGACCAGGCCGAGATGGTCCGCAAGGTCAAGAAGTACGAGAACGGATTCATCACCGACCCCGTCGTTTTGTCTCCCAACCACACCGTCAAGGACGTCCGTCAGATCAAGGAGAATCAGGGCTTCTCCGGTATCCCTATTACTGGTAAGTTTGACTTGCATGGATTCGCGGCAGATCGATATGATGATCAACAATTATCTATAACTTTCGTTCTACCGCATTCGATCAAACGATCGTGAGGAGAAATTTAGACCTGATCTGATCTGCCGCGATGAAATCATATGTCGTAATCGTGAACACGAGCTAACATAGCTGTTCAGACACCGGAAAGCTCCACGGCAAGCTTGTTGGTATTGTTTCGTCCCGCGACATCCAGTTCCACGGAACCGACTCTACTCCGCTTTCTGAGGTCATGACCAAGGAGGTTGTTACCGGTAAGGAGGGTATTACTCTCGAGGAGGCCAACCAGATGCTCCGTCAGTCGAAGAAGGGTAAGCTCCCTGTCGTCGACAAGGATGGCAACCTTCGCGCTCTCTTGTCCCGTTCCGACTTGATGAAGAACCTCCACTTCCCCAACGCCTCTAAGGACCCCGAGACTAAGCAGCTCCTTGTGTCTGCTGCCATCGGTACCCGCCCCGATGACCGTGAGCGTCTCAGGAAGTTGGTCGATGCTGGTCTCGACGTCGTTATCCTTGACTCTTCCCAGGGTAACTCTGTCTTCCAGCTCGAGATGGTCAAGTGGATCAAGCAGGAGTTCAAGAAGCTCGAGGTTATCGCCGGAAACGTCGTCACTCGTGAGCAGGCCGCTAACCTCATCGCTGCTGGTGCTGACGGTCTCCGTATCGGTATGGGTTCTGGTGCCGCCTGTATCACTCAGGAGGTTATGGCCTGTGGTCGTCCTCAGGCTACCGCTGTCTTCAATGTTTCTCAGTTCGCTGCCAAGTTCGGTGTTCCTTGCATTGCTGACGGAGGTATCTCATCCATTGGTGACGCTGTTAAGGCGCTCGCCATGGGTGCTTCTACTGCCATGATGGGTCGTATTCTTGCCGCTACCTCCGAGTCTCCCGGACAGACCGTTGTCCGTGACGGGATCCGCCTCAAGGCTTACCGTGGTATGGGTTCCTTGGCAGCCATGGACCACCGTTCTTCCGCTTCCGCTGACAACGCTGGTCTCGCTCGTTACTTCTCTGAGGGTGACAAGGTCCGTGTTGCCCAGGGTGTCTCTGGTCTCGTTGCCGAGAAGGGATCTCTGAGGGAATTCTTGCCTTACTTCATTGCTGGTCTTCAGCACTCTATGCAGGACATTGGTGTTAAGTCCTTGGACATTCTCCGCGAGAATGTTATCAACGGCGTGATCAGGTTTGAGTTGAGGTCTTCTGCTGCCCTTCGCGAGGGTGATGTTCACGGTTTCTACTCTTACGAGAAGAAGCTCTACTAAATGCTGGGATATACTGGAATGGCGTAATTGTGTTTTTTATGAAAGTTAAGCTTTGTTTTTCGGTTTTGTCATCCCTCGAGAAAGGGCTTTTTTAGAATGTATTTGTACCCGATGATGGTCAATGAATGAGCTTTTTGCATGTTCTATTTCCTCTTCAAGTCCGTGGTCATCGTCCCTACTATCTCCAACCTCACTCGTTTCATGTTTCCTTTGAACGTTCGGATCCTGTATGTCCATGCGCGCTCGGATGGCTGGCGAGGCTGGGTGTGGGACACCTGTACACTTGAAACCAACCACCAGTTGTAGAAGAAGTACCAGCCTGATCCGAAATGAGCATCTCAGCCTGGCGCCATGCATGCCGGTATAAAGATGTCCGAGCGCCCTGTTTTCTGTTCTCTTCTGTACTTTTACCAACCTTCATCAACTCTCGTTCGAACAGCCAGCGGTGCTTGCTCACTCACACTCGTTTACCTATATCGCCAAACGGCCAATTACCAACTACAACACATTCGTTTTAACAACTTAGACGCTGGACGTCCAATATATCAACAACTGCAGCAATGGTCAAGATCTTCCTCGTCGCTTCCGCCTTAATGGCTTCCGCCGTTACTATGGTTCAGGGTCATTCCTGGATTGATACCATCACCTCCGTCAATAACTCTTCCAATGTCGGATACCCTCGTGGATACATGGGCCACATTGATGCTTACGAGACCTACGGCTTGATCAACCAGCCCGACACCGCGTCTCTCTGCCGTGTGAACCAGCGTGATCCGACGGACTACACGACCGAGTACCCCCGCTTGTCCACCTACGCCGGTGACTCCATCGTCGCCAGCTACACCGAGAACGGTCACGTCACCAAGGACAAGCTCGCGCCTAACGGTACCACCCGTCCCGGAACCTACAACTGGTACTGGACTGGTGTTGCTTACGGCGGCGGCGACTCCGCCACTTCCTCCAGCCAACTCCACACCCTGTCTGATTTGTCAGACTCGACCCTCTTGTCGGGACCCCACGACTTCGATGACGGCAAGTGTGCAGTTGACTCTGACAATAGTCTCGGTCGTGATGGACCTATCCCTTGTGAGGGTACGTTCACCATTCCTTCGGGTACTGCGCCTGGTTTGTACATGCTTGCCTGGGTTTGGAACTTCCCTAAGGTTCTGGAGGAGGGGTATCAGGAGATCTACACTACGTGTATGGATGTTGAGGTCTTGGCTGTGTCGGGTACGACCAACGAGGAGTCTACCGCTAGCGATGAGGAGTCTATCCTCGCCTCGGTCTCTTCGGCTGTTGCGTCGAGCTCTGCTGCCGCTTCCAGTACTATCGCTAGTGAGACTTCGACAACTTCGACCTCGGCGTCGGTGATGCCCTCGTCGGTGTCTGTGTCGAGTGTTTCTGAGGTTACTGCCACTCCGACGTCCATAGCCATGGCTGCTGCTTCCGCGTCCAGTGCTGCGCCGTCGCTGACTACGGTTGAGGTTGCCAAGACGTGTAAGCTGAGACGCAGGAAGCGGGCTGCTGCCAGTGCGAGTGCAAGTGCCATTGCAAGCGCTACTGCCATGAAATGAGTTTGGTGTTTTTGGAGTTTTCAGGTTTCTTTACATCTTCACAACTTCATGAGGCTCTATCATAGAAGTAATAAAATACTCACAGTTCAACATAGAAAGATGTTTCCAATTGCCCACAGTCCGACGTCCCCCAGCTTCCCCGCACCCCAGACACTCGCCCATCGCAGCACCGACCCGACCGCAAAATCAAGCACCGGCAGGATGCCCCACACAGATCCGCTTGTTCACGTGAGCCGACAGATCAAGCATGACAGTCCGTCTCCGCACAGTGGTTTATGTCGCTTGGCCTTATAATCTACAAGTGCTCGCCCTTATCGATCGTGATACCGCTCTTACTCCTCGTTCAACAAGATGGTCTTCACAAGCCCTTTCAATGAGCCTAAGCTCACCTTCGACATGATTCCCGACAACATCTCGTTATTCGACTTCATATTTGATCCTCGCTACGGTCGGGCCACCGCCCGCAACCCAGCCTTCATCGACTCCAGCACCGGTGAAGAACGGTCGCTGGAGGAGACGAGGGTGAGGACCCTTCATCTGGCGCAAGGAATGTTTAAAGTTCTTGGAGACGGGAAGTTTGGAGAACAGAAGTTTATTGGGACGTTCTATCCGAATTTGCTAGAGGTGCCGGCTGTCACTTGGGCTACGCATCGATTGGGATGGACGGTGACGCCGGCGAATCCGGCGTATACGAGTGCTGAGCTTGCGTATCAGTTGAAGCATTCTGAAGCAAAGGCACTCTTTACTTTCTCTCCGATGCTCGAGACGGCTGTTGCGGCTGCCAAGGAGGTGGGCATCCCGGAAGATCAGATCTTCGTGTTGGACCAGGCACCGGGGTTCAAGAGTGTTCAGGATTTGGTGGATATCGGTCGTAAGGAGAAGGAGCTTCCTGCTTTGAACTGGAGTCCTGGAGATGGTAAGACGAAGATGGCGTTCCTTAGTTACTCGAGTGGAACAACAGGTCTTCCCAAGGGAGTGATGGTGTCCCACTACAATGTCATCGCCAACACTCTTCAGATCGTGGCCTTCAATGGCGGGTTCCACAAGGAGAAGACAACTGTACTGGGGCTTCTTCCTTTTTATCACATTTACGGACTTGTGGTCATTCTCCATGCCGAATGCTATTCCGGAAACACGGTCGTTCTTGTCCCCAAGTTTGAACTTGAGCGTGAGTATATCGGTGAACGGCGTTGTCGAGCTTGATGACTGACGGTCTGTTACAGCATTTGTGAGCACGCTTGTCAAATACAAGATTGCTAAACTGTTTCTTGGTTCGTGAGCTCATTCGCATCGGCTGGACTGTGCTAACATTCTCTTACAGTTCCGCCGCTCGTCATTCGCCTTGTCAAGGATCCCTACGTGAGACCTGAGCATCTGGCTCACGTGAAAGAATGCTTCTCCGGCGCTGCTCCTCTCGGACCCGAAACCCAGAAAGCTTTAAGAGATAAAGTGCCTGGTATCCTTTTCCGTCAAGGGTACGGGATGACGGAAACGGCCACAGTGGTGGTCTGTAGTCACGAAACAGATCAGTGGGATGGAAGTGCCGGATCGAGTGTCCAACTACAGGAGCTCAAGCTTGTGGACCCTACCTCGGGTAAAGAGGTCACGGAGTACGACACACCCGGCGAACTGCTTGTCAAGGGACCTCAAGTCACGCTGGGATATTACAAGAATGAGAAGGCGACTGCGGAGACGTTCTTGGAAGGAGGCTGGATACGAACGGGTGATGAATGTGTCATTAGGAAGAGTCCACAGGGATTCGAGCATCTGTTTGTCGTTGATCGGATTAAGGCATGCCTCTATTTCCTGGCTATCTTGCTGTGAGCTCTTGCTAATCGCCTCCCAGGAATTAATCAAAGTAAAGGGAATGCAAGTGGCTCCAGCTGAGCTTGAAGAATGCCTTCTCGCACATCCTAAGGTGGCTGATGCTGCGGTCATCGGTATTCCTGATGAACGTTCGGGTGAAGTTCCGAAGGCATACGTCGTTCTTCATAAGAACGTACCTCACACCGAAGAAACTAAGCGTGAACTTGCCGAGTGGGTACAGAAGCAGAAGGCTCGGTTCAAGAGGTTGCAAGGCGGAATCGAGTTCTTGGAGATTATTCCAAAGACGGCGTCTGGGAAGATCCTCCGCCGTGAACTTCGCGAACGTCACAAGATGCATGATCTGAGGGCTAAGCTCTAGATCTGATGTGGATTCGGTGTAGGTTGTTATGCTCTTATTTGTGTAAAAAATACTGTATTTTCAATGCCTTACGTTATCGTAACCTGATTGTGTCCTTTGAAGAGAGGAGAAAACACCCATGATTCCAAAATATTATCGGACCACCAATTACAAACGCAAAGCCTTGCAACCAGAGCATCGACAGCCCAAGTACCACATCTTACTCTTACAGATCCGCACATGCTATCATTCAACCTCCTTTTACTGCTGCTGCTGCGGCTGGCCCGGCTTGGGTGCGCCCTCGAACAAAAGCTTCTGCAAGCTCATTGTCATATCCTGCATTTGCTTCTGCTCAGCAGCCTTCTGCTCGGCAATCATGGCATCACCGTTCTTCTCAAGGTACTGCTTGAACTCAAGGTAACCCTGCAATCCGCGCTCCCTTGCCTCATCCATGAAAAACTTCGGGGGCTGGTCCTTGCGGGAAGACTTGGAGCCACCGAGCAAACCGCCCATGAATCCAGCCTTGCCCTTGCCTCCCTTGGCAGCCCTCTCGGCCTCCCAGTTGGCGATCATCTTCTGTCTGGCAGCGTTCTCGCGCTCCATGTACTCGGTAGGAACGTGCTTTCCTTCGAACTGCTTCAAGACTTCACGAGTGTCGAAGCCCATGATCGCGACGTACTCGAGGAAAGGAATGAGGCCGACAAGCTCACGGTCATTGCTGTCGCCCGTCCATGGCTTCAGCTTGATGGCGTTTTCAGGCTGGTTGGACCACGCATCGGGGTTGTGGTCGATGGTGATGACCTTGTCCAAGGAACGGTTGAGGTACGTCAGATCCTTAATGTATTTACCATCCTTGTAGAGGGCGGCATCGCGGAACAAGGCGGCAGAGATATAGGACTTGTAGGGGTCGAGCTTGTCAACAACGGGCATGGCGATTCCTGCGGGCTGAGAAGTAAAGATAACGAGCTCGTAGTACTGAGAAAGGTAACCCAAGAAGTAGTCGAGTCCAGGGCGCTTGGCGATTCTCCAACCAGTCTCACGGTTCCACTCAGAATGGATGAGAAGATCATCGAGGTCAAGGAGAAGGGTGTATGGGCGCTGGTAAGGTGCTGGGAGCGGCTCAGGGAGGAGCTTCTCGAAGGCAGGCTTGGTGTAGTATTCGGTCTGAGCAGTCCACCTTGCCCTCAGTCTCTCCCAAAAGCTAAGCGGATTGTAATCATTAGGCACATCCTTGTGTCTTTGCGCCTCAACCGCATCATCGAACGGCCTTCCCATATAGATACCAGCACCGATCAGGGCACCGAGGAAACCGTACATGGCAAACTGGGCGCGCTGCTCACGCTTGCGATCCAGCGACGAAACATAATCCTTCTTGGGTCCGCGAGGCTCCTCCTCGGATGAGCTCTCCTTTGCACCCTCATCTTTCACACCTTCCGCCTTTGCGCCTTCAAGAGCGTCCAACATATCTGCTGCTGATGGCATGCCATCGAACGCAGGCTTTGATTTGTCCGCCGCCTGATCTTTTGAGAGGATCTCCGGCTCAGGTTGAGCGGTGTTCTGTCCAGAAAAAGAGGAGGACTCGGGAAGAGGAGTCTCGGTTACAGGCTTTGACTCCTTGACGGGCGCTGCCTCCGGGACCGCGGGCGCAGGGTTGCTGGAGCTGCGGATGCGAATAAAGCGGAGGGAAGCGGGCGCGATAGCAGCGTTGCGGGGACGAGCAGCCGAAGCTACCTGCCTCATGGAGATCGATCTTAGAGTCGCCATATGAGCCATGATAGTTGTTGTACTTTTTTGACGGATCTTTGAATTACATGCACGGAATCTGAATTTGGCTGCATGTGACGTCCGCGCCTGCCTTGGTCATGGGGAGGACAGGTGCGGTTACACCGACTTTGAGTCTCTGCTACAGGGATGTTCTAATCGTATGAATTCCGTGATCTGATATCCCTCCTATGCATCCTTGGGTAACGCTTCTCCGAACACATCATGCAATTCGCACGATCACGTGAACCTGAAGATATATACTACCGCGCTCCCGCATCCTCTTCCACCCTTGAAAGTTACCCTGGCTATAATTTGAACGGGCTTGTCGACACCTCCTCGAAGGTGTCGTTAAATCTAGACGAATCTGTTTGAAAGATGCCAGTAGAAGATACAGTGTTTCTTTCCAAGACCAACTAGGGCTTATGAAATCCCTGTGCGGCCCGTGGAACCACGACATCCTCTACTGTTTGTTTTGATGCATCTTTGATGAAGAGGAAGGAGAGTAGCGCAATAATACATTGCCTTGCCAAACACTTGACGAGTGATCTCATATCAACCGTGATGGCAGTTTGACCTCCTTCCAACGTTGTATAATTATAACTGTTGCACCGCGCGCATAGGCCGACTCTCAATGGGAAAATAATTCACACGTGAAAGTGCTCAGTGTTGTTACCCCACACAATCCCCTAATAGATGAATGCCGCAGAAAACTGAGTCCTGGCATTCAGTCTGAATGGACAAGATCAGCCTGGTCGACTCTGCGGACGTGACTATGGAAGGCCATGCGAATACTGGTCCGGAGGTGCGAGCGGATGCTGCAGCTGTCTCCATCGGCGAGGAATTGACCGCCGTTCTCGACGGGTTGAAGTTGGATCTGAAGGGAGCTGACAGTAAAGGTAAGATGTATGCTGCCGTTCGTGCGCATACCTGTTGACAAGAGGGCAGATCCCGATCAAACTGACGCATTCATCGCTGACGCCGACCTCCTCGATTCGCATATGTCCCTACGCAGTGAGATAGCAGCAACAGCTCGTCTACGCCGTCGTTCCTATCAGGCAACAAGAGCCTCGAAATCGTACACGATGACTCCCTCACCTAGTCCGGAGAGGGAGGGGGAGGGCGGTGATAACGAGGAGGAATGGGAGACGGACGCTAGTGATTCGCCGAGGAAGAAGGCGGGCAATCGTCCACTTCCTCTTGAACAGCCACCGCCGTATGCTGCGAATGGTAGTGTATCTGTTCCTACCTCTCAGTCGAGTTCACCCACTGGTCGGCGAGAACAGTTGGTTTATCACCGACACCACAGGACCCGCTCGAATGAGCGTTGGATTGAGCTCCTGGAACGGACGAATACGGAGCTGCTGGATCAAGTTGCGACATTGAGTGACGACTATTCCACCTACACTCGGGAATCAAAGAGCCGGCTTCGCCGTGCTCACAATGACATCCGCACTCTCAAAGTGGAACTGGACGAGTGGGAAACAAAGTTCGATGAGCGAATAAAGGAGGCGTTGGCGGAGCGCTTCCAGAAGAAGACTAGAGATCACCGGGCTTTGCAGAAGGAGTTGGAGGATGCATACGATCGATTAAGCCATCTGGAGGAGGAACTCTTGAATGTGGAACAGGAGAAGAAGAGGAATAAGGCGAGGCTACAGAAAGCGTTGGATGATGTTGCCAAGCTTAAGCAGAAGTACGATGACTTCGACAAATTGAAAGAAGAGAACGAAGCTTTGGTTACTCGCGTGGAGGATCAGGAGCATGATCTGGAGATACTGGCGGCCGCATTGGAAACGTTCACGAAACATCAGAGTGTGGGCGGAGCAGTACGGAAATGGAGGTTGCAGATATCTGCCTCTTCGGCGGAGCAAGACGATGTCAGCGTTACTGAACTTGCTGAATCGGTGCTGCCTGGTGCCGATGCTGGTACTGAGGCGACGGAGATGCGGCCGCTCGGCAAATCCGGGGAAGGTCGTCCATCGGGGCTTGCTGATAGACCGAGGATGCGTCGTGCGGATAGTCTTCATGAGGAATTGGAACGAGCTGCAGCTTTCTCGAAAAACGACGGTCTACCTGACCGCTCGGTTACTGTTTCGAGTGTTTCGACTTTGGTGCAGTCGTCAAACACATCACCTCCCACGACTGTTGATCTCGAACCCGACACTCCAGCAAACATCGTTTTGAAGTCCGTAAAGAAGGATTACCTTTGGATCTGGCGTCCAATCTTCACGATGTTTCTGTGGGTCCGCTTCGTGATGCTTCTTACCATCGCACTTGGCATGGCGCTACGGGCAGGTCCTGAGCGGGTTTTGCGGATCGCACAACCACGTGCAAGTCAATCTGAGGAAACTAGCGTTCCTGATCAGGCAGAAGGTAGGATGCTTGGCTGGAGTGAGCCGTCGTGTGAAGAAGTTCCCGAACCTGTTGCCGGTCACTCGGAGAAGACGGGCAGTGATCTACTCGCGGATCCGGATGATGACTTATCGGGTTCGTGGGTATACGACGAAGAATAGCATCAGTTCACGACTGATGGGGGATATGTGTTGGATCTCCGAAACACACTCAAGGAACATTCTACCAGGACAGGCGTGTGAAATATCTGAGTACTTCCTTTTTCTTAGGCATACAATTTTGATCCCGTTCAAGCTCAACTACTCCATACCAGCTGCTATCAATCCTTCATCGCAGTCCCCACTGTCCATCCGATTTGTGCTAACATCGAGTGTATGTTCCCACTCTCTGATTGCGATTGTCCGGACGCGTTGACGAGTACCGTGGGAATTTTACCTTGGGTTTCGCGTTCGGCACTTATCATGGTGATACAGGGTCACTCTGGTTTATCCTGTTGCGAGTCTTATATACACAGAAAATCAAACCCGCGTACGGACAAACTTGTACTTAAGATCTTGCCATTTGTTACTACCATCTACTCGGCAAACTCGGCCTCAGATTGGACGTCCTCTCCGTTGATATCCGAATCTAAGTCGCTCACCGACTCAGCCTCAGTTTCACCATTTCCATCGTCATCATCTGAGTCTAGCCCAACATCAGAATCGGCTTCCTCGACTTCGTCTTCATCAACATCACTCTCGCCCGACTTGTCCTCGACTTCATCATGAGTTCTCAAATCAACATCACACTTCTCAATCCACCGCTTCCCGCTTCGAACTAATGTACCACACCTCAAACAATTCCATCCCTCCCCTTCCTCTATCCTGATCTTGGACATGACGCAAACGTAACAGTACCTATGACCGCATTCGACGGTTTCATACGCATTTTGCACGTCCGTATTTGCCGCATTTTCTGAATAACAAACGGCACATGTCCGCTCCGGTAAGAATCCCAACAAGTTCGTGGGTGTCTTTGGGGCGATGAACCGGACGATTTTACGCTTCAGCCGTGGTAGTCGCAACAAAGGAAGAATGAACAGTAAGAACTCGGTAAAGGCATGCCAAACAAGTTGTCGGTTCAGGAAATCAAAGCTCACTTGTCGGCCTAGATTCCGTGTTGCGGGGACTAGCCGCATACGAAGAAGGCGGTCAACAAGGGTACGATATGCCCCCTTGTGAAGGAAAATCAGGAAGTTGACAGTTGAAAGAGCGGAACGAATGGTTGTGAGTTGTTGCAGTGCACTATATATGCGATTTCGCCAGGTGTACTGCAATCCGATTTCAGTGCGCTGATCCGAAGACGAATGTGTGCATTCATACCTCAGAAAGCTCACCCCATCCCTCCCGCGTCATCAGTAGCTCTGTTTTCGTCCAAGCATATCTTCCACCAACCGTAATTAGACCGTAAAGTAGCTTCTGTGATCGTGAAGGGCGTGCTGAGACAGAACCTTTGCAACGGTTACCATCATCGTCGACCCCAAAGCATAGCATAACCTGCATACCTGAGTTCCTCTCGTCCCTGTACTTGAGGTTTTGTAGCATCGCGCCATAACTTGCATCTCTATCCCATATGGACAGCTTGAACAGGGCAACTCTCAATAGAGCCTGAAGTTCGGGCGTGTAGGTGTCCTTGATGTTCCAGTGCTTGAACGCATTCCAGAGCTGAGTCTGCAGCAGATCAAAGAGCTCTTCATCCAGCAACTCTGCGTCCAACTGATTTACCCTCATTGTTGGTGTAGTTGTTCGTACGGAGCAAGTCACGTGAATGCGGGGTCAATTACCGACAAGGCTGCCGTGAAGTACGCGCTGGGAAGTGCTACACCAAACAGCATATACACCCAGTGCAATGGACTCGGCAAGGACCGATCTGGTCAATGTCCTCAATGCCGCTGCCTCTCAGAATCAACAGTTGACTGCCGAGGCAACTGCGACACTGAAAGGATACGAGACCTCGCCGGGCTTCTACTCGTTATTGCAGGATGTATACCTCGACAAGTCTTTGCCAGCAGAGGTTAGGCAAGTTGCCATTATTTATCTGAAGAATGGTATCGACAAATATTGGAGACGGACTGCGAAAAAGTACGTATGAGCCTGCCGCCTGCTTCGGTTTATGATCCGAGCTAACAATGGTCGTAGTGGTATTCAGCCAGAGGAGAAGGCTAGGATCAGATCACGGTTACTCGAGGGCTTTGATGAACCCAGTCGCCTCTTAGCGAATCAGAACGCTGTCTCTGCATCACGCATTGCTCGCCTTGATTACCCCATCGACTGGCCATCCCTGTTCAGTGATCTGTCGGGGATCATACGCTCAGCAGCAGCGGCATCTGATTCTTCGTCCCGTTTGAGATTGCAGCGAGGCCTGCAAGTTTTGCATCAGGTTGTCAAGGCGCTTTGCTCCCTTCGTCTCATGAAAGCGCGCCAGAACCTTCAGCAAGTCACACCGGAGCTCGTGCGGTTCGTGGGAGAAGTGTACGTTCATCACGCGGAGGATTGGGTTGGCATGGTTGGTGCTGGCGTGGAGCAGGCAGATCCTGCTCTTCTGGAGTCGAGTATGGAGATTTCCATTTTCGCTCTGAAAACGTTGAGGAGACTTGTGGTGCACGGATACGAATTTGCGAACCGCGCTACAGAGGCGAAAGCTTTCTTCCAGCTTTCACACTCGCATCTCGGAAGGTTTATGAATGTATATTCGCCTGCACCATCACCATATACTGTGGTCATCCGCAAGCACATTCTCCTATTCGGAAAGCTTTTTCTCGACCTTTCTCAGCACCAGCCTTCGAGCTTCATGTTACTTCCAGATGCGGTTGCCCTACTTCGGACGTATTGGAATACCATCGAGTCACAAGCAGAAGCATTCAACACCACAGAGAAAGACGAGCACCGTGAGTTTTTGGAGAAACTGTGCATTCAGGGTATGCAGCTGCTCAAATGGTGCGCGAAAACCCTCACAAATCCAGCGCCCGCCATCAAGTTGCGTGAAAAGGATGAGAAGGAAGAGGTACAAGCTGCGGCTCGAGTGTTGAAGGAGGAGGTATTCACACCTGACATGCTGACGAGGAGCATGGAGGTTCTGATTACGAAATACCTGGTGCTGAGACCGGACGATCTGCAGATGTGGGAGGATGATGGAGAAGAATGGATGAACGAGGAAGAGCAAGATGCGTGGGAATATCAGCTTCGTCCATGTGCTGAGCGCCTTTTGCTCGAACTGATGCAACACTTTAGACAACTGTTAACAGCGCCCCTGTTAGGCGTTTTGCAAAGTCTCGCTAACCCCACGGACCTCAACGGATTGCTGCTAAAGGATGCGGTATACAATGCTTTCGGACTGGCTGCAAGCGTGTTGTTCGATGCCGTTGACTTTGACGCCATCATCACTGGGCAGTTGGTCAATGAAGTACAGATCCAAGAGCCCATGTACAAGATCATCCGACGTCGCATAACCATTCTCATCGGCCAATGGATCTCGGTCAAAGTGTCGAAGCCCGTGAGAGTGCACGTCTACACTATCTTCCAGCACTTGCTGAACCCGAACGATCCGATCAACGACTTTGTCGTGAGGTACACGGCTGCACAGTACTTGAAGGCGTGTGTTGACGAGTGGGATTTTGAAACAGATGTATTCCTGCCGTTCATGAAAGATGTTCTGGAGCGCACCATCGCCTTGATGGGTGAGGCGGAACAAATTGAAAGTAGGATGAAAATCTTGCAGGTTATTGATGTTATAATCGACCGTGTTGAGCTGCGCGTCGCTCCCTATGCGCAAAGAATCGCGGAACTCTTGCCACCACTGTGGGAACAGAGTGGTGATCAGCATCTCTTCAAATCGAGCATTCTGGTGACGTTGACGAAGCTTGTGAATGCCATGCGAGAGAACTCTGTTGGTTTCTACCCCATGGTGTTGCCCCTCATCCAATATTCGTGTGATCCTACCCAGGATGCTCACGTTTATTTGTTGGAGGATGCGTTGGAGTTATGGTCAGCTGTCCTGCAAATGGCTCCGTCATCGACCCCTGAGCTTTTGTCCTTGATGCCATCAGCCATTCAATGTCTTGGAATTGGTAGCGAGATTTTGAGACGAGTATTGCAGATCGTCGAGAGCTATTGTCTGTTGGATCTGGATGGAGTTGTCTCGCAATATGCTGTACCTCTCTTCACTGCCCTGGCGGCTTTGTTGGGCGGTTTGAAGCCCGAGACGTCGCAGGCAATCGGCTATGTAGCCGAGACTATCTTCCAAGGTGCGCCGGTTCAGGGCTATGCCGAAGCTCTTGCGCAAACCGGTTTCGTAAGCAAGTTGATATTGGGGGTCCTGGATGATAAGGAGCAAACAATTGTGCTCACGCACTACCTCTCGATGCTGTCGAGGATTGCTATGCAGGATGCCAACCTGCTCCTTCAATATATCGAATTGGTTTCGCAGCAGAACCATGCTGTACCGCGACCAGTTATTACCGCCGTTATTGACCAGTGGGTTCTGAAGGTAAAATCATTGTATTGGCCTGATTTGAGTGATGATTCTGACACGCCTGATTTGCAGTTTGACAATGTTGGTCACCCTAAGCACCGAAAGCTGATTGCCATGGGGTTGACCGCCACGTTGCGGACAAACAACGCGGATGTCTTTGGCCGTCTTGGTTCCTTGATGTCTGTTTGGTTTGACGTGTTGAGCGAAATCAAGGAAAGTGACGGAGAGTAAGTATGCCAAGGTTGTTGCTGATCCCCTGCTTACCGAGTCTATAGTGCGCTCGTATACTGGCAGAATGACGACGCGGCATACGATTACGCTGATGTCGATACCCCCGAATCAAAACGCAGACGTGAGGTGGGTAAAGTTGGTCTTCCCCAGACAACGTAAACTAATATGTTGTGCTATTTAGCTGCTCAAAGCTGACGCTGTTCATACGGTTGAGCTAAAGGAGTATGTTCGAAAGACTATGGCACAGGTCGAGGCCGAAAACGGCGGAAGTGAAGCATTCAAGCAAAGGTGGCTTGTCCAGGTTGACAGCGCACTTTTAGATCAGATGAGTACAGTGTTGTAAGATTACATCGGATATGCATAGCATTGGCGAGAAGCACTTTGGGCGCAGGAAGGCATATGATACCATATTATAGAATTTGTTATTAAGAAGAGCCTTACAACTCCATCGTCTCCCCTGCAGCTGAGGGTTCCTCAACTACTGCTGGTGTTGACTCTACAGACGGTACCCCGCCTCTTTCTAATGGCGCAGTTATTGAGACCTTTTTCTCTCCGTGATTTCGGATGTCTCTCCGACCGCCTTCTCCCTCATCTTCCGAATCGCTGAGGTCATCATCGCGCTGAATAGTTTTGTCCATCATGCGTTCTGCGATATGTCAGTTCTGGACGGAAAGTCTCCAATAAGGGGCACTTACGATTCCTTCTCTCATCGGGGTTATCGTCTTCCTCATCCTCGTCGTCGTCTCTGTCTCTTGGAACCTCTTGCATCTGCACACTTGGCGCGAACTTGGTACGCGACAGGTTGGAGAGAACTTGCGTCTTGATTTTCTCGAGGTACTCCCTGGTGTTGAGATTCTCCATATTTGAGGGCTTGACGTCCAAAGTGTAGTCGGGGCCGAAATATTCGTAGTAGTCGCTGTAAGGGATCTCAGGACCAACCTGTTGTCCCACGAGGATACCCGTCTCGTACGTCCACGTTCTGGACACGTTGCGCATAGTATAACCACCACCTCCGAGCACCAACGTTGGCAGACCGAATGACTTGACGAAATCAACGCAGGCTGCGTGCCCTCGCATGCTCAAATTGAAGCAACCAAGACGATCTTGACTCAACGAATCCGCACCGCACTGCAAGACCACAGCACTTGGTCTGTACCATTCCATCACGGCCTTGATAGTAGGCTCAAACACACTTTTGTAACTGTCATCGTCAATACCGTCCCTCAGAGGGAAGTTCACTGAATAGTACTTGCCCTTGCCGACACCAACATCCCGCAGTTCACCAGTTCCTGGGAAGAACTCGCCATATTTGTGGAACGAAACCGTCATGACACGATCGGTGGTATAGAAGGCTTCTTCGACACCATCACCATGATGAACGTCGATATCGATGTAGAGGACTCGAGGGTGGTATCGAAGGAGCTCGATGATACCAAGAACAATGTCGTTGACGTAACAGAAACCACTAGCCTCGGACTTCTTGGCGTGATGTAGACCACCTGCCCAATTCAGCGCAATGTCGCATTTTCCTCGGTTGAGCCGTGCAGCACCCTCTGTGATTCGGAGTTAGTGGAGCAGATCAACGGCAATATTGCGAATGACTTACCCATACTGCCTCCACCGCTGATACCGCAAAACTCAAACAGCCCATCAAACACCGGACAATCGTCGCCGACGTTGAACTTGCTCTGTTCCTTGCCGAAAGCGTCGATGTTGTCGGGTGTTACGCGACTGAGAAAGTCGACATACTCGTCTGTATGGAACTGGCACATCTCTTGCTTGGTCGCGGGTTTCGCTCTCTGCGCAGGCGGTTAGTACCATGTCGGACATACGAATGCGCACACTCACGTAGATCTCCATCTTCTTGTATAGGCCATAATTCATGATGAGACTGTGCGCCATCCTTATCCGATGAGGCTTCATTGGACTACACGAAGTAAGCAATTGATCGTGAGCTGTGAGAATCAAGAGACACATACTGTCCCGGTCCATAAGAGTAATTGCCGACCTCAGCTGTACGAAAAGTGCGCAGTCAGCACATCATCATTCCCTTGACGCGTGCAACAAAGGACGGGCCACGACTTACAGTCATAGAAATACGCGACGGAGCGCTTGTTGCCGCCATTCAAGGCAATCGGCTCCATGATCAGGTCGTCTGGATGCGATCAGATGGTCGTTTATGGTATAATTGTACTTCACGGGTCTGTGCGTCGGGTCCTTTTCGGGGTCCCATAATCGAGGCGCATGCTGTGGGCGGGCGCCGCACCCAGCGCTGGTCCAGGGCGAGGCCGCTGCACGTGAGACCCTGCGAAATGGTATATACGCTGCCCTATGTAAAGGCTATGGCCACTCTCTTATCCACTCAAGCTGTATCCTAGATCATCGGCTCCGACGCTTTCTGCCATGCGGATCAAGTTCAACCGCATCCTCTCGAGCCGCCCAGTATATTGCACGTCGCGCACCCAGTTCATGTCATGTTGCAGTATATTACGAGCCCGCTCAGGACCAGCACCTGTCGTACCGATGCAGCCGTGAAGAGTTGCACGTACAGGTGTGGTTCCGTAGACTCCTCGATGGAGAATGTTGTTGTCGTAGAAGACAGTATCGCCCGGTTGAAGATCAACTCGCAGCTCCCCTTCCAGAGGATCACGCGGGTTGTGTATAGTAATATCTCGTTCTTGATGCGTTCTAACCCGGTTATGGGATCCGGGAACCACCATCAAGCACGAATCAGCGTACAAAGCAGTGTTCCATTGTGTTCCAACCCGTGGGGCTTGCAGGAGCTTCTTCTCGTCCTGGTCCGAAGTCTCGGGAGGTATAGTATCCCTGTGCCAAATCAAGGAGAAGGCTGTTTTCGTCGGGTTGATCAGCAATCCTAGCAGCTCTAAAAGAGGGCATTGCTTAATCAGCCCTGTTTGGTACCCATTGTAGCGAGTTGACCCTTCTACGTACCCATTTGAAGCTCTTCTTCTTGACACCCCAGGATTGTTTTCACAATTTTGATCAGTGCTTCACTTGCGTACCAGGAAACAAAGACATGTTCGTTCATTTCAGGCTTCATTATGTGTTGCACCCCCCATACATCCTCTCGCACCCGCTTTGGCCATGGGGGGAACTGTTTTCCGACCAGACGGCTACACCACTGATCAGCCACGCCAATACACGCAGCATGGTGTTTCTCACTACTACTCACACATGATCCCAACTGACGGCGCTGTCGTCGCGAGCTCGATCGATCGCTCGCTTCGCACTTTCACGGAGCGGTTCGAGAAGGTTGGGCGGTATGAGACCTGGTACCACCACAAACCCGTCATTGTCAAGTGCTGTAAGGATTTTCTCTTCAGGCGACATTGCGCCAGTGATGCTTCTCAGTCAGACTTGTCTGCGCAAGATGTAGACAGTTTCCTCCGCATCGGGTACCGGCTGGACACGTGGTACTAGCGTGCTGTAAGCTTACAGCAGTGTGCAAAAGTCTCGTCCGCACATCATCCTGCGTGCGCGAACCTCCCAAATCGTAATTGTAAAATAGCTTCAAACAACTCGATAAGAGGCCTTGGAAGGTCTGGATGGGCTCAAATGCACTGCAGGGTATGCGACAATACCCTACAGCTCCTAGTTATCAACAATTACATTGAGGGGCTCAACATTTACCAACTTTAGTCAGATAGTCAGAAAATCGATTGGCACCATTTACCGTATTGTGAAGAGGTATGAAGAGGAAGGCACTCATGAACGTCAGGGCAACTCGACTTGTGGGCGTAAGGCTCAAATAGACCTCTTCCTAGGCTCAGTGGGTGCTACTCTACCGTCTCGAAGGTCCCCTCAAAGGTCTCACTAAATGACTACAGCACATCCAATACTTGTATGATAAGAAACCGTCTCTATACCATAATGAATGTGCAGAGTTTCTCAACCAGGAGTTCGCTACAAGGCTATCTGAATATCATATCCTTCGCTACCTCAAAAAAATTGGATATCCCCGAAAGCTCCTCACAATTAGTGCAGCCCAGCGAAACAGTATCTTACATGCAAACTATGCCCTGGCAATGGCTGGATACACACAAGAATGGCTGGCCTTCCTTGACGAATCTGCTATCGACGAAAGAACCGCTACCCGCAAATTTGGATATTCCGCGGTCAGTACTAGGGCCATTCAGGAGAGAGTATTTTGACACTCTAAGCGCCAGAGTGTGTTGCCGGCCTTGGCATCGACTGGTCTTAAGGCGCTGCGCATCTTTCATGGTACATACAATGCAGACCGTTTTGTCGAGTTCATCGCCTCTTATCGATCCTGCAACCATTCCCTAGTCCCAATAGCGTGGCTGTGCTTGATAACTGTCGTAATTATCATGATCTAAGGGTGTTTGAGTTGCTGGTCGAGAGGGCTGGATGTCAAGTCCATTTCCTACCACTTTACTCCCCTGACCTAAATCCAATCGAGCTCGGTTTCGGCATGATGAAGAGCTGGATGAAGCGCAACAACACGCACCCTTACGCCCGTGAAGACCCCCCAACATTCGTCCGCCTAGCAAACAAATACATCAACACCCAACTTGACAAAATCAGCAATATGTCAGCAACTGCGGTTATGCTTGAACGAAGGCGCAGCTCAGCGCGTATGTCGAGGCTAATCGACAAATTACGGCTGATGCTGAGGGTCAGCTTTAGGCTTCATTCGCTAGTTTTTTGGATGGTTTTTTCGATCGAAGCAAAACATTCATTTATTTTCACACTTGCCATTCTCACAGACAGACTCCCTCACAAAATGGCTGTACAGCTGTCCCAATGGCCTGCATCGAGACACGGCCCAGACGGGCTAAACCCTCTAGGTGCAGCCACGTGCATAATACTTGTCACCTCGTACTTTTCTACGAGTGAGTTTGGAGTAAGGTGTTGAGCTCTGTAAGGTTATTGCAAAAGAACTAAGCATGCTATTGAGAAAAGAAGAATACCACATTAAAGACCAGAACAAAAAGAAGGTTTAAAACTCGTCTGGGTCTGGGACCTCATAGACCTCAAAGGGGGTCTCCTGAAATTGGCCTACGGTACTGACCTCCTTGCGCATCATAGCCTTCCAAACAGGCCAGCAGCGTTTCATAATCATGATCCAACCCTATTTAGCAGCTCCCGGAGGCTCATCCGGTAGTAGGCGCAGGTTGTCCAGGCAAATCCTGCGGTTGATGATTGCTTCTTTCACGGTTTTGACCTCAAAGCTGCAGTATACCGGACTTGTCGATTTGACATGGCGTAAAACCCCCTCCAAATCATCGGATGCTGGTCCCTGAAGAGGACTGTATGCTCTCATGGTTTGCGGATTGCGGGTCTGTTGGCTGTATGGAGGAACCATGTCGAGACGCTGCGCAGTACTGGAGTTGGTAGCTGGGGCCAGCTAGCTGAACTCCTGCTTTCAGGAGTCAAAGAGACTTCCGCTGATTGAGGATCTGAAGGGTGGTAGCCCTTGAGTAGGGATTTGGAGACCGTATCATGGACTGGTGGTTGATCGACAGTAACACATTTTCGCTCGAGGATATGTCAGCCCAGCGATCGAGGAGTAGATTGCTGATGTGTCAATGCACCTTGGTCATAAGATGAATGTAGCAGTAGGATTGGTGCTGCTTGGTACACTTATTGAGACGGCTGAGGCTAATGCACAAGAATCACTCCACACCACTCAGGCAGAGAGTGCTGAGGCGCTTGCTCAATGGCTTTACCGTCTTCAGAGGTGGGAGGCTGAGACGTGTCCCTTAACAGATCCTCGTGTTGGACAATCAAAAATCAAGAAGTTCTACGAAATGGCCTCAACTGCAATTTTAAACCCAAGTCTGGAACAGAAGGGCTCACGTCTTGCAAGCTTACCGCCTATCATGGTCCGAGCCCTACTCCCTCCATGCATGAGAGTGTCCGGTCTTGCGTTCACGCATGGCTGTAGATCATATCAAATCTAAGCGCCTGCCTCGCACGTTCAGGGATCGGCAGCAACTTGACGCTGAGTGCAGGGCTGCCTTGAGAGGGCGTATGCCAGTAGGACCTGGGATTCCCCTGACTCTACTCAGTTGGATCAGAGTCAGCCCACATTGCTGAATAAGTTGATGAAGTGACAACACGCATGAGATGATGGAGACGTGTTCTCGATGATAAATAATCCTTTTGTTGTTCTCTATAGACAGGTGTTTCGGTTTTTTGCTTTGGTATGTGTATAAATCTTGAACGTTGTAAATGAATTCTTTGCAACGCATCAGTTTGATTCTTTCTCTCGCGCGCAAGTGATTCGACAAACTCGTCCACACTTGGACCAAGGCAAGTGCATGATCCATGACACTACCATGAATTTCTTTGCGATGTGTCATGGGTTGCTATCCGCTCAGAAATCTCAGACAAAGTCAGGGATCGCAAGCCTATGATAGATTAAGCCCCAAAACAATATCGACACAATCCCAGGTAGAATCAAGGATTATTGCCAAGGGAGTTGAGCAAAATACCTCAGATAATTGCCAAGATACCTACCATATGCATGTACATTAGGGTTAGTTGAGCTTTGCACCCTTAATTGCTGGATTATCTTTCATATATCCAACCGTAGGAATCGTGAAATCGTGGTTTAAATCCAAATTCTCGTAGGCATGAGTGTAATCCACAACAAAGGTCTGGATTCGTCTGGGATTAGACATGAATTACGTACCTTGTCAAGAACTCCTATTCGGCCAGTAATACAAACAGCAACTTTGGACAACAATCCTTGATACCATCATGGGTCAAGCCAAACAAATTCAAAATCCACGACTGTGCTCTTCTGAATCCGAACCATAATTTCGGTCGGCAAAATCCATGTCCTTCCTACGGAGTCTGCTATCATGGATTTTTCAAGGATACTGTCGATTACCTTCATTTAGTCCAGGACACCCAGTCTCCATTAGCTCTACAGATATCCATGCCCTGCTGGCAGTGATTGTGGGTTGTGGTGTGGTGCAAACTGCCGCGCGCGGTTGTCTAAACTTATGAAATTGACAGTAATCCCTGTTGAGATCATGGGTCCGGCATAGAAAATCCATGACACATTTTAGGGAACGTGTATCATGGATTTCCATGCATTTCTCTGGAACCTATCATGGAAAATTCCTGGCATACTAATCATTGAAAATCACATTCCATGACAATTTCATGATCTTCCCAGGGAAATTCCCTGAGCGTTCATGTCGCAGGGCTTTGTCAGCAGAATCCATGATAACCCACAATGCAAATTGGTATAGTCCATGATCTGATTCTGGATAGTTCACAATGACCGGGCTTAATCCCAGAAAGAATCATGCAAAATTGCGAAGGAATGTGAGGCATAGTTCTCAGTAGTATCAGGCCAGAACAGGGACATCACATGGTAAAAAAAATTATTTCTACGAGTTCAACATTCATGGGAATCGTATGATATCATGTTAGGGTCATAGGATTTTCATGTCCATAAGATCCCATGACCTCAGGTCAAATATCTACCACGGCTCAGGGTTACAATCATCGCAAACACAAGAAACGCCAATCCCTACCTTCGCGAAGTTGTTGCGGAGGACTCGGAGGTGGTGCTGGATCTGAGGGAGGACTAATATTACTATCATCATATCTTAATTCTACCCTACGCTTGTACTCAACGTGGAAACACCAACGCAGATTATCCGCGTTGCCAGCGTGGAAACACAACGTGGAAACCGGGACTCTCAGCGCAGAAAGTCCTAGCTGGGAACGAGGAAAATCCACGCTTGAACGAGGAAAATCCACGTTAGAACTACAAGCGCTTCCAGCTTTGCGAGGGAGTAGATTTAATCGGTTCCTACGAGAGTCAGCGTAAAAGCGACAAAACCCGCGCCTCCAACATTGTCTTTTACACACATGACTCTGGTTTCGGTACGGAAGTCTTCTTTGGCGAGGTTATGCTGTTTGCAAGGCCATTGGTGAGGCGTGTGTGTGTACTACCCTTTGGCGTACATTCGGTGTTATGGTCCTGCTCAGCTTCGTCGTGGCCGTTTCTTTGTGGTTGACACTCAACCGCCTGGGAATTTACACGAGTGGGTGAACATACGGCAAATGAAGAGGTTCGTTGGCACCTTGACTACTCAGCCATTGATTGACGAGCTTGGGGGAGATGCAGTCAAGCCTGCGTGGATCATTGATAGAAAGACATTTGCGTGGAACAATGCGGCTAGGTTGTTAATCGACTGATTAGACTACTTGTCTATACATCCATGGCCACGTCAACATTTGTCAGCTGACGTTTCCACGTTGGCCAGCTAGGATTTTCCTAGTCATAGAAAAACTCCACTACGTTTCCACGCTGGCAACTAGGAAATTCCGCGCTGCCTAACAACTAACCAGGAAAATCCACGTTGGGCTGGGTCGTAGGGAATGTCGATTGAGTTTGAAATCACGAACCCGGAAATTGCCAAGTTCAGATCACTTTACAAGAACTTCGTCATCGAATAGGAACGCCTATAATATCAATATAACTTCAACCGGCTTAGTGTCTGCCCTTCTTCCCTCCATATTCTGCTGCATATAGCGGAAGTTGTGGAGTGGTTAGGTCCTACATGGGTGTTCTGGGCGTTCCTTATGGAGCGTGTTAACGGCATGATCGTTCCCCAAGCTACTCATAATATAATGAATAGACCCTGCTACGTTCGAGGTCGGAATCGAACAAGTGCTCGACTAAAGCCATTTTACTAGATGAGCAGATCAAGCATTTCGAATATGCTCCGAAGACCTCAGCAGTTACAGGCCTGGATTAAGCCCCTTTGAAGCGTGGATTATGCCGAAAAAAACACATGGATTATGCCCGAGAAAATCAAGCGAAAGGGTGCGCGAAAGCCCGACAAGGATTATCCATGACAAGAAATCAAGGACCAAGCCCATTTCTTTGGGCCACGATTAATCTTGACACAGGGTGTGCCTCGATTTCTGCCAGGATAGTAATCTACAATGAAATGTGTAATTCCTGTATAACTCCTGACTAATCCATGATTTTGACTTGGATTACGCGTACTTGACTAAGACAAACTGTGCTTAATCCGTGATATTTTACTTTATATAGGCCAGACCAAAAACTCACGCGTTAACCCAACTTTGTCTGTATGACATTTCCAACACGAGGCTACCTATAGGCCCTTGATTATGTAAAAATAATGTGGTTGGGTTTCTACCAAAGCTTGGCTTTCATATCATAGCGCAGATGTGCATGATACGAGACGAGAATTGGCAATAATACTTCAAAAACTAATTGTGCACGTAAAACTACATGGTTAACCCCAGAAGAGCAACACCTCCCAGGTATGACGCACAATGCAGCTTTGTACACGCCATGGAAAACCGAAATTCAGATATTTCGTACGCACACCACAGAAGCTGTCTGAGATTTCGCTTAATATTATTAGGGCTGTTCTCGAATTCTAGGGACTTTCCTCGAGTTTTTCCGTGATCAAGGCAAAAAAAGTATTCCCAGATAATTGCGATGATGCATAAGGCACCACGGGCCACAGGCACATATACTGGTATACTTGTATGTGCAAAAAGGGGTTTTCATTCAATAGCTGGCAGGGCAGCCAGGCTACTGGGGTATAAATAGCAGGTAAAATGCTTGTGTAATTCAACTCCGATAGCTGCTGTCCCACTGTTCCACTCCAATAAATAACGCCTAAAAAATCCCCCAATTCAAGTTTCTCCAAGAGACACATCCACTGCCCGCATGGCATAGACCAAGTTGGCCGTCAATTTAGCCTCAGAAGCAATCAGTGCAAGCAACGTCTTTTCATGGGATGCTAGGCCATGTGCAATGCCCTTCCAGTCGGCCAGACAAATCCCCTCAGGCTGAGTAACGATCCTAGCTATGAACCGCTTGGCGCGGGTATTGAGGAGAAGATTACAGTCCCGGTAATCGAAGTCCTCCTTAAAGACGCCTAACAGGCGGAGTGCGTAATAATAGATCGCTTCACGCAGAGGCCTTGTGTCGATGGACGATTGTGAGCCTTCATTCGGGACGAAATATTCCTCATCACCATCTCCAGATGCATCAATCGCCTCTTCAAACCTCCTGTCTACCTTTTCGTCAATACCAGGAAGGTAACGATCAATGATAGCACTTGTAGTCTCACGGTGATAACCGAGTTGCAAGACTTCATAGTCCGGATCATCCATCTTGAAGTCGTCGTGGCCAATTTGCACCGATTTATCCCAGAACCGAGTGAGGTCTTCCAGCAGGGCCGGCTGGGCCTGCGACGCCGGGGCCCTCAACTCAGGAACACCAGGCGACGTGATTACCGGCACACCACGAGGGAACTCGGCAGCTGGACTTGGAGTAGAGGTGCTTAGGAAGAAGCTTGCTGGAGCACGACCTTGGAAGGGCAACTCAAGGGGCTCGTCCAGCTTGACGCATTGATCGAAACTTTTCTTTGATTCCGAAACGAAATCCAACTCTTCAACATCGGCCGATGTCGCAAGCGATTCTCTCCTCTTCTTCAACAGTCCAAAGACTGACTGACGGTCGTTGTCCGCCTCGAAAGCATCCGGTTCTTCTTGAAAGGTGTTATAGGGCCCCATTATGGAAGCTGGAGCCGGCGCAGATACGTAAGACATAGGCAAAGACGCGCTCATCATGCCTCCCATGCCTGTCGAGAAACTCGCAGCAGACCCCATCGACCAAGGGTTCGTAAAACTGTGTCCGTCCAGAGTCACAGACGGTTTTCTCTCTTCCAGCATCTCCTGCTCAGCGGCAATGATGGATGGCCTGCGCTGAGTAGTTGTGCCACCGAGGCAGTCGGCATCAGGACAAAGACCCACGGCGAGAGCAAAGCTAGACTGAGCGTGATACATCGCCAGGACGCAAGTAGCGTGTACCACCTCACCCATCGTCCAGGCACTCTCCCGATCAGATGCCTTTTCCACCTTCACTAGCTCTGTAACATGCTCTCCTTTCAATCTCCACGGCTGGTGAGCCAGGATCGCATTGATCTTCGCCAACCTCTTAAACTTTCGTGGAGCATACTCCAGGCCTTTCAACCACTCCGAATCACCTCCTGACCCCAAGAAGATCGAAGCCAACAAACTCGTAAAATACTGACAACGATGCTGCGCTGCACCCAAGATTCCGATGTATACCTTGTACAGCAACGGCAGTGGTCCTTGAGTCTCCTTCACCACGCAACCGAACGTTTCCCACATCGTCTCTAAATACCGGGGAAAGTACCCCAGCATCTTTGCATAATTCGAAACACGTCCATACTCCACAAATATCTTACACTGAAACTCATGCAAACTCTCACTAGCCAGTCGAGGATGTTTTCCCCTCCCCTTTGCTGCCCTCTTGCTTGATGCAGAAGTCCCAGAGGAGGAATGTGTCGTGGAAAGTTGCTTCGACCTGCCGCTCTTTGGCAGTTTTAGAGAGAATCGGGTGCGGCGCTGTAAATTATCGGGACTTTCGTCTTCTGGTCGATCTGCTCTTCCGCTTCCAATGTTCATGGCCCTTGGCGGCGCATTCCTTGGCGTGAGAATAGGGATTGCCACGGTAGGAGTCGTAACATCGCTCCCATCATCCATCCAAGGATTATGAGTATAATGATATTGCGGGGTAAAACCGGTATCAATTGCCGGAAAGTATGGGTTATCCTCGGTAAAATGGAGGTCTCGAGGACTCATCGTGCGGGGGGTCATGTCGTCGCTCCTCGAAGGTTCAGGCGACAAGACTGGACTGGGGCTCCCGATATCGCTCAAATCAAAGTGCTGCTCTTCTGTTATGGTATTATCTCGCCTCGTGAGGGCAGATATTGACGAAATGAGAGAACTGGAGTCAGGCGGACTCTGCGGATACGAGTCCGCTCGACCACGACGATCATCTGATGATGTCGCGAAGCCGACAGTCTCCCAGTATGGGACAAAGAAAGACGGGCTTAAACTTGTGAGTTGAGGAATATCGGCACCCAAAGTTCTAAGTTTCCTGAGCAACTTGCGACAGCCTCGACGAACATCCTGGAAGGGACAATCCACAGTCAGGCGTATGACGCTGACAAAATACTTCTGCAACACATCGCGACCCAGAATCTCTTCTTCGAAACTTGATAGGGAGAGTGAGGACATACTTCTGTGTCCATGAGGGAAGAGTAGTTCGTCGACGCCGTATGGTCCAACATAACCTGATGATTGAGTTCGAGTGCGACCGAGTCGGTTACTAGTCAGAGGGTCGCTACTTGTCGGACTGACTGGGTTGGAATCATTTGGTGGCGAGTGGATGGGCGAATCGATGAAACCTGTCTGTATCTGAGTGGGTACCTCGTCCGACTCGACATCAAACACTTCATCCCAATCGGAGTCAGTGGTACACTGCTTTGTCAATGAAGGTACAAGAGATTCAGCCCGTTGATCAATAGGTCGACCTGTGTAGATCTGCTTCGTCCATTCCTCCAACACGGAGGTCAACTGCTCCAATGTTTGTGTTCGCTCGGCTTTGTCGTACGATCTGAACCCGTCTAGTAGCGCTGTTCGCACGCGACTATTCGCACCCTCCTGAAATATCCTCGTTGATGCTGCTTCATCATTAGCATTGAACGACTACTGTGACAAGAAACCACTCACGCGACCGCACCGGACTGATGCTCCTCAACCCTCCTCCATAGCTTCCAATTGACGACCTAACCGTGGACCCAACAGCAGCACGGCCGTCCGTTCCCATAAACCCAGATCGTGTAGTAGAGCAAGCTGCTGGCAGAAGATACAACTGCTGACTGATTGAATGCTACCTTCCCTATATACTCGCGCTGTGTATGCCCCCTTGGTGGTGTACTGATAAGCAGAGGGATGGGGCAGCCACATACGCATCACGGTATCGCACGGCGCGCGTGGCCCAGGAGAGCTGCCGCACCCGACCATGTACCGAGGATCACCGGGAAGCCGGTAGCTGCAACTCTATCGTTGGCGCTGTCTGTCTGTCCGTCCGTCTGTCTACCTGTCTACCTGTCTTTATCATTGATGTTCATGGGATGTATGCTATCGAATCGCAGCTTACATCCTCTCTGGCGTCTCCATCGTTATCGCCGGGGGTTCTCTCTTCTCCCGCCCGGCCGTAAACAACCGCCGCTACTGCCACTACGCGTTACCTTATCCCGAGTCACGTGAACCGCTGTCTTCAGTTTCAGTGGAGTAATGGTCATCACTCTCAGTTAGCAATCTACAGCTCAGAACCTTCAATTCGCATTGGTTCAACCATCCAAGGGTCTTCTTCGTGCAGCCGCTGATCCCGCGCGAGAGAAAGCTTCGACAGAGAGATCGATGGATGCAGCGGGCCGTAACCTTCCCGTAGTATGCGATTCCTTTGATTGATTGCAGTTGGAAACGACACCGCCTACAATGACCCGGCTTCATCTATGCATAGCTTCTGTACGGTGTTGCTATTTTGAGGTGAGGAGGCGCCTAATGTAGGCAACGCCCCCAAATGCCAAAAACACTGAAGCTATCCGGGCCCCGTACTTGAAGCCCCACTGGGAATCGTAAACCCGCCAAGACACCAAGCCGCCTTCCCTTCACCTGATCAAACCTCACAGTCTCTCTTCAACCCTCCAGATCTTCCACTTCCGTTTCCCTTTCTTCTCGACGACGCGATGGTTCGTTTGGCTGTTCTCGTTCCCGCTCTTTTGAGCGTCGCCGGCTTCGCCTCGGCTGCCATCACTTGCTCTGAGGACTCCCCTTGTCCAGAGTCCGCGCCTTGCTGTTCCCGTACGTGTCCTTTTTTTGATTGTATGCGCTGCATTTACTGACAAATCGATCAGAGTACGGTCAGTGCGGTATCGGTGCTTACTGTCTCGGTGGATGTGACCCTCGTTTCTCCTACGAGCCTGGAGCATGTCTCCCCGCCCCCGTCTGCAAGTCGGAAACCTACACTTTCACTTCTACCGACAACATCGCCTCTTCTGGTGACTACCTCGGTGACCCGGACACTTACGATTGGACCGTCTCCGGTACCCCCTTGATCTACGATGACTCCATCTTGCTTACCATGCCCGCGAACTCTGGTGGTACCGTTTTGGCCGCCACCCGTTACGTTTGGTACGGAAAGGTATCTGCGACCTTGAAGACCTCCCATGAGCAGGGTGTTGTTACCGCTTTCATCGCCCTTTCCGACGTCAAGGATGAAATCGATTTCGAATGGGTCGGTGCCAACTTGACCACCACTCAGACCAATTACTTCTGGCAAGCTACCCTCGACTACCAGAACGGTGGAAACGTCACCAACACTGACACTTACGCCAATTGGCACACGTACGAGATTGACTGGCAGGAGGACTACATCACCTGGGCTGTTGATGGTGTGATCGGTCGTACCAAGTTCAAGAACGAGACCTGGAACGCTACTGGTGGTTTCTACGCTTTCCCCCAGACCCCCTCCCGTATTCAGCTTTCCATCTGGCCCGGTGGTGCTGCTTCCAACGCTGAGGGTACCATTGCATGGGCTGGTGGTGCCATCAACTGGGACTCTCAGGATATCCAGGACTACGGATACTACTACGCTATGGTCAGGAACGTCTCTATTGAGTGCTACGACCCTCCGTCAAACGTTACCAGGGACGGTGATGCCTCCTACTGGTTCAACCCGAACGGTAACTACTTGGTTGACGATGTCATCATCTCCGGCAACGCTACTACCATCCAGAACATCCTCGACACCGGTTTGAACTCTACCGCTACCGCCTCTGCCTCTTCCACCGCCTCCGCTGCTACCGACCCCAATACCGGTGACACCGTCTACGCTGGTGCCGACTCTAACCGTGGTTCCAGCAACTCCGACTCTTCTTCTACCTCCACCGCTGCTGTATCCACCGCTACTGCTACCGTTGGTACCTCCTTCTCTCAGGGTACCTCTTCTAAGTCCACCTCTGGCGCTGCCCAGCTCTTCGTCTCCGGAGCCGTCTTGCTCGGTGCAGCTGCCATGGGCCTCGTTCTTGCTTAGACGGTGCAGAGTATAGAGTATTACAAAGGGTTTGCATACCGAAGATGATAAAAGAGGATAGCACATCTGGGTATTGACTTTCGCGGTGTTTTTTTTCTTTCTTTTCTTCTTTCGTTACTTCTGGTGTGGGGTTACTGGCATTGGTCTTTCTTTTTCATGGCACATCTTGATCGAACGGACTGCTATAGCTATGTTACGGGTAGCAGTAGCTTCAGCGATTTATTATTGTAATCCTTTTGATTTTCTTACGAGTTCTTTCGTCCGAATACCCGAGTGTTTTGAGCGTGATGTCACGGGCGTCCCAGGCTTCCCCGCGTTCAGCAATCGCGAGCAAGCGGAGCCCTGCAAAACAGCATTTCGAAGTCCACGAACAGCAATTGCCATTGATCCAGAATAATTGAGATATTGAAAATGTCAGCAGCGTGTATCTTCTGCAAGATTATCAAGGGTGTGTTTTCAAGCCGCTCGATTCATCGCCTTCGCATAATGGAGAACTGATCGCCGAACACAGGCGAAATCCCCTCCATCAAGCTCTTCGAGACCGCTAAGACGTATGGCCCCTCACCTGCTCCAGGATCTTGTAACCTATGAACATGAAGCTGACACCGTTGCATAGCTATGCCTTCGCGGACATCCAGCCCCTCTCCAAGGGTCACGCTCTCGTGATCCCCAAGGAGCACGCCGTCAAGTTGCACGAGCTCTCCGACGAATCCCTCGCGGATCTTTTGCCAGCCGCAAAGAAGCTTGCTGTTGCTGTTGGTGCTGACGAGTACAACATCCTTCAGGTATGATCCTGGTGCCTCATGAGTGGCATTAACTCTCAAGGTACTCGGAACACGAGTAGCTGACGTTCGCACCAGAACAACGGACCTATGGCCCACCAGGTCGTGAAGCACGTTCACATTCACATGATCCCCAAGCCGAATGAGGAGGAAGGTTTGAAGGTCGGATGGCCAGCAACCAACCCTGAGAAGGATGAGTTGGCCAAGTACTGGGAATCGATCAAGCAGAAGCTCTAGACATGACAGCGACGGAACAGGTGTACGAATATACTACTAGGTGAATAACAACGAACTTTATCAATGTCCTAAACCTGCAAAAATGAGACTAGCCTCTACCATATCGGGTCGGCGTCACCGAGCTCAGTGACAACCACAGTCGAACTCCAGATCCCTTCTCTTGAAGTCGTGGTGGTAATGGTCGCTCTTCCTTCCGAGTTCTGTGTCCGTGAACCCCTTAGATGTAGCGCCCAGAGCCTCCGCCTCGGCCAAACCCACAGGCTTGGTCATCGTACCGTTGTTCTCATTGAGCACCAAGGTGACCTCGTCAAGGTTGAGCCCGCCGAGGTAAGTAGCGATGAAGTCACCAACCTCGGTGTTTTCATGGTTACCGCGAAGCACATCGATGGCTTCGTCACCGTAAGCATAGATGTTTACATCGACTGCGGAGTGACCGTGCGTAGCCCACTAAGAAACGACGTTAGCAGAGCCCGTAAAATCCAGGATCATAGAACATACGCCAACTTGTGCTCTTCGGGATATCATGTCAGACAAGATGTAACTGCCCCACAGCCAGATCTTCCACTTCTTTCCATCCAAGAGGAGCGCAATCTCGTCGTCAGTAGCATCCCAGATACCCAAACCGCGACCGATGATAGTCTCCTTCACCCAGGACTGCAAGTTCGACTCCTTACCATCGTAATCAGCGAGCTCCATACCAAGGCCTTCAGTAGAGCGAGTGGCATTGAGGAGGACGCCAGGGTACCAGAGGTAGTCAGGATACTGTAGGCGCCCGGTTAGTAAGTCTTTAGAGAAACAGGAAAGAAGCATGTACGGTATCGTGAATCTGCCTAGCGACACTCAAGCCACCAGTCTCGTGGTCACTGGTACTGACAACGACGGTTCCGGGGTTTTCGTCAATGAAGTCCTGAACCACCTTGAATGCATGGTTGTACATGATAGCATCATTGACAGCACCAACAGGGTCGTTGTTGTGCTGGGCCATATCAATCCTGGATCCCTCAATCATGAGGAAGAAACCTTCGTCCTGATCCTCAGTGGCAGCTTTCAAAGCCTCGAGGGCAGTGGCAGCCATCTCAGCCAAAGAGGGCTGAACCTTCTCGTCACGATCAACATCATAGTCCATGTGGTCGTCGGCGAACAAACCCAACAAGGGGAGAGTAGCATTCTGTCCCTTGTTCAAAGCGTCAAACTCCGCGCGGGATTGGATATGAGCGAAACCGTTCGACGCCGCAATGTCGAGAAGATTCTTGGTGTCGGTACGGCAAGATCCCTCCATACCAGCTGGCAAGAAGTGACAACGTCCTCCACCGAACATAAGGTCTGCAGTACGTCCAAGGGGAGTGAGGCCGACTTGATGCTCCGCAATAAGGTTCTCCATATCACGATGAACGACATGAGCATTGAAACTGCCAGGGGTAGCATGCGTGATCCTACTCGTAACCACCAAGCCGGTCTTGTATCCCTTCCTGTGAGCAGCCTCCAGCACCGTTCCACAAGGCCTCTGGTGAGGATCAACACCAATGGCTCCGTTGTATGTCTTCAAGCCACAACTGAAGGCGGTGGCTCCGGCAGCACTGTCCGTAACCCAGCTGTCCGAGGAGCGTGTACGTGAGGTACCGACGAAAGCTTTGTCGAGCGGAAGCTGGACGCCGTAGCCATGTCCGTTCTTTTGCTGCCAAAAAGTACGGGCTAAGTTCACTGTTGCTGGACCCATTCCTATGACAGGAGCCAGTTAGCGGGCGACTTCCTGAACAGGAGAGCGAAGCGATACCATCAGAAACCATGAGAATAAGGTTTCTCTTGCCATTATGCGAAGCTCCATGTCCACGAGGATGCGACGGGTGAGTGTAGTATACTCCTAACAGCACACAGGCCACGGTGACGAGTGCGGCAGCAAGGAACTTGAGGATGGTGGGAAGCCTGGAGGATGAAGCGACGGGCAGGTCATATTCGGCTTCATCGTCGGTGTTTGGGTCAGCACCACGAAGAAGCGGTGCTGTTCGTTCTGTCATGACTGTTGGCAGGCGTCGTTGGAGATGTATGCGGGCCCGGAGTTACGCGAGTACGCACAGACGCCCAGGCGATAAGCTCGCATATGGCTACAGACGGGTATTACGGCTGGGAAACAAGTATTTTAAGGAAGACGGACAAATGGACGTATCGTACAAAAAGGACTCCGGTTTATCCATTTCGCCGCAGCCGCCCGTCACCAACTACTCCAAGAATGCACATGCCTACAAGAGAACATGTACGGCAAGGTTCCGCCTCCCTATAGGTTTTGAGAAAGATCCAATAGACGCCAAACACAAGAAAAAAGCAAAATCACTGATAGATTAAGATCATTTATTTCTTGACAGCCTTCTGGGCCTCCTGCTGAGCCTTCAACACCTGCAATAGTCATCGTTAGCAGACGCTGCGGTACATCTTGTCAGACTGAACGAACCTTCTTGACGATCTTGGCCTCCTCAACCAAGAAAGCACGGACGACACGGTCCTTGACGCAGTTGGCGCAGCGGGAACCACCGTAGGCACGCTGGACGGTCTTGACACGGCGGGAGACCTGGGAGAACTCACGGGGACGGAGGGCGGGGATCTGATGTATATGTTAGTAAATTGCTGCAAAACAACGCTTTGAATCGTTTCAAGGGATCGAAGATCGAGAAATCAGATGTCGTGGGTCGAACGGCAATTCACGCAGCTGCTGTCGAAAATTCCATATGCCCCCCGTTCCCCCCCCCCAAATTCCACGCAAACCACACCCATGCACACCAATCCACCCACACATCCCAAACCCACATTGTCGTTTGTCGCGCGGATTGCCATGCCATCCGATCCCAGTTCATCTGTATTTCCTTCACATCTCCCACCCAAACAATTCAATTCAAGTCCAATACGTACACCAGCGAGCTTGATACCGCAGTCACCACAGTTGGGGATCTTACCGGCCTTCTTGATGTGAAGGTAACGGAGGTTGCCACCAGGGGTCTTGCTGATGCGGACCTTGTTGGACTTGGTGTTGTAGGCCAAACGGCGGCGGTAGGTCAATCTGACGACACGGTCAGCATCACCATAAGGATGAAAATGGCGATAATCGCCCCGTCGCAAACGTACCTCTGGGCCATCTTAGTCCTTTTTTTGTTGAGTGTTGGCGACTGCACTGATCCCGTCTCCTACCAAACTGCAGATTTCTACGAGGGGTGCAGCCCGCTCGAACACGTGATTAGGGCTTCGATGCCCCCGAGCGCGTCACGTCCCCCGGATGTAACGTTGACATTCCCTCGATTAATTACGTAGATCATGTCTACCGAGGAGCAGTATGATGCTGCTTTGAGCGCTGGTACGCTCCCTCGTCCAGGATCACCGCGATGGCCGTGCTAAACGATGCGTTACAGGGAACGACCACCCCGATGAAATGGTCGTCGATGAGCCTGGTATGTCTCTGCACGCGTGTAATACTATTGCGCATCGCTAATTGAGTCTATAGAAAGTGGTTATACTCACACGGCATCCGACGAACCGTCAACTCCAGTTCGTTCCATCGAAGGTTGGATCATTCTGGTGACCAACGTGCACGAGGAGGCATCGGAAGAGGAACTGCAAGACGTCTTCGCAGAGTACGGAGAGGTCCAAAACTTGCACATGAACTTGGACCGAAGAACAGGATATGTAAAGGTGAGGCATTCTTCCCAAGGCTCGAGTGACGTGCGCTGATCCATGACTTACACAGGGTTATGCGTTGATTCAATATCCGACACTCGGAGAGGCAAAGGCAGCCGTGGAGGGGGCTAATGGAACAAAGTTCTTTGATCAGGAGTTGAGTGTCGATTTTGCTTTTGTGAGACCACCTGTCTCTGAGGACCGCGGGCGTGGCGGACGTGAAGGAGGGGAGCGTGAGAGAAGCCGGAGTCCGGAGAGGGAGTGAACAGGGATATGAAGGAGATGGAGTTGAAAACGTGAGGAACATGATACCCAAAGTTTGGATGTGATCGGACGACTGGTGCTGTGGTATGACATGCAAGTGTGAAGTGATCAAGCGGAGGAAAGGTCTTTCGGCGCATGTACTAGACCAGGAAAATTGCATACCATTGTGCCATTGTTTTTACGTTCACACGTTGGACTAATTGCATCATCTTCTGAAGCCGATGTATGTACCCATTTCATCGTTACCGTGGTGACTACGATACCACGCTAATCCCACCTCGGAAGCCTCATTGACAACAAACCAAGACCGAGGCAGCACCCTACGGAACCCAAGAATCTGTCGAATGCCGTAGCTTTGGCAATGTCTTTAGCTTCAGCTCGCTCACGGCCATGGATCAAGTTGCCTGTAAAGTCAGATAAGGTTTACCTGCTTCAAGCTCACTTCACCGCCGCGTCGTATTCGGTTCATGTGACGGATCTGGATCGGATTTGGGGAGAGACGTTATCCGCGGAAAATGTGAGGAGGAGGGCGGAGGAGGACAAATGCGTTGTGGATATCAGTGCCGGTGAAGAGCAGTTGACTGGGTTGCTGGATATGTTGAAGGATGGACTGAACGGGAAGGAGAAAGATACAAGTATTACACTCGAAGAAGAAGAAGATGAGGTATGGCTACTTGCGCAACACATTGGACTGTATACTTATTGGGAAACAGCTCCGATTCCAGTTAACCCTCCGTCAACCCGGCTTGACCCTCCACTGGAGCTTCAGTCCGACCCTTCTCCCACCCTCCACACTGATCAGCACCCTCACAATCCCTCTCATGTCCCTGGTAGGCTATTACCGCGACGACGTTCTCGAACTATCTCGCTTAATTGCTGAAAAAGACAAACACATTGCAGCAATGAAGGAGTGGTTGACAGAAAACAACCTAACTTACTTCCCAAGGAGGAGCAAAGCGTCATTTCAGCCCATGGATCGTCCAGAGTTTGTGAAGAAACGCAGAGAGGATGCGAGGGCGAAAGATGCCGAAGCGGATGAGGTTATCGATACCTGGACTTTGGCGGTGAATGACAAAGCTGGAGACAGCATCGAAGGGGATGGGCTCTTGGGGGATTGGGAAGCTGTGGTAGGTGGATTGCGGTCTTGGGGACAGAAGAAGGAAGACAATAAGCCGAAGATGAAGAAGATGCAGACAACGGATTCTCAAGTCAATGCGTTCGAGAATATAGAAAGACCCAGACGGGGTTCGACACACGTGGATACGAAGATGGAAGACGGTGCCCTGTCTCAACCAACACTCTCTTCCACAAGACGACATGCTCTTCAAGCAGACTTGATGGACACAACACCATCGCCATCCCTCCCTCACCCAGCACCAACGGCAACGGAACCAGTAGAAGGCTTCCCATTCTCACGACCAACAATGAAACCCACATCAAGCACAACAACCATTCAAAGCTTCCGCATGTCCTCGCCTCCACCAGAAAGAGCAGCGTCGCCTCCAACCAGTTTGCCACCCACACCGAAATTGAACCAGGGCCGGGTGAAGAACGTTATTGGAGGGAGTCAACGACGGACGCAGGATGCGGGGGTGCCGGAATCGAGTCAGGTACTTGGTACTCAGGAGCTGAAACGGGAGCCGCTTACACCGCTGTTGCCGGCTCTGGAGGAAATGGAGACGGATGATGACTTGACTTTACCGACTACGTTAAGGATACCGCCGGAAGATGCGAAGGAGCTGGAGGAGATGAGGAAGGAAGCGGAGGCTAAGGTTGAGGAAGATCCCGAAGCGAAAAAGTTACGGAAGAGGAAGGAGCTCGAGCGGGAACTCGAAATGAAGAAGGCGTACGCCAAGAAGAAGCCAAGGAGATTTTGAGCATGGGTGTAAGCATTGCAACAACCACGGGATGGAATTATAGGATAAGGCGTTCTTTATGACATTTTTGCTTGAGAAAACAACAGTTCTTTGAAATGAATGGAGATGTTTGATACATGGAGGCACCACCAGCTGAACTTCGCCATAAGGCAGACTGATGGGGCACTATGATGCTCAATTGTCTTATTCTTGCAACCCAATTCACACCCAAAAGGACGTTCATCCGGTCACCTCGCTGAGACAGGTATGAACACAATACGTGATCGAAAACAGACCGCTCGACGCGCTGAAGGTAAGCATAGACGTCGAGCCGCGAGCGCGGATGTGGGATGCGATTTCATGTGTGATCCGTCGTGACACAAGAAAGACGACGGTCAAATTGAACGCAGAGGTTCTTGCAGTCAGGACGGGATAGGGCTACCAAAGGGCGTTTGTGTTCATGGTGTTGAGTTTTCTAGAGTCGAAAATTGAGCTCGACTTTTTAAATTGAGTCAACCATTTACAGTACAGTACTGTAAAGGGCATAGCGTCGTACATCGCATGGGGGTGCAGTTCGGCGTCTCAGCTGATTAACAAAACACCAAAGAACCATCATCGTTCAATCGCATTCAAGACCCATACTCCTGGGATAAATGCCATTGCTTCGAACAGATTGAGAGCATACATACCGGAACCAACTTGCTTTTTGCCAAAATGGACGATGATATCATGGACTTGGACGACTGGGGTTACATCCAGGAGGTCACCAACCACGTTGCTCAGACTCGCCAAGATCGTTTGACAGCATACACCTTCGACTCGCCGTATGAGGATAATGGAGCATACATCCGGGAGTATGATGGAAAACTGTCGCGAGGCGCTGTATTTGTTACCGACACGAACTTCTTGATCTCCCAGCTTTCGCTAGTGAACGACCTGGCGGCGTTGCACAAAGAGCATGGACACACTATATTAATACCTTGGATAGTGATAAGAGAGCTTGATGGATTAAAGTCAGCATCACCAGGAAGAGGCAGAGCACAGAACGTCGCGCCACTTGCGCGGCAAGCTATTACTTGGATCCACGACAACTTGAAACGCAACGAGGGAAGTGTGCGTGGTCAACAGATGACAGAGGCACTTCAAAGAGGTCTGGAACCAGATGATGCAATTCTGGACTGCTGCCAGTATATCCAGCAGGAGGAGGAGTTGCCGGTGGTCCTTCTATCCAATGACAGAAATCTCTGCGTGAAGGCGTTGATCCATGACATACCAACGAAGTCATTCTCCAGAGGGTTGACGGCTATCGGCATCCTAAAGGAGCACGTGTCGGATCATGTTGCTCCTCAGACGCCGAGAAAGACCATCAGGCGGGAGAGAACGAGAACGCAGAGCGCAGACTCGCCGCATACAACCAGGAGATCGCCGCGTACAACAAGTACATCACCTCAAAACGTGCAGATACACAATATGGAGGTGGAAATGAGCGATTGTGATGGGGCATCTGCATATCCTACGCCCACCAGTGCTCATCCGATGGAGGACCCCTTTCGGCCTTCAAGTAAGAGATATGATTGGTTAGAAGGCCTCAGTCTACCGGTACAGACGTCTATTCACGAAAAACACAACAACCCTATATGCAGACCACCTTCTCCTGTCCGCATAACACGCTCTTCGAAGTCAGCAGCAAATGAAGCAGTTCTGAACCCACTCTTGACTATGGAAGACCTTTATGGATCGCGCCGAAAGAAGAGCTCGTCTCAGTCGCGTACCCCGCCGACTTCAGCTGATACGGAATCGTCCTTCAAGCCCACTAGGCGACCCTCAACGACAACGACGAATGCGTTCCCTCTCAGCCAGAGCCAAGAGCCTCTTTCGCCAAAGCCTGAAGAAGCCATTGGAACTTGGACTGCTAAGGTTGGTTGTGCCTTATCAGCATTCTTGAGTGACATCGATCATTTTCACACAACGGTTTCGCGTACTACTTCGCTATCCCTCCCATGACTTGCTAATATTGTGGTCATAGCTCATACCTCCCCTCATCCACGCTCACCTGGTGCGAGGCTTCGGCACTCCCGAAGCACTAGAGCACGCCCTCCAAAGACCATGGACCGACGTCGACTTATCCACCCCCGCAAAGGTGATCCTATTCATCCAACAATGCGCTTTCATGCCCCTCTTCTACGACCTCCTCACCCGCTTCCCCGGCGACATGGGATCCTGGCTCCTCGAAATGTGTCAAGCGGAGGATGAATGGTGGTTATGGGCACTCAACGGAACAGGGATGCCGCCGAAGAAGCAGGAAATGCAGATATGGCTACAGTGTTGGGAGTGTGTTTGGGCTATGTTGGGGGATGGATTGGGTGGTGCTCAGGGGGAGGAGCAAAAACGGATTCGGGATGGGGCGATGGTAGTTTGGATGAGGAATGTGCAAGAGATGGAAATACCGGGATGAAGGAGGAGCGGATGAGTAACCTACGATACCATGGGCCATGAACTTGCACCATAACAATTATCATAAATTCGGTAGAGAATGGATATCCGGATTGGCGGAGAAATAAGGTTCAATAGACAGCAGCTACTGCACGCACGCAACCTTGCCTTGGTCAAGCGAGATGCGCGGCCGCGTAATCCGCACGTCATTCGTACGCTGGCTGGATAGATCCTTATTTGATCCCTTACGAGGCCGCAATTGCTTTGTCAGAACTTGGATCCATATACTCTTGATATGATGATTCGCACGATTCTTCGACCTACGCGCCGGCTACATTTTGGGAGATCAGCGGCAGTTCCGTTCGGGAAGACTTTCAGTTCGTCTGTTGCACGATGGACCCCTTCGGCTCTATCGAAGGCGGTTATTGCTGATCATGCGCAATTGGGGGAATACTACGAGGTTGGTGTTGCTCGTTCTCGATCCGTGGGGGGACGGCTCAATTGACACCGTGAGCGTAGAGTTACCAGAGAAATACCCACGATCCTGATGAAGCACAAAAATGGGCAAACGCGTTCCTATGGGTAAGGTCATATTCACCAGATACAAGGTTAAAGTTCTGATGGCTTAGCTATAGGAACTTGCACGGCATGCTATCGCCGAAGAACTTGTCGTTTTTCCAGCATGGGAGAAACATCTCGGAGAAACCGGGACATTGATGGCAAATCATGATCGTGAAGGTTTGTTGTTAGTCAGGGTTGTCTACCGTTCCAAACAAAACTAACGAAATATACGGAAAGAAACGCAGAAGCTCAAGGAGGATGCCTTCGTGCTGCAACAAATGGATGCTTCGTCACCGCACTTCAGGGATGTGTTCGCCTTACTTTTCAAGAAGCTCGATATCCATGTTAAAGAAGAGGAGATGGAAGATTACCCGAGGTTCGAGGCGATTTTGACGGAGCAGGAGAGTGAGGAGTATGCGCAGACGTTCAACGAGACGAAGCGATGGGCGCCGACAAGGTTTGTGTCTTGATCCCGTCTTGGCTGGTCAATACTGTGCGTGTACTGACGAAAGCATAACAGAAGCCATCCAATGGCACCCAACGAGCCGCCATATCTTACAGCAGCATCGGCACTAGCAGCTCCCATCGACAAGGTGAGGGATTTATTCAAGAGTTGGCCAGACACAAGCGGTGACCCAAAGAATGTGAATCACGAGTAAGGTAGTTCCAATAGATGCTTCATTTCGTTCAGCGATGTTCTATATCGTACACTTTTCCGCAACTTAAGCGAGGGCAATGCACTCGATCTCGACGTCGACGTTCTTGGGGAGGGTCTTGACAGCAACGCAGGAGCGCTAGAACGAATGTCAGTATAAATAGCGGGTGTTAAAGACAAAGAACATACAGCAGGCTTGGGCTCAGCGAACATCTCAGAGTAGATCTCGTTCATCTTGGCAAAGTCGTCCATGGAGGCCAAGAAGACGTTGACCTTGACGATCTTCTCCAAGGAAGAACCAGCAGACTCAAGGACAGCCTTCAAGTTGTTGATGCACTGACGGGTGTGAACCTGGATGTCACCCTCAACCATCTCACCGGCAGGGTTCATAGGGATCTGTCCGGAGCAGAAGATCATGCCGTTGGCCTTGGTGGCCTGGGAGTAGACACCCTGAACGGCGGGGGGAGCGTTGGCGGTCTTGATGATCTCGATCTGGGAAGACATTGTTCTTATTTGGAGAGGACTGACTTGTAGTTGCCGTGCAATCTGAGCAAGACGTAAACTGCTGCGACCCAACATTTCGGCCAGGATTCCTCGGTGCGTGGCGCAGGGCGACCTGGAGACTTCAGAGGAGCTGGACGGATCAGCAAACAACATTCTCGGACAGCGACGATGGGAAAGAAGAACAAGAAGCAGACTCAGTTGGACGAGCTGTTGGAGAAGCCGTGGTGCTGGTACTGCGAGCGAACTGTAAGTCAATCGCCTGGATCAGCTGCGATCTCGGTCTAACGCGTCGCATAGTTCGATGACTTGAAAATCCTCTTGAACCACCAGAGATCAAAGCATTACCAATGTGAGCATTGTAACCGCAAGCTGAACACTGCCGGCGGCTTGAACGTCCACGTTCAACAGGTACACAAGGAGACCCTCATAGCAATTGCGAACACGATCCCCGGCCGCGAAGGCATTGACATCGAAATCTTCGGTATGGAAGGAGTCCCTGAAAACGACCTCATCCAGCGTAATGCTAGAATCATGCAAGAGTACCACGCGACGCAAGGCTCTGCTACACCGCAGCAACATGGAGGTCCTCCAGTGGCGAAGAAGCAGAAGATTGACAAGGTGGATACTGCGGATCTGAAAGCAAAGATGGAAGCATTCAGAGCGGCAAAGGCAGCCAAAGCAGCTGGTGTCTCGCCTTCTGCGGCGACACCGACGCCGCATCCTGCAACGCCGTCTACCACTGGTACGCCCACCCCAGCTCCTGGTTACACTACTCCATTGCAGCCTCCTTCTGTACATGCCTACGTTGGCGCTCCCTACCCGCAAGTCGCTGCGCCTCCAGCAGCTTCACCGTATGACTACCCGCCTCAGTACGCGCAATACTACCAACACCCCATGGCAACCCAACAACCCGCCTATCCCGCTTATCCCGCAGCAGCCCCAGGCCTCCCCGCACGCCCACCCGCATCCATCCCCAGTCTCCCTTCCCGTCCACCCGCGGCTGGCTTACCCTCAAAACCATCGGTGAGTGCTGGAATTGGTTCCCCGGCCGCTTATGCTTCGCCATATGGCACTAGTCCGTACCATGCACCCTCATCGACAGTGCTTTCGGCTGTTGCTGACGCTGGTGCTCGTACTGCTATCACTAACGCGAAGACCGAACAATCGAAGGCTACAGACTCTACCAACCCTGCAGACGCTTCAAAAATTATTGCCAAGGACGTTGTGGACGCCGAAAAGCCTTCGGTTGAGAAGCAATCATCCCAGGAAAGCGCCGAGCGACGGGACAGCGTCTTAGTTTACGACGACAACGAGGTGAGCCCTGAAGAGAAACGTTCAAAGTTACCCAAGTACGCGTATAATGCTGAAAAGGAACAGGAGAAAGCGGAGGGGTTGGATAGGGATGTTGAGGGGAGGATTGATAATTTGAAGGAGGAGGGGAAGGAGGCACTTTGATCGTGAGAGAAGTGATGGCTCATACGAACAGGTGCGTCATTGTAGTTTCGCCCTATCCCGATGAACAACGTTATATGTAATTGGAGAAAATAAATTACCGTTATCTCATATAGTGGAACGTGTGACACCCTCGCCTACGCTCATCTCCCCTTCGCCATCATCCCCTCGTAGTGTTTACGTACAGCGTCTGGACTCTTCCCAAATATATTAGCCACCTCCTTCCACCCCATCTTCTTCTCCACTCTCAGGAACGAGATAAGCTGGTCGTCCTCCTTGGTATACGTCTTGCCAGAACCTTGGCTTCTGAAACTTTCCAATGTACGACCAGTCAATGATGAGGCATGGTGCTTTCTCACGGCGTCTGAAGTACGCCCGGGTAAGTAGGAGGCGATTTGTCCCCAACGCATGCCTTGAGATTTTAGGAGCACGATGCGCATATCTTCCGCTGGCGTATATCCAGTGGTGGTTTTCGACGTCAATTTCGCTGCTTTGTTTGTCGAGCTGGACTCGAGCTTCGGCGGTACCGTGGTGCTTTTTGCTCCCGAATCATCCTCTTTCTTGCAAATACGTTTTTTGGGTCGCATTGGAAGTTCCCAACTAGAACCGCTGCCTGAACAAAAATCAGTTCAGCCCTTGAGGCCTGCCGTGCTTACGGACTTTCACTGCCTCTTCGTGTTCTCTTGCCAACGTCCTTCTGACCCGTATGATCTACCTCCGTTTTCACAGACGGCATGGCCTTAGATGAAGCGTTCTCGGCTGACTCCAGACCTTCGCTGTCGACAAGGTCTGATTGCTGCTGTAGCTCGTAAGGGGTCACGACAAGCTTAGGACTACCTCCGCTATGCTCAGTGTCGACCATGGCGGGAAAGGGTATCTGGTCCTAAACACTTGAGAAAAGGGAATTTAAAACGTTTCTCCCCCAAGGGGGCACACGTCGCAGATGTCTACCGGCCCCGGTCCGCTACTGATAAGAGCCGGTACCGTACGATCGGGTCAGCTAGGGTGTCCTCTGGACAATGCTGTGAACGTCCAGCGACCGAACCTGGTACTTTCACCGTCATCAATTGCATATCACGAAGAAAAAACGTGTGTATTAGGTACTGATGAAGACAGATAAATGTGAGACTGAATGAGGAAAATATCATATCACTTCCTCTGCAGTTTCCTCGTGTAGTGCATACGCAGAGTATCAGGCGATTTCCTGTCCCAAAGAACCTCGCGATCTCCTCCCACTTCAGCTTCCTCTCTTCTTTCAGTTCTTGGGAGATTCCCACGCTTGTCGAGCACTTCCTCGTCCGTCTCATGCTTGATTTTCGTATCACACGTCGCTTCCACATCCCTTAGTGAGAGGATGACAACAACGACAGGACTCCATCAACTGTCGTCTTCACGGGTCTTGTCCAGCATCAGCTATTGCAGCACGGGCCGGCTTCTCCTGATATTTGGAACTTTAAGGTATCGACCAGTCCAATGTCGGTGCCGGCGCGTCTGCAGTACAAATACGCGCCGAGCAACCCACAATCCACAATCCACAACCCACCTCCTTTTTCGATTCTGTATTCTTACGTTTTATGATGTCTTGCAATTACGGTACTATTCGTCACGGCGTGCAGGACATTGAGCATGGAGCGCAGGCCGTTTGGAATGACTTCAAGGACTTCATCAACCGTGACAACATCTTTGAGGTTGCTGTTGGTTTGATGATTGGAAATGGTTGGCATATATGCCTCTCGAAGCTTCGAATCTGGTGAGCTTACAAAAGGTAGCATTTACTTCTGTCGTCACTTCGCTCGTCTCCGACGTCCTCCTGCCTCCTATTGCTCGTAAGGTTCACTACAGCGGTATATGCGTACATTAGCTTATGTATGCGGCCAGTTCTTCCTGGAATCAGTTCCGAAAACCTCCCGGCAAAGTTCCTTGTTTTGCGTCATGGCGAAACTCATCAGGCGTCATACAACACCCTCGAACAAGCCGCCGCTGATGGAGCCGTCACTCTCGCTTACGGTTCCTTCTTCCAGAAGGCACTAGACTTCATGGGTATGGGCTTTTTCCTGTATGTTATCGTTCAGTGTATGTGATCCTTATTGGCAAAGACAATCATCGAACCACGAGTTGCCGAAACTAACAGAGGCGCAGTGATCTTCTTCCTTGACCACAAGGATCTTCGTAAGCGTACGAAGAAGTGTCACTACTGCCGCAAGAAGAACAATATGAAGGTACGGAGAATCACGCTGTGTTAAAATACGACTAATCATTGCGGGTGCAAGGCCGTTCGTTGCATGTACTGTACCTGCTGGATGGATGGAAGGGAGGACTATTCTAAGCACAGGAATGATCGCGGGCACCATGCACAGGAAAACCAGGAGAACCACGAGCAGGAGCAACATGGACAGGGGCATCATGGATGGGGGCCCCACCATTGATGGTCGGAGGAGGCCAGCTACGACAGCGGGTGATCGATTGCCATGAGTCGTACAGGAGACGTTCTTATTGGGGTGCAGTGCGCTTATATTGAGAGCAGAGGCGTGAGAATTTGGTTGCGTGAGACGATCGCCGCCATTCACCGCACCCGCCTATACAACCACTTTACCCTTGGGGATTGATAGAGCTAGACTCTTATTGACAGACATTTTTCATGAGCCTCTTGCACTTTGTATCTTAATCATCGGCCAGACCAGAGTTTCCGGAATAGGAATTGCCGCATCCGGAATTGATCAGGGTGACGTCGACCTCACCAACTGTCACTGAACACACTACTGAGCTTCAACATGATAATGTTCTATGCACAAATGCTACAGATGTTTTGAGGACACCAATCGACTGCTGGGAGTCTGAACTGTCCATAGCCGTCTTCACTTTACGCTCTAGGCCTTTAGCTACACTGAATGATGAAACGCGCATTTGTCAAGAATATTGCACTTAGCTGTAAAAATCTGCTGAAGACTCCGCGAACAAACACTGCTCCTCACCAAATCACCCATCTTAACACCGACCAGTCGCGGCATGTGTCCCTCAAGTAGGGGTTCAAAGAGGACTATGGGTAGTTTATATGTTCTTGTCTACACCTTGTTAGTGAGGTGGTAATCCGAAGGACAACACAGATCCTCTGGTTGGTTTTGTATGAGGTTGAGGTTGCCATTTCTGGTATGGTTTGGTTCTGAAAGGTCATTGTCCAATTGTCGCAACCTGCAAGCGGAGGGGCCCGATGGATCCTGTCTACAGTAGGGTGACGAACACTGTAAGATCTGGAATAGTAATAAAGTTCCCGCCGGACTCTTAAGCTTCGTTCATGAACTTCTACCTCGAATGCGGCCTCATTCACAGATACGTGTACAAGAGCACTACTACCGGATCGTCCTGTACATATGATAATATGAGTACGTTACAATTGGCCTGATCACTTTGACCACTAACCTCGACAAGCAAAACCATATAATGCAAGACATCTGAGTTGGTGGTACGCAGCGGATGTGCATATTATCTATCCTGATTCCGTGAAACGAGACCAACTCCCAGTATTTAGGTATGCAATGAACTCCACAAAACTCCAATGACAAACGACGAACCACAAACACAAGCATGATCAAGCATTCAGCGCCAGCCAGGCTTCGCACCACCCCCGCTCATCCTCGAAGATCCAGATCCCGGCCTAGGCAGGTCGACCTCCTCTTGGATATGCTGCGCAACCGCTGCCGGATTCGACACTCTCATAGAGCTCCCGAGCCCACCTGTAACCGTCAATCGCCTATTCTGACGTGGAGACTCAGCGACACGCCTTGCACGCATAGCTCCTCCCAATCCCTTGCTCTCGGACATGACACGGCGTGCACCAACAGTGGCTTCGACATTATGCTTGGTAGAAGGCGAGAGTCTGCGTCTGGCAGCTGCAGTGGTAGGCATCATGAAACGAGGTCCGGATGGTTCGTTCATGGGATCACTGCTCATTGAGGTATCCTCATGAACCTGCCTGGCAACCGATGCGCGACGGATAGTGGCAGTGTCGGATGTAAGGGTGGACACCGTGTAGCTGTGGTCTTCGGAATATGGTCCGAAATTCGAGTCAGATCCAAGTGGGGCCATCCTGCTATTCCTGGCGGGCTTCCCTGCGGACGTAGGAGCAGCTGCTGGAGCAGCAGAGGCAACGGGCGCAGGGGCCGTCGGCTCCGGAACCGAGAAATCGAGAGTAGTTTCATACGGCGCGTTTTCCTCCTCCACAGTCTCGTACCCATCTTCATCTTCCTTCTGGAACCTCACACGCTTCGCCTTACCAGGGCTAGGCTTCACCTTACGGGGAGGCATGACGACACCAACGCTCTTGCGAGGCGAGTTCTTGAATGTTCGAGGCGATCTCATTGGTGAGGAGAGTGACGTAGGAAGCAGATAGGAAGCTTGCTTCAGATGCGGGAACATTGGCTGAGGGGGCTTCAATGGCGTGCCGAAGGTTGCTGGCGACGCAGCGACCGCGGGTGCCCTCTTCATAGGGCTACCGAACTCCGGCGGAGGCTTGCTGACCACAGCACCGCTAATAGCATTACCAACCGTGTCGATGCACAGCTTGTGCATGACATCGAGACTAGGGTGAGAAATATCTTCCGACGCAACTTGCTTTAGGCCGACAAGACAGTGCAGAGTTGCCGAGGCGGCTGTCTGAAGCAGTTGCTCCTGCCTGCTGTGCACACGATCCAAAGCACCAATCTCCGCCTGTAGCACCTCAATCTCAGCGGCCTGCTTGGAAGCCTGAGCCTCAGTCTGAAATTTCTTGAGAAGATCGGGAGCAACACCCTTACTTTCTAGCTGCTTCACGTAACTGGACACTGCTGTGTCGTGCGCACCATCGTATGTTGACACTTCGGTCCGATTTCTCAGGGTGTTCCGTTTGATCTCCAACTCGCGCATCATGCTCATTGCCACAGAACGCTGTGTAACAAGTAGATCCGGCAGTGGTGCCGTAATTTCATCGTATGACCTCATCCAGGCATTGTACATGTTCAGCTTCGCACCAACCTCGTGATACTCTGCGATGTCTGCCATACGTGCCTGTAAGAACCCTCTTTGGGTCGACATAGTTGATTTGAACAGTCTGATTGCTTCCTCAACTTGGTCTTCTTGTAGCTTCCTGGCTTTCTCGCTCTTGTCCGACGATGCCACGGTCTTCTCTGCAAGTTTAGACTTGAGCTCCTCCACTTCCTGCCGCAAGTCATAAATGGCCTTGACGTACTGACTGACGTGCCGGTCGACATTAATCATATTTCTCGTAACCTTCGTCTTGATGTTCTTCGCCCTGTTACCGTACTTGAGTGTGTTGTGCGTTTCGTCGTAGTGCTGACTCGATGGACTGACACAAACAATCATGACGGTTTTGCAGTTTCCTCCCAGCGAGAATTTGAGCAGACGAGTCAATTTGGAGTCACGGTAAGGGACGTGGCAGCGACGATGGGGATCACAGAGGGCGTTGATGCAGTTACCGAGGGCGAGTAGGGACCTGTTGATGTTGGCTCCTTCTAGCAATCGATCACCACGGTTCTTCGTCACAGAAGCTCGCTCACTACCTGCCAAGTCGATGATAGAGAGAGTAGCCATGGTGAACTCCTCCGACAAGCCGGCTGTACGCGGTTTCTGCATGACATTCACTTGCAGGACGGCGTGTGAACGCGAGGAGACCGCGTTAGCCTCCGTGGGCGAGATTGTACGGTTAGCATTTCCTGTCAGGATCATATCCATAACCTCGTGCACGTCGGTTGGGGTATGCATGGACAGCCCTGGAACCGAAATCCTTTTGTCGGCGTCTTCGCGAAGTTGCAGCGTCTTGCCGGCTCCGTTGGGAATGAGCAGGTCGCGGATGGTCTCGTTATAAATTTCGAGATACGATAGCGAGATTTCGACGTGTTTGATGTCTTGAACTGCCTTGATCTTGTCGAAGAGGTCGCGCATTGTCGAGAAGATAATACCCGGCTTCTCCGGCGTACCACTGATTGTATGCGTCTTTCCACACCCGGTAGCACCATAAGCAAACACCGTCGCGTTGTATCCGTCGATCACACCATCCAACAACTGCATTGTGGTATTCGCATACACCTCCTCTTGAGTCGCGGTCTCGTCGAATACTCTGTCGAATGCATATCTCATATCCTTGATCCTCTTCCCTGGGTTGTGCAGAGTTCTCTGGAACTTCGTCAATGGGTTGCTGTCTGGTGGGTCGAAAACGAGAACATGTTCGTCGAGAACTTGAACGATTTTTCTGATTCCTTTGGGCTGGAGTTTAGGCAGTGATGATGCTGCAAGTGCTCCATCTCCAGAGAAAGTCTGTCCTTCGGGGGTCTGTGCAAGATTGCCGGATTCCTTTACAGTGAAGGGACGAACGCGTACTGCGACTGTGATAGAAGATGCGGAAGACATGCTGGTCGGATCAGCTTTGTTCAAGAACGAATGATTTGAGAGTTGATCTGTTTTGGCTCAGCGAGTGGAACACACTGCCAACGAGGCTGGTCGAAGCGGTGGGTGCTGGAAGTTCAGACTCGACGAGCAGCAAAGTTTATCGAAGTCGGCACGTCCTCCCGTTCCTAAATGCCGTTAAATGATTGTCGTTGTCGTATGTGGAGCTTCTGACACAGTTGATCTTGGTGTTTTGGAACCTCGGACATGTTTGTTTACTGGCAACGGCAGTTGCTAGGGTGTATACGTACCGAGCAGCATGAAACCGGATATATGACAGTCAGCCAGACGAGGATGGTTCGCGATCCAAATCAATGGGAAATATGCTACACAAGCCTAGATCTTTACCTTGTACTTCTCGATAAGCCGTGCGACCGTCAGCTGCAGGCCTTGGAGGTACTGCATCGCCGAAGCCCCAGATTCGCAACGTCAGTGCGGCAGCTCTTTCATAATGCTCATTGAAGAATCCTACGAAGATGTCCAGACTTCCACGGGTCCTATGAGGATCTACACCTTCCACCCCAAGATCCCTGGCTATCCCAAGGCCAAGTTCCCGGGTGTCGTTGTCTACTCCGAGATCTACCAGGTGCGTGGGTAACGGCGGGATACTAGAGAAATCCGCTCACAATTTCATCGTCTGAAGGTCACTGGCCCTGTGGCTCGGTTTGCTAGACAGATTGCTGGTATGGGATACATCTGCGCTGCGCCATCATCCTTCCACGAGTTCGAGGGACCTGAGCCTTTCGCATACGATGTTCCTGGTACCGACAAGGGAAACCAGTACAAGATTGAGAAGGAGGTTAAGGCTTACGATGAGGATGCTAAGCTCAGCGTGGACCTTTTGTTAAGACTACCTACATGTAACGGCCGCATCGGAGCAACCGGAATGGTAAGATCTTGTGACAAGACGTTACAACGAAGTCGGCAACTAACTATATCTTACAGTGCCTTGGAGGCCACCTCGCCTTCCGTTGTGCGTTCGACGCCCGTGTCAGCGCCAGTGTCTGCTACTTTGCTACTGACATCCACTCCGCTACCCTCGGTAAGGGTATGAAGGATGACTCCCTGGAGCGCGTCCGCAACAAGGAGATCAAGGGCGAGGTAGTTATGATTTTTGGCAAGAAGGACACCCATGTTCCTCCCGCTGGACGGGACTTGATCAGGAAGACTATGGAGGACGCTGGCGTTACCTTTTCTTTCTATGAACATGCGCACGCTCAGCATGCTTTCATTAGGGACGAGCTGAGTAAGGGAAGGTACGATCCTGCGATCACCCGGGTGTGCTGGGAGATGTTGGTCGAGTTGTTCAACCGAAGATTGGTTCTCGACTGCGGTGAGCCTGAAGCTGAGGGCGAACCCGAGCATGTTTGTTAATCAAGTGAATTAATTTCGTTGCGTTAAGTCCAAGGGCTCCCCAGCCCTAACAAAAACTTCCCGTGCCCCCTGGCTGTGCGCGGCAGCTGTTCGCGGGCGCTCCACCAAAAGTGAACCTCACCTCGGTCAACAGTACACCAGCTTCCTCACCCGGTAACCAGATCAGCAAGTATGTGCTTTGTAAAACTCGGCGCCGAAATCACTGGCTAATGCCATGATCCTAGAAATGGGCGGTGTCAATGTTCGCGATGTCGATGCTCAGACTTTCATCAAGGCCTACGCCGCTTTCTTGAAGCGCTCCGGTATGTGCTAATTTCGCCATTCAATCCAGCAGCATATTCCTAATATGTGTTCATCAGGTCGTCTCGACGTCCCCACCTGGGTCGACACTGTCAAGACCGGTACCTACAAGGAGCTCGCCCCCTACGACGCTGACTGGTACTACATCCGCGCTGCTGCTATCGCCCGTCACATCTACCTCCGCAAGAACGTCGGTGTCGGTGCCCTCCAGAAGCTCTTCGGTGGATCCGTCAACCGTGGTCAGCGTCCCTCCCACCACGTTGACGCCTCCGGCTCCGTTCAGCGCAAGGCCCTCCAGTCCCTCGAGAAGATTGGTGTCCTTGAGAAGGACGAGCGTGGTGGTCGCAAGATCTCCCAGCAGGGTCGTCGTGACTTGGACCGCATCGCTACCTCCTTGATCAACGTCGAGGACGATGAGTAGATGTTTGTCTTACAAAATAGGATAATTGATCTATTGGCTTGGTGTTATGGTGTTATAATTCATCCATCTCGGCCCGGGAACCTTCCTCTTGTGCCTCTTGCATCGCGACATTTGCATCTACACCATTTAATCATTCTTCTTTGTAGCTTGACCAAAGCCGACTGTTTTATCCAACCTTATCGATTACTTGCAGCCGGCGGGTTTCCGCGCAGACCCCATGATGCAGGAGCTTGGACCACCGCGTGAACCTTAAATCAACCAGTACGAAACCCGTACGGTTCAGGTCGGCCTATCGTGTCGCCGAATATGGCCGACCGATCAACAAAACAATCGTTTTCGCGTTTCACCTCGGCCTTGGGCATCACCTCCAACCCCAATCGCCCAGCCTCGGCTACAGGAGCCGCTCCGTCATCTTCGTCCACTGCCTCGGATTTTCTTGCCGGCGCGTCGCACCTATACTCTTTTGGTAGAGTCAGTGATGTATTCAAATCCCATTCACATTTGAGTACACCGAGACCGCATGACGGGGAGATCGGTGGAGGGTTCGATGGATCTGCTACCAGTAAGTCGCTGGTCAAGGACGTTGATAGTCAATTGGCAGCTCTGGCGATGAGCCCAGAAGGAGACAGAGTGGCGGTCGCCGGTAGAGAGGTTCTCAAGGTTCTTACCGTATCTTCGAATGCCTTGATCGATACCGTCAACCTTCGCGTCGGCAGTCGTCTGAATCTCAACTTCTCGTCCAATGACGTCCAATGGGGTCTTGCGGCGTCATCGAATATCCTGGCTACGGCGGCAACGAATGGATCGGTTGTAATTTGGGATCTCGCGATGCGCGCACCACAGAAGATTGACCGGGTCATCTCCGAACACAACCGGGCGGTCAACCGGATAGCCTTCAACCAAGGCAACGGAAGCTGGATGCTCAGTGCGTCCCAAGATGGAAGTATGAAGCTGTGGGATCTCAGAGAACGTGGAGGTGCACGTCTTACGATGCTGGGAAAGAGCGAGGCTGTCCGTGACGTTCGGTTCAACCATGCAAATGCGGTCGAGTTTGCTGCAGCATTTGACAATGGTACAGTACAAAAATGGGATATACGACAACCCCGAATGTACGAGAGGAAGCTTTCGGCGCATAACGGACTGGCATTATCCCTCGATTGGCATCCTAATGGCAAATTCTTGGTTACCGGCGGAAGAGACAAGTTCATCAAGGTATGGGACCTGTCATCAGATGTGAGGAGACCGAGAAATATTATCACAACGATGGCACCAGTAGCCCGGGTAGCATGGCGGCCTGGTGGCGGAAAGAATAGGATGGAGATTGCGAGTTGCGCCTTAGTCAGCGATAACCGAATACACGTATGGGACCTGCGGAGACCGGGAGTCGCAAACCGGGTACTGGATGAACACGAAAATGTTGTTGCAGGTCTGCTATGGAGGGATGAGAACACTCTATGGTCATGTTCAAAGGACAGAACATTTCGACAATACGATGTTCTCATGGCTCCTCAACCCGTGGATTCACTAAGTCATGTAGCATTTGGCTGGTCACCGCTGAACGAGTTCGGCTTCTGCATCGGCTCTCGACCAAAGAAGGTGTCGCCTTTGTTGCATACACACCTTAGGAGCGAAGAGGATTTGTCTCTGAAAGAGCCGAAGGGCCGCCGTTCAGGCAGCTTCAAAATGTCACGGGCAGGGTCCATAGCGGGAACCGAACCTGGAGCCGATGAACCGCTGGTACCAAGGCAAGCGACAGGCATGATGCATCTTCCAGGAAACGAGACGGAAGCATTCATCTATCTTGCAAAGCACTACATCACCTCCACCACAACCTTCACCATTCCGGAGGCATGCGAGCATAACGCGCAAGCAGCATATCGAGTTCAGAAATATCGGACCAGTCAGACCTGGAAGATGATCGGGCAAGCTGTCGAATGGGAGGAACGTACGGAAAGAGCGCGTATCGCCGATGAAGCCAATGCACGAGCCACACTGGAGGACGCACGGCAAATGGGAGAGAATGCAAGACAGTCAAAACCGCGACACCCCCACCTCGAAGCTGTGAGGAAGAACTCCGGCTGGGAAACACCAGAATCGCAAACAACAGCCAGACCGAGCCCCGTGCTCGAACCAGAAGTTCTCCCTGATGGGGAGGCAGCTACCGTTATCGGAACGCCCAAGTCAGTACCTGAGCATAACCTGACAACATCAATTTCCACTCTATCTCTTCGCACTCCAAGCGAGGCATTGAAGATTCCCCGGCCTGAAATACGATCGTACGCATCGACGAACACTTTAATTCCCGTCAACAGTCAAGGCGAACCCCAACCAGCTGTGTCTGCTGCATCCCACCCATCCGATTCGACCATCTCTGCCTTTTCGTCGTCTACCGACAAGTCTATTTCAGGGTTCGGATCATCGTACGATGAACGAAGCGATACAGAGCCTATAGGAGGACAGGATATACCCCCATCACTTGAGTCACAACCCGACTTCCCAATGACCTCCAATGTGGTATTCCCGAGCAGCTATCGGTCAATGTCGACACCAAGCTCTTTCGGCAGCTCACAAAGTACGGATCACCACTATGCCAGTTCTGAACCAGACGATACGCCAATGGAGGGTGAAGACAAGATGTTGGAAAGTCAAATGACACTCAAAGGTGGTAGCGGCGTGCACCAGCATGAACCAATACGTATTCTCGGGACAAAGGGTGGAGAGTTGAGGAAACCCTGGGCACCAAGTAGTCTGATTCACAAGGTAACTGAGTACTACGCGGAACAAGCGGACGTGCAAATGTGCTCGTCAATTGCGTTGCTGCTCGGTGAACGCGTCGATATTCCCGATACAAGACTTGAAGAATGGCAGCTTGGATATATCGAGTTACTGCAGAGATACCGCCTGTTCGTGACAGTGGCAGAAGTCATCAACGCGACGAAGAACGAGAACGTCCGCGCTCCTGGGCTTACAGAGACGCAGTTGCACACCGGTTGCCATCGCTGCTTGAAGCCTCTACTGAACGAGCGTACGCGTGCTGGGTATTGGTACTGCGAGCGTTGTGCGCGAACGCTGGACGGGTGTACAATATGCCGGATACCTGTTAAAGGGCAGTGGACCCTCTGTCAGAGTTGTGGTCATGGAGGCCATTATCACTGCATGAGTGAATGGTTCAAGGACGAGGGGATGTGTCCAAGTGAAGGATGTGGACATCGTTGTCTGCATAAGTAATGCGGCCAGAACACTAGACATACTTTGAGCTGTCAAGCGAGCGAAATCCAACAAGCGGGTATCACAGATATTCCTAATATAATCATAAACCATACAACCTCATCGGCAACTTGGGCTTTCTCCTTCCTCCTTTACTACTTAGATCTCGACTGTTCCGTCCAAGATCTTCTGTTGTCGACCATAATCCAGCTCCGGCTCAACCTGCTCAATCAAGAAATGGTTGATCTCCTCCGCAACCTCATCCACTTTCTCCGCCAACAGTGAGTGTCCAGCATGCCTCACAATGATCGGCTTCGCCTTCTTCGCCATCTCGTTCAACCACCCATAAATAATCTCCAAACCAGTGACCGCAGTAACAGCATCCTCCTCTCCGCCCATCAGCAATACGGGAACATTAACCGCATTCCACACCGCCTGATCCGCCGGTACCATCCCGTACACCATTCTCCTCCACACATACGTCTGTGACTGTAAATTCCACCGCAACTGACGCAACCGCATCTCATTCGGCGCCGTCGAGGCGACCATACGCTTCACCGACATAGACCTCAAGCCACCCTTCCTGTCCTTCCGACGATACACATCGAACATCAATTCCGGCGTCCTGGCAGCGACCAAACGTAACTTCATCTTCTCCGGCGTCATCACACCCGGAGCCATGGCGACGAGGCCGCGGCAGGCCGAGTGGAGTATGGACGATAATCTCGCAACGAGGTTCGTCCCGTAGGAGTGTCCGATGAGCACACAAGTTTTGTGTCCTTCCTGTTTCATACGGCGGGTGATGACGTCGGTGAGCGTTTTTATCAGCGATTCTGTCTTGTATGGTTCCCAACCCCAGGCTGTTCGTGAACGGCCGCAGCCGGGCATGTCAATCGCCATTACATGTGACGATTGCGCGAAGAACTCCAGCAATCCTTCAAACTGGTTTAGCTGGCCTCCAAGGCCATGAATGAAGATGAGGAGAGGAAGCGTCTTAGGCAGATCCTGTTCCTTCGTGTGTCGTCTGTAGAAAACTCGGCATCCGGAGGGTTGATCTAGCGAGCTGTGCTTCTTGACGAACACGGATTCATCTGACCACACGATTAGCCATACCGCAGAGCGAGTCATACATGCTACCTACCTTCTTTGATAATCATACTCTCATCCGAAGTAAGGAACCAATTGCCCGTTGGCGCCGTGAACAATCCCATGGCCGCAATCGTAAGACCGCTCGCAAACAAGAACTCCTTACTCTGCACAGCACCGGTGACGATGGACTTGATCGATTCGAATTTGTCGGACATGACCTGTGGAAGAGCAACTCGAATCAATGGTATTTGGGGGAGTTAACACGGGTCCTCCTAATTATCAGTCGTTGTGTGTGCTTTGCGGGGTCGGCCGTGAGCACGCGATGCAGCGTCGTACATGAAACCTTAATCTTTGCCGAACGTTCCGTATTACAAACGCAAGAGGTACAAGATTGTTGTGTGTTTTTGTATTAGAATATGACAGCACATCTTTCAGGTCCGGCAATGGCTCCTCTACTTATGAGCAACGACCTGAACCTCAACATCCTCCCCCATTCAGAGGTATCAAATTTAGTGGTGGTGGGGGTCAGCATCTGGGTTACCGGTGTGGTTAAGCTTGTAAACGGAACCACTTTGAAAGGTCAGCTTATGCCATGCCGTAAAGAACGCGGGGGTACTCACCACTCGAAGCAGCGGGTGTTAGGTCCATCCTTGTGAACCCGCATCCACATAATCTCGTGAGAGTCAGCGGGGTAACCAGTGCACCCAATAATACTATATTCAATATCAGCGTCTGACACATCGATCGCCGACCTTACGGAAAGCATACCGCATAGGCTCGAGAGAGGGAACCATGATAGGGTCCTTCATAGTACCCAAGCGAGAGGCATCCAGAGGAGCCATGTCAAAAGGCTCCACACCGGCAACCTTGGCGAGATACTCGAAACGCTCCAAACCAGTAGCCTGGTTGGCCTCAGTGGGGACAGTACCCTCGGGCGCACCAGCGGGGAGGAGGTCATCGAAGCCCTTGACCTGCTCGAACTCCTTCTGAAGGGCCTCGACCTGCTTGTTCTCTATATGACAGCCGTAAGTTAGTCAAGGCTCTTTAATCCTGCGGTAAAAACATCTGCAACGTGATCGGCCAAGCTCCATAACATCAGGGCATCGATATGGTACTCCCATGATCCACACGCCGACCCACTCCAACCCACCAAAACCACCGCACAAAACCAAGCCAACACTACCAACCAACAAGATCCACAAAACCAAACCATAACCCCACCTCCGTCCCCTCAATTGCCCACAATCACCTCCCCCAGCCATCCACACACAGATCTTGGCCAAACACGTCCGCAGCATCATGAAAAAAGGGAGACGTACCGTTCCTCAATACAAGAGCGGAGGAAAAGGTGCGACGGGCAGCAACCTGACGGACACCAGTGGCGAGAGTTCGGCGAAGAGCAAACATTTTTGTGTGTATATGGAGATGAGTACAGCAATCGGTTGGCCGATTCTTTGCGCATGACCGACGGCAGCGACCCCGGACTTCACAGTAAACATGGTTTGTGCAGGTAAAACATGAATGAAGGTTTTGAAATTTATCGAAATATTCTACGCAAAATATTGGAGTCCTGTTCGATGGTCCACTCTTGGCAGCTGTCATGGGGGACACCGGGTGAGGTCGCTCGCACCCCCGGATCTGCCCGCTTCACAATTGAAGTGAAGCTTTTAAGGTCGCTACATCAAGAAGAGATCTGAACATGGCAAAGACCGGGACAGCTAATGAGGTATCAATATATTGCGAGAGACTAATTGCATAGCCCGTCGGGATAACTGTATACTTATAAGACTGCACAAAATTAAACGACTGCCGTATGAACACCAAATATCAATCCCTTGCGTAAAAGAATTCCAAACAAACTTTTTGAACTTATGCAAACACATCACTCCTCTCGACTCCCAAATCATCATCCGCCTCCATACCAATGAAGCTGGCAAAGTGACCCGTACGGTGACGAGGGTCATAGAAGGGCATGGGAGTATCCAACTTCAAAGCGTACGGCGCGTTGGCATTCCAAGAAGCACCCAACGTCAATCCAAAGTTCCACACATCGTCCTCGGGTACCAAGAAGAAACCAGCCAGCCTGTCACTGAGCAACAACTGGACCCGATCAGCCATGGTAGGGACATAACCCTGGGGCTCCACACTGGTAAGATCCTGATTTTTCGCACCCCATTCGTAGGCCTGTGGTGTAAGGGCATATGCAGACAAGGATACGGATCCTGGAGTAAACGACACAGTCATAGTGACCGTCTTCGAATGCCATTCCTTGTGAGCGGCCATCACACGAGCGTGAGTCGTAACATCAATGGCAGACAAGTGGTTCGTCTCCTGTGGCTGCGTGTGCAACCAACCCAGCGGTTCGAGATCCTTCAACAAGAAGTCGTGCTCAGGAAGCTGATGAGGTAACTTCACCGTTTGGTTGTTGCCCAACTGCGGCACCATGACGATACACCTAATTTCCTTGATCTGGTCGTTGTCCGGAGGCGAAGCACCGTACAAGAAACCGGCAACTTGAGTTCGCAGATCCGAGATCTGGATGAAGCGCTTGAGCAAGTTCTTCGGCATAATGTACGTGTATTGACCCTCCCTAATATCGTCCGAAAGAACATAAATGTTCTTGGTGCGGAGATGCAAGTTTGTGGTCGAGATAGCACGGATACGCCAATCAGTCTTACTCGAGAACGTCTGCTGTTCATAGTTTGAGGTCGTAGTGACAACGAGCTCATCACCGTGAACGTTGGTCGTCTTCGACGTAAGGGCGGTGAGCTGAGACTGCTCCTGCTGTTGCTTCTCAATCTCGGCAATCTGCTGACGCTGTTGCGAAGGTGCACTGATCTCCATACCAAGGATGATATCACGTACTTCAGTACTAGTTAAACTCTGGACCTGAACGTTGTTCTTCTTGCCGTAGTCAGCCAAGATAAGATCGCGAAGCTGGACTTCCACCTTGATCCATCCTTCGTCGCCGAGGTCTGGCCACATGTGATGCTCATGCGTGATGACGGTCTTGTCAGGACGAAGAATGACCTTGGTCTTGTCCATATTGACGTGAAGTGCACGCAAGATAAGGATTAACCTAGAGAAAGCGGTGTACGAAGAGATGGTCTTGAGCCAGTCATCATAGATGTTGTACAGAACCATGACAGGTTCAGTCGCCTTCAAGATCATATCGCCCAACTTCTCGACCTTCATAGCCGCCTGGAATGGCAATTGAAGCTCGGAACCTTTGATGGTAATGTTCGGGAAATCAAGAAGATGAACCTCAAGAGGGTCAAGCATACCTTTACGAGTGACAATGATCTGCTTAGGCTGTTCTTCGATTGGCAAGGAACGGATCAACGCCGCAACTTCTTCGGCGGTCTTCCACTTTGCAAGCTGTCCAAGACGCTTCTGACCTGCCCAAACAGCACTGACAATAACCTTCAAGAACAACTGTCCAGATCGAGGGTTGAAGATGAAGATGGCACCGTTGATGGGCTTCGTGGTCAAGTTACCCTCGAACGTCTTATGAATGGTAACACGGTAAACGTTAGTGTCATCAACAAACCAGATAATCTGGTTGCTGAACAACTCCGCGTAGTTTGAAGATGACAAATACGGCTCAGTGGGTTCCGAAGAGTAGAGCTGAAGAGCCTTCCTGATACGCTCACGAAGAACGTACAGAGCAGGGTTCGCCTTCATGATCTTCGCCGTAGCTTGCTGCAACAAGGGCTTCATACCAGGGAAGTAGTTGCCGTAAGCACTGTGCAAGTTGTACGCAAGATCGATACCAACCATGACACCGTGTGGCGAGGGGTAGATAGACTGCGAGTCGGTGGTGTAGTCAAGGAACTTGGCACGTGTGTAACGCTCAATGTCATGAGAGTCGAAGTCTCCATACCTCAACTGCACATCAATCCAGTACTTGTTACCAGTAGTACCATCCAACTGGTCCTTACTGTCGTTCAACAGCGAAGGCCTGGTCATGTTCCACTTATAAGTAGCGAGCAACAGGATATCAGCACAAGAGCTGTTCATCTTGTATGACTTCCTTGGGTGAATGGACTCCTTCTGAACGGTCTCGATCTGAAGTGCCTCAAGTTCTCCATCAAGCACCTGACACAAATCGAGCACAGTAGACTCGTGAATCTTCTGCCACAAGTGTGCACGGAAAATCTGAATGAGAGAAATCTTCAAGGTAGGAATCTTACCGTGCATGAAAATACCGGTCAAGTCGAGCTGAACCTGGAAACCGACATAAACGTTGGCACGGTTGATCGTAGGAGACCACCACAAGGTGAAACGACGGTTAGGAATCTGGTTAAGACCGGATCTTTGCGCGTTCGTAAGCTTCTTGTACTTCATACTCTCTTCAAATCCACTGGCTTTCTCCCAGAAAAGACCCTCCCATGTGGCGAATCCAGTACCCTTGAACAAAGTGTGCTCCAAAATACCCTCGACACCACCGAGCGCTTGAATAACATCGGTACGGTAGTTGTTCAGCTGCCAAAGCTTACCATCGTGACGCTGGTTAGTCCACCAGAATGGATTGGCCTTCAGCAGCTGGTACTGCTTGAACTCCGTACGCACACGCCAAGCCTTGTCGTATGCTAAGGTGTGACGGTCCTTCTGGAAAAGGGTGTTGATACGAGGAATACCGCGGTCCCAAGAATCCTCCAGATCCTCAAGGGTGAGCCTACGGTTCTGCTGGGTGGCCTCTTGACGCTTCATGGCGTATTCGGCCCAGACACGTTGAGAGTCAATGAACTCAGCTTCCCAAGGTTGGACGTAACGGTACAGAGCAGGGATGTGCTGGTCCTCCTCATGGCTCATACCACTGCGGAAGTGACTGATTCCCGCATCCGTCTGTTTGCTCCATCGCAAATCGGACTGAGGAATGAGAATGTGACCCATGGACAACATACCCAAACCACCGAGCTCCTTAGGCGAGTAGAAGACAGCAGGAGGGAAACGCGAAGGCATCTTGGAGTTTAACCCAATCTTGACACGAGTCTGAATCTTGGTCTCACAACGTACAAGCAAGTCAAGCAACTCGGTGGTAGTGATCACAGCCTCACGGTAATACGTCAACAAAGAGATCAAAGCGGTATTCCACTTGTTACAGATCTTAGTGAACGTTGTACTTCCAGAGGACATCAGGATCTGCCTAATGCGGTTGTTGAAAACCTGGATGGCATCATCAGAGACACGGAGGTACGCCTGAGCAGTACGCTCCTTAGTCTGTTGGTTGACTAGATTCCAAACACCGTCCTTCAAACTGAACTCCTCCTTGAGATTGCGGATCTTGGGCAAGATGCGAACCTCAAATCCTGCCATGGAGAATAGCAAGTTCGGGTTGTCTTTGGAGTAAACACTCGTGAAGGTGTCCTGCCATTCGATAGTCGTCAAAGAACGCGGCAAACGGTTCTTAATAGACCAGAAGACCGCACGACCCAAGTTAACATCAGCACGGAAAAGACGCATACGGCAGTCGCGAGGCCAGCACTTCTTATTGTTGAATGAAACAATGTTCTCACCGTTAGGGTCAGGGTGTTCCGTCAAATACCTCTGAGTAAGATCCCTAGCTTCATCGGCAGAAAAGCGGAAGAACATATGGATCTTATCAATGTTACGCGAGTACAGTCGGACTGGGTGCTTAGTCTCCGTCGCAACGTTCTGAAATTGAAGGAAGTCGTTCGGCATCTGTGGTGGTCCAGCCATCTCGGATGCGCGCTCAAGACCCAACACCAGGAGATCGAGAATCAAACCGTAGTACTGGAAGATGAAAGCGGAGAACTGTAAACCACGGATGAGACCGTAGGCATTGACGTGGTTCATGTCCTTGTAGTTAAGAACAATGTTGTTCTTTGCAGTCATGTAATCAGCAATGTTGTGATCCAAGATCAAACGGAGAAGGCGGTTAAGCAAAGTCAGATCGATCTTCTCGTAAACCTTGCTCAATGAGGTTTCCAGCATGACATTGACCTCGCCTTCCTCTGTTTCCCACACGTTTGTCAGGTTGTTGATGCCCTGGCACCATTTGTAAACAAGCAACGGCGGTGGCTCAGAATCAGATGGCTTAATCCATCCGGGGAAGAGGTGTCGCTTATCAGCCTCGTACGAAAGGTACTGATCCAGGTATGCATCAGTGATCTTCTCCATGGGCTCAACGTCGTATACCGGGATAAGGTGCGAGTACATGTCCATGAACTCAACACCCACTTCTTTGAACGCACGCTGAGTAAGAAGGAAACGTTTGATACGCGACAAACACTCATGCGGGTTGTCATAGGCCTGCTCGATCAACGCCAACTCTTCTCTCTGGCTCTGGTTCAGTCTTCCGGTCACACTGTACGCCTCCTTCAACTTCTCCAGCGCAAGGACGAGTAGCTTCGTATCATGCTTATAGCTGAGAGGAGGGAAGGGAATAGGCGCAAACTTCCTCGACTCAAGCCAGTGCACGGTCGTGGTGTAGATAGCCACAGCCTCCTCAGCAGTCACGTACGGACCATCCTTCAAGTAGTTATGCTGCCTCTCTTGCTCCGCCTTCAACCAAAGACGGGTAAGTCTACCCAAGTTCTTCTTCGCAATGGTCTTATCAACCGTGGCTCCGCGCCTGATACGCTCACGGTTGTAGTGAGCAGCACCAACCCACCAGTCAGACTTAGCCTTCACGTATCGCAGAATGACATTCTCCACAGGTGCCGGCAGACCGGGAACCTTCCATGGAATATTCGCCTTCCAGCATCGCCATGCCTCGGACAGATGCTGCAGGATCGTCTTAGCCTTGTTGGCCTTCACACCCTCTGGCATCATATCCAAGATATCGTTCATGACAGCCGCTCTCAGCTCCAAATCAAAGTTAGACTCTACGCGCTGCTTCGTGATGGTCTTCGCGACACCCTTAGAATGACGTCCCTCGAATTGACGAGCCAGGAGATTACCCAACCAACGCTCCAACAACGGCACAATACCACGCAAAAAGAACAACCACACCCTCCAGCTGGGCGCCCAGAAACCACACCCAGGACCCTTACCGACAGGACCAGTGTTGAAACGGTAGTAAATCAAGTGCTTCAAATCCTTACACGCACGGATCTGGCGCATAAGACGGTACTTGTAACGGTACATACCCGTCAACTGACCAATATGATTGAAACAGTAGTGGATACCGTCAGCCAGCTGATAGGCATCGATGTTCCCAAGACGATACTGAACCTGCGCGTCTACCAACAGCTTCGTCAGACGCAAAATCTCACGCATAAGATGGAATGCGTTTCCGAAACGTGACTTCTTACGCTCCTTGGTAGTGAGCGTCTTAGTCGGTTTCAGATTCATATTGTAGTCCAGGTGCAAGAAGTTCAGGTTCTTACGGTGAATCAACAGGTTCAGCATGTTGTAACCTTGTCGACACACTTGCAAACCGGCCTCAACCCAATCAATCGTCGTCTTCTGGAAGAACTTCGTGCTAGCCAGAGTCCTAAACAAGTATTTTTTGTTCACTGGTTTGGCCGGCTTCGAATGCAGTTCGTTCAAGACAAAATTCTTGAGCAGTTTCTGGTACGAAACTCTGACCTTAGTAGGCTGATTGGGCGGACAGTGTTCACGGTACCATTGCTTAACAAGTGGGACATCCTGCGCTCTTACCGTTCGTCCAGAACGGTGGCTAAACGGGTTCGGTGCCCACCAAAGTGCGATGGCGTTTGCCGTATTCTGCGTGTACAACTCCACATCCTCCAAAAACGCACCACACTCCGCAGGCAACTCAAACTCGTCCTCATCATCTTCACCAAAAATCTCGTCCTCGTGAGATATCTCAACATTAGCAGGCGCAAGAGAGCGAGAGGGGATAGGGTTGATAACGGGGTCGAAGTAGAATGCTGGAAGGTCGGGGTCTTCGGCTTTGATGTAGACGTTGCTAGGTTCGTGGTATTGTCCGATATGCACTGAACGTGGAAGCGAGTTGTAGAGGTAAGGGAAGGCGACTTTGTATTCCGTGCGGATAGGCTGGCGAATGATGATCTTGTGAATGTCATTAAAGTCTGTCCATTCGTCGTCAATGTCCACATCCTTGTACAGCGGCTCGAACTTCGGTCCTCCTGGAATAGCCATGTTGAGTGCCTTCGCCGTGAAGAAAGACTTGGTGTCGAACAGGTAGAAGTAGTTCTTGTCGGTCAGATCAGACAAAAGCTGATTTGCCAGGCGGTATAGTGTCGACATCTGCGGTAGATCAAGGTGCCATTTTTTATATGACGGACCATTGACGTGAACTGTGTCGAGCAAAGGCTTGTGATCGTAGAACCATTCGTAAACCGGACCGTCTTCCTCCTCATCAAGCTCCATCGTAATCGCTTCTAATGGCTCAACCTCTTCCACGTTCTCTGCGTAATCAAGAACAGGCTCTTCGTCGTCGAATGGAGGGAACCGCATGCGCTTAAAGTGTCGTCGATCACGCTTTTCTCTTCTCATCATGATCCACATCGTACCCCATTGCGCCGTGAACACCGGCTCAATTACTCTCGGAATTTCATTCACGAATGTAATTGCACCAGTGATATGGTACAGTACCGGCACCTCACGGACTTGCTCCCAAGGCATAGGCATATTCTCCAGCAATTTCAAGACAGCATGAGGCATGAACTTGAGCGCACCCAAATACGCCCGCTTGTCGTTTCTGAACTTATTGCTGCTCATATCTCCATGATCCTTGATAATCTTCCTCAAATGCTCCGGTGGCATCTCAGCCTTCTCAGTCTCCACAAAACCATGCTTACGCTTTGCGCTAAACTTGTTCTTCTGAGTCTGATGCCACTTTCGTGCTTTCTCGTTGAGTTTAGCAGAGGACGGCTCTCCCGGGGGTGGAGGGGCATACCCCGGTGGAGGAGGTGGTGGAGGTTGCTGCCTGCCCTCAAAGCCGGGCGGCGGAGGCAATGCTGCCATGTTGTGTATGTGAGACGAAGCGAACGAGCAGAGCTGGTCGAGAGCCTATGCGCAAACAGTCGTAACAGGGATCACGCAAGGAATCGAAGCTGCCGGGGGTATTTACTGGATTTCGTTCAACCTTCGTACGCTTCGATGCACGCGTCGCAGCTGTCGGGCCTCGAGGACACGTGCGTGGCGGCCGTGAAAGCGAGATAAAATACACTGTCAAGGTTTCCAACTACTTCATCTACAATCGGAGGATTGGGCATTGCATAAAAGGAAAGGGATCCATACTTGATAGGTTGCCACGCTGCGGCTGCTGGCTGCGCGGTTGCGATACGGCACGTATGACGGTAACCGGCGAGAAGACGCACTCGGGCTCACCTTTTACAGCTGATTTGGCTGACCGGTGGATCTACCCTCACTTGCTCTGTTCGTCACGATATAGTATTCAAGTTCATAAGGGGCGGATGACTGCGCTGAGTGTTATCGCGCTTATGTTGACGATCTATTCGAAAGCCGCAATACCATCTAAAACGGGGTCCTCAGCGCTCCTCTCATATTTCCCTGCTAAGCATCTCAAGCTTTGTCAACGCCCATAAGCATAAATCATTCCGGTTTCATATCGTACATTCCGTCCAACCCTCCCACGGTCTAATTCTTCTCTTCCTTGACGCTCAAGCTACCAATCAAGAAACTCACCCAATCCATACTCTCATCCTCTCCACTGATCACAACATCGAAAACTTCCAAATACCGATCCAACCACATATCCTCATCAACATTGAGAAAGCCCACCGATAGCGAGTTCTTATGAGGGTATCCGTCTTTCATGTGGATATCACCCAACGAATCGCCGAGAAGTAGAACGTTTGGACGGTGTGAGGTGCTTGTAGGAACGTTTGGTTCCGTAGGCTCGCTAGGCGAGGAAAGTGTGTGCTCTCCCTTGTTAAAGGAGTGGATGAGGGGATCATGGAAGCCTACACACTTGTCTTCGGGTTCGTCTCCGGTCCATTTCATGCGGTTTGCAACAACCTTGACCACACCCTCTCCTTTTGCTGAGAGGTCCTGAGTGATGGGTACACCCAGCGGCTTCATCCCCTCAACAATAACATCACCTACACCAGCGGAGAACACCGAAACTTCCACACCGCGTTCATGGGCAGCATGCAACAACTCCTTCGCACCTTCTCTAAACTGGAAAGGATAGTTCTTCAGTGTAGAAGTAAGGTCGGATCGCGAGAGGTTGATCGACGCCAGAATATCATGTGCTGAGTTCCACCACGCCTCCATATGCGGAATCTTCTGTGCAACAGTAAGATGCGGCGACATCTCGATCGGGTAATATTTCTCCACAAGCGCATCCTCCTTCTCCAACAACTCCAGTGTCATACCAGGCATATATTTCATCACTCCGTGTGAACTCACGCCCCTCCTCTTCTCCCCGGTCTTCCTGTCCTTGATCCAGTACTTTGTCAGGGTCATGTCGAAATCGGAGATAATGTGGAGGTTTTCGCCGCCATCAGCGAGGATCCGTTCGACTTTGCGATGGAGAGATTCTGGGTCTTTGCTGTAGATTGCACCGATCTCGAGGGAGCAGTCGATGAGGTTGGAGGCGGCGAAGGTGAAGTCGATGGGCTTTGGCGGAGCGGGGTTGAACATGGGATCGTCCATGGAGAGCATGGATGGGTCTATTAGTGGTGGTTGAGTCATTGTAGGTCGTTTATTGAAGATGTTATGCTCGAGGAGGTATTTTTAATGGATGGACTCTCGAAGCGGCGAGATCAGAGGCTATGAAGTAACGAAGATACGGCTGTCATTGAATGTATGATTTGTGCATGCGAGCTGATAAAAACAAAACGTAAACTACCTAGATTCATTAGTCCTCATGATCGTTTCAATTGAGGGCTTTCCCGGCAACGTCATCTCGAACCTTCGGTACTTTCCCCAGAACGCACCCTTCAAATACGCCCGACGTCGGTTCTCAATTACAGCAAAGAATTATACCCCAATAGATCACACAATGTCAGCCGACGAATTCAAAGCACAGGGTAACGCCGCCTTCGCCCAAAAGGACTTCCCTATCGCCATCGACTTCTTCACCAAGGGTATCGAAGTCGATCCCTCAAACTACGTTCTCTACTCCAACCGTTCTGCGTGCCACGCATCTCTCCGCAACTACAACGCCGCATTGGAGGATGCGAACAAGTGCGTCGAGTTGAACCCTGGCTTCGCGAAGGGATTTGGAAGGAAGGGTGCTGCGCTCCATGGACAGGGTGATTTGGTTGGTGCGTTGGATGCCTACGAGGCGGGATTGAAGGTCGACTCCTCGAATGCGCAGTTACAAGCCGGATTGAAGAGTGTCAAGGACGCTATCGACCGTGAAGCCGCCGCGGACGGTGAAGACGCCGACATGGGCCTCGGCAAGATCTTCTCTGATCCCAATCTCCTCCAGAAAATCGCATCGAACCCACAAATGGCGCCTCTTCTCGCCGACTCCGCGTTCATGCAGAAACTGGAGCAGATCAAGAAGAACCCTAACAACATCCAGCAATACATTTCGGACCCGAGGATGATGCAGTTGGTGTTGGCGTTGATGGGAGTTAATGCTGATGATCTCTCTCGTGCTGGTCAGGAGGAGGGTCAGGTGCCTGCTTCCGTTGTCGATGAGAATGATGCGCCTGAGCCTGTGAAGGAGGAGAAGAAGGAGGATGTCAAGATGGAGGATGCGCCCGTCGAGGAGGAGGTTTCTGAGGATGCCAAGGCTAAGGAGCAGGCTGATGCGGAGAAGGCAAAGGGCAACGCCGCTTACAAGTCGCGCGACTTTGCTACCGCGATCGCTCAGTTCGAAAAGGCATGGTCTTTGCACAAGGATATCACTTATCTCAACAACTTGGCTGCGGCTTACTACGAGTCTGGCGAGTTGGACAAGTGTATCGAGACTTCCGAGAAGGCCATCGACGAGGGTCGTGAAATCCGTGCCGACTACAAGCACATCGCAAAGGCCATGGCCCGTGCCGGAACCGCATGCATCAAGAAGGACGACCTTGAGGGTGCAGTCAAGTGGTACCAGAAGTCTCTCACTGAGCACCGCACCGCAGACACCCTGAACAAACTCCGTGACGCAGAGAAGAAATTGAAGGAGAAGGCCCGTCTCGCCAAGGTCGACCCCGTAAAAGCCGAGGAGGCCCGCGTGAAGGGTAACGACCTCTTCAAAGCCGGAGACTACGTCGCAGCCGTCAAGACCTACACCGAGATGATCGACTGCGCACCCGAAGACGCCCGTGGCTACGGAAACCGTGCCGCTGCCTACTTGAAGCTCTTGTCCATCTCCGAAGCCCTCAAGGACTGCGAGAAGGCTGTCGAGATTGACCCTAGCTACGTCAAGGGCTACATCCGTATGTCAAACGCCTACTTTGCCATGCGCGAATTCACCAAAGCCCTTGAAGCCCTCGCAAAGGCTACGTCGGCGGATACCGCCTCCGCCAACACCCGCGAAATCGCGCAAACCGAGGCTAAGATTCAGCAGGCTATGTACGCCGGTGCCGCGAACGACGGCGAATCCCAGGAGGAGGTCATGGCTCGCGCGAGTCAGGATCCGGAGGTTGTAAGGATTATGCAAGATCCGGCTATGCAGGCGATTTTGCAGCAGATGCAGCAGCAGCCGGAGAGTATCCAGGAGCACATGAAGGATGCTCGTGTCAGGGCGAATATCCAGAGGTTGGTTGGAGCGGGTGTGTTGAAGATGGGTACCAGACCGGCTCAGTGAGCAGAAACATAAGAAGATGTAGGATAGCTTAGGACGATACAATAATCCTTTTTCGCTTACAGTATTCGTACTCGGTTACATGGTGTTCAGGTTCCCCATTACGTTCCGGCGACCGACCGAGTGGCTCAGGGCACGGCCGCGGCACAGGACGTAGAACGCTACATCATCAGGCGAAGGGAACTGGAAATAGAGCCAAGGCGCATACACCTCCAAGACCACCCGAAAGAACCAGCATACACCCCAGTCGAACAGTTATCATGGGTGTGAAGTGACGGTCTGTCAATCGAGAACGACGGCTAACGACGGCACACAGTTCTCGGTCGTTCTGATAAGGTTGAGACGGGAGAAGATGTCGAGCAGCTTGAGGATGAGGGGAAGAACATCATTCTGGGGATTATCTCGCAGTTGAGGTTTGTCATTCATCTCGTATCACGAGGGAGGTGGCTAATTGAGATGACAGACCCGGGATGGACTTAACGAGGGTCACATTGCCTACATTCATCTTGGAGCCGCGGAGTATGCTTGAGCGAATCACAAAGTATGTCATCCTTTTTTTTTTTCCACAATCACTAACGTGATGGTAGCTTCATGTCCCACCCCGAACTCCTGCTCCCAATCCACGCCATCGACGACCCCGTCGAACGATTCGTCTCCGTCTGCCGCTACTACCTCTCCGGCTTCCACATCAAACCCCCCGGCGTAAAAAAGCCCCTCAACCCCGTCCTCGGGGAACAATTTACCTGCGAATGGACCTTCCCCGACGGCACGCAAGCTCTCTACCTCGCCGAACAGGTGTCTCATCACCCGCCTGTGTCCGCGTACTTTTACGCGAGTCCGGAGCATAAGATTAGGGTCGATGGAACGTTGATTCCGAAGAGTAGGTTTTTGGGGAATAGTGTTGGGAGTATGATGGAGGGGAAGGCGAGATTGAGCTTTACGGATAGGCCGGGGGAGGAGTACGTTCTTACTCAGCCCAACATGTATGCTAGGGGAATCCTCTTTGGCACGATGAAGTTGGAACTCGGCGACCACTCCTTCATCCGCTGCGACAAGAACGACTTGGTAGCCGACATCGAATTCAAAACAAAAGGCTTCATCAGCGGCACCTACAACGCCATCTCCGGCAAAATCAAGCGCATCTCAACCGGTGAAGCACTCTACGAAATCTCCGGAAAATGGAACGAAGAGATGACCCTCCGCGACCTGCGCACGAAGAAGACCACGATCCTCTTCGACGCGCGTGGTGCCCGTCCCGCGACGCACGACATGAAGCCTCTCTCAGAACAGGATGAGAGGGAGAGTCAGAGGTTGTGGGATCCGGTTACGAGGGCGATTAAGAAGAGGGATCAGGATGCTGCGACGGATGCGAAGAGCGCGATTGAGGAGAGGCAGAGGCAGGAACAGAGGAGGAGGGAGGCGGAGGGGGCGCAGTGGGAGCCGAGATTTTTTGTCAGGAGGGCTGGGACGGCGGATGAGTGGATTTTGAAGGAGGATGTGTATGTCTCCACCTCTAATGCCCTGAAATTGTGTAAAGCAAGTGCTGACGATGGCATGTAGTGACTTTTCGGGTGATTCGGAGGAGGTGAAGAAGCATATTAGGGCGATTACGACGGGGTATGTCGAGCCTACGACTTCTACCACCAGCACTGCAGCAGCTACGTCGACGGTTCCGGCAACACCGACGAAACCTCCAGCTCCCCAACCTGGCGCGACACCCTCTTCCGCATCGCGTCCACCTCAATTGTCGTACGGCGGCGGCGTACCAGCCACCCCATCCCAGACTGCAACGCCAACGTCTCCAACTCGTATCACTGGCGGACCCGCACACGTTCCGGCGATCCCAGGCACACCAGCCGCCGCCGCCTCGGCCTACCCCGCATGCGTCCCATCTGCAGCTACCGGACCAAGGGCCACACCGAATGCAGTGGGAGTTGCAACACACAGCAGAATACCGTCCGACTCCTCTGACACGTCCGAGAAATTCGTGGATGCGCCCGAGAACCCTCTCCACGATCCGATGTCGTCCTTGTCGATGAACGACACCAAACAGAGTCGCCGGCGATCGCTCTTGGACAAGGTTGGATTGTAGTAGTATATCAGGCTAGGATAGATAAATCAGCTTCGAGAACCCTAAGCGGAGATTTTCGTCGATTTCGCTTAGTTGATTACGTGATGGCGCTAACGGCGAAGGCGTGGGAAGACGGACGTCGAGTCGGCACTGCGTGTGTTCTAGGCCTTCGCGGATTCTTCTGCGGATTCTTATATAGCAGCAGTTCTGGCCGTCGTTCAATCTCAGTCAACAGTCAGCCAACCAACCAGTCATGAAGCTTGCCTCAATTGCTACTGCCCTCGTTGCTGCCACCGGCCTCGCGTCCGCTCAGAGGACGAGGCACTCTTCCGCTTCCTCCGCTTCCTCCACCTCGACCTGGTCCGCTGCTTCCTCCAATGTAGCCGCCGCTTCTCCTTCTTCCTCCGCTTCCTCCACCTCTTCCGCCGCCGCTGCTTCCTCCTCCGCCGCCGCTGCTTCCACCTCTTCCAACAACACCTTCCCTGACTCCACCGCCTACCTCTTCCTCGACTACCAAAACGGCATCCTCGGCTCCGTCGGAAACGACACCGCCGTCAACGCCATGGTTTCCGCCTCCCAGCGTCTCTACTCTGGCGTCCGTTCCTTGAAGCGTAACGAGACAGGGTACTACTACCCCATCACCGCATTCTCTCAAGTCCAGTTTCACCCCACCTACCCGGAGTTGTCTCCGAGAAATGCCGCGTTCAAGCCGTTCGCGCAGTACGGCGCTGTCTTGACCACGAGCGCACAGGCTGATTTCGTGTCCGAGTTGACCCCGCAGGAGGGTGATCTCGTGTTCCAGAAGCGTCGTTTCGATGCTGCTTACAACTCTGAGCTTCTCACCATCCTCCGTGCCAACGAGATCGACACCGTTGTGTTGGCCGGTGCGTACACCTCTGGTGTCATTCTCGCGACTTTGAGATCGTTGAGTGACCGTGATTACACCATCTACGTTGTCGAGGACGCTACTGTCGACCCCTACTCCGCGGACTGGCTGTTGAACGAATATTTCCCCCGTGCCGCTACCGTGTTGAGCACCGACCAGGCTTTGGCGATGATGCCCGAGGGGCCTTTGGACATTCCTCCCAACTACAACGTTGGTCTCTAAAGTCACTCAACCCCCGGTATTACAAATGTAGAATAGATATCAAATATATCACTTATCCCCTCCTACCCACGCCCAACTCTCCCTTCGCGCTTCGTCGAGCTTCACTCCACTCGACTTTCTTCAATGGTCTATATTCTGCTTTCCACATCTGCTTCTCAACCCACATCTCCAGTTCATCATCATTGTCGATGGGAATGTCGGGGATGCGTGAGAGACCTTCCTTGACAGCTTGCCGCACAACTGCCATCGCGACCTTCTTCGAGGCATGACGGACGATGGCCACGTCGGGTAGCAAAGCCTTATTGATATCCTCCCGGGCGGGTGACTCCTGTGCCAATGCTCTGGCCGCCGCAGCGAGCATCTCATCCGAAATCCGCTTTGCCCTCGTCAATACCGCACCAAGCCCAACCCCAGGATACACCATTGCATTATTCGCCTCCGCGATTTCATACTCCTCCCCATCCTTCCCCCTTTTGACGGGTGGGAAGGGAGATCCAGTAGCGATGAGTGCTTTGCCTTCTGACCATTCGTTGATATCTTCGGGCTTGGCTTCGTGGAGTTTTGTCGGGTTGGAGAGGGGGAGGATCAATGGGGAGTCGGTGTTGCTAGACATGGCCTTGACAATGTCTTCGGTGAAGGAGTTGGGGCGGGTTGAGCAGCCGATCAAGACCGTCGCCTTGCTCTTCTTCACTGTGGTCAAAAGATCAATCCCCTTATCTGACTTCTCGTTATCCCACTCGGAGTCTGGACGAGCATAAGGACGTTGTCCATCCGTCAACTTGTCTCCATGACTCTCAAGCAGAAGACCAGGTTTGTCAACCAACCAAATCTGCTTCCTCGCTTCCTCTTCCTCCTTCCCCTCAAACACCATCGCAGCAACAAGATGATCTGCAATCCCCGTCCCCGCAGTCCCAGCCCCAAACATCGCAATCCTCTGCTCCCCCAACTTCTGTTTCGTAACAATCATCGCCGCCATAATCGCCGCGACCGTCACCGCACCTGTACCTTGGATATCATCGTTGAAGCACGGGAGCTGAGAGCGGTACGTATCGAGGAGTCGACGGGCGTTCGATAGACCGAAGTCTTCGAAATGGAGGATGGCGTTCGGGAAGAGCTTTTGAACGGCGGAGACGAAGCGGGCGAGGAAGTCGTCGTATTGTTTTCCCCGGATGCGTTTGTGTTTGAGGCCCATGTACATCTCATCTTTCAGGAAACCCTCATTATCAGTTCCGACGTCCAACACTACAGGAAGGATACGGTTCGGGTACAATCCACCACACAATGTCATCAAAGCCGCCTTTGCTGTCGAGATCCCGATTGCACCGACGCCCTGATCGCCAATACCGAGGATTTCTTCACCGTCAGACACGATAACGTAGTCAATATCATCAGCCGTGCCCCATCCTGCAAGATCCTTTTCGATACGGTCTGGGTCGCCGATGTTGAGGAAGCAGCCTTCGGGTGCACGGAAGTGATGGGAGAAGGTTTGAATTGCTTCGGCTTCTGTTGGTGTGTAAATAACACTGCCCCTTTCATTAGTAATGATTGCATGAAGAGCGATGGGTGACATGCGGCATCATCTCCTTCAAATGCTCCCCCACCAACCGGTAAAACAGCACATGATTCTGCTCCTTCAACGCATTGAGAAAGATATTCTTGTCCATATCCGATCCATGCTGTTTGTACTGTTCGTAGGTTCGCTGCACCTGTAGTTCGAGAGTCGAGATCTGCACCGGGAGGAGACCGTCTAGGCCGAAGATCTGGCGTTCTTCCTTGGTGTGAGCGGGGCCCTTGTTGAATTGAGGTGTTGTGAGGAGGGATTTGCCCTGTCCACACAAAGTCAGTCTTTATTCATAATGCTGAGATTTAGTTCGAACCGTAAGTGCACACTCCATCGGGCCCTCAAAGCTCAATGGAGCCGACGTCTTCGTCGAGGACGACATTCTAATTTGCTGGCGAATGTAAGAGGAAAGTGACGGGGAATGACGGGAAGTCTGAATTCGTATGTTTCCTTGGATAAGTCTATGAGCCATCTACCCTGTACTGGGTGCAATTGGTGTTGGTCTATCGGTCGAGGAGGTCCATTTTCGCATGCTTGGCGGTGAGGTGATTAAGGTTAACGTTGCGTGATGGCTGCGGGCAAACGTCACAGTGCAACCAGCGGCGCAGAATGCGTGAGAAGGGTGCGATCAGCCGATATGTTATTCGTAATGAACGAACGGTATATATGGGTATACCTTTTTTCACAAAAACAGCCGCGGGATGAGTACTCCGTTCATCGCGTTGCCCTACCCATACGCATCGGGCGCGGGAAGATACAACCGCCCCATGGGTCTGCCGTCCGTCGGTCTCCTCGCTTCGATAGTCAATGGCCCCATCTCATAGTCATTTGACGACTCGCAGGTGTAGGTTACATGAACCTCCTTGATCTTAACACCCTCAAAATGGAGTAAGGCGTATTCAAGAGTTGGAACAGCCCTCCCTGATAGCAGATGCAATCTCCAAAATATCTGCAACCTGTGTGAAATTACGTTCCAGAGGCACATGGAGTTCCAACCCTCGGAGACCTTTGAAGAAACGGAACTGCTGGGTGAATGCTGCCAAATCTTTAGCTCTGAGTCTTGCAAGCGGGATATTCGGCTATACCAGCTGGTCGTACATTTCATAGCACGGAAAGTTGAAAGCAAGAAACTCAAGGTGTTTTTGGTGGCATAACCCCTTCATCGTGGCCGTTAAGGTCGCTGGATCGCAAGACAGGGCAAGGTCGCGCATATTCAGTCTTCATCTCTTCGTGGACCTTGGGAGTTTCAGATTCGCAAAACACTCATGTTCCATCCAATCCATAAGAGCCTGTCCATTTATTGAAGGACGAATGAAGTTCTGTAGGCTGGGTAAGTTCCAGAGGATTCTCTAAACGTGGCGAGTCATCCTCTCCATGGGTACAATAATATACTGATTCAAGCTTCTCGAAGTGCTTGTAAGAGTCAAAAATAAGTTCGTCGACAAGCGAATCATTGCCATCCAAGCCAACTCTTCTGATCTCCTTATTTATACCAGTCAAAAACCCTTCAAAGCATCCACAGTCACATACGTTGCATTTTGCCAGCTCCAAAGCCTTCAGGTGCGGCAGTTGTACTTCTTCCAGTATCAGCGAAATGCTACATCCTGATAACTTCAGGACCTCCAGTCCACGGTTTGACCTTAAGAAATGATTCAGAAAGATTTGTGTCGTCTCGTCATCAGTTGAATATTTTCGTTCAAGTTCAATATCGATTGTCACTAGGTCTCACGGTGTTCGCTCGCAGACATTACGCACATACCTCGACCCTATCGCTATCGGGCAGATGCCTGTATACTTCCTTCGACTCCGGAAAAGCACAGTTTTCCAGAGCAAGATGTGCGAGTCTTGGACAATCCCGCCCAAGCGAGACCAGAAATGCTGGAAGATCTCGTATACATACAGGCGACGACACCTTCAAATCATTCAGGTTAGGCAAATTCTGGAACAACGTAGCGAACACCCCAGCAGGATTTCCCACAGGCAGGTGCGACCGAGTCAAGTCCAACACCATCTTTTGAATCAAAGAAGCCACATGCTGAGACCGTTCATCTCCGGAGGAGGTGTCCAAGCATGATCTCACCTAAACAACAGAGGAAATAAGTATTCCATGAAGCTACTGCACTCGACCATGGTTGTGTCGGAAAATAGTATAGGGGTAACAAGATCACATAGCGACTTGCAGGTAGCCCGGAGGCCTGGCCAGATATGTTTCGGACAGGCGAGGAGGATGGAGGAAATGATCTCCGGCGGAAGATCAAGCAGCCGGGAGGCGGGAGGAGGCTTGGATGACCCCAGGACGATGGTCTTTGTCTTTTTCGCCGGCATATATGGCAGGGTCTGCTCGCTGGCGATCGATGTTGTATGTTTTGCTGAAGCCGTGAGTCCGTGTTGCAAAGCATGGTACCAAAAGCTCTACCGGCCTTATAGACATGAGATGGTGTACAAAACTTTAGTAGGCTCAACAATGTCATCTGCGATAATTTTCTTAAGTCCTTAAAGATGTCGACGATCGCGAGGTTAGACTCCAACCAGGCAATTGGACCATCATTTGAAATCGTACCCGGACCCACATCTCTTTATGATTAATCTTTAGGAAACTCAACTATCACAAGAAAAAGAGAAAACCATCAGTAGCTATACTATACCCAACTCAAGCTCTTCCATAAGAACCTGACTCCCTCCTACTCTTGTTCCGCTGCATTCCGCGGAACGGACTCAAACCCTTGAAAGCACCTCCGTCAGCACTCTGCTTGCTCTTCAAGCTGCTTGCATCCGTCTGCTGCTTGAAGTTCAACCTCAAGCGGACCTTGGCACCGTCGCTGTTCTGGTTCATCGAACCTCCTTCGACGTTGACCCAAAAGTCGCCTGCAAGATGATCGGTTACGGAGACCACTGCCTCACCGATGTCCTTGTCGGCACCAAGCGTGTGATGCTCACGGGCTTGGATGATCAACTGTTGCGTGGCGGGACCTGCGAAAGAGTTCTCTTCGTTCCACTGCGGCTGAGACGCCCTGAGACCCTTGGTCTTGACGATGTCTTTACCCTGAGGCGTTCGGACAACAACCTGCACCTTCTCCTTAGCAGAGAAGCCCGAACCTTCCAACACAGCAACCTGAATGGTGCCGTAGCCATCAGCATTGCTAGCCGCACTCGCAGAGGGGTTGTGACCATAAGCCAACCCGGGAGCAGTTTGAGGTACGCTTAAGCTACCACCATTGCCATTCTGCGTAGTCGACAACGGAACTTCAGCATTGTCGCCGGTAACGGCAACAGCACCGCCTTCGCTGTTACCCTTGATTCCACCGCCGGACTCCAAAGCAAGGTTGGCGATATCACGCTCGTCGTTGTCCTGGAGCTCCTCCTGAGAACCCTCCTTGTGCTTGCCAAAGATTCCGTGCTTCAAGAAGGAACCAGCCTTGTGGAGACCGTGTCCGGCAGCACCGACGCCCTTGACTGGAGCAGTTGCCACACTGGTGAGCGCACGCCTTCCACTGAAGGTGGAAGTCGTGGTGCGACGGGTGCGGGCCACCCATGAAGGACGGAAGACAACTCTGATAGTGACCTCGCCGGATTTACCGTTGAGGGGAATGGTCATGGTCTTGGCCTTGAATGGTTCGATCTCACTCAAGTCAATCCTTCCGGAACCGAGGAAGTCATCCCTGGAGTTAGCGTCCCAGTCATACACGTCGACCCTGAAGTTCGCCGCAGTCCTTGACTGAATATTGGCTTCGAAGTTTTCATTCCAAGTAGGGTTAAGCGTCTTCTTGACAGTCTGAGTCTTGAAGATCCTTTCCTCGTTCAAGTAGAATACAGCGTAAGGATCGCTCTTGCCGGAACGGTCGGCAGCAGGCAGGTTCTTTCCGGACACGACGGTGATGCTCGCAGTACCACTGTTGTTGATGGACTCGGAAGCATCCAACACGACCGGGACGGGAATGTACTTGCAACTGACCTTGACCTTATTCACGACTCCAGGCTCAACGCTCTGTAGTGGCAAGACTGTAGGGTTGTTCAAGCACTGCTTCAAGGTCTCCAGAGTGTCACCTGTCAACGACGCGATAACCTCACCGTCCGCATCGGCTCCACGAACCAGTTTCATGGTAACACGAGAGAACTCAAGCTCACGGATGAAAGCGTCGCCGACCTCATCCCACTTAGCATGCTGGCTACGAGAGGGAGCAGTGATGTACGCAGGGTAAGCATTGTCGTCAACAGTGATCTGGAGGGAAACGCCCTTCTCACTGATCTGTCCCTCCATAATGTTGAAAATAAACAAGCCAGAAGGCTGCTGCAACAACTCCTCCGGAGTAATCCTCATCTTCGGCGGACCAGAGGGCTCTGGCATGGCGTCATTCAAAGCAGCATTGGCTTCGAGCACATCAGGCTGTTGAGCATCCACGACAGCCTCAGCCTCTGTAACATCCAAGTTGTGCGCATTCTCGGCAGCCTGCTTCTGAGCAGCAGTCGGCTCAACAAAGGGATCAGAAGGCTCGAGAAGAGCCTCGGTGTCATCAGAGGGATAAGCAGAAGGCATCGACGACTCTGTTGCGGGCACAGAAGCGGTAGCGGTAGCAGGTCTCCATGGGGGAGCGGTCCCACCTGCAGTAACAGGAGGAACGGTGTAAGCAGTCTCGTTTACGGGCGTTCCCAAACCACCCCAATAGTTCGCTGTCTGAGCAGGCACCGCGGGCGCAACAGTAATAGCCGGCAGCGCAGTCCCAGGCACAACCACCACCGAATCAACCTTCATAGCCGGAGCCCCAGCACCAGGAACAGGAGCGGGCACATCACTCCTCGGCTCCGGCAAGCTCTCCATAGTAGTTGTCCTACTCCTGCCATTGACGACCGAAGAAACAGGTCCCTCGTCCTCAGTGACATCCCCAGCCATCTGCCTAGCCTTCTTCTCAGCCGCTTCCTGTGCAGCACCAGTTCCATCCCACTCTCCATCCTCAATATTCATGCACGGGTAAAAGTGAGCGGTAAACTCAATAGAACCCTTCGCAGTCTTGCGATGATCAAGAAGCGGCCTCGTCACCTCATAACGCTGCGCTGACTCGAGCCACTCACCCGTTGTGTCATTCTTCTGAATAAGCGGCGAACAATCGAGTTCATACCACCCCAACGACCGATCACGGCTATGAGACTGATAATCCATGACCTCGAGCGTCAACTTCTCCTTCTGGGACCTAACAGGAACATACAAAATCTCATCCCAAACCGGATTGAGATCATTCTTGATCCAGGTCGTCTTGGCCTTCATATCATTCGAGATCAACACCCTCACATACGGATCAGACTTGCCTCCCGTCTTTGCCTCGACGTTCCTCAAATCGATACCGCGCTTGAAGTGCAAACGGACCATTCCAATCGGAACAGTATATCCGCCCGAGCCGTGGATACCACCAGGCATAGAGACAGACTTCCACTCCGCACTCAACCTAATCCTCCCATTGTCCCCAGCAAGCGAAAACCAATTCTTCTGCTCCTTCGTCGTATTCAACAAATCATTCAAAAAGATCTGGTATTTCCCAACCGTGGGATCACTCTGCAAATCACGATCATCCTTGATGACAACACCCAACCGACAATTCGGTCGATTCGAGATCAACATCTCATACGACTCATCCCAGATCGGGTTATTCGTCCTCTTCGATATAGGTGATTTATGAATCTGCTTCCCATTAAGCATGAAACACGCATACGGACTCAACTGCCCCACAACACTCTTCTTCCCATCCAAATCCTTACACTGATGAACTGTAAACCTCACGATACCCGTCGTAGTCTCCGGCACTGGCTCCTCCGTCCCATCCTCATTCTTCGTAGGCTTGAGTACAGGGTAATACGCGATATCGAAATTCACAGAACCACGATCTTTGGCGTTGTACACCACTGGAAGCTGCTGATTCTCCATCTCTGCGTCTTCCTCCAACTTCTTGAGATCAAAGGAAGCGACACCCAACAACTTATCCTTCCGATAATCATTGAAATCGAGGAATTCGAGCGTAAGCGCATCATTCAACGACGTAACAAGCAAATACTTCGTCTCATTAAACCTCGGATTCGAGGAGTCCCGGATGACCTTCGTCTTAGCCAACTCCCCATGCTGGTTAATCGAAAACCGACAATACGGATCCGGATGTCCACTAAACCGATCAGGGTTTCTCAACCCTTTGGCAGCATAAACCGTGATCTGCACAACACCGATGGCTTGGGCAACACCAGCTCCACTCAACATCTGCTCAATATTCAACGTGAACACGTTCGGGTTGTACATCATCGGACCCAAATTCGCATGAACCTGTTCCGTGATGAAGGTCGTCAACCCCGGGATGAGTCCAACATCAAATCCAAACCGATCTCCACCAACAGGTTTACAGATGTAATCGAAGGAAGGCTTTTCCATGAATGAGAGGTCCAGGGTCTGAACATGAGGAAACTCGGTAATGAGCCTCAACCTCACCCTCATCAATCCGGAAAACGCAAAGTCCTCGACCAAGATAGGAATGGCACCACTAACCAACCCCTTGCCAACCCGAATACTCAAGATAATCTTGGGATTGACCCGTGTCCGCATCTGCTTCATCGTCAAATCATCCGTGTCATTCGGGTTAAAGCTGAACTTCCAATCCATCAAGACGACATCTTCCTCACTCTTCGGGTATGTACGGACATGCTCAATACGAGGCGGCTTGGTACCAAGCGTAAACGTACTCAACCTCAATGAATCCAGAAACGGCGGGGTATTCGTCGACAGCACCTGGTCCACAGTCCCTACAATCGTCGCACTCAACACCGGTTCATAAATCACCCAAAACTTGGTCAGGAAGGAGTTAATCCACTCCGCGCTCTCCGTATCCTGTTCCAGTCTCGCCTTGGCCATGGTGCGATTGATGGTGTCTCTCGTATTCCTCCTGAATCGGCGAACGGAGGTACGATAATAAGTCATCCCAACTGCAACAACGACCAACAACCCCCCGATGCCACCCCCAACCAACCCCAGAAACCACCCCGCGAACGCCGAAAAAAAGATAATCCCGGCATTATGCCACCACTCCCCAAACGTCCCATCCGACAAGTTCTTCTCGAGCCACGTACTCTCCTCATCGATCTCGGCTTCATCGCCATATTTCTTTTCCAGGCCTTCGAAACCGAGGCCTTCGTCTTCGGTAGCGGCGGCGGCGAGTTCTTTTTCAGTGGGTTTGCAGAGGCCGCGGCCGGAGAGGGAGTTGTAGCGGCCGACTGCGTCCCACCCTACTTCGGCATCGAGGGCGTCGGCTTTGGAGGTGTCTGGGCGGACTGTATGTGTGATTGCCGCTTCAGCCGACAAAGCGGCAGTATCGATGGGTTTCGGTGGGGGCATTGCGACTTCAGGCTGGGCAGCCAAGTCCTGATCCTCCGTGTTAGCATACACTCCCAATTGATCCATGCGCATATACTGCAGCATACACCCCTGTATACCGACTCACCATATCACTAACAACGCCCCTCCCCTCCGTCCCCTGCTGAACTGCACTCATATCCATCGTCCCAATCTTATGACCAGCCGCAGCAGCCTTTTGCTCCGGCGTCGCGTCTGCATTGAAGGTATGGACCGCGACACCCTGTCTCGCAGTCTCCTCCACGATCTTGGCTTCCTCGCGGCGACCCTGAGCGGCGGTCTGAACTATGCCGTCCCCGTCGCCGGCTGAACCGTCATGGTGATGGCCTGATAGGTGGACCATCTCTGCCCTTAAGCTGGCTGCGTGGTTGGGTCCAGGTGGCAGGTTCTTCGTAGAGTGCTGTCAACTGCAACTGCAATTGACGTGAATATCGGACCGCTACTCCGACTGCCGCGGGATTGAGCGAGTGGCTGTGTTGCAGCGCTGTGCCTGCCGACGTCATGGGGTTGCTCGAGAGAGGAAGGCCGACCCCCACCTCAATTGCTGGTACATAGGGACGCTGGGCATCTCCTTTGCCACGTCCAATTGCGCCGTGCAATCGTAAGTTCGTAGATCCTGTGACGTCACCCCCAACGCTGCACAACCCTTCACACACCGCCTCTCCTCCAACACCACACCACACAAAATGTCATCCACAAACACAGGCACGAACACAGGCTCTTCCGCCGCCTCCGGCGTCAAAGGAATCGCAGCTGCAATCCACGGCGCTGGCGAACAACTCCGCGGAACCTTCAACTCTGGCGTCGATGCCGCGTTCAACGACAAGGAAGGTGTTGCGAAGAATGAGGCTGTTACGCAGCAGGGACGGAATGAGGTTCAGACCGGAGAGCCCGGGTGCGGACAGGGTTTGGGTGCGAATCCGGCGAGTGGGGAGGGGAGGAGGTTGTAAGGTGAGTTGAGACGCGGTGGATTGGCTGGAGGCATGACTGACATAATACACTACAGTCTTTTCAACTGATGCGACAAACAAGGCGAAGAGGGTATGCTTGGAATGAATGCTCTTGACGGGCACAAGGAGTGTATGCTTAGCGTTTCCTGGGATGAATCCCACTGAGAGGCTTAGGGTACAGGTCCATTGCAAATGAATACTTCAGTTGAAGCTGAACAGAATCGAAATTACGTAAATGACAGGCCTGCTTAGCTAGGAAAGTGTCAAGCTTCACCTTCGTGCCTTTCAGGAGATTCAAAGTACTCCTTGATCCTAGGTCTGTTCTCCACCGCACGACAAGCCCTGTTGAGATTAGGCATGCTCGACAAATCAACTTCAAAATCGTGTACGAGTTGGTATGTCAGGATGTCCGTGTACGAGAACTGTTTAACACCAGTTAATGTTGACGTCCTGCATCAAACTCATAGGAGATCGACAACACAGGTTCACCAACCTCATCTCCCAAAAGATAGTCACCATGCTTGATCGAGTAAAAGATCTCGAACTGCCTCAAGAACTCAGGCGTGACATTCTCCTTGAAATCCTTCGCCGTAATCTCATCCCCATACACCACCTTCGACGCCCACGTACGACGGTGATCCATCCCTACGTCAGCGATACGATCACACTCATACTCCTCATCCAAATCCCTCCCAAAGTACTTCCCCAACCTTTTCGATAAATACCTTATCGTCGGGATCGATTGCGTGTAATTCCCTGTCGGCGTCTGTAGCACCGGTATCTTCCCAACAGGATTAAAACCCGAAGCGACGAACTTTTCCTTGTATTTAGGCCATTCTTTAATGGGGATACGGGAGTCTTTGTACTCGATCTCCGCTTCGTGGAGGAAGACGCGGAGGACTTCGCCGCGACCTGTGAAGACGGCGGATCAGCTTCGCTCAAACAAGGGCTACTCATCCGGTACATACCCTTCGCACCAAAGTCGTAGTAATGAACTTCCGGAATTGCGCCCTTGAACAGAATGTCGTTTCCTTTGCCCATGGCCAGTCAAAGTAGGTCAATTGATGTGGCTAGGAGCTAGAGTTGAATAAGCGGGCCGGACCCTTTTATGTTGGAATTGAGGAGCGGGGAGGAGGTACCCACTGTATCATCACGCGCCAGGGCCAACGTTGATGAAGTGCAGCTCAACTGAGCACGTTTAAACCCGCTGGTCTTGCCAGCTGCTGTGGAGATCTCTCGTGGATTCCTTGGTAAATAAACCGGCCTGCCCTCCGTTGCGCATGTGCCGTGGGTGTTCCGCCAATTGCTCTTGCGCGACATCAGTGGGTAGGGGTTCAGTTCTGCACTGGCTACAGTATGTGGGAACGTTCTCCGGCTCGTCCAATGTTGTAGCGCGCACTACCCCCAGCCACCGCGCTGACGGTGCAACGAAGATCGCAATCTTCAGATCTGTGAGGAGGTGAGGGACGGAAACACGTTCGACTCGCTGAACATCGTGCGAAAATTCAGAAATGTTGATTTGGTAAACAACATAGCCATAGCGATGCCCCGTGTAAGGTAGTAAGTAATAAACAGTTGAAGAACACTTCTTCCGAAAACACTCAAGTATTCAGACCGTTATCGGCTAATCGTAACGCCGGGTGTGGCCATCTCCTCCACTTCTGCACCTCCTTGCTTAACCTAGCATGAATGTGCTGCTGCTCGTCTCCCGTGCTCTGGATGATCGCAGCTCCCATCGATCATGCGGTCCATCTTCGTATCATTCCACCTACCTTCATCCTAGTATTCAGCTCCCATCACGGGCTGTGTTCATCGAACAATCACTGTCCATTCAGTTCACTGGCTGCATTCTTCGCTGTCAGTGCGCCAGGCCATCGCCCCAACGCGCGCGCGCTCTGCTGGAAGAAGCGACCGCCGGGGAATTTCGACAAGACCGAACAAGAAAGCCGCGACGGCCATTCACCTGCATCCTCACCCAAGTGTTGTCGAGCGAGGATAAACGGCCATCGATCTTCAACTTTCGAGGTCTGTTGTCGCTCCCTTCTTCCCTTTTCAACCCGTCGATCAACCGGCGCTTCAATCCGACCCCCTCGTTAAGCGCGCCTGTGACCGACGATGAAGTCGCTCAACCCCCTACCGACAATTGCCTCCTACTCGGCTCAGTTTCCGATTCATGTCATAGTCTTTGTTGCGTTGCTTGCTTCGACGGCTTATTTCCATTTGTTGGATATCGCTGCGACGACGCGAGTGACCGCGTGGAGTGCGTACAATTGGCGAGGTGTTGCTAGGAGAGACTTTGCTGGCCTCGGTCAGGCAAAGGTAGTTCTTCAGAATGGAGAGTGGGTTCAGGCAACAGAAACTGAGGTCAGTGAACCTTTGGGCGGAATATGGAGTGAGCACGGAAGTTGCCGAGGATTCAGGGGTTACAGTTGGTCATCTGGAATTCCTCTGTTGCGGACGTGATTCAAACCTCATAGGAGCCGTCGATTCTCTTGCATTATAGCATTGCATATGCTGACACACTGTACAGACCTCTCAGTACGCGATTGCGTTGGCCACCACTCCCTACGCTGTCTTCCCTCCGGCTCTGGAATCCGCCCTCATGCCCTCCGCCTGCCTTTCCGCATCTTCTAACGGTTGCACCCCTCTCCCACCATCGGGTTCCCTTTCTGGTTTCCTTATCGAGTCCGCTACCGCGAATGAGTGGTTGAACCCCGCCATGCGCCGGGCTCTCCATGATGCCGGATTCACCATCGCTCCTGCTGCCGGTACGTCCGAAGGCAGTGTCTGGTGGATCGGCCGCGCGGTTTACGACGTCGCTGCTAAGATTCGCCAGCTCATTGAGAAGGCCGACCGTGTCGACATCATCATCATGACAATTGGGTACTTGGCTATGCACCTTACCTTTGTTTCGCTCTTCCTTAATATGAGGACTCTGGGATCAAACTTTTGGTTGGGAGCGACGGTTTTGACGTCCAGCACATTCGCGTTCTTGTGCGCCTTGTGCACTGTTCACCAGCTTGGTATCGCCATTGATCCTGTTAGCTTGAGTGAAGGATTGCCCTTCTTGGTTATCACCGTTGGATTCGAGAAGCCCATCCTCCTCACCAAGGCTGTTTTGAAGGGAAGCTCTAGCAACAGCCCCCGCGCTATCCGCGAGGACGTCGTTGATGCTGTTCGTGCCAAGGGTCTCCTCATCGTCCGCGACTACGCCGTCGAAATTCTTGTTTTGTCTTTGGGTGCCCTGTCTGGTGTTCCTGGCTTGAAGCAGTTCTGTTTCTTGGCTGCCTGGATCTTGGGATTCGACTGCCTCATGCTCTTCACCTTCTACACCGCGGTCCTCGCCGTCAAGCTCGAGATCACCCGCATTAAGCGTCACACTACCATCCGCAAGGCTCTCGAGGAGGAGGGAATGAGCTACAAGGCTGCCGAGAAGGTCGCCATGGCCAACGATCCTCAGGTCAACAAGGAGGAGCGTGAACGCAGTTTCGGGTGGTTGTCTCTGTTCGGTGGACGCAAGGTTCGCGATGAGAGCGTTACCAGGTTCAAGCTCGTCATGGTCTCTGGATTTGTGTTGATTAACTTCTTGAATGTTTGCACTATGCCGTTCCGTCCGGCTGTTCCTGCCACTGCGGCTGCTGTCAACCCTATCGTTACTGCTGCCGCTGCGAACGTGCCTATTGATGTTTTCAGCGTCAAGTATAAGCCTTTCTTGGATGCCGCAGCGAAGTTGCTCTCTGAGGGATCTATCGTCACCATGTTGCCTCCCATCCACTTTTCGCCCATCTCTGCTGCTCCTTTGCCTAGCACTAGTGCTTACCCCAACGCTGGTAACGGCACTGTCGAGAACTTGGTTCTTGGTTTCTTGGAGTCTTGGACCAGGTCTGTTGGTGACCCGATCATGTCCAAGTGGATTGTCGTTGTCCTCGCTATCTCCGTCGGATTGAACGCTTACCTCTTCAACGCTGCTCGTTGGATTCAGGTTCGTGAGCAGAAGCCTAAGGTTGTCGAGAAGATCGTCGAGGTTATCAGGACTGTTCCTGTCCCCCGTATCGTTGCTGACGACGGCGGTCGCGCTGATTCTCCTTGCGTTGAGGAGGTCAATGGCGACGCATCTGCTCCTCGTTCTTTCGATGAGTGTGTCGAGATCCTTAAGGCTGGCAATGCGAAGAAGTTGAGCGATGAGGAAGCCGTCATCCTTGCCTTGAAGGGAAAAATTCCTGGATACGCCTTGGAGAAGATCCTCGCTGATCCCTTCCGTGCCGTCAAGATCCGTCGTGCTATGGTCTCCCGCAACTCGAACACCAAGACTCTCGAGGACAGTCTTCTTCCTTACCAGGATTACGATTACGCTCGTGTCTTGGGTGCTTGTTGTGAGAATGTCATTGGTTACCTTCCTTTGCCTCTTGGTGTTGCTGGTCCTCTTATCATCGATGGTAAGTCGTACTACATCCCCATGGCGACTACGGAGGGTGTCTTGGTTGCTTCCACGGGTCGTGGCTGCAAGGCTATCAACGCCGGTGGCGGTGCCATCACTGTTTTGACGCAGGACATGATGAGTCGTGGTCCTTGTGTTGCATTCCCTAACCTCGCCAGGGCCGGTGCGGCGAAGATCTGGTTGGATAGTGAGGAGGGACAGAAGGCGATGAAGAAGGCATTCGACTCCACCTCCCGATTCGCGAGGTTGAAGCAGTTGAAGACTGCCTTGGCGGGTACCACCTTGTACATCCGTTTCGGAACGAGTACTGGTGATGCTATGGGAATGAACATGATTTCCAAGGGTACGGAGTTTGCGTTGAGATTCATGAAGGAGGAGTGTGGATTCTACGATATGGATGTTGTGTCTGTTTCTGGTAACTACTGTACGGACAAGAAGCCTGCGGCGATCAACTGGATTGAGGGACGTGGAAAATCGGTGGTTGCTGAGGCGATCATTCCTGGTCAGGTTGTGAGGGATGTGTTGAAGTCGAGTGTGGATGCTTTGGTGGAGTTGAACATTACGAAGAACCTGGTTGGTTCTGCGATGGCTGGAAGCGTTGGTGGGTTCAATGCACATGCGGCTAACATTGTTGCTGCTGTCTTCCTTGCTACCGGGCAGGATCCGGCTCAGGTCGTTGAGTCTGCCAACTGTATCACTTTGATGAAGAACGTTGACGGAAACCTTCACATGACCGTCTCCATGCCTTCCATCGAGTGTGGTACTATTGGTGGAGGGACCATCCTGGATCCTCAGGGTGCTATGCTTGACTTGCTCGGCGTCCGTGGCCCTCACCCAGAAGTGCCCGGAACCAACGCCAAGCAGCTTGCCAGAATCATCGCCGCCGCCGTCTTGGCAGGCGAGCTTTCCCTGTGTTCCGCCCTCGCGGCCGGTCACCTCGTCAAGGCCCACATGGCACACAACAGATCCGCTGCCAACACCCCCGCTCCTTCTGGCACCGCTACGCCTGTACACCCTCTTTCTGCATTGACCCCTGCCAGCGCTGAGTCGGCAAGGAAGTGATTTATCGCTGGGGTTATCTGTAGCATGTTTTTGTAATTAATCTAGGTCTGGACGCTTTTGGGACGGACTTCACGTGGACTTCTTGGTCGACATTCTCATGATAGATGAACAGGAAAGAATACCAATCTCTATTACCACATCATCTGTTGTCCATGGATTGAGTTCAGAGCACCGGTGCCGCCCACATGCATATGCATGAGCGGTGAGCACGGGACGAGGAGACACCGATTGCAATGGAGGCAGCGGTAGATATAACATAGAAGATGTTGCAAAATAGCTTGACATGTTCCCTGTTTGCCCTCGACTTCTGTCTGGGTGCCTGCCTTAGCAGTGTCTACGTTACAGGAAATGCACGTACGTCGCCGGCGACTCGACTTACCGGTACGTACAACACCAGCTGCTTCTCCGTGGAAGTGAACCCAACGCGATCCGAGCACGTCAACAGACCGACATTCATGGAGCTTTGATCAGCTTTGTAGCTTAAGACACGTCTTCTAAGATACCCTGGCAGCAAGCATGGCGGGCTTACCCAACCTCGCCGCCAACTATAAGACCATTACGCATTCATTACAACCCGTTAGCCGCTCGGCGTCGCCCAATGATACCCGTTCAAGTGGACCATCAGACGCGTCGCGCAAGAATCAATTGAGCTTTTCTGTTCCCAATGGAAATTCGAACGCGAGTGTTGCCGATACTGGTGATAGAAAACCTGAGGTTGGTCCGGTGAGGTCCAGCGATGATGCCCGAGGAAGGAGTCCATCCGTCTCGTTCAGCAAGAATGGTGCGCATAGTCGTCCCGTCCTGCAACGAAAAGATCCAGCTACGATGCCTTCGACCACATCACCTCCTCGCCCTCCGCCTCAGAATCGACCTTCAGAACAGACCCTCGCGCTACCCCCCATGAATGCACGGTCGCGGAAAATAACGGAAGAGTCAAGGGACATGGATATAACATCAGGCTCATTCCCCGAGCCGGCCAAAGAAAGGTCAACATTGGTGAAGATTCGGGGTGCCGCCTATGTCAAGAGGCCCAACGGCGGGCTGCGTCTCGTAACGTCAGACCCAACACCATCCTTGAGGAGAGATGCGGAAAGAGGGTTGGAAGAATTTTCATCAAGGGCGAATCCTGCAGATAGCGTTGGTACACCTCCCATTGTTGATTCGTCGCGCCCCTTACCACGCGCCAACGATTCAAGGAGAAACGGGCTTGAGGCACGGATGAATGCGGCTCTGCCTAGGTCTACGGATACAGCCTTGGAGAGAACGCCTACGCTGTCTAGTTCAGACCCGGTGCTTGGACAGAAGAGAGCTTCAGAGGATAATCTTGAAGCTGACAGACCAGCTGCTGTCAGACGCAGGATCAAGCCACCTCAACCAGACGCAACCGTGGATGATCTGTTGAAGGTTTTCGAGTTTCCTCTGCTAGATGGGAATCGACTTACTGGGATTGCCTCTTCGGAACCTCAAGCAGCCCAGGCCAGTACGGACGATTTCCTCAACACGAAGCCATTCGAAAGTCGACTACCTCTTACACCTCCACAAGACGCCCAGGAGTATGCAGATCCTATTGAAAGGATTCTCAAGCTTCCCACACTTCAGATTGCGCTGCCATTAACGCCTCCGTTACCTGTGCCTCGAAGGACTATGGGACGCACACAGACAGCACCTCCAAGAGTTTCGGGCGGGGTGCTTACGCGAGACACTCTCAGAGCACTTGTACTGGAGTCATTAGCAGGTGTCCCATCCGAGGCGCTTCCACCGGTTAAATCGCCCGAGGAAGAAGATGAAAATACACCTGTGGCTATCAGGACTCTGGGATTGAGGGACGCTGTGATACACAGTCTTACTGGACAAGCACCAGGAGAGCCCAATCCTACGGAGAAGATCCCTTCACCTTTGCTTGGTCGCTTGGAGCCGGACAACTATACAGCAATGGATGACTGGGAAGAAGAGAGTATTATCATTGGCGCCTCACCCCGTCGATGTCAAACCCCATCACCCGGGACGATGAGACGGGCAAGTGTCATTGATCGCGACAGCAGCCCTGATGTTCCGCTGGCAGAGCAGAGACGGAGGCACAGAGAAGCAGACATTGATAGTAGCCCTGAAGTGTCCATGTCTCAGCTGGCTACAGGTGGTGCGTCCAGGATGCGGAGGACGCTATCTGAAGAACCCTTGGCGAATAGGGTTCCCATGGGACCTCCTGTTGGAAGGAGGGCAGAAGGTGCATATTCAGTGCACGTGGGTAACGGCCAGACGAGCTCAGGCCAACAATCACGACACCCGTCATATTATGTCCCAAACCGTGCTGCTCCAACCCTAGGCCAAGCTCCAGCTCGGATCCCATCTACGCAACAAGTTGGCAGCCAGAAGGCACACCGTCGCACGCTGCCTCCGTTGCCACGACAAGCACCATCAGCTTCATATGGCACATGGATTCAGTATGAACCAGACTCCACTCTAACCCCTCGCACACCTTACAGACGAAACCCTGACCTCTCTCTTACCGCTTACCCCATTGGCATATCAAGGGCCCCAATGAACCGCGCCCCAGGTCCTTACATAATGTCTGCTCCAGACCCCTCTACCGCTGTCCGCCGCATCACAAAGATTGTGGATAGGAAGGGACGGCCAATTCCCGAAAATGGAGGTAGAGAGTCCAAGAGTAATGTCTTGTTCCAGGAAGCGAGTGGGACGTGGAGGAGCATGAAGTTGCAGAATGCACAGGTTACAGATACGGCCGGATGGGTCAGGAGTGCGATTCGTGTCAAAACAACGACAGATGCTGCACACAAGCGGCTGAGAGAATTGGGTATTGGGATGTATGGTAAGCGGAGTGGGTCGCCGGGGAGTGTTGCGCCATCCCAGAATGCTACCCCATCACAGAAAGTTACTCCATCCCGGAGTGTTACTCCGTCTAAGAAGGGAAGTGCGGTTAGGAGTACTGCGAATGTTCAGGCGGAAGCAGCCGATGTCGATGAGAGTATGAGGATGATCATCGCGATGGAGAATACGGTGTTGCCTGTGAGGCTTAGGGGGAGGACAAAGACGCAGGAAGAGTATGATCAGGAGTTGGCGAGATTGATTTCGGATCAGTTGAATGGGTTTCGACGGAGGAGGGGTTGAACCCAAAATCATTGGTGGGTGGGTTGGCTATATTGGACTGATCGGATGGAGTTTGGGCATTTGTGATATCCCAAATAATTTAAATACCTTTCATCTTAATCATCCATATCCTACAATATCGAGCGATGAGCAACCTTATCTCCCCGCAGTCCCCGGATAGGGAAGACGCAGCAATCCGCGGCCCCGCCCACCGTCAAGAAGCAGGTGCTCATTGGACCCCGCGGCAATTGCTCGTGTGGGATCCGACACATCCGACCCGGCTGATCTCCTCTCCTGTTCTCTCCTGTCTATTTATACCTCATCAAACCCCTTCTACTGACGGATCAACACCTGCTATTGCTAAAGCTACACTCATTGCGACATGTCCACCACCGAAGGAAAGAAGAAGAGAGTCCTGGTCTCGTACGGCATTGACATCGATGCCGTCGCAGGTGTGCAGTGATACAACGCCAGCATTGTACGGGTGAACTAACGTTGTACACAGGATGGCTCGGATCATACGGCGGTGAAGACTCACCCTCCGATATCTCTCGCGGAATGTACGCCGGCCAACTCGGCGTCGAACGTCTCCTCAAACTCTTCGCAAAATACGACATTAAAGCGACTTGGTTCATCCCCGGTCACTCCCTCGAAACCTTTCCCGAGCACTGTGCCTTGATCCGCGATGCTGGGCACGAGATCGGATTACACGGGTACTCCCACGAGAACCCGGGTGATATGTCTCCGGAACAACAACGCGACGTTCTCCGCCACTCCTACAAAGTCCTCAAAGAATTCCTCGGGAAGGCACCGAGGGGCAGTGTTGCGCCCTGGTGGGAAATCTCCGCCGAGTCAGCCCAGCTCTTGATGGAATGGGGCATCGAATATGACCACTCCATGATGGAACACGACTGTCTTGCTCACTGGCTCCGCGTCGGGGACTCGTGGACCCCCATCGACTACTCCAAACCCGCCTCCCACTGGATGAAACCCCTCGAACGCGGAACCATGACCGGACTCGTCGAGATTCCGGCAAACTGGTATCTTGACGACCTACCACCCATGATGTTCATCAAGAAAGCGCCGAATTCGGGGGGATGGGTTGATCCGCATGTTATCGAGCAGATGTGGAAGGATCAGTTTGAGTATTTCTATCGGGAGTATGATGAGTTTATCTTCCCGATGACGATTCATCCCGATGTTAGTGGGAGGCCGCAGGTGTTGTTGATGCACGAGAGGATCATTGAGTGGATTAATCAGCATGAGGGTGTGGAGTGGGTCAAGATGGAGGAGATGTGTGATGATTTCAAGAAGAAGAACGCCGTACCCGAGGGTGCGGTTCTGCCGAGTGCGAAAGCGCCGGAGGAGTAAGCGACGACGTTGAGTGATGAGGATTACATATACCCATACCCTTGAGCCTAGTCATTTACCTTGATACCGAACAATACTGTATGAATTCAAACAGCCGAACCAGTACACAACATTTGCAATTTATGTTTGCCAAAACCAAGCCATGAAAGAGATGAAACGCCTTAAAACCAAGCAATCCCCGAACCAAACGCACACCACGGCCATGTCCCGTGTTTACCTCCATGTATCCGCATCACGACCTCAACGCATGAACCGGACACCCAGAATTCTGAGTATCCAACCACTGCCTTATACACGTCTGTACATCTCACGTTAGCCGCTGAGACCACTCGATCCGCAACAAGAATCGCATACCCGATGATAACTACACAAACACTCCAACCTCGCAACCGTATCCCCAACCTCAAACTCCTCGAAACAAATAACGCACTCTTGTCCTTCTATCGGGTTGTTTTCGCGTAAGATATAAACTGTGTACCCAGAAGTCAGTATCTCACACATAAGCAGAACTGATGACTTCCAAAACACACCTAGATAACGATGACCTGAGACGCTGTGCGTACCGCCTCGTCGCGATGGGCTTCCCCACATGTTCCCCTCGATACAGTCGCGGACATGTGCTTCCTTCTCTTCGTCCGTTCCCACAAGAGGACGTGCACAGATCGGACACTGAGATCCCTCATCAATCTCCTCCCCCGCAATCCCCTGCCTCGAGACCACCCCATCCCCAGCCCCAATCCCATCAGCCTCCGCCAACGTCATCTCATCCACATCCTCCGCTAACACCTCTTGAATCGGGACCTGCTCCGCACTCATCGAAACGCCCCCCACCGGCGGCAGATTCAAAGCCGCATTCTGCTCATCCCGCCAACACGCATCACAGACCCTCACCCTCTCCGTCGCACCCTCTTCCCCCAAAGCCTGCATCAACCCCTCCATTTCCAACGCCCACGGTTCCCGCACGACACGGCCAAGGGAGACTTCCATCCGGTGATCACTACAGTCATCGCAGATGACGCGGCCACAGAGACGACAGTGGTGGCGACGGAGGAAGAAAGTGAAGGGACGGGAGCAGAGAGGGCAGCGGGAGGCTTCGTCGTCGGGTTGCCAGGGTGGGCGGCCGGAAGCATCAAGGGTGGTGGTTGTGGGGTGGGCGCCGTGAGGAGGATGGAAGGGGTGGTGGGAGGAGATGTAAGATTGTGGGGCGCCGGGGGTTGAGGAGGAGCGTTGCGCTGGTGGTTGTGATGGGTTGTTTTGCGATGAGCCGGAGCCTTGTCCGCCGTCGACTGTTTCGATGATCATCTCTCGTAACCGCGCTGCATCTTCCGCATCATCTTCACTGTCCTCGCCGCCCTGACTCTCACACTCATGCTCATCTCTACTCCTCTGTGCAGCAGCAACCTCCTCCAAACTCGTAGGCGGCGTCTCAACCCCACTCCTCCCATCAAATATCGATTCCGAATTCGACCCATTCGCCTCATCATCCATTCCACCTAGCATACTCTGTCGAAGACGATCTACACGCACGCACAAGTCAGATCAAGATCCACAAACAGGGAAAGCATAACGGGTATATTGGGGTATATAATCCACAAATTTACCACATACCTTTCCGTAACCCCCTCAACAACCCCTTCAATCCGCCTTTCCTATCTCTGTCCTCAATCTCAGTCTGCGCAGCGTCGATGTATGCGTTCGGTACGCCCTCGACGCGGCGTTTCATCACCCGTACCCAGCGTCGTGCGCAGACCCAGCCCTTTTCTCGTGGCAGGCCACCTGTCCAGTCATTTTCTTCTACTTGGAAGTTCGGGGCGAATAACCATCCATCCGGTGTGCACCGCGGATCGGTTTTATCGATGTTCCATTCGTTTACCCATGACCAGACCTGTGGAGACTCAGGCGTAGGCGGTTGCGGGAGCTCAATCTCCTCTTTCCTGACTTTCGTCTCGGACGCGAGCGTGGTGGACCAATGCGCCGAGTCACCCATTCGAAGAGCTTTGGCATTTGAATGGGTGAAGGACCACCGTGCATGTTCCCATACGATCACGGGTTCGTAGACTCCGCCGTTATCACCGGCTGCTGATAATAGCGAACAAGCATACAAATCCGCTCTCGAAGCAGCGATATCGTACGCGGACTCGTGTAATGCATTCGTCACATTTACAGGGACGGAGGATAGCGAAAGGAGGTGTGCGATGATCTGGTGATGTCCTCGCGAAGCAGCAGTCATGAGCGGCGTATACCCCGTCCCCCGCGTCTTCGCACCAAGAACAACATCATGCTCCGTCAACTCCGTCGTAATCTCCAAATCCCCGTTCGAAGCGGCGATATGCAACGCCGTCCATCCATCCTTATCCGCGTGCCGGACATCCGCGCCACGGCCCAGTAACTCCTTCACGACCTCAAGGTGGCTCTTGGACACGGCTTTCATCAACGCCGTCTCGGCTTCTTTGTCGACTGCGTTGACCTCGGCTCCAGCTTCCAGCAGTTCTCGAACAACTTGTGCTTCTCCACGGTAAGCGGCATGGTGTAATGGATACCACCCCGTCACCGCATTCCTCGCATTCGGATTGTCCATATCGTACTCAACAGGCGCCGGTGTCGAAGCCTTCGACGAGACTGTCCGTTGCTGTCTTGGCGGCGTTACGGGTGTCATGTCCGGTAATGTTTGTTGCTTCAGGTGCGCGTCACCGTACAGAGGATGTGGTCCGTCCAGCGTTGGCGGATGCGTGAACCTGTGAGAAGGAGTTAATCATCAGTTCATATCCGTCCTCTCCTTCTTACGCTGGAATGGTTGATGCCATCCTTGATCACAACGACGGTTTCGATGGTGGTGGGTTCCAGGTTGTGTGCTGGTTGGGCTATGATGGCGGTGGTTGCCTATCCGGGGTAGCGTGCAGTTGATTGCGCTCATGCGGGTGCATGTTTGTGAATAAAATGGAATTAATTAAAGGCTATTCTGTGTTATCCCATGCCATGTAACCAAAAGCGCACGCCTTCTATGAATGTTCTGTTCCCCGTCTCATCCCGTTCCAAGTCGCCCAGTCCATCAACCCTTCCTCCTTATCAGGTGGACAGCCCAACCCTCCTTCCAACCTCCGCCCACCTCCTCCTCCTCTCAACCTCCCCCGCCGGACCCCCCATCATCCCCCCGTTTTCCTCCGCCCGTCTAACAAGATACGGCATCGCCTCCTCCACCTTCGCGAACGGAATCCACTTGTAGACGACGAAACCTTTCGGTGGTAGGGCGTAAGTTATGTCGTCGGACATGCCGTAGAGTTGGGCGATTGCGAAGGTTGGCCGGTTGCGAGAAGAGGAGGGCGAATAGGAGAGGAGCTGGACGGCGTTGAGAATGGAGATGTGGTTGTGTGTTGCGAGGATGACGGACATACTCCCCGGTCCTCTCTCAATCAACTCCCCCACCGCCGTATCATACGCCTGATCCGTCGTAGCCTTTGTCGGCCATACCGCGCCTTCGGGTTCTATGCTCATATACGCTCCTCGCACCAGTTTTGCACCCAATCCCCAGCCTTCGCGGAGGGATGTTTCGACGTGTTCGCGGAGGATTGAGGGAGTTGCTTGGAGGTAGAGTTGGTAGGTGTTGTACACTGTATGTGGGCCCGTGCCGGTGTTGTATTCTCGTGCGAGGGAGATGATGATCGCGTCGATTGCGTGACGGTAGTATGTCTGTTCAGCGTCAAACACGACTGGTACGCCCGCTTCCTTTGCCGCCGCTGTCATCTGTGATAGTTGGTGGTAGTTGAGGTCTCGTTTGGCGTCTTCGGTGAGTCGTGCAGCGGTTTTGAGGGTGTTGTTGTAACGTCGTAGTTGGGAATCGGAGACCATTGCCGAGAGTTTGACGGCGACCATAGTCCCTGGTACTTCCCTCGCGATCTCAATGGCTTCCATAGTAGCATTTATCGCCGCTTGGTGATCATCCTCCGTCAACCCCCCTTCCTCACCGTGATGTTCCTTCGAATACGCCAACAACGAACGAATCCCATCCGCCTTTAGTCTGTTGACTGTGTTGACAACATCCCCCACCGTCTTTCCACCACAAAAGTGATGAAAAAACGTAACACGCGCAAACGGCGCATAAAGAAACGACAGGTGCCAGTTATCGCAAAACTTGATGAACGCAATCCCCGTATTCACCACCCACGGTCTCGAACAGCATTCATACACAAATAGCGACGCAAGAAGATCATGCGTCGACAACCTCCCCAACGCACGTTCAGAAGCCTTGATAAATGCCGAATCATCCATACCTGGACCGAGTGATGATGGTGTCGAGGGCGAGGAGAGAAGAGAGTACCCGCAGATTGCGCCTCCAGCAGCGAGAATCGCCATCGCGACACCCCAGCGCGGCTTGAATGCCACCTTCGTCCACAGCGGCGGAGGAGCAGCCGGATGTATGCCATCCTCAACCATCGTCGAACCACTCGCCGGCCTCCTTATCACACACACCTTGCTCCACCGTGGTCTAAACGTCTTGCCAGTTGTATTCCTCAAGAGACCAGCCCTGTTCATCGTTTGTTCCCTGTCCGTCGGTGGGTGTACTTGGTTCATACTGTAAGTATCGCCTGGGTCTGTGCAGCAGGGCGGCGCGCGCCGACGTAACCTACCGAGAACCGTGGGAAAGCGGGGGACGACGTCGGTGAATCCCGATTGCCATAACCCTAAGTTATGTATTGAGAGTGTTGTATGGGACAGTCGCTGTCTATACTTAGAGTTACAAATGATCTCAACGTAATCTCTTCGCTCAGCTGCTTCGCAAACTCGACACCGCAGCTGACCGGATTGGGACCACCCGCATCCCTCCTCGCTAGAGTCTAGCTAGCAGTGTAGACCAATGAGATTTGCCAGGCAACCCCAGCTAAAAGTTAGTGCGAAAACGAAATCTTCTTCGCCGGAATTTGTCCACTTGGATTCTCTCCCCAACCAACTACCCATCCAACAGAGTACGCGTCGCGGCGGGACTCGCCCCCTCGGGGGTCGCTTTCCAGAATCATGCCCTGTCCTCTGAATAAGAGTGCCGGTCCGGTCCTTTTCATGGGGCTCATAGCGTGGACGGCAGGGACTGTGTGAACTCTCAGGACGTAACATCCTGAGATGAGCAGCACAGTCTCGCACATGGGCGAGAACTGGTGCAGTGTGCTTTGTTTGTATGTTCTGCTTTGGCGGTCGAGTGTTCATAAGGACACTCGTCAGCCAAAATGACATGTACAAGCTTCTACTCAGCAATACATTATCTTTATTCCGGTCTATGACAGCAGCTTACCTGGAGTACTGAGCAACATACCAGGTACCAACCGTATCATCTCCCTCTTGGATAACCATAAATGCGGAATCCGTGAACCATAACTCTACTGCAAATGCATATAGCCCGAGATTGATTTATTCTTGATGTAACCCAGCAATGCAACCGCAAATAAAGCAAGTAAAACTCCGCCGAAGAACACCGAACCCTTTTCGTACGCCATCGAATGATCATACTCCATCCTCCAAGTCTTGTGATCAGACCCTCGTCTTACAATCCGGATCCAGACATAGAGGAACTACCAGCGGCCGCATGTCTCTTCTTCGATGAAGACACCCTCGTACGGTTTGCGGTGGGTGTGGCGGATGAGACGGGAGCCGTAGGGACGGAGGTGGATGTCGCAGTGGTCGTCGACTTCAGCAACGACCGCGTCATGATACGTGCGCAGCGGGCGAGGGCCGGGGTGGAGGTGGAGTTGGAGCCTGAGGGGACGGGTTCAGAAAGGAGTCGATCGATATCGCGATTCGAAACGGGTAGGCCTAGGCATCGTCCGTCTGCTGACGTGTCGGCATATGCCGTGTACACGTAGATTGGAACCTCTCCTCATTCAGTTTTGCTGAAAGGCTGGCCATGGTGGTTAGGCCTTCGGTTCTTTCACTCTGATGGAGGAAAGGGGGTAGTAGTAGTAGTAGTAGTAGTAAAGGTAATACGTCCGCCAGATATGATGACGAATCGACGATTGTTACTCCTGTCCGCAGATAGAGTTCGATTGCGCGGGCCGGGCGAGTAACCTTAACCTTACTCAACCCTAAGTAAATTAACCGTATTACGTGACCCCGCGACCGCGACCGTAGGTAGCTACGTACATTGAGACTCTGGTTAGATCAAGACGACTCATATTGCGAAGGCCTAACCACCAGCCGTTCATCCCATCCCTGGATCCATCGCCATCCACATCATCTCTCTGTCACCGCGGACAGATCCTCCTTTCTCTCCTTTTCCAATATCACCCTGCGTCATCCTCCACATCCGCTCGAACCGCATCCCAAGGTATTCCCAATCTCCCTCCCTGGATAACGTAGCCTGTTTCTCCTCCATGATGTGGACCATGACCCTAGTTTTTCTCGTGTTCGTGCTGATGTTAGTCGAGGCTGCGAAGGAGAGGAGTGATGAGAAGAGAAGTCGAGCATGGTCGGGGTTGGAGTTGGACGCAGTGAGAGGTCCAGTACGGTAGCCGTCAACGGATGGACGAATGTGCGCCCAACCAATGAGTTGACCAGAGGAGCGAATACCGTAGGCGGCGGAGTTGGGTGTAGATAACCATCCTTGCATGAAGTCCCTGGTCCTCTCGATACCATCACCGCGGGACTGTTACTCCATTACCTCCTCGACATCGTCAACATTCAACTTCACTACTCCTCCGTCCTCTACAGCACTTCGGGTTGCAGGGGAATTCGACGAATCGACATGAACCCAGTACCGTTCAAACCACCACCCACTCCCCTCGAAACCCCACTTCGCGTAATTAATCCGTTGTACCTCGACAGCATCCAATCCAATCACCATATCTCCTCCAGGAGTCGTAGATCGAGCGTCGTGAATTTCCATAGCCCGTGAGAAGACTTGATATCCGTAGCCGAGTCTGCGGTAGGCTGGTGTAGCGATGTAATAACCGACAAACGATGCATTCTTGTGTAAGGCGAGTGTGATGATTGAGGCAATCTCATCTCCCTCCTCTGTCTTGGGATCAAGTAACCACCCGAGCAGGCGAGAGCGAGGAGGTTTGCGTCGTCGAGTCCGGGATTCCAGCCCTGAGAGGCCATGATGCGGTATTGAACCTGCTTGATCTCATCTTTAGCGGTAACCTGAACCTCGGTCATCGTAGTCATCGTTTACGCGCAGGTTGCAGTCGACAAGCTCAATGCCGAAGGATCATAAGGACTTTTGGGTTGACGAGACGGGGGTTCCGCAGCTGGCGATGGCCTGATATGGTGTTAATCGTCACGGATCTTCAAACACGTGGAGCCGGGCCCGCGGTTACTCCCTCGTCCGTCTGGTTATCAAACCTCATCGTTACTCTCCCATCCCCAACAGTCTGTCCAAACACCTCTCGCACTCATCGTCACCCGAGGGACTTTCTTATTGAACTTGACAGCTGTCAATTAAGAAAACGGTGATTTCGATCGTCAAACGTCGGTTTCCTAATTGAGTGCAGTCTACTGCAAGTCTTGCGCGGCGAAATCGGGCGCGGAGGCAGCCTACCGCGGGTAGTTCCGATCTATGACGCTTACCTTTCGCGAGGCTAAAGTCTCCACCAAAACAGCATTCACTCCAATTGCAATTGCGAGGGCATTCACCATGACGAAGAAAGGCAACTATGCGTTCATTACGTTTTTGACGTCCACGTCGTACTTACCGGGCGCCCTTCTTCTCCACCACTCAATCAAAAAACACTCGTCGTACCCCCTCCTCGTCGCACTAACCCCAAACCTCGCCGACACACCGACCCACCACGCTCTCACCACCGCTGGCATAGAAGTCCGCATTATTCCCTTTTTGCGTCCACCGCAGAAAGTAAGCGTTGTGGCAGAGAGATTCGAGGATACGTGGACAAAGTTGCGGGTGTTTGAGTTTGAGGAGTTTGAGAGGGTTGCGTTGATTGATGGAGACATGATGTTGATGAGGAATATGGATGAGGTGTTTGAGGTGTTGGATGGGAAGGAGGGGGGAGGGTGGATTGCGGCGAATCATGCTTGTGTTTGTAATTTGGATTTGTCGAGTTGGGCGCCGGAGGATTGGTATGGTGACCACTACGAGAACTTCTGTGGAAGGGTATGCTGATGGTGGATGTTGTACAGGACGAAGGAGAATTGCGCATACACGCCGTTATCGCATCCCGACGCTCTCACCAACCCAACACCCGTCACACCCACCTCACGCCGTTCCCATACCCTCCTCAACTCCGGCCTCGTCATCCTAACTCCCTCAAAATCCACAGCAGCAGCAATGTACACCTACCTCTCCACCTCCCCCCTCATTCAAACCTTCTCCTTCCCCGACCAAGACTTCCTCGCAGCCTACTTCCACAACCACTGGCTTCCCCTCGGCTGGCAATACAACGCGATCAAGACGGCGCGGTATTGGCATGTGAATATTTGGAGGGATGAGGAGGTGAAGAATTTGCATTATATTTGTGATAAGCCGTGGAAGCGGAGGGGGGTGGTTGTGAGGGAAGGGCCGGGGATGGGGGATGATTCGGAGACGCATGGGTGGTGGTGGAGGGAGTGGGATGCGATGGTTGGGGGGTGGAGGGAGAGGGGTGTTATGGGGGAAGAGGCGTTAGGTTTTGTGGAGGGGTTGGTTGATGTGGAAGGGAAGACGAAGCTTAAGGAGAACACGAGAGAGGCCGAGGGGGGAGAAGTTGTTGCGGAGAGGGAGGTCATGGCGTAAACTTCAGCTGTGCTTGATATCGTGGAGGACCCGAAGGTGACGGAGGGGGGAGTTCGGGCGCCAAGACTTTTGTTCGTGTTCAAGGGTTTGATAGCATAGGTAGATGTCGTAGATTGTGAATACACCGACCGTATTTGCTCTGTTGTTGCCGACGCTGCAATACGCTGCACCCCCTGCACCTTCTGCAGCTCTCCAAACTTTGTCTACGATACGAGTCGCCGTCCCAAAAAGTCAAGAAATCTCAACCTCGACCGCGACATACAACGACAATGTTCAGGCTCGCTTATCAAAAGCGATCCGGAGCCCTGCCATCACAGTGGAAATGCTCTCGATGTCGGCGCTTCTCGCTGTCCGCCCCTATTCGGAATCCCATAACCATGCCCGGGCGGTGGAAAGCCGACACCGAGGCCGAGTCAACAGGAGCGGATGATGAACCACAAGAACCCTCACCCATCCAAGAACTCATCATGAACCACAAAAACGACGTCGGCGACGGTATCCGTACTAAACTCCAAAGAAATGAAGCCTTAACGCACAAAATCTACAGCCTCATCCGCAAAGAAATGCGCAAAGACTACGAAAAAGACCGGAAGAACCTCCTTTTGGATCCATACACCTTTCGCGCGAGTCTCCAGCGAAGAGTTGATGAGTACCAGCGGAAAGCGGTGGATAAGCCCGTTGCGGCGATGCTCGAGGCATTGGAGAAGGAGGTGAACGAGGGGCTTAAGGATGGGGAGGATGATGGTGGAGTAGAGTGGGGTGATGTTAGTGATGGGGCGGGAGGCGGGTTTACGCTGCCCCCGCCTGGGAGCTTGGTACAGAGTGTTTATGATTCGATCAAGTTTCATGGAATTTTGTTGGAGGATAAGTTTCAGTCTGTGTGGGGTAGCAACCAACCCCTCCTCATCACCTCCAACGGTACGATGAGGGTCTTCAAGGCGAAGGATGTCCAATACGTCATCCCTGATTTCGTACCGAAGGAATTGATGGAGTCCGTGAGTGGTCCCGAGTTTTTGGTACAGAAAAATGGGTTTTCGGCAGTGGTTGAGAAAATCCTGGGACAGTTAAAGGAGTTTGAGAAGGGTGTTGCGACGAGGGAGTACGATGTCGTCAAGAAATTGCCGGAGGTGTGGGAAATGGTTCGGGATTCGGATCCGTTGCAGACGAGTTCTGTCACGACTGAGACTGTCGCGCGGATCGTATTCGGGAAGGGTGAGGGAGAGAAGGTCTCGCCAGAGGAATCGTTTGCGACGCATCGAGCGATGTGGAATGATTCTGTTCGATTTTGGGCTGACACGACAAACCACCGTATCACTTCCCGCTGGCAAGTCCGTTCCTTGGAGCGTGTCCGGGGTGATGAGATCGTTATCGATTCTGTGCGTCATCGGGATGAGAGGTTTTGGGGATTCGTCGAGAAAGCGCGGACGTTGATTGACTTCTCGACGAGGGAGATTAAGCCGGAACAGAGGAAACGTCTCCCGGACACGAAGGAGATGAGACCGATTGGGCATTATACCCCCAACCCGAAGGATGTGGTTACGTTTGACGATTATGATCGACAAATAATTAGATTCATGCGGGAAGCGATCGTGTTTTCTCGGCATGCGAGCCAATTGCAGGATTTGGGATGGTTGCGGACGACGAGTTCCCGCTTGATGAGGAGTCTGGACAGATATCAAAACGAGTTCGATATTTTGGAGCCGGAACATATCTACAATTTCTTGGTCGATATCGGGGTTTGGGCACCGTGGGAGCAGCCGGGGTTGTACAACGTCACGCTTCAGCTTCCGGGGATGGGATTCGCGCAACCCGACCGAGACCAGAAAGTGTTGGATGAGACACAATCGTTTAGCGTCGAGGATAAAATGAAGAAATGGAGGAAGGATTGGGGTGAGCTGGAGGTGTATGCCATTGATGATGCGGGCGCACATGAACTCGATGATGGGATTAGTGTCGAGGATAGAGCGGATGGGAGGTGGATTCATTTGCATATTGCGAATCCTACGGCTTTTATGGACCCAGGCCATGAGATTGCGCAGATCGCGAGGAGGCGTGGAACGACGCTTTACCTGCCAGAAGGCACGACTCCGATTTTGCCGCATGCCTGGACGAGGGGACGACTTTCCTTGGGGGCGGGAGCGGGAAAGGAGGGAATTCCGGTTTTGACGTTTAGTGCGAGGTTGGATGAGGAAGGGCGGGTTGAGGATTTCGAGGTGACGAGTGGGTTGGTGAGGAACGTAAAGACGTTTACGTATGATGACGTCGAAGACATCTTCCTCAAGCGTGGATGGGGTAAGCGGACGAGCCATAGCGGCGCGATCGGGTATATGAAGCACGAGTTTGGGTGGAATCATGAGTTGGAGGAGGGAGTGACGGAGAGGAGGTTGAGTCCCATTACGGAGCGGGATGTGGATAACTTGAAGGTGATTTGGGATGTGACGAGGGATTTCAAGAAGGAGCGGATGAGGAATGGGATGCTTCTCGTCGATAACTATAACCTCGGTATCAAGCTTCAGCAAAGACTCCCGAAGACACCACAGAATCTGGAAGCACCAGTGTTTTACGATAGGTTGCCGGGTATCAGATACGAGCTCCAACCGCAGAGTCGGAGTGTGTCGAGGGGGTTGGTCGCCGATATGGCGATTTTGGGAAACAAGATTGCGGCGATGTTTGCCCGTCGGAACAATATCCCACTCATCTACCGTTTCCAGAGTTTCAACCCTGCAAATATTACCACTCCCTGGGAGACGATTTTGGGTTCGAGGACGAATGATGGGTATGTGGCGAATGAGTATTCGGGCGCTGTTTTGGAGTGTGGCAGGGATGGGTTTGGGTTTGGGACTACGCCGGGTCCGTTCGAGCTTTTGGGTCTTACGGGGGTGGATGATGGGTATACCCGTGCTACGAGTCCGTTGAGACGGCATTTGGACATGATCGCGCATTGGAATTTCGAGGCACACATCCGTGGTGAGGAGCCTATTTTCTCGAACAAAGACTTGGAGAAAATCGGGTTGGAGGGTGGAATCCGGGAACAGCAGATTGCTGGTGTCTCGACGAGTATTGATCGTAGTTGGACTATGCGTGTACTCAAGCGCATTTTGGAAAGAGATGGAAGTTTGGAAATGAAGTCGATGGTGATGGGACAACAGCGGAGTATGAGGAGTGCGAAAGCTATGAATGTGAAGTATGGGGTTCAGTGTCTGTTGCAGTTTGATGGGATTACCAGGTTTGAGGACTTGCAGGCGGTAAAGCCTGGGAAGGTGTTTGAGGGGACGCAGCTGATGAGGTTGTACCCGGCGACGAGGCATTTTGGGGTGAGAGCGAATCTTGCTGATTTGACTCAGGAGAAGTTTGTGAAGTAGGGTTACTCCACTCGAGACATATTCCAAAGAGAACACGACTATGTAGAGCAAACACATGCTGCCAATGATTGTTTATGTGGTATATTGTAGTGTGACCGATGAATGTCAGAAAGAATAACGCCAAGTGAGACCAAAAACTCGTCAAAATCCACCTCTGCCTTCATAATTTTGCATGCTCACTTCTTAGCAGGCGCATGTCCCTTCTTTCCCTTCTTATCCGCCTTCTTCTCCTTCGCCATATCTCTCATCGACCCCAAACTCAACTTTCCAGTCGCAGCAGCTCTCGCAGCCAATACAGCCTCGTTCTTGCGTTGGATTGAGGCGGTGAGCTTTTTTGCGAGGGCTTGTTGTTTTACGAGAATTGTTTTCTTGGGGGCGATGTGGACGGCTGCAACCAAAACAAGTCAGCATGAGTTGGGAAGAGAGAAGGACGAGAGGGAGAAGACGCACCTCCTTTGGTAAGTTTTTGAGTTTTGCCCTTTGAGGCCGCAGCCTTCAACTTGAATCCTCCTTGAGCCATCTTGTCCTTGATCTGGGGATGTATGCCGTCTTTGGTGTTTTGCTGTGTGTTCGCCTCTGAGGATATTTTTAGCACGGCAGGCTGATATGAGCCGCAGTCCCTTGCAGCGTACACGAAGGTCAACCTGACCACCAAACACTCCAGCGTTGACAAGAAGAAGAGACGGGAAGCTTCCGTGCCGTTTACAAGGATACCGTTTGCTGAGCTGAGCTTCGAGTGAGCGTGCTGTTCGGCTCTACATATACCCAGCCGCGTTTGGCTCCCGTCTGAGCACCGTGCCGAACGACGAAGCGCAGCATGACGCACCTCAAGCTTCTCCCACTTCTTATCGCCGCCTCCGCTTCCTTAACACAAGCAATCACCTGGACAAACTGTCACCAATCAACCTCCGGAGTCTACTTTGACCCCTCATCCGTCTCGGTAACATACGAGAAATCGGGGGGTGGGGCACTCATGAATGCGCTCGTGAATGGAACGGTGTATGGGGAAGAAATTGTGGATACTAATACTGAGACGAATAAATTGTCGACGCTATTCGCCAATACCGGATATTTGAGTACGGAAGTAACCCGAAACGCCACGAGATTCTGTGATCGCGTCGTGCCGAGGGAGGAAGCAGGGGGGAATACGACTCAGTGTCCAATACCGTCCGGGACGAATACCTCGTTCCTCATCCAACTACCTCTGGCAAATACCTACGCCTTCACAACCCTCTACACAAAAATCCACTTCGTCGACGGCGCATCAACACCCAACACCCTCGGCTGCATCTCCTTCAACCTAACCCCCTCCTTTCCCCTCTGGCTCACTCAAACCCTACGGTACTTCCCCCTCTTCACCATCCTCCTAACGCTTCTCGCAACCCTTATCGCCGCATCATGGTTTTCGTCGTTAACTCTTGATCCAATTATTCTACTATCGAATTTCGGGGTGGATCCGGAGGGGGTGAGATTGTGTACCCCGGGCCCGGGGGAGGTATGGGGGTATGTCCAGTGGGTGCTCTTGAGCGGTGGGTTAGGTGTTGCATATCCGGGGTTTTATCAGGGTGCGGTTAGTTCGGTTGGATGGAGTGGGTTATTGTTTAACCAAACGCTGTGGGCTTCTCAGGAACTCGTGAGTCCGCATGCCGACAGTGGTGGTGTGCGGAGTGATATTTTGTGGGGGGAGGGGTGGACGGGGAGGACGTATGCGTTGACGCGGTTGAGTAATTTGGTGGGGTTGAGGAGGGAGGATATGTGGGGGACACACATGATATGGCTCTCCATCGTCGCGATCAGTATTTTCGCGCTGTGCGCTATTGGACTTGTGGTATGGATGATCCTCAAAAAGTTGAGGGGACAGGATGATGTCGTTGAGATTCGGAGGAAGAACGGGCCGTTTGTGGTGGGCATGTTGTTGAGGGTGTTTTTGTTGTTTTATTTTCCGTTGACGGTGTTTACGACTTATCAACTCGTCATCACGGCTACTAGCTCGGCTGTCAAGACTGCTTTTGCGGTTGTTACGATGGTTGTGGTACTACTGGGGTTACCGGGGTATTTGGTTTGGGCTGTACGGAGGCAGAGTCCGAATATCCTTTATGATGACCAGCCGACGCTGCTCGCGCTGGGGCCGTTGTATAATACGTTCAGAGAGAGCGAGAGTGGGTTTTGTTGGTGGAATCCCATCTTGTTCAACCTTCTTCGCGGAATTATCATCGGTGCGGGTCAGCGGAGTGGGGTGGCGCAGATCATCGTGTTGGCATTGTTGGAGGTGGTCAATTTTGGCCTCATTAGGTGGAAGACGCCGTGGCAGGGACGGAGTGGGATGAATGTGTTTCATGGTGCGCTGTGTCTGTTCAGGCTTGTCGAAGTTCTGTTGATGGTCGCGTTTATCCCCTCTCTCAACGTCTCGGAAGGCAACAGAGGCTGGGTCGGGTACGTCATCCTTGCACTCCATGCGTTCGTGTTGGTGTTCTTCTTCTTGTTGGGCGCGGGGTGGAGGATTATCGAGATTGTGAGTAGGCTCGTGAGGGGCGGGGGCAAAGAGGACTATGTCACCGGCCCGGGCGAGGGCTTGGAGGGTGGTAAAGTGGGTGCGAGGGAGATGTTTGGGTTGGGGAAAGTATTTGGGATTCACCAGTTGGCGCAGCGAAAGTCGAAAACCGTTATCGATTCCGACGAGATTCATACCGCTGGGCCTGTTCATACCGCGAGTATGTCGACGCTGCAGATGCAGGAGGTTGGTACTGGTGTGCCGAGTAGTGCGACCGGGTTTGTTGGGACGGGACAGAGGCCCATGGTGGTGTCGAGGGGGAGTTCGGCGTTGGCGTTGTTGGATCGCGCTGGGGGACAGATGAGTAGTAGGGAAGATATTGCGAGTGCGTATTCGATTCCGCAAGTCACTCCCACTACGCCCACCGCACCGGGATATGCGTATCCGCCTCAAGCAAATTCCGAGTATAGGTGGCCGGTTGAGGAGGTCCCTGTTGGGCAGCCGGGTGCGGCGTTCTTTAGGCCGCCGAGGAAGAGTCGGCAGTGGTCTTCGCCTATGATGGGGCCGGGAGCTGGATCTCAGACGGGGAGTGCGGGAGTGAGCGTGGGGAGTCAGAGTCCGGCGTTTTCGACTATTGCGCAGCATTCGAGGGGGAATAGCTATGGTGGAGATTACGAGGATTTCGTACAAGCCCATGGGGGAACGACATCCGCTTCCTCGATGGGGCTTTCGCAGATTCCGGAGGCTGTTGCGGGACCGAGTATGGGGAGGAGGGGCGTTGGGGTGCAGGCGCCGGATGTGGAGATTATTGGGGCGTATGATAATGGGAGGCATGAGTATGTTGATGTTCCGTTTGAGGAGTATTACGGGGATGTCGATAGGCCGCGGAATGTGGATTATGCTGTTCGCGAGTCGGATATCTACAAGCAATCTCAGCAACCGCTCTCCTCGGCGCCGAGTGCGCGGGCACGCAAGTTGGGGACTGGGCCGGCTGATCCGACGGGACCTGTTGCTGCTGCGCAGGGGTTGTGGGGACGGTTAAGCAGGTTGTACGAGAGGAAGGAGAAGGGGAAGACTAAGGGGTTCGAGGTGGTGAGATCTGCGCCTGCGAGGGTGTTGAGTCCGCAGCCGAGAGCAGTTGTGGAGCCTGCTAGTCCGAGGAGTATCGTGGAGCAGGAGCAGCAGCGGATGGATGAGGCTGAGGGTATGGGGGCTGCGTCGCCTTTGGTGCAGCATGCGGCTGAAGAGGGTAGAGAGTGGGGTAGGACCTTGAGTCCGGTTAGTGATGCACGGAGTGGAGCGACGAGTCCTATGTCGGATAGTTTGCCTGGGCAGATTTCGCGTGGGCCGCCTGTGATACCGGAGATGGAGCCTGTCTCTGCGGAGCTGAATATGCCTTCCAGAATGGCGAGTCAGCGAACTGTCGCTTCTGGGAATTGGGCCGCGTACCCGAGCCCGCAGATTCCTCAAGATCCGACTCGCTTGAGTACACCGTTGAATCTGCCATTCCAGTCAGATATGTCGGATATCCTTGAGGAGTCATCGGGTACGGCTTTTGCACCCTCCCATCGTCCACGTACAAGACCAGAGTCTTCGTCTTCGATTGCGTCGTCGATGATCTACCCTCCACCACCCATCGGCACCGATGGTACCACGCGTCCGGATAGTGCTGGAGCGCTCTCCTTGAACTCGGTGAGGAGCCACCGCGTGTCGGATGGGTTGCGAGCCAGTATAACCACTGGAGGACGCGAGAGTGTTGGTGAGGTACGGAACGTGATTGCTGAGGAGAGCGATGAGGATGATGCGGAGTGGCTGGAGAGGACGTTAAGTTCGGGGAGGTTGGAGTAGTTGGGGAAGTGAGAGCGTGACTGGGGGGAAGATGTGGTATGTAGGAAAGATATTAAAAGGGAGCTTCTGGAGGGTCTAGGCTTGGCGTTTTACTTGACACTATTATTATGTACTGGGTCTTAATAATTCAAAATCATACCCTCGACCTTGCCTGCTCTGTTAATCATAAGTGGAGGTGTGTTCATGTTTCTGTGTGGTGTTTCATCCACATCTATAATACTGCTGTAGGTAAGCGCAGCACAAAGGACGTACGTTTACATGCGTCACACAGCGAAGGTTGACAGAGAGGAGAAAGCAAGAACAAGGATTATAGTATGTACGTGACGGTGCATGGTGGTGCTGATTGCGTCACAGCCGTACCAATCTTCCGCTGCGCAGATATGACACAAGAACCGATGTTACGGTGGCAGAACCAACACCCCAGCATGAACAACCTATCTATACGACCTAGCTTTCAGTTAAACCGTCCCCCCACCTCCTTCCCCGTCCAGCACCTCTTCCTCCCCTAGCACCACCTCCTCTGCCCGCGCCCACCTCCACGCCCACCTCTTTGCCTCTTTGTACTTTTTGCTGATCCTGTTCGGGATTAACCTCCCTGTTACGAAGTCTCAGTTCGCCCAACCTGGATGGTAACTTTGGACATGCCGTTATTGCGCTAGCCGTAGTCAACCCTTCGCTTCCCACGCCGTTCTGAGGACATGAGCAACGCGGACAATCTACGACGAAAAAGGACTGTCTGCGGACTGCTCAGAATCGAAATCTGAACGTCGATCCGAATTTGAAACGCTTCGTTAGGTCTCGTTTTTGGTTTGAGAGCAACTTAGGGAACCCTGTGGGCTATTGGGTGCCTGGCCATGGTTGGGGATCTCGTTAAGGTCCATGATTGCTATCTTGATCAGGGGTTGAGGCTCTGACTGCCACTCGACGAGGTGGAATCACCGTTTGTTGTCCTTTCTTAGTTTTGGGCCAATCATGGATGAACGCGGTTGACGGTTTGGATGGTTAACGCTCCGAGTTACTTTGCTTTCGTCATAATAGTATGGTGTTATGGATGGATCTGATTGTCTCGATAATCATACCTACTGGCGATTCTCTTTCTTGAAGATTTGCAAACAGAATCTCTTGTACTTATGTCAAACGACCTGAGCAGTAACTGTCCATATATCAAGAGATCCCCTCCAAATTCCCACGTTTAGCCATCACCATATATCCCCTAGCATAGATCTATCCCCAATCCCATCTCCTCAAACAAACCCCGAGCAAAATTTGCGAGACATGCAACGGCCTTCTCGCCATCTCCGACAAAAACACCCACCATAACACCCTCCACCTCAATGCATCCGACAAATCTCCCTCCCCGCCTCAACCTGCCACCCACACAACAAACTCTGCACCCCCATCGCCACAAAACTTCCCATCAAGATCGCAAATGTATCAGCTGGGGCAATCGTACTAATCAAAAATTCCCGTACCGCAGTCTCTTCTTCCGCATTTCTCGGCCCTATCTTTGTCTGCGTAGGGAGTTCGAGGAATGCGGTTGCGGAATCGGCGGTGGCTGTGGTCCAGGTGTTATGGGAGTCGTACATTTCCGACGATTCATCCGTTTCGTCACTATCCGGGAGCTCGGTATAATCCCCTCCCCTAGCCCCAACTCTCGCCCTCGCACGCGCCAAAGCCCTCCAAACACCCTCAGGCAACGACTCCTTCCCCAACTTCCAATACGTATTACTCATCCCTAACCCCCCATTCGCCCCAACAACCGCAACCCCAACCATCACTGCCCCAACACCATACCACTCCCTCCCACTCTCCCCCGTCGCGCCCTTCATACTCGCCGATTCACCGAATTGGAGAGCGAAGATGACGAGGTCGAGGATGGAGAGGGACCAGAGTGGGAAAGAGTGTGTTGAGGAGAATGGGAGACGGAAGAAGGAGATTGAGGTTCGGGCGAGGAAGACGAGAAGTTGGTGGAGGGTCATGTAGATTGGGTAGAAATCTCGGGGGTTGTGGAAGAGGTGTTCGAACGCTCCCCGAATGGGCGTATAAAACACCAAGGTCGGTAATACGCCCTGTTCACATATCAGTAACCGTTTCGAAGAAAGTGAGGAGGGAGAGGACGAACCTGGTTAAGTATGTTCTCGATAAAGAAGAGCGTAGCAAGCGGCATCATATACCCCCAAACCAACTCCCTCACCAACCCCAACTTCCCCCTCAACTCCAACTCCCCAATAACACTCCCCCTCCTCGCACCCTTCCCGCCAACACCACCCATCTGCTCCACAACAACCTTCTCCACCCCCTTCGGGCCCGGCAGCAGGATCCCGTACACGAAGGGTAAGGCACAGGGTCCAGCCGCGGTGAGGGAGAGTGCGATGTTGGGCGAGAGACGGAGAGTGGTGGTCATGAACGTGTAGTATGCAGCACCCAACAAACCTGCCATTCCGCCTCCAGCGGCGTATCCCCCAAACGCCGGATGTGGGCTGAGGGGATACCGAGTCGTGAGTTGGAAGAACGACATATCACCAAGATTCGACGATACGGAGGCGAGCGAGATCCCGAGAAGTCGGAGAGGGAGGTTGGAGCACCATGCTAGAAGTTGTAGACCGATGAAAGAGGAGGTAGCGCAGATGAGGATACGGGCTGGGTAGTTGATTTCGGATGTTAGGCCACGGTCGTTGGTGGTGATGTTGTCCCGTTCGTGAGGGGGGATATTTGAGTTACGGCGTTTGGCGCGAGAGGAACGGCCGAAGGGGAGGTAGGAGAGGGGTGATGGAGGGAGGTATGGGACGAATGTTCGGACGCAGACGGCGGGGACGGTGTATGCGAATAAGACTAACCCGGTTGATGCACGGGACCCGACGAGGTCGTTGGCGGCGGTGAGGACGACGCTGGAAACATCTGTGTCAGCTCGTTCATGTTATGGAAATATTGTACCAGGGATGACTGACCTGAATTGCATCGCGACAGATATCCCAAACGACCAAAAAGCGGTCGTGAGTCGTATATCATACCACCCCCCCAACCCCTCCTCCCTTCTCTCCGCATCTGTCACAAGAGGCTCATCTACACCTCCACCTGGAATACCAGCAACAAACTCCCTTTCCTCAAACTCACTCACCCGCCCACTCGTCGGACTCAGCGGGGCCGGCATGTCGTCACCGGCTGCCGCCATCGCTCTAGACTCGGGAAACTCTCGAAACGAAGGCTGGGAGGAGGTGTTGGGAGACTGGGTGTATGTATGTAAAGAATGGTCAGAGGGCTCCTTGTGTCCAGCGTCTACAGCTGGCATGGTACATGGGGTGGATGTATGCTGGGTCTCGTTGGTGTACATCTAGAGATCGCGCTGTGCATGCACGTGGGGGATCAAGCAGTTCTGGGGTGCACGGTGTACCGGTATACTCATTCCCGTGAGGACCTATCCTGTCTCCTATCCAACCACCATCCCAAGTTCAATGCCGTTCCCCATCCCAGCTGGACCCGTAAGCCGTACACCAACCCCAAACACAACCCCAACCCCCCTCCTCATCCGTTTCCGTACCATAGCTTCGTACACCGCCTTCCACTCCACCTTTCCACTCTCCTGATCAACACTGACCATCTTACACCGTCGACACGGACCCGAAACCTCCATCTTCATGGTCATCCCAAGGCCACGCCCGCCGCGGGTCGAGTCGCGATGGTGGAGAACGAATGACGTCATCGCATCCTCTACAAACGGCAACGGCGTACGAACAACAATATTCGGACGAAACAGTGAAGCTGGGGGGATCCTCTCCATCCCATCGCACAGCACAGCGATACTGGTGGAATTGATGAGAAGCAACGGGGACTCATTCGTCATTCGCCGCGGTGTGGAGGGGATAGCTAGTGTGCACGTAACCCTCGCGTCGGGCGTACTCAACGCATCCGAGAAGAACCTCTGGATCCGTGGGCCGGTAAAGATCTTACACTCGACCGTGTCATAGCACACCTTCGCCGGTGCCTTCCAAATCTCCAACTCCCCTTCTCTTGGGTGAAGTGGAACCTCAAACTCCTCCTTTGACCCCCGGACTCGTACACGCATGACCCCCATCTCGATGTCGAGGGTGGGGATGATCCGTGCCATACCCGGACAAGTCTTCTGACTCATCCCCCGTCCACTTCTCAAATCCAACAAAAAGAACATACGATCAAACACCAAGCCACGCTCCCCCACCGGCCATGGTTGCTCTTGTGGAGGAGGTGCGTAGGCGTGACACGACTTGATCGGATACACATACAACGCCTCCACTCTCACCTCCTGCTTCTTCACTTCGTTGTCAGGCGGAGGCGTGAGGAGGGCTGTTGAGGGTGGAGAGATAAACACCCGCTCGACCCACCCCACGAACGCACGGACTTCGCTCCACGTCGTACACGCCCCGAAACTAATCCTGACGACACCCCTAACCCTCTCCACTTCCTCCTCCTCCCCTTCCTCTGCCCCATTGCCATTCCCTCGCCGCTTCGCAACGGCTCGAATAAAATCACGCCCATCACCACACCGCGTCCCCTGCTCATAATACCCCCTCCTAACATCCTTCGGCGTTAACCCAAGATAAAACTCGGTCGCGCCGGGGTTGCATAGTCCACCCGTCCTGAGATGGATTCCCTCCATCCCCGCGAGTGTGGCGACAGTAGTTGGGGGCACTACACCACCACCATCGGCCGAAGCTGAAAGTATCGAGAAAGCGATGATGGGGCCTTGGGTGTATGGATCGGCATAATCCCCACTCGTGTGGATCCTCACGACTTCACCTCCTCCATCTGGGTGACGGAGTGCGCGTAACCTCTCCGCAGTCCACGCCGCCAGCGTCGACGTGTGCGCCCGGACACGTTCGAGCCCGCCCAAAGTCTCCATAACGAACCTTATTCCCTCTCTCACGCACAAGACCGCAGAGGTGCTAACTGTCCCATCCTCCAACGCCTCCGCCATGCTCTCACCACGAGGTTCATGCCACCCATCACTCGTCACCCCACCCACCGTCCCACCCCCGAAATACCTCCTCCGCTTCACCATCTCCACAGTCCGCTCCGACCGACGGATGAGGAGTGCGGCAAGATTTGGGTATCCGAGGAGTTTGGTGAGGGAGAGGACGGTGAAGTCGGGGGGGGAGGTGGCGAGGTAGGGTGTCAGTGGGGATGTGGGGAGGAGGGAGGCTGCGTCGAGGAGGGTTAGATAGCCGTGGGCGCAGGCGGTGGGGGTGTATGTTGGTGGGAAGCGCGTTCCGGAAAAGTTTGATTGGGCTGGGTAAGCGAACAAGGTCGGTCGTCCCGCGTGAGAAGATGGTGGTCCGTCGACGCAGGTGCTGTGCGAAGCGAGACCTGAGAGGCCGAGGATAGAAGTGTGTGACTCCCGATGATACACAAAATCCCATCCTCCATCCCTACACGCCCCCTCCATCATCTCCCCAACAAGCTTGATCCCCGCCGTAGTATTACTAACCCACACCACTTCCCACCCCGCTCTTCCCCCCTCACACCCCAGAAACTCCAATAACTCCTCACGCACTGCATCTATGACCGCCGAGGCGTAGGGAGATGAGTGAGGGTTTGAGAGGAGGGTTGTGGAGAGGGTGTGGTGGTGGGCACGTAGGAGGGAGAGGGGTGGGGGGGTTGAGGCGGCGTGATCGAGGTAGAGGGCGGAGGGGAGGAGTTGGGGGTATTCGCGGGCGCGGATTGTGTCGAGGTCGTCTGGATATTGCAGCTTGCGTCGAGAGGTAGGGTACGGAGGGGGGTCTGTGTGAATCATGTTAGTGAGATGATTCAGTAGAGGGCAGGACATGCGAACCTCTCACGGCCACTGCGGGCCTTGCAAGTGTCTTCCCGTCTTCCTGAACATCGTTGCCGGAGTTGTAGGCGTATGAACCATTTGGCATTGTTTGTTCTTGGTGTTCAGGTTGGGAGTCATGGTCATTGCGGACATGTGTACATCATCTCCAGTCGTACGCGTCGGGAACCGTATCACACTTGCATGCGGATGGATTGCGGGGTCGAGCGTAGGAATTCTAACTTGCCAAAATTGAAGGAGATAGACCAAGAGGAACTCAATAGCATATAAAAGACGATGCTTTAAACTACTCTGCTTACTCCCAGCCTGATCTGACTTGATCTGACTGGTTGGTGATGTCATATCTGGGAATAAGGTTATCTGCAGAGCACTGTGTTCTCAAACCCCCACACCCAACATGCCAGATCTCAACATATAAGAAATCCCATACAGCGAGCTTTCGCATGAAGAGAGACCATACCGCCATGCTCAGATTGTGGCCCTCACGAAAGCCGAAATCCCACAGGAGAAGATTGAGGAGCAGTGTCTTCCCAAGAGAAAGGATATCACCAACCGATGGTGGAATACAGCCTCCTACCGCAACAGCCCTCGTTCTGGATGCCCTCAGATCCTTTCCAAACGCGAAAAGGACGAGCTCATCCGCAGCGTTCGCTCAGGGAAGTACAACAACGCTGTGGAAGCTGCTGCTGCCTTCAATCATTGTCACCAAAGGGATGTTTCAGCGTAGACAGTAGGCTTGTTACTCCTGAAAAGCGGAGCGAAGTGTGCTACACAGAAGAAGAAACCGTTTCTGTCGGCGGCGGCTCGGGAAAGGCGTTACCAATGGGCAAAGGAGCACTTACACTGGAGGAAGGAGGACTGGATGCGGATCATCTACACCAACGAATCAAAATTCCAGCGTTCAGGGCCAGGACATATTGCAAAGGTCTATGTGTGGCCTGAGGATCCTCCTAGGGAGAACAAATTCATTCCTCGGATGCAATTTGGAGGTGGGAGTATCTTCGTATTTGGTGGAATGTGCTGGCGGGGGATCACAAAACTTGCTCGTTTGCAAGTCCCAACGGTCGACAAGGTCGTGATGCGTGACTTTGTTGAAGATTTTCTACTTCCCAAGCTTCAGGAGTTCAGAGAAGCAGACATCAATCTCACAATCCAACATGACAACGACGCCAAGTTTCATGCGCCCGACTGCAAAGAATCCTACGAAAGGGAGGGATACAGAGTCCTACCCTGGCCGGCATACTCACCTGATACGAACCCCATTGAGGATCGGCGTGGGCGGCCTGTATGAGAGGGACCGAGAAGGTGAAATAGACGAAGACGGCTTCTGGAACTGACAGCTTCGTTGAAGTTGTGCAACACTGAATCGCGAAGGGCCTGGTGAACAAGGGTCCTCGTGACAGGCGGAGCTAACGAATCAAGCGGAACCCCAAGCTTGCCGCAAGCCACGTCAAATTTTGCGTACCATGTCTTAGCAGCACCATCTTTACCAGAACGAGCCATCCCTGCCGACTCCATGAGGGCCTTGTAAACGAGGCGATCAGGACTCAGCGCACGAGCATGATCAAAAAACCTCGCCGTCAGGTGCAATAGATGCCCAGAAAAGTTAGTCCTACAAGAGTCAAAATGCATAACCTGATTGGGGGTGCAGCAGTGTAACCCAAGTGCCATGCACAGTACTCTTCGATGAAAGTTATCAAACGCCTTTGCCGAAGTGACGAGTCATATCCATATCGAAGCACACTTCGAAGGCCCATAACATATGCGGTTCAATATACGTCCTCTAGAACTCCAGAAACCGAAACGGCTCCACCCGCCCAACAGGATTCATCAATGCATGAAACCCAGCTAGTTCGCGAGCATCGGCAGTGAGGGCCATTTGAGCCTGCCTGGATGAGCCCCACATGCGAGACGTGTTGGAGATCAGGAAACCATCACATCGTTTCTCAGACACAACCGTAAGCGGTGGGCGACCAGGGAAAGTGACCGAGATATCAGGAGCGTCGGCGCGGACTTTGATGCCAGACATTGAAATAGCTGTCAACATCCCAGGCACGCGGAGTAGCTAGGTGAGTGAGAGTGAATGCGAGACGTCGTACGACCCACGTGCGAAATTGACAGCTTCCGTCGATGCACGTGAGCGCCTCTTCGAAAAAATCCACGGTGGTGCCGGCGCCCGCCGTACGCGGACGAGGGACTCGGAAAGTTCGATGACACCTCAATTGCGATTGCGAATAACTCGTATTTGAAAGCATCGAGTTTCGGAGGGGTGCATGCACGGGCCCGCGGTCGGGGACCCGTAGTGTGAGGTGCTTGGTGCCACGTCACACGTCACATCCGAGTTTGGTCGGTGTCGGTCTCGCTTACGTTATCGTCACCTCGTTTGATCGCTCGATCCCTTTCCTGCAAACCTCAAAGAAGCTTTCCCTTTCTCCTCCTCACTTGGCAAGCTCCCTAAAAGCATTTCCCCTCATCCCAGACCCTAAATGCCATCAAATTAAAGAAAATCCGGGATAAAGCCGAGGCGCGAAGGCTGGCGAGTCTGTACATACACGGAACTCCCTCCGGATTGAGCGTACGGTATGGAGCGATTGCGAACTTGAGACGAGGGGTGGCGTTGTCAATGAACTCTAATCTGGGGCTACTGCTTGTGTAGTACTCGGCCGCGGTGAACTGCAATCGAGGTCGATACGACGGCGGAAACATACCGGGATGGGATGCTCGCAATTGCATGCAGACGCGGGCGAGGCCGGCGGACCCGACGGTTGGGCCTTTGATCTCTGTAATTGAATGCGTCGAGTAGAATAGAATTTGACTCAATACATACACCTCTCCCTTCCCCGGTAAATGGCCCTCTCCTCACCCCTTTCCAGCGCCCACACTCTCAGCGCAACCACTCCATGCCCGAAACCGCTTAGCCCCCCTCGACGTCAGAACCCAACATTCCATCCCGCCCTAAGTCGTAAGTCGCCCGCCCTACCACCCATTGAATAAAACCCAACGAATATCCCCGCGACCCAATTCGATCTTCCCTATACCATCCCCTATACCACACACGACGCCATGTCCAACATTGACGCTATTGATAACAAGGAGGGACAGAGAGTGCACAATAAGACTCAGTCTGCCTATGCGTACGATAATAAGGCGAGCAGCATTGCGGCGAGTGCGATGAGGAATGAGTTGAATAAGTTGGCGGAGAGCTGTACTGATCCTAAGAAGAGGAAGGTGAGTTTGGTCGTTTGTGAGAGGGAGGGCGATTGGGTGGGGTTGGGGGAGTGAGGTGACGTTGAAGGGAGGGGGTGAATGCGGCATTTCTGCTCTGTGAGGAAGAATTGGATCGCATACATCCCCTAGAAGAGGAGGTGGCGAGGAGCGTACAGACACAATTCCTGCCAGATCATTGGAATTTGAGATCGAACGGGTTGTGTATGCGCTCTGACCTCCCCTCTCCTTCTTTGATCCACACACTCTTCCACCCCCATTCACCGCAATCTCCTCGATTCCAGCGTATCTAACGAAACAGTTACTGACCCGATGTCACTAGATCTTCGAGCTCGAGATGGACAACTTCTTCGCCCTCTTCCGCCGCTACCTCGCTCACAAGTCCCAAAAACCCCTTGACTGGGACGCCATTAAGCCCCCTCGTGCCGACCAGGTCGTCGACTATGAGACCCTTTCTGACGCCGACCCCGCAAGCTCTGAGGTCAAGGGTTTCTTGGACAAGTTGGCTGTGTTGAAGTTGAACGGAGGATTGGGTACTACTATGGGATGTGTGGGTCCCAAGTCTGTTATTGAGGTTAGGGAGGGAAACACTTTCTTGGATCTGAGTGTTAGGCAGATTGAGGTGAGTTTTGCACAAAACGAACGAAAAGCTCGAAGGAGACACTAACGATGATTACAGTACTTGAACAGGAAGTACGATGCCAACGTTCCTTTCGTTCTCATGAACTCTTTCAACACTGACGACGACACCGCTCGCGTCATCAAGAAGTACGAGGGTCACAACATCGATATCCTCACCTTCAACCAGTCCCGCTACCCCCGCGTCAACCGCGAAACCAACCTCCCCGTTCCCCGCTCCTACGACTCCGCTATCAACGAGTGGTACCCCCCCGGTCACGGTGACATCTTCGAGTCCCTTGCCAACTCTGGCTTGTTGGACACCCTCATTTCCCAGGGTAAGGAGATCTTGTTCGTTTCCAACGTTGACAACTTGGGTGCTGTTGTTGACTTGAACATCCTTTCCCACATGGCCGAGTCTGGCGCTGAGTACATCATGGAGTTGACTGACAAGACCAAGGCCGATGTCAAGGGTGGTACCATTATCGAGTACGAGGGCTCCGTCCGTCTTCTCGAGATCGCTCAGGTTCCTTCCCAGCACGTTGAGGAGTTCAAGTCCATCAAGAAGTTCAAGTACTTCAACACCAACAACATCTGGCTCTCCCTCCCCGCCATCAAGCGCGTCGTCGAGAACCAGGAGTTGCAGTTGGAGATCATCCCTAACTACAAGTCCATCCCTGCCGACAAGAAGGGCGAGTCTGACATTAACATCATCCAGCTCGAGACTGCCGTCGGTGATGCCATTAAGCACTTCAAGGGCGCACACGGTGTCAACGTCCCCCGTCGCCGATTCTTGCCTGTCAAGACTTGCTCTGACCTCCTCCTCGTCAAGTCTGATCTCTACTCCCTTGACCACGGACAGCTCGTCATGGCTCCCTCCCGTTTCGGTCCTGCACCCTTGGTCAAGCTCGGTCCTCAATACAAGAAGGTCTCTGACTTCCAGAAGAGGATCCCTGCTATCCCCAAGATTGTCGAGTTGGATCATTTGACCGTTACTGGTGATGTTGTCTTTGGTCGTGGTGTTCAGTTGAAGGGAACGGTTATTATCGTGTGCAATGATGGTGAGAGGATTGATATCCCTCCTGGCAGTGTTTTGGAGAATGTTGTCGTTACTGGTACCTTGAAGTTGTTGGAGCACTAGAGGAGAGGAAAGGAGAGGGTACGGTGGGGAATGGAACGATTGAGTGTTTGAATAGGTTTTTTTGAAAGGGGGGTATAGTACTATGTTACCCGAGATTTTGGATTTGATTTGTTTAAAATGCCATTGGAGCTCTTTTTGATATCACATGCGTCCCCTTAACGTAATCCTTGGGCTATATGCGGATTGGGCTGATGTTTGAATGGATGAAAGTCACGGCTGTTTCTCACCAAACTGTCATGTAATGTCCTTCAGATGTGGAAAGACCGACGGCCACTTAAGCTTCATAGGGCCTGCCCATAGCAAGTGCAAGGCGTACTCGATCACGATCCTCCGACGATCCTTGACACGACGCATGCGCAATCGTAGACCTCATCCTACGGTGGTATGTCGGCCTGGTATGCCACTCGAACATACGGCGGTGACTAGCAACAACTGCAAAGCAAACACTGTGGATCCCAACACATACCTCCGTAAATAGTGATTGGTATGATACCTCCGCCAAGCGGATGATCCAGCATCGAGCATCCTACCAAAACCAATAACTATGCTTCCCGTTCGTTCTTGCGTTTTCGGTCAGTGGTATAGGTTGTGAGATCGCGGATAGGCGGTGGTGCCTCCAGATCCGCCGTTCGCGTGTTGAGTTTGATCGTAGACTCTTTCAATGGGGATCCAGTTCCCGTTCTCCGGTACGGATGGTCGCTGTACCGATCCTCCTCTTGCCTCTTCCTCCTTCTTGTTCCCCGTGGTTATGATTGCAGCTGGCGATGATGGAGGGTGTAGAGGGCCTTTCCGTGCTCGAACGACGATGACGCGGACGACGCCGCTACTCGCCCACCACCGCAATACCCGTGCAAAGATTTTGTACATCCTCCATCCTGATTCTGTACGATTCTCGGCAGTGTTCATGATCCATGCGGCGAATGGGGCAAATACGTCGTCGGTGATGTCGACGGTGTCGATATCATCGATCGCGAACCCAGCCCTATACAGCGCGGTTTTGTATTCGCTTAACGGTATCATGTTCGCCCACGGTACGCCCAACACCACACAAAGTGCCCGCATCTTCAATTTTTCGAGGAGGGAGGGGGTGTCGCCTAAGATGATGTCCGTCAACGCAAAAGTCCCGACGTGTTCGAGTAGTCCAAACACCCGCTCGAAGAATTGGTGTCTCGGGGCGGGAAAGTGGTATGCGCAATCGAGGGCTAGGATCTTGGTGTAGGATTCCGAGAGGATTTCGGGTGGTGGGTTCGCTGCGTCACCCAATACCACACGAATCCGGGTTCCACCGGTGCCATACCCCTCCAATAAATCCCGTTTCGCGACGCTATGTTGGGCCGGATGCGACGTAATCGACGTATAGGACTCGAATTTGTAGCTTTTGAGGAGGTGAATGGATTGTGTTCCGCAACCCGTGCCTAAATCAAGGACGGTGTCCCTGCGGCCGGGGTGGAGATCGGCGTTGTTTGCGAGGAGGCCGAGGAGGTCGAGGTTTGCGGTGGTGAAGGTGGTTGCGGTGGACCAATAGCCCATGTTGCACCATAGTTCGCGGGAATTGGAGGCGTGGTTTAGGAGGGCGTGTTGGAGGCCGTAAGCCTCGCTGGGTTGGTCGCAGCGTCGTTGGGATATGTGGCGGCGGACGAGGAGGAGGGTGAAGTAGATCGATGCGGTTGTTGCGATGGTGGATTTGGAGGTGGAGGGGTAGCCGAGGTAGAGGATGAGACGGTAGGTGATCCAGAGGTAAAGGGCCTCGCGGAGACATTTCAGGGGAAAAGAGAACGGTGCTGGCATGAACAGGCTGTCCACTGAGAGTGACGAGGTGTGTTGGCGGTCGTCATCGCAGGTGTCGGTCATCCTACCCATGAATTTTGTACACAGCAGTACAAAACCGGGGCGGTACGGTGCGCCTGCGTTGGAGTGCCGCGCCCGTGCGGGATTGTGCACTCGAAGATAAGGACCGCCGAGAAAGCGAAGCTTCAGCTCTCAGTGAGATACCATCGCTTTTTCTTGAGAATAATGAGCCGTTAGACATGGGGAAGAATGTGGTTTGGGTTTACCGCGGTGGACTGGGACAGAATGCGATGAAGGTGGAGTGATTTCATGATTTGTGTTGATGTGATCAATGAAACGAAGGACATAAATAACATCATTAAGAGGTCCAATAAAGTAAGCAGTTCGCCGGCGACGTTCTCCCGCCCCGGTCTTCGCTCTCGGCTATTCGCGCTGCGGCAGCGCATCCCGCATCGGACGGAACCCCGCACTCCGCACCACTCCTCCACCACGACCCATCACCATGTAAATATCTCCTTCAACAGCAAATCCTTCTAATCTTCAGCTCCTTATCATGTCCCTCACCAAAAAAGTCGCTCTCATCACCGGCTCCACCTCCGGCATCGGCCTGGCCATCGCAACCACTCTCGCATCCCACGGAATCACCGGGTTGATTCTCAACGGCCTCGGCACACCCGACCAGATCTCGACGCTGATCTCGAAACTGACGGCAAAGTACCCATCTTGTCGTGTAATACACCATCCCGCAGATATGTCCAAACCCGCCGAAATCTCCTCCATGATCGCCGACGTCATAGACACGTTCGGACACCTCGACATCCTGGTCAACAACGCCGGTATCCAACACGTTGCACCCACAGAGGAATTCGGGGATGATGCTTGGGATAGGGTGATCGCGATTAACTTGTCTTCGGTGTTTCATACCACGAAACATGTTTTGCCGCATATGCGGCGAGAAGAATGGGGTCGGATCGTGAATGTTGCGTCGGTCCATGGGGTTGTCGCATCACCCAACAAAGCGGCGTACGTGGCTGCCAAACACGGCGTAATCGGCCTCACGAAAACCGTGGCGCTCGAAACGGCGGCTCTGGGGCCTTCGATTGAGATTACCTGTAACGCCATCGCACCAGGCTGGGTTCTCACCCCGCTCGTCGAACAACAACTCCAGGTGAATGCCTCACGAGACGGGATCACGCTGGAAGAGGCGAAGAGGAGGTTAGTGAGCGAGAAGCAGCCTATGGCGCGGTTTACGCGGCCGGAGGATTTGGGGGAGATGGTTGCGTTTTTGTGTGGGGAGGCGGGGGGGACGGTTACGGGGAGTGTGTGGACGATGGATGGGGGTTGGACTGCGCAGTGAGGTGTACGTAGTTCTGGTGTGCACGAAGCAGGAAAACACTCTCTTCCAGATCCACCAACTGCCTCAGCTGGGGCCGGCGTGTTAAAGCATGGCACGTAAGTGTGAGGACAACCAGTAAGCTCAGGAAGCAGAAGCGAAAGAGAGCCGGCTATCAGAATCAGAAGGGCCTCGACAGGGAGATGTTCTGTGTATGCAGCCCCCTGCAGCAACACGCATGGCCCATGCCCCCCGCCGTTCGTCGCGAACCGCCAAAACATCGACGATGATCCACCATGGGTCGTCGGAAATCCACGCCATTGAAGGCTGAGATGCGTGAAGAGCAGCGAATAGAGGCCGAGAGAATCCTGGCCGAGCGTGTAGGCATCACGGTGGGTAATTTGGCCGGTGCATGTATTTCTTGCCGCTGACAATTGATCCACAGTTGAACAAACCAGTTCCAAGAGCTGCGAAGGCACGGATATACAAGCCTGTGGCGCGGGCGGCGGAGAATGATGATGGTGCGTATCGAGATGAGGCCGGACATGATTCCGAACGTGGATCGATAGTAAAGAAGCGAAGGGGAAAGTCACTCGCAAGCGGTTCGTTGTCCCAATTCATCCCAGTTGCTTCGAGGAACAGTTCCTAACGAAAAGACTTCCAGAACACGTAGACTCCGACTCCGAGTTCCGCGCACCCCTCCCTCCAAAACCCGCCCGCGCCTCCTTCCCCCCCTCCAACACAGACCTCCCCTCCAACACAGACCTCCCCCCCAAAACTCACCCTCACCCAACTCCAAGAACATCCCTCTCCTCCCTCCAACGCACCACAGCCATAACCACCTCCCTCTCCCTCCCCTCCCCCTCCCCCCGCTTCGGCAACCCAGACGAACGCATCCGCTACTCCCGCTCCGAAGACCTCCGCGTAATCCTTCTGAAAGAACACCCCCTCTCAACCCACTCCTGGCCCGATATTGGCTTAGCACTTCCGGGGCGAAGTGGACATTCGCTACAGGTGAGGTATAGTGCGAAATTGCGGAATATTGATTTTAGGAGGGCGGGGTATGTGTGGGAGAAGGAGGATGGGTGGGGAGGGGGTGCGGATGATTTTTTGGTTGTGATGAGGGAGGTTAGGGGGGCGGGTTGGGGGGAGATTATGGAGGCGTTTCCGGGGAGGGAGGAGCGGGAGGTGAAGGAAAGGTATGAGAATCTGTTGGCGCCGGGGAAGAGGGAGGCGTTGGGGTATGGTTTTTGAACGAGGTGAAAGATCGATAGCTGGATACTCTCAACGATCTATGGAATAGGAGACGTGGTGTACAAGATAAAGATACATATTGGTGTTGGCAGTTGGTATACAGGGTAAATCTACATTTCTATACCCTCAAAAACCCACTCTTCCTCCAACTCTCAAACGTCCGTTTCATCACGTCCTCACGAACCCGGCCCACGACTCTCATAGCTGCGGAATCCCTCTCTGCCATGATGACTTCGAAGGGCGGTTCCTCGCCGCCCTGGCCCTCGGCTGCACTGTCGCCGTATGCAGTTTGCCACATGCCCAGGAGCTTTCGGGATGGGTTCACGGATTCATCGGGTTCTGATTCGGCGAGGAGACGAACCCATGCGGCGGGATCGATGATGTCAAGGGTGCGGTTGTGTTCTTCGAGCCAGGATTTGAACCAACCCAGGACGTCTTCCCATCTTGTTTCCATATGAGCGTTCGTGATGTGCCAGACGGGCACACTCTCCTCATCCTGACTCGCACGCCGGCCAAAACCGGCACCAAGAGCGATCTCAACGATCGCCCGAGCGGCAATATCGATCGGCAACCATGCACATCCTTCCTCCAACGCCGGCAACGCTCCCACGGAATCAACACTCTTGAACATCAGCGGTATAGCCTCCTGCTCGTTCCATACTCCTTCCCTCGTATCCGCACTCAGCTGTCCTAGCCGGAAAATTCCGATCCGGTTGTGCAGGGAGGACGACGAGTGAGCGGCAGCACAGATGCGCTCCGTGACCCACTTGGATTGAGCATAACCCATACTACCGGCAGATGACGGGTGCTCGACGACGCGTTCGGGGATAGTGGACGGCACGTCGCCGCTCAGGACTGTGCATCCGGACGAACAGAAGAAGAATTTTGCCGGTTGCTTCCCTGGACTGGACAAACATAGATCGATTAGATGTCGTGCTCCTGTGTGCAAATCGTTAGCAAGTCCGATATAATGAATCGCAGCGATATATTTGCACACCTGCAATATGATCATTCTCGAAACTTTCCAAGGCAGCAACGAAATTCACAGCCCAGGCGGCATGGATTACACATGAAGCTTCCTTCCGCAGTTTTTCGTAACCATCATCTCCCAATCCCAAGTTCTTCTCTCCCAGCTTCGCCGGCAAGCATTCTAGCCTCTCGAGGTCCACGTCCGAGATATTGATCTTCCTCGCCTTGAGCGACGCACGGACACGCTCGAGTGCGTTCAACGTCGACGAGGCTCGAACGAGACAAACGACCTTCCGTACACCCGAATTTGACAGCAATAGACTGACAACATGTGCACCCAAAGCTCCAGTGGCACCCGTAACGACGATCACCTCACCATCTTCCTCGGTACTTTCATCACCCGCTTCGTGCGCCAAGAAACCACTGCCATACTTCTCCACCATCTCCAACATCACCTGCTCTTTCCCCTCTACAACCTCCTCGCCTCTCCTCGACCTCAGAATATGTTCCGTCAGTTTCTTGATCGACGGATGATCATACACGACGTTCATCCCGAGCCTGACACCATCACCAGCACCACGCAACAATTGCGCTCGTAATCGGGTAGCCATGATACTATCCACCCCAAACGCAAACAAATCCGAATCGTCTCCAAGATCCTTCTCCTTCCCAACACCAACACCGCTCGTCACGACATTCCTCACCCATCCCATCAAATCGGCGTCAGAGACGATTTCCGCATCATCACCCCCACTCCGTCCGTCAAACCGCGCATAAGCTTCCTCGATCTCCTTCTCGTACCTCTTCCAGATCTGTGGACGTAGCAGGGTCCCTTTACTCGACGTTGCGATCTCCGCATCAGGACCGAGCACAACCACCAACTCCTTCCCACCAACCCTCGCATGCTTCGGCACACCCCACAATTCCATCGCACGCCTCACCCTCTCCCACAGTTCCTCCCCCTCACCCAGATCCGAATCTTCAGCAGGCACGACAAACACACCAGGGCACATCCGCCCGACACCAAACACCACAACATCCCTAACGACACACTTCCCAAACCACCCCCGCACAGCATCCTCAACGACGGCCGGCTCGAACTTCTTCCCACTAACCAACGCAACAACCGAATCCGCGCGTCCAACATGGAGCCACGCATCCCCCACCGTCGGATGTCGTTCGTAGAGGTCGGCGGTAGCGTACCCTCCATCCTCGCGGTTCACCTTGCCGAGTTGTGGGTATGATGGGTCGACGATTAGCTCGAACCTTCCCTCGTCCCGTTCTTCCATTCTCAGATACCGCCCCTCGTACGTGGGGTCAAGACGGACAAAGCCCCATCCCTCCTCAGGATCCAAGGCGTCGTCATCGCGGTAGGAGCATAGGAGGAACCCACATTCAGCACTTCCGTATTTCGAGATGAGACGGATCCCGGAACGGGTGATGGCGGTACCGAGGTCTTTCGCGAGTGGTGCGCCACCGAAACTCACGAGATCCATGGAGGCGAGCATGGTGCGAGCTTCCGCGCCCGCGTCCCAGAGGAGTTGCAACACATACGGTACGGCGGAGAAATACCCCACCCTCATCCTCTCCTCTTGGGGGGCGTAGGATGATTGTATGGTCTCGACGCACTGCAAGATATTATTTGCCGTAATCGGCAACACATCAGCAGGGAACAGCCACAACATCCCATCACTCATCATACTCCGCGTCAAATCGGCCGTTCCGCCATGATATAGCGGCGTCGTCGTAAACACTGCTGGGGCCTTTACCAGCCTCCCCTCCTCCTCTCCTTCGCCGGTGACTGGAAGATTGGTGGTGGAGGCGTAGGGGAGAGAGGGTTGGACGAGTGTTGACCATGCGTGGAGGTGCTTGATTGGGGAGGGAATGCCTGTTGTCGTACCCGAGGTGTGAAAATAGAATGCGGTGGTTTCGGATTCTTCTTCGGGCGATAAGGCCATGTCAATTACCTCCACCTCCTCCTCGATTCTGGTCTTCCACACTGTCGGCGCTGGCATTTCCACACCCACGATATCAACGCCATCCTGTCCCTCAAGAGCAGCGTGCGCCAACCCGGCATAACAGGCATGCCAAAGCAAATGCGTCGCCTTTGTCTGCCGTAACAACCCCCCAACAGCCTCAGGAGTACACTGCGGCGCAAGCAACACCGGGGCGAGACCGAGTCGCATACACGCCAGCCACGCAACCACGAACTCGACATTCGAGGGGCACAACAATCCGACGCTCATTTCCCTCCCTGCATGCTCCTTCGTCCTCCTCGGGAGGTTAAACTCGGAGTGGAGCCAGCGGGCGAGGGTGTGCGAGGCGTGGAGGATGTCGAGCCAGGTGTAGGTTTCTAGAGTCCATACTGCAGACTTGGGAGAAGGTGGAACGGGGATGCCGAGGATTGGGAGGTGGGGGGAGGTGTGGGAGCGGGAAGCGAGGAGGTGGTTCAGGGAGTGGATGGAGTGGGGGTTGGAGGTGTTGATGTGGGCGGCGCGGGAGAGTGTTGTTGCGAAGTAGGGGTAGACTGGGGTGGTGGGCATTGCAATTCCGATGTCTTCAAAACGAGTGTCGACCGATTGAGTCCATCAACTGAATTGAGTTCTCGAACAGAACCGTTCCACACGTTACGTCATCTCGTTCCCCTCCCGATCGCACCGCCGCACCAGCCGCACGCCCGATGAGATGAGTTGCGTCATCGAGATCAAGTGAAATCACTGATTCCCCTCCACGTAACCCCCCCCCTCGACTCTCCCCCTCGAGATCAAGTAACCCTCCAACAGCCAACAGCCAACAGCAACAATGCCAACCCCCCTCAGAAACAACCACGCCATCCCCTCCCTCGGCTTCGGCGTCTACGACTCCCCTCCACACACAACCCGCGCCTCAGTCTCACACGCCCTCGCCGCCGGGTACCGCCATATCGACACGGCACAATACTACGAGAATGAAGCACAGGTCGGGCTTGCTATTCGCGAATCGCGGATCCCGCGTGATGAGATTTTCGTGACCACGAAAGCGTTGGATGGGAGTGGGAGTGTTGACGATATTCTCTGCAGGATGAGGAAGAGCGTGGCGGATATCGACGGGGAGGAGGGCTACGTTGACCTCTTTCTCGTTCACTCGCCCAGCGTCGGAAAGGAGGAACGGAAGAGGATTTGGCTCGCCCTCGAACGCCTCCACGACCTCAACCTCACCCGCGCCATCGGCGTATCAAACTACGGCGTCAAGCACTTGGAAGAATTGCAAACGTACGCTTCCCCCCACCACTTTCCCCCCGCCGCAAACCAGATCGAGCTCCACCCCTGGTGCCAACAACGCCCCATCACAACCTACTGCTCCTCCCTCAAAATTCCCCTCCTCGCATACTGCCCCCTCGTCCGCGCCCAACGCTCCACCGACCCCATCCTAACCCGCATCGCCACCGCCCACAATGTGTCATGGGCTCAGGTTTTGGTGAGGTGGGCATTGCAGAAGGGGTTCGTGCCCTTGCCGAAGAGTGATACGAAGGAGAGGATTGCGGGGAATGCCGCGGTGTGGGGGTGGGCGTTGACGGAGGAGGAGATGGGGGAGCTGGATGGCTTGGATGAGGGGGCGGAGGGGGCGATTGGCCCGAACCCGGTGGAGTGTGAGTAAGGGATGTACCAGTGATGCGTTGCTTTACATGTGTAAATATCATAGTTCTCAAGACCCAACTTTCCTCCTCATCCTGTCAAGAATTTGCTGTACCTCCCCCATTCCCATCTTGTACCACATCAACCCGCCGAGCGCGATGGAGTAGCCGAAGAGTTGGGTCGGCGTGATTGGATCGCCGAACATGACGAATGAGGCAGTGACGAGGAGGATATCTTTCACCACGCCCGAAAGAGTGAGGACCAAACTCGATGTCCGGCCGATGAGGAATACGACGGAGAGGTTTAGCATGAATGCCACCGCGGCGGTAAACAATAAGAGCCGTACACCGACGCGATTTATGTCTTCGAGGGTGATGTGGGGGATTTCGAGGTAGAATGCGATAGCGGTGAGAAAGGATGCGCAGACGGGGGCAAAGTGGTACAAGCTCACCATTGGATCCATTTTGTGTCCGCTGAGGAGGCGTTGTACCATCACCAACCGCACAGCCTCAAACACGATCCCAAGAGCCTGAAAACACACACCGAGCGTGACAAAATGGATTTCGCCGTATGAGGCGATGATGACCCCTAACACGATGACCAGGACATTGAGCAGGACCCGGAGAGATGGGTGCGTCATCCCGAATCCCCAGGAAGTGAGGAGAACGACAACAGGCGTAGTAGCCTTCAACATCTGAATGAACGAAACAGATAACCACAAATACGCCTGATTCGAGAAAATGAGGGACGCCGTAAATGCCACTCCAATCGGAAGCACACGCCGCGACCACTGTGTCCAATCCATGGCTGTGTCGTGACGGGAGTCAAGGAGGGAGGTGGAGTGGGCGAGGAGACGGGTTGCGAGGGTTGCGAAGAGGAGATGGAGGGCGGTTAGGGTTATGGGGAAGGGGAAGGAGAGGGTCGAGAGAATATATTTGTTGAAGAGGATTACGGAGGAGGAGAAGGCGATCCAGACTGTGACGTAGAAGAATGGGTGGATGGAGTATTTGCCCGTTTCTCTTGCGGTGGTGGGGGGAGGGAGGTCAGACTTTCTGTCTGCGTCGGATTTGTCGCTCTTTTCCATGATTGGTGTGTACTGATAGGAGCGTTGTGGTGGTAGCGAGAGTGGTGGTAGTTTGGATCTGGGTTTGCGTGGCGGGTAGTGCGGTGGTACAAGTACGATTCCCTCGTCGTCGGATCCTTGGGCGAGCGTCATCTGAGGGCTAGGTCATGACACGTACAGAGACCTGATCTGTCAACCTTGGCAACTTGTAGAGGGGATATCGGTCATCGATGGGTAAGCGGCTGACGAAGACGGAGTGGGACGGAGTGGAGCCGGCCGCGCCAAGGTCTCGGCACTGCAGCTGGCGTCGTCCGGTTTAGATTTGACGGGCCTGACAATGGATGGAACGAGGTTGAGAGGTGCAAGGTTTTAAGGTTTAGGATGCGGAGGCGGGAGAGCGGGAGAGCGGGAAGAAGCCGCACCTTGTTTCCCCGCATCTGCCGCAACCGCTGGCCGTTGTAGTGAGTGTCATACCAGAATAAGAGTAGTATATTGCTGATGATTATGGATGTCGAGTAAGTCCCATATTTATATATAGTTAATACAAAGGAGTGCGACACACTCTACATTACTCCCCCCTCCCATCCGTTCTTGGTCTAAGTCATGTGACTGCGGAGAATGCGAAACTCACCATCACCGGCGTCCGAACCGGCGGACAACAATCCAGTTTGTCCGCTCCGCCGTTGGATTGCACGTTTGGTCATCCGTACTGTCGGACTGTCGCTCGATGACGACCGCCAAGAAGCTCTACAACCGGAGATCAACCAACGCTATTACCGGAAGTATGGGAGGGTCAGCCTGACCACTTGCGACAACTGTGCGGACGCCGACGACGATTACCCTGTGTTATTTATGCCCATGTGCCAGGCATTGATCCGACAACTAAGAAGTGTCACCCCCATGCTGGAGCTTGTATGCGGTGTAACCATAATGGCGATGCCTGCCAGGTTGCGAAGGAAGGGAATGGTGTGTCCGATGTTATTCCGGATTGGTTGGTGAACATCTTACCAAGATGCACCCTCGTTTTGACGTTCTTTTAGTGCCCAATCTGGTAATTCAGCCCTGCCCGCGCGCGCGGCGAAAGTGAAAATGGACCTGAAAACGGCCAGTACAAAAATGTGCAATCGGTAGAATTGACCAGGCCAATCTGTTCTATTACTAGTACATCGACAGGCCATGGCATGGCCCGTCCGTTTTGGGCGACGCTAACCCGCTTGTGGAAACGATCGGCAGATGCGGAGACGGGCCATGCCCTGAGATTTAGGGTTAGGGTTAGGGTTAGGGTTAGGGTTAGGGTTAAGGGTTAGGGTTAGGGTTAGGGTTAGGGTTAGGGTTAGGGTTAGGGTTAGGGTTAGGGTTAGGGTTAGGGTTAGGGTTAGGGTTAGGGTTAGGGTTAGGGTTAGGGTTAGG